AACATAAGCGACTTTCGACGCCATCTCCTGGCTGGCAAGGAGCTCAATATCAACGATGCCGCTGTTAGACAGGGGTAGGCGAATGTCATCGAATCCATCCGACTAATTTCTGCTACTGAACCCCTTTTCCACCAGTACGAGTTGTCAGGGGCGAGCACGTCCTCACGAGCATGATCCAGTGAAAAGGAGAGAAACCTCGGCTTTGGGGTGAGAATCTAATCTGCGAGTCAATGACAAGGGATGCCATGCTCGTAGTGCCCAATACTCGCCAAACCAAGCCCTAGCAGTGGATGATAGAATTGGGGGACTGCTGACCGGACACCAGAGTCTGCGAGGTACCAAGGCGGATGCTTCCTATGTCCCAGTGAGAGCCGTGGCCCGGACGCTGAATGTTCTGTTCGACATTCGCGAGAAAATGCGGAATCTGCGAGGGATGCCAGTATGGGATGCGCCACAACTGTAGCGATTGTGGACTCGTTGAGGCCGAAGGAATGCGGATGAGTTGCAGGTATCACAGCATACGCGGTCACCGTCTGCGCCGCCGAGGCACCAAAATATCACGATCGGGGCCCGACTGACCAATGAGGCCGCTGCCCTATCGTGTGTGCTGCAGCATGCGTTCTCGTGCTGCTTGTGTAGGTATCAATGTCGACCGTGGGATTGCGCCCATGTGGCGTGTGGTGGCACGGACGAGAACACACGAATCACAGGAACAAGCTCGACAGGGAGGCGACCGACCTCGTCATCACCTGCGCCTCAACGGCGTAACAGCGTAGGAGGCTGTCTCTTCCCCATCTGTACACCAGTGATCAGTGATCATCAACAACCACGTTTCCTTTCCTCGACAGTGTGTCGTGTTTCGTGTTTCGCGTTCCGAACTCGACAGTCTGCAGGACCCTGGATTCGGCTGCGCTGAACAGCCGCTGAGGGGTGTTTCAACTTTCAACCTTCAGGACTGTACGTCTCAATTGAGCCTTGGCCCTTGGCGGGGGCCTGGTATCGCGGGGAAGTCTAACCCCTGTGGTGAACTACTGGTGAATCACCAATGGTTAGGGGTGAAAAAACACCGTGTGATAATGAAAAACACAATACAACACAAACACCTCATACATGCCTTCCGTATAAGAAAGGTGTTTGTTAGGTCTGGGTTTTAGTTTTACCAGAACTTTTGTTCCTGAATGGGCTTAGTTTTGCACTTTGAGCCATTGGCTTGAGGACTGTGGCTAGGCCATATTGGGCCGATAAGGTCGGTAAGGCGCGCGAACGGCGGGCGGTATGCCCGACGCGAGCAAGCCTTACCGACCTTGTCGGCCTCGAGCACCTGCTTACCAGCTGCCATTACTTACGCTAAAGGTCTATGCGGAAGGCTATTGTTGCGAGCTTTAGTAAAGCCTCTCAGTACGTGTTTGTGTCTTCGGCCGGAAGAACTTCAGGAACCCCGATTAGGCTTAGTTCCGGCTTCCGGCCGGCTACATAGGGACTAACCCTCGGCCGCGGACAATCTCCCAGCCGAATCTATGTACCACTAGGTACCCTTCACTACGTTACTACTAGGAAACACATGTGTGAACCTGAAAAACACAATACAATACAGTACAACACGCTACATGTATTGTACTGTGTTTCTCAGACTCCATCCCTACCAATGGTGATTCGGTGACTCCCTACATATGTCGTGGAACGTATGTCTGCGCCCAATGAGACGATACACGATAGTCTATAATAATGCCAAGACAAGAAAGGGGTCGCACACGTCGGCCGACCGAGGGGGATGTGACATGCGCACGTGACACACGGCTACGACGGCACCCCGCCAAGAGACCAAGAGAAGGAACACCGGGGCATTTGGAGAATAGTGGGCTCGTTTAAGCCTCATCCCAGCAGAGCGTGCAGAGAGATTGGCGCCTGCAGCCCCCTGCAGCCTTTCCCCTTTGGAGGGGCGCCCCCCTGGCCTATTACCCTGTCTGGGATTCCGGTCACCGGTGATCTGGCATCTCGTGGCTAACAAGTTCCATGCCCCCTGCCCATGTGCTGAAAAAGCTTACGACGCCAAGACACTCGGCAGCGTCAAACCATGTCGAACCCGAGCCAGTCATGCAGACAAGGCAGAAAGGGGTGAACCAATCGCACTTGCACTGCACTTGCGCCACAGGAGACGGGAAGTGGTCAAATGTTCAAGTTGATTCGTCTGTGGCGCGTGGCTGAAAAAGGAGTATGAACGAAGCGAAGCAACGTGAGAGTCAATCGCGGTGATGACGACCGCTGAAACAGCACCGCGTGGCCGACGTGGCTGCTACACATCTTGCTGACCAACGGCGGTATGGAGGAGCGACTCGCTTTAATCACGTCAGATCACGATACCGGATAGTGCAAGTATTCGAGACAGACGATGCTCGAGGAGGCAGGAGGACGCTGTAATAATAAGAACAGAGTGTCGTGATCGCAGGCATGGCAGGATTGTACACCGTCACCAGTGACCACATTTGGAGGGGCCGCGTATGCGTCGGTCACAAGACCCACTTGTGTGAATTAAATACCAAAGCTCGGACACTTTGGCGACCGCTGCATTGCCAAGCATGGCGTGCTTGACTCGACCCTCCTGAGTCCTGAGTCCTGAGTCCTCGGTGTTGAAGAAGGCTGAAGCTGAAGGAGAGACGGGATGCTGGCATTCCCAAGCCAGAGAAGCTAGAGTATTCCTACAAGGTAGGTAAAAGCCACGACATCTTCAAGCTGAAAAGGTTGGGCTTATCATCATTGATTGGTATGTTCCCGTCGCAACCTTGAAAATACCTCGTCTTGACCTTGGCAGCTTGGCAGGTGGCAGGGCAGAAGCAGAAGGTGACCCGCTGAATTGGCTCAAGCTATAGAGTTTAGGCGTCGCACCTTTTGCCCCAGGTCAAAGGTGCAAGCCACACCATCTAGTTCTTAACTCTTAAGATTATACAGGCCCCACATGCAAGTGGTTGTTGTATGACAGTGCCAGGGCGGTGATGTCGGAGTCCGTAGGTTCCAACTTATAAGAATTATCGTGATGATGCCATCCGCAGGTACCATGTTGTGAGCATACCTGTACATAACTTACGGTGCGCGTTAGGAGAGGGGCCGCGAAGTGGTGTTCATGAACGACGGAGGATAAGATAGCAGACGTAGCGATAGATGGTATCCATTTGCAATCAAATCTGCCCCATGGATTAATAATAATTAAGCCACATGCACGGGTATGACCTACCATTTGGGGCTAGTGGCGATCTATGGTAATTTTCAGCCCAACAAGACCTAGATGCGCGCAGTTCTGACTCTCGCCAGCCAGCCAGCCAGCCACCGACGTGCACCATCGAAGGCCTGTAATACCGACGATGATACTCATATCATACCGAGGATGATGGTAAGGATGGCGATGGCGATGGAGATGAGGATGGGGATGTTTATCACGTTGTGCTTCGTGCCAAGGTCGCCGCCAAGCTCTCATATCAAACCGCCCCATCATAACCTCGTAAACCATCCATGCAGTCGAACAGGCAGCAGGCATGCCGACATGCAGACAGCAGATGGCAGAGGCGGACAGGCTGATAGGTTCTATGCCAATGACTATAAACCACGAACCTACATTCATGGCTGTTCTTCCTTATGACCTCATCTTACGAGGTGAGGTGGAGGTACGATCCGGACAATAACTAATAAGGTAGGTATAAGTCCCATCTCTAGACTTGATGTTAAACCCCGGATCGGTACTGCCAGCGATTAGTTCTGCATTCGTTGTTCCTGATTGGAGTGTCTTACAATTCATGTAAGGATGTACTTTTACTAGTGCCAAGTTGGTTCGCGGGTTCTTGGCGCCCCGGTTGTGGATATCAAACGCAGGTTTATCCACCTTATGAACTTCATCTATCGGGCATTCGGGGTAAATATAGAAAATGCGACATAATCTCTATCATACGACGACACGACCAAAATGGGATCTTTATACTGGTCCCAAGAGTCCGGCAAGCTGGCAGGCAACCTCTTGGAATGGAGAATTGCTTCTGTTCTGCTGTCTGCCACAGACTGACACTCATCAGTAGTGCCAAGCGTCACTCGCCACCCCCAACTTCGGCCTCACCCCCCCAGCGCCCCCCCAAGTTCCCCTTCTCGGTTAGGTAAGGTGGACACCGCCCAGACTGCCCAATTCCAACCCACCAGGGCCACCACTGCCAGGGCCACCACCAAACCCACTCCCCCTTCATGCCCGATGCCCCGATGCCCACCCCTTATAACCGTTCCCGGTCCGGGTGATTTCGTATTATTTTCTCAGATCAGGTATATCTAAAGTATATTCCGGATCCTATGCCTCACCCCCTCCTCCTCGTCGCCCTCCCCCTTCCTGCCTTTGGACCTTCTTGCCATCCTGTTTCCTTCCCTCGTTAATTCAGTCGACTGTCGTCTTCCAATTGTTTGACTGCACCACAGCTTGGCTTCCGACTCCGACTCCGACCTATCGGGCTGGCTTCAGATGTCATAACCTACTGCTTCAGTTAGTCCCATCTGATACTTCTACGGACAAAGCTCACAGCTGCTCGCCGTCACTGTCACCGACAAGACCACCGACACGACCACCGTTCTCTTCCGGTCTCGCATACGTCTCCGTTAACGCATATAATATACCTCCCCCGGCCATTGCCTTGTCCCAGCTTGCATTCTCCAGTCTCCAGTCTCCCGCCTTTGGCCCCTCGTGTTACGACCCTGGGCGCGCAACACAAACTGGACCTCTCCATTCTCTCCACCTTGTGATCTACCAGCCCGAGACTTGTCCGTCGCGACACAATCGGCGGATGACCTGATCTAATAAGACATTGTTTGCTTGCCGCATCGTTCCTCAATCTACCATCTGTACCGCCTCGGGTTCTGGCCACTCCGCCGACAGTCACACCAATTCCCCGACCCTCCCAAGAGGAATGACATAGCGACGTTCGACCTGCACAGCTTCTTTTACGGTTCTCTTCCCCTGGGGGTAGCACAACACCATGGCGATTGGCAAGGAGGGAAACGTGAAATGGGTCGATGTGAGTGAAGCGCATTGCGAGTATCTCTTTGGACACGATCACAACAATCGGGCGTGGGTGTGGGCATGGAAAGCTAGGAGTCGCACCCTGTCTAACAGCGAGTTCGCCACCGGACCGCTGTTTGGGGATTTCGGACATCGAATGCGCTATGGAGTTTGTAGCGCGACGACGACTCCTCGATAAAAAGGCTACCCTCCAGTTGGTAGACGCTTGACAAACCTTCGCCAAACCACATCCAATAGCGAGCCAGGTAGCCTCTGCTTTGGGCCTGTCCATCGTTCATTGAATACGGCAGTGGCGCAACGCCCCGAACTCTGGTAGTTCTAGCTCGGGAGAGGAACGACATGGAAATAGGAACCTCCACTGCCGCCCAGCTCACCCAGTTCCTAGCATCAGACGCCGTCCACGTTGTTCTCTTGCCTTGACTTTCTCGACTAGAAGCTAATCGCCCTCTACTCTAGGGCCTCCGCGGTCTCGCATCCACCCTTGTTGTTCTCACTCATATCGCGCGAGCTTTCGACGGAGATCTCTTCCTCCCAGTCTCCGCTGAAGGCACGAGCCCTCGCCTGCTCCAGTTGCCCTTCCTACGAATCCTCGTTCAGGGTCGTATCGGTGTCACCATCTTCTCCTTCGTTACCGGTTACGTCTGCGCCCTCAAGCCCATCAAGTTGTACCGACAGAACAACCAAGATGCCGCCTTTACATCCATTGCGAAATCCGCCCTCCGCCGTGTTCCTCGACTCGTTATCCCCTGCGCCTTCGCTACATTCATCAGCTGGATCATGGCAGAGCTGGGAATGTTCCTTATTGGCAAGCGGAGTGACTGCTGGTGGTGTGGCATGACGGCTCCGGATCAGGTGCCGAACATTTTCGTCGCATTCAAGAGCTTGATCTTCAACATTATAAATACGTGGACAAAAGGTGCCAATGCGTACGATGGCAATCAGTGGACGCTTTTGCCGCTGCTGAGAGGTAGCATGCAAGTATACACGTTCATCATCGCGACCTCTTACATACAGCCGCGCTACAGAATGATTGCGAGCATGATGATGTACTTTTACTTCTACATCGGAGGTGACTGTAAGTTTATCCCCTCTGGTGCTGCGACCTACTTCAAGCCGCAATTGCGTGCTCCAAGCGTTGGAGGCTGGGAAAATCACGGCTAACGAAGCATCAGCGGCCTTTGGAATGCAGTTTTTCTGGGGAGTCTTCCTCTGTGACGTGCAGAACACGCCCGCGGCTACCGAGTGGCTAACGAACCGACCGAAAACCTCCCGTCTGTTGGCCATCATTTTCCTTACTCTTGGTCTCTACGTTGCGTCGTACCCAGAAGGACATGCCGAATGGGCGACTTGGTCACACCAGATGTTCAAAGTCCTCGTCAGAATTACGCCTTCAAATCCCGACTTCCCTCGCTATGCGTCTGGTATCGGTCTGCAACTCATCACGCTGGGTCTGCATTTCAGCCCTGGACTGCGCGACTTCTTGTCAAGCAAGTACCTACTCTGGCTGGGCAAGCAGTCTTTTGCTGTCTACCTACTCCACGGCCCGCTTCTTCGCAGCGTGCTCTGCTGGATGGTCTACGGCATTCACCTGCCCCCGGACATCAGCAACGAGAATGGTGACACCATCCAGGGAAAGCTCGTCTTCCCCAACGGCTGGAGACTCATGCTATCTCTTCCATTCTGGATCCCCCTCAACTACGGCGTTGCAATGCTCTGGACTGGATACGTCGACCCGTGGTGTGCCAACCTGACGGAGAAGATCGTGAGCTACGTCAACCTGGACCGTGATGAGAAGGGCATCCTCCTGCCACAGTAGGGCTGTGGTGCTGAGGAGCGCCCCGACAAGCGCATCGACACCTAAGCCGTCTATGGACACCTAAGTCGTCTATTGAGGCAACTGCGCGAGGCATTGCTTGGCATTGCGGTGGCATTTTATAGACAATTACTAGGCCCCCTCGTCAACATGGTGTGGTACCAATCGAGTTGGTCACTGCCAGGACGTCGGAGTCCGAACGCTACGACGCCATGGCCTCTCCTGGACGTGGCGCACACACTAATCAAAACTCCGCATTTTTACGCTTCTGACTATGGGTTGCTCCGTCTTTGAGACGGCATGGCGTTACTGGTTTGGAGTAGTTCGGCTCATTGCCCTGGGAATCGCATTGGGAATGGAAGCATTGAAAGAAAGCATTTCGCGACACCAAGAAACAACACTTGGTATAGCTCCGAGTCTAGTAGGACCCGAAGAGCCCTAATACTACACTTGTACATAGGTGGTGGTTGCATCAATGTTGCATCGAGGTTTGGAGAGGGACATGACGTCCCGATCTGGCTGACGGAGGATGATACCCAAAGGTGAGGGCGCGCGTGCCCATGGCCTTGTCAGAGGAGGAAAGGCGAGATCTGCGCGAGTAGAACGACGGCGTCGAGAATCCAGAAGAGACCAACTAAATCCCATGACATGATGAATGTCTTTGTGTCTATCATACATCCCTGTCGGTCCTGTCCGAGTGACTCTTCCCCTTTTATCCTAGCCAAGCCCATCTCGGATACCATTCGGCGCGGACGACGTAATGAGTCCCCTCCTCATCCGCCCTGTATCTACCAAACTTACCCTACGGAACCTACGGACTCTCCGCTCTATTGCACCCCTACCTTCCTGGGCATGTACGCAGAGACGGGGTCAGTAGGTAGGCTCGCAACACCCACACCAGTCAGTCACACTCAGCTAAGGTAACGTACTCACTCAGTTGATAGTTCAAGGGATGCTGCAACCATCTATTCATCTCTCAGTTTTTATTTCGAATCTTATCGGTTTCGACAGAAGCAGACAGTCGGGTTTCACGCACGCCGATGCTGCTGCGATGCGATGCGATGCGATGCGGGCTGAGGTCATGCACATATAAGCGAGATATCTGCCAGATGCGGTGGCTGGCTGGTTCGGTCTGCGTGGAAGGTGAGTGGGGTGAGTGGAAGGTGAGTGAGTGAGTGAGTGAGTGAGTGAGTGAGTGAGTGAGTGAGTGAGTGAGTGAGTGAGTGAGTGCTGTGTCTATTCATAGAAGCGAGCGAGCACGCATTTGGTGGCACCTCGCCTCGCCTACACCCTCTCAAAGGTTATTATTACTACTAAGAAGGTCGTATGCGCATCGACGCGTGTAACGGTAACCGAACCGCATGATGACGGGGGAAGAAGGCGTTTGCCGATCCCTGGGCGTGTGAGGTGAGGTGAGATGTAACCCCGATGCTGGGGCGAAAGTAAGATTCCAGGGTACGTAGGATTCTGGGCTTCTTAGTCGAGCTTCTTGGGCATCTGGACTAGACTGGATTTTGTCTCTTCTTATGTTTGGGTACTTACTACCTTACGTCCTCGCTGTTTGCTGGGCCCATCGAGGTTGCAGATGTCTTGATATTTGCTTAGGGTGTATGTAGATTCTCACTTTTCTCCCCAAGCTGCTCTGTTCCTGCAATCTGCTTTTGCCACAGGAAGCGGAGGCGGACAAGCTAGGTCGGCAGGCAGCGGTCCGCTGCTGGTTTGGCTTGCGTTGGTAGGGCTGGTAAGGTCACGTAAGGCCAGGAGAGGCGGGCTGGTGGTGCAGAAGGCGTCCTTGCGCAGCTTGGCGATGCTATCAGGCGGATGTCGATCTCGCCAGCGCCCTCAGTCGGTCACTTGACTTCCGCGCATGCCGGCTAAAGTCCCTAAAGGCTGAGCGCCGAGCGTTCGGTCCTGGTGGGGACGGATGCGGTTCAATGTTTGCTTACGCCTTGGCAGACGCCACCTGCACCGGCCATTCGTGGACATTCGACATTCCACTGGCGGGCTTCTAGAACGATGTGAGCTGTTGCTGTTGGTGGTCTGGATAGGTTGGTTGTTGGTAGAGTGTGGCAGTCTTGGCTTGCTGGGTCTGGCAGGTACGGTTGGCCTGGCTGGGCTGAAGAGGCGGTCATAGGTACAGCCCACAGCAGCATTTTCGGAATGCGAGACGTCAGTTGCGGTGCACCTCCGTCCGCATATGGGTCCGAGTCGACTGCTGGAGTGAGGGAGCATCGAGAGTGGCCGGCTGACTGCTATATGCGCTCGGCTTGGGGTTCCGTTCGCATGGCAAGGCACCAGAAGGAGTCTCTGCTATACTACCCCTGCCGGCACGGAAACGCCAGGAAAGGGGTTGGGTCTCGGACCGGCTGCTTCCCGCTCGCATGCCCGTCCTCTAATCCGGCTTCGTGGGACGGGTCGAGACACGGTCATCGGGGTGGAGCGGGGCGGAGCGGAAACACCATCTGTCTCTTTCCTATTCCGCAACCTTGGGTTGTGGTGGCTTTGGTGATGAGCATATGAGCTTTGGAAAAGACAGTCGATGTAGCGAGCTCGCCCTTTCTGTGCGCTTCGCGTGGGGCAAGCGGCCTTTCAACACGGCCTCCGATTGCGTGCCCGTGTGGCCGACTGGATCATGCGTCCAGCAGCGGTATTCACTTCACGTTCCTCTATTGAGTGATACGGTCGTCGGAGGAGTATGAGGCAGATCGTAGGTGGAACGGTTCACGTTGGTGGAGGTCGGGTACAACATGTGGAACTACCCCTGGGTAGAAACTCCTCGTCGGTGAGCCGTCGTCGCTCAGTATGGGGACTATCCGGCGAGGGGTGCCGTGTAAATGCTCATATTGGGACTGTCATGCTTATCGGCGCCAATAGCCCGATGGCGGAGTCCCGTCCACAATACGGTACCCCTTCCCGGGCCTTTCCGGGGTTTCCGGGCTCAAGCATCGCAGTCTTTGGTTTTGGTTTTCCTGTAGGACTGGTTTGACTTGATCCCTTTCGCTTTGTCGACTAGCCCGGGTCGAAGGAGACGAATGAGGAAGTGAGCCGGTGCTGCTGCTGGTTGAGCTGTGAACACTTGCGAAGCATAACTAGGCTCACTCGTCTCCTTGCTAATTATACTCAGCCCTCATAAGTCTCCGCACGCTCATGTTGATAACATTCCAGATTACCCATGGGGGGAAAAAAATGACTGGCATAAGCAGACAGGAACAAGCAGCTCTAGCGTTATAAGCTCCTTTTGATGCTGATCCCAGTGTACTTATTCCAATCACAGTGAATATACCGTTGTTTTCTGGATGGGTGGTGTACGGAGACTTATGAGGGTTCAGTGTACTTTTATACAAGCTTTGGGACGTAGTTATGACCCAACGTCGTTGCATGGAGCCCTCCGATGCCGCAACGTCAGTAAGCAGATTCAAGTGTGTATTTTAAGAGCGCGGAGCCCGTGAGCTGGAGTGATGCCCCTATCCATGTCCAGGCGGATTCACGACCCCCAACCGACTCCGCTTCCCATCAGGAAACGACACCCCGTGCACTGGATGGACCAAGTATCCGGGCTCCAGCAGATCAACTGAACGCTCGCCCGCCCAGTCGTACAGCCGATCAAAATCAACGCACTGGTGGGGCTGGCTGTTGTTCAGCGAGGGCACCCGGTCGTACTCGACCCAATAGTAGCTCCTGACGCTCGTGTCGGCGTGGCACATGACGCTCTGCCGGAGCTGGTTGATGCAGTGCACTGTTGGGGACGCGGCAGTGTCAGCTGGGGGGGGGGGGGGGGGGGGGGGGTTCGCTAGGTACTTGCCGCCACCGGAAAGAAGGGAATCGATATGGCGGAGTAGATCAGGGAATTAGGGGGTGCTGCCTCATTATTATGCTGCATGTTTAATGCCCGCTGCTCCTCGTTAAAGTCCGGGAAGTAGTAATCCTGGAACATGTACTGGTGGAACCTCTTCAGGCAATGCAAGTCACGGAACACAGAGCAGCCAGGCGTAGCCCCCGTCGGAGAGCTCGACGTTGGGCTCGCCGCCGCGGTCCAGCTGGGAGAGGTCTTCCTCTGCGATGCGGATGTTGCTATACTGCAGAAGGGAGTCCCAGGCTGCGTCAAGCTCGGGGCTTGGTTGGCCGATCAGGGGGCCGCTCGCTGCTTCTGTTTGGTACTTCTGCGGCTTGTATGAGAGTGCTGCGTTGGCGGGAGCTGTTGCAATAGTGAACGGGTTAGATAAGGAGGGTCTGGGTGGTGCGGATGCTGGGGTGCGGACGGACATGGCGGTAGCCATTCAGGCCTGTTCTCTCCATACCCGAATGCATGGGAATCTCTGACAGCCCAGAGGATTACCATGCTGAAGACAGAGAACACCCCAATGTGCAGTACGAGGAACAGGGCGTGAAGCTTCAATATCCTGGTTGTGGGCGAGCCGGTTCGAGATCCCGTGTCTTCCCCAATATCATCGTCGAAATCTAAATGACTGGCATTGTCCTCATACTTGCCATCAGTCGTTGAGGGAAGCAGAAGCTTGCGATGTTCCATGTTCAGAATATAATGATGAGCTTCGCGAAGAAGAGAGAGAATGAATGCGAAAGTTCAGGTCTTTACATGAATGCAACTCAAGGCATATATATCATGTAACACCATCACAGACGTATCACCCGTATTATTCGTATCATTCATCCGGTATGCACACCCGACTCCATCGTGGACGTCCAACTTCATATTGCGCCAAGACACACTGACTAACACCACGTTACGTTACACACGCCAAACCCGTCAAAGGCGGTCTCGCCATCGGACCATGTGGTTTTCGCGCAGTGAACATCTGGCCATGAACAGACCTGGGTCCCGCCGGATAAGCAGCACAGGTGCCAAATGCGACACCGGACACGACCCCTACTGCAGGTAAGCGGCGAGGTAAGCCGCCTGCATATTGACGATGAGTCAGAAATGGACGCCCAGGAATTGCATACCCTGTTTTTCTCACGATACCCTCTCACTATGCCTTGGAATGTAATAGTCGACACTGAAATGCTGCGTTTGCCAAGGGATGACCGGCGTCTCCGACTGGGAGGATATTGATGAAATTGTGACCCTTCACCGCAAGATCACACTAACGTTCATCAAAAAGACGCAAGATGATCGAGGGCTACCACTTTGAGGAGAGGTCAGGGAAGAGAATTTTCGTTCGCTCACTCATTCCGGGAAGCCATGCAACATCGGCAATGGAAGCTTGGTGGACGTCGACCAAGGGCTCCATCCTCAATATCGCACCAGGATGTTGCTCTTATAAAGAGCCAGGTTATCCCTCGAACCAGTGGCCATATCTTCGAAAGTACCATCATCAGCATCACACAGCAGGCCGACAGATACCATATACCCATATCAAAACAATCAATCACCAAAATCATCTCCCCCCAGCCAAACCAACCCAACACCAACCTTCCACCAGTAGCCATGGCCGCCTCCACGAAGATCGTCTCCCTCCTCGCCAGCACGGGCTTCGCCGCTCCTCTCGTAAGCATTGCATTCCTACCTGCATCCCAAACACAAATTTCAACTAACCGATCCTTCAGACCGAGCGTCACTTCGGACACCACGAAGCGTGAGGAGACGAGCGAGGAGTGAGTTGGGTGATGGCACTTGTGCCTATTACTGGGGAGACAGACGTCTTGGGACAGTTGAACACAAAGCATTGGAAAGAGGCGAGATATCTAGAAAGTCAAGGCTGGTAGATTGGTTGCTCCCGCGTAGGAAAATAGAGTGGATTAATTCATCGCTCAACTATTCAACTTTACAGCGCCGTGACTGTGGACATTCCTACCACAAGACCGTAAATCGCTGTTCCACGTCTTTTTATCACTATTCAAGAGTTGTCACCTGTTGTTTAATCCTTGATAGTTATCCCAGTTAAGAAAACTTACACTGTGTTTTATATGCGATTTATTTTTTGAAACAATGATTATACTAAAACAACGGCTCACAAAGTCCCTTCCCCTTTTGCCTAAACACTCCGTAACGCTCACCAGACTTACCTATCTAAACGCCCTATGGTATTTACCATACTTACTTTCGTGGGTGATGCGGCGTCCCGCCTAGAGTCGAACATCTACATTGCATTCCGAGCCCCAGGAAGTACTGTCGGCCGTAGTTCACAAACACTTGCTTGTTGCCGGCGATCCGCTTCTTAGCATTGAAGAGGATGACGACCTGACCACCGAGTACCTGAGTCGTCGCGTCGACGTTAGCGCGACAATGGCTATTGACAAATCTTGTCCAGTTGCCAGTCTTCTCTGCGTCGACATCGGCGAGGTCCCCAGACGCCAGGCTGTAATTGTAGCGGCTCTCCGTGGGCATGTATGGTGGCATTAACTCGCCCATGTATACCTTTAACATGTCATCCTTTTTTGGTGGCTTCCGAGGCTGGGTGAATATTCCGTAGCCGAAGGCAGGGTCGCGACGGATCTCGACGCGACTGGTCACTTCGCGCGCCACCATGCGGCGGAAGGCCAGGCGACAGGGCTCACCAGCGCAGTTGTCATCGCCCATGAAGCCGCCGCATTGGATGCAGTCCATCTCTTCGATCATTGCCCGAACCGAGGCGCTGCCGTTCACGCCGACGACATCGTCTGGGTCCTTGGGGCTTGGTCGGACGACGGCTCCCTTGGCTCCCTTTTTAGCTCCCATTTTGTCTACCTTGGCTCCCTTGGCTCTCTTATTGGCACGTGCTACTCAACGAGCCTCAGCCCGCCACAGTTCAGGATCAAGTATGTACTCATCTATGTCTCGCGGGTCTGGGGTTTCTCCAGTCCCTTCTTACCGTATGCCTGGTCGTGCGGTTCAAGTTCCAGGCGCTAAACCAACGAGGGCGAGTGCGGGGAGGCATTTTCGGTTGATATATATCTTGTGCTGAGATTTGTTGGAGACTCACAATGTTTGCTTTCCTTCGGAAGGATGAATTGGGTGATGTGAAGATTGCTTTCTGCGAGTCTGCACACCAATTTCAGCTGGGTTGTCTGGTTGAATACATTCATAATAGATAGATGCCCGGTATGCATGGACTATATAGAGCTTTGCTTCTTTGTGCCCTATGGCGTCTGGTGGATGTACATGCACATTGCTCGAGTAGTATGTAACTCCACAGAGGCATTGTCTCGCAACAAAAACCAAATAGACGATCAATGGCGCTGTCAACAGATAAAGAAGACCCTTGTGATATTTGAATCAGTCACGATTAACAATTTGAATAAACAAAGATACCTTTGTCAAAGCTGGGCCACGCGAAAGTGTTTCTATGTGACAAGTTAGACTTTTCCTACTGCCTTCTACTTTCAAGGGCAATCAATCTTTGCAGTCGACAATACGAAAGAGTGGAATACGGTGACATATATTTCGAAATGACGACCCTTGACGCTTTCCGTGCAGGCTTCTGTTAAAGCCTCAAGGGCAGCTGAGAGACCAGTGGATTTAAAGGGTGGCTGTGCCCCTGACTGGAGAGGTGTAGGCCATTGCCAGGTTTCGACCACAGTGTAGATTTACTGTCTTGTGATTCTTTCTAGATTTCGAGCGGAGCTGAGGCCGGGGTGAAGTCTGGTAGCGAGGATAGTTGACCACCGGGCGATAAGACCGCCACCCAATATCGGGTCCATAATCCGACCCAGACCCAGGATCCGGGTACAGTACCCAGCTCCCAGGTTCAGGTATACGTTCAGGTTGAGGAGACGAGCCTCCGATTGCCTTTTGCCAGTCTTCTGGAAAGGTCATCTCACACCGATCGCAAACAGTTGCTCAGCCTCGCCCTCACCGAGTCACCGAGTCACCGCCCTCGCCCTCGTACATGAATGCGGGTGCGCGGCGGTCTAGATTCGCGATTGCGTGCCGGGACATCTCCAGCTGCCGCAGCAGCGGATTCAAGGTCATTGGAACCCCTGCCTCCGCATCTCATTCCAGGCACGATCAGACGCGGCTTGCGTCCGCGACCCAGCTGTCGCAGCTCAGTACCCACGATCATGGGAGCTTGATGCACACACCCGCCCCCACCCCCCACCCACTTCCCGTTGACAGACCGACAGGGCAAAGAAAGTGGAGCGAAGGCTACGGAGTCGAGTGGATGGGCTGGGGAACGAGACGCTCATGAAACATTTTGTCAACTGTTCACCGAGGTCCAACGGATCGGAGCAATCATTCGGGTTCCAGAAGCCGCTGCAAGTCTGCGAGTGGGTGGTCAGCATCCCAAGCCTGATAAAAGCTACAGGAGCTACATCGTCAGCTGTGTACGAAGCATGGTGTTGACGAGCTATCAATAGTATCTTATCCCGGAATGCTCGTGTTCTTGTGAGTCTCTTTCGGGGACTGAACATGCCGCCCCCGATGCACCCGAAACTACCACCTACGGAAACTTCCATTAATATCGGAGCTCTAATACGGCAACCCGCTATGCCTAACAGGGCCTCTCCAGATATGTGGCTGGTCGAGAATCACGTTCACCCATGCTCGCCTGATAGAGGAACTATGCGGTAGACCTGCTTCTACCCCCAAGGATGACATCAGTAACAACAGCCACTTAGTGAGTATACACGTTCGTCATTACTGAGATATCTCACCTATCCAAGGGACTTTTGGACTTTTGTGTAGTTATGAGTAAATGCACATAAGCAGCCGGGGCCCTGGTATGCCAGAGGCGTTGATAAGCTGAACCTGTCAAACCTGATTTCCGGTACCTTACGTGGCCGAGCGCAAAAGTGCAATCAATGCTACATAAGTTACGATGACTCGGAAGGCCCTGCCAGACCAGATTAAGGGCTTGATGATACTTAGATAGGGGCTCAGCGTCGTACTGAATGTGCAGTCAGGCGTGAGTCTAGTTTCCCAGGGAGTTGCGAATCATCACCCGCCAGGCGAAGCGAAGTCCTACATGGTCACCCAAGGCGTTCAGCGGCCCGAGCTTACGAGTCCCGAAGTACCGGATCTTTCTTTGTCCGTGTTATTACGACGCTGATATAGGTCTGCTGATAATGAATTCCCGAGGAGCCACCAGATTGCTGATCCTTCCATGTACGGTTATGCCGTCTTGTCCCAATGGTCTGGTTCCCCCCCCCAGGAATGCGAAGGTGACATCTGCACAGTAGCAACGCCACTATCACACGCAGCTTCGACTTCACACCATCACGAGACTGCGTCCATGGCTGGCTGCCCAGGCTGCCCAGACTGACTATGAGCGCCATATGACGAACCCAGATAATAATACTGCTCCAAATGGCGCATATACCAAAGAAGAGCTATTGCCCTTTCGGGGAGGCATAGTCGATCTATATTGCGTTAGATGCCCCATTGGCTGGCTGCAGTCTTCGGCAAACAAGCCAACACGCATGACATATTCTGATATGCGCCTCGACATGTCTGGTTCTGCGCATATGGTTGGCGGCGTCTGGGAGCCGTGGTGGTTTCTATCATTTATGACAGAAGTTGGTGTGACCCTGTAAGCCCGGCATCATCGTCGATCCAACAGGCCCGGCCCCGACCCGTCACCAACGAACAGAGTGAATACGGGTCAAACGACCAACACGCACCCCGATTTTATGCAACTACCCGCGGATAGTCGGTCACTGGCTTGGCGATACGCCGTGCGTACAGGTCGACCCTTGAAATAATGTACCGAGGGAGCCGGGGGCCCGTCACTGACAGGGCATTGACAGACATCTAAAGAGTCCAGCTCACGATGACCTATCGGTCCGTACCGGCCCAAAATGGGGTTGATCGAGGAGTACCGTAGGCGAAGGCCACATTGATGATCGATACTAGTGCTGCGGCCAAGACGGCTCGTGGGTGACCCTTATTACTCGCTCGTTTCGGGACTCAGCTGTACCTTTGGTGTTTGTCCCATGTCCCATGCACAGACTTCGACCCCTTGCACCGTGCTGCGCAGCAGGCTTGGAGCTTTCCGTTCAGCTTTCCACCTCTGACAATCGTCTGGGCGGACCCTCTTCGGCCCATGTCATCACCCCCATGTCGAGGACAGATAAGCCCGCTATCAGTGACGCGTAGACACCACGGGGGATATCACGAGCATGTATGTAGCTGGTAAACGACCTGAAACTCAATGACGGCCACACAGAGGCCTTCCCGACTGTCCCGAGAAAGGCATCGGCTATTCGTAGGGGACGTGGTGGTGGGTTGGGAACCGACCGCCCGGCACCGCCTCCCCTGTATACAGGGCTCCGGCTGCCATTATCGTTCGTACCCTTTACAAACGGTTTGTAAAGGATGTCCAGCCCGGCGTCTGAGCTAAATAGCCACCCCCAACGGCATGAATCTCTCCTTTCACGCCATGCTGACGATAGCGCGCCTCTGGACAAGCTACTGGCTATATCTGACACCAGCCCCCATAGGAGCAAGGGTAGCCAGACGGTACTCATACGTGGTCGACGTCGAGAGACGAGGGGTAGCCATCTGCAGCCAGCCCTCTTCGGGCTCATTCAGCCCAACATTGACGTCGTCGCAAACGGTGACCACCAACTGCTCACCGATATTCGCTAGGATCTCATATGATTCTTTTCCGAAATCATGCTCCATCATCAGCATTCGACCGGGGCTCTGGGTGATATTCGCTTCTCTGCGGGCTAGCCGCGGGTTCCAGCATTCGGCTTCAATATCTCACATATTCGGAGGGATATCATGACTCCAATCTTACAGATGAGCAAGTTGCCCCCCCGGACAAGCCTGCTTAACAATGTTATGCCAAGAAGCCTTCCCACCTCCAACACTTTAGACCGACCAGATTAAAGCTTCCCTCCCCACCTTACAAGTCAGCCCTTACCATCTATCTTATATACCAGACAGCCTTCTCACCTTGATCACCTCGAACTCCGGTGGCAAACCTATGCCAAAGATGCACACCGGACGTTCACAGTCCTGCGGCCATACTGTGCCGAAACGACGCCGTTACCAACAGAATCGAATAAGCAAACCTTCAGTGCCCTCTCTCAAGACTCGCACATCTTCGACCCCCCTCTACCGATCCTTACCAGTGATGGCATTGGAGGATTGCTCGTGTTGTCAGGAGCCCCTATCGGTTTGGAATCAGAATGCCCCTCGCGTTTACATCTGTGTGGTCCTCTGCTTCCCATGTGATGATCGACGGCGGGATGATGCGACCCACCACATCGAGCTCGCGCTCAAGCGTCTGGCGAAGGAACGGCCCGTCTTCGCTGGCCGTCTCCAAGCCAGCAGCTCTGGCCGAGTCACCCTGCGGAGATCACTGCTCTACGACATTCCTTTTCAAGTTACGCCCTCAGATGGAGGATGTGAACGCGACTATCAGCAGATGGAAAAGGACGGGTTCCCACCAGCCCAGTTCATCTCCTCCCGGTTTGGCCTATCTGGGAGCGTTGGCTCCAGCTGCGAGTCTGTACCTGTGTCCAGAGTGCAGATCGAATTCGCCCAAGGCGGCTTACTTCTGTCGATCTACCTTCACCACGGGCTCGTCGACGGGGGTTCACTACGAATTTTCCTGGAAACCTTCGCGGCACAGACTCGGAATTGTCCGAGTAACCTACCTTGCGAACAGGAGTTCCGCGTCGGCATTCCCAGAAACCACAAGCTTCCCGTTTCCAAGCAGGACGTCTCGATATTCAAGAGATTGGTGGCCAAATGCCCAGAGTACACGATCCTACCGGATTACAGCGGTCCCACACAGCCGCGGCTTCTCAAGACGGGGCTCTCTATGGCGAACATCGAGAGGACGGGCAGGATCTTCGTCTTCAGCAACGAGCGACTCCAGGAACTCCGGGCCATGATCAGATCACTGAACGGCTCATCGGAAGTCCCGTCGGCATACACGAGCTTGGCGGCGTTGGCCTTCGCACACATCACCAAGGCCCGGATCAAGGTCGAGAAGTACCTCGGGGGAGTCGAGCCCAGCCAAACGGCAATGCTATGGAACTCGGTCAACTGGCGGACGAGGGCCTTCCAAGAGGCTACGGAGAACTACTTTGGCAACGCGGCACTGCCGGCGGTGACCAAGGTGCCGAAAGCACAGCTCGTGACCGCCTGCTACGACGACCACGCGCTGGCGCGCCTCGTGCCCGCGGTGAAAGCGTCGATCGACGCCGTAGACCAAGAATACGTCAGTCGGCGGCTGGCCATGCTGTCGCAGGTGCCCGACCCGCGTCTTATAGGCGTCAACTACGACCCGCGCATGGCCGAGGTGCTGGCGCTGAACACGTGGCGCCACTTCGGCGCAGACGTCGAGTGGAGTACCCCAGGCGTCGCTGCGTCGAAGCCCGACGCCATCAGGCGGGCCCACGGCGGCTGGAACCTGGGCACGGCGCTGATCCTGCCGGCGCGTGCGGATGCGCCCTCACAGGAGCTGTTCGTCAGCCTGTCAGTCGACGCCATAGCGCTGCTGTGCGCGGACGAGGGCTGGATGCGGTGGGTGGATAGGGTCATTGGGTGACGGAGCGGAATAACGGAAGGACGGACTGACGGATGGCCGAGCAGTACACACACAGTATACCCACCCCCAAATAGGGGGGCCACGGCGGCAGCCAGCCAGCCAGTAATGAGCAATAGGCAGATAATGTGCAATGAAAGAGCCGCGGATCTCTAATCTTCCGATATAACTATCTAAATCATTGACCCCTGCGCCCCGGGCTGCCCGGCTACCTCCCCATCTCCCGCCCCCGTGTCGATCCTCTGATCTGTGTTCCTCATTTCTTTTTCCTATTGACGAGGCCCGCCCCCACCCTCCCGTGACCCTGTAGCCACTGCTGCAATGTACGATCGTGATATCGAATCTGAAGACGATTCGTCAGTGGGGGGCGTTTGCTTCTTTTCTTTTTCTGTTTCCGGGTGTCCCGGACTCCCGCGGTATACGTGTGGGGTCATCCATCCCCTATTCTATCACCATGCCTATCCCACTATAGCGCAAGCCATAGGGGCGCCCTGCGCCCCCATTTCTTCTTCTCACGCGTTTCGAACTTGAAGAAAAGACCCGGCAGCAGGCGCCAATGCAAGATGCGCACGCCCCCGTTCACAAGCCTCCGGCCCCAGGCTTCCGCCATCCGGTTGAACGGCGGGTCCTCGGGATCCCACATCCGCCCGGCCACGTACCGGTACTGGTATTGCCATCAGGTCGAGGGCCTGTCGGGGAGAAAAGAAAAGGCACAACGTCATATCATTTGTCTCTTCGTCATGATGCTACTGCTGGCGCACGCGTTTATGCATAGCGGCTCGGGCCGGAGCCGGACCTCTCGCGCTCCTTTGCTGGTGTCCCAGCCTACCCAGCAGTAAGACAACTTGGTCTGCTCTGCTGTAAAACCCACTAGTGTACTGTGCGGCATTCTGTTGAGGCCTGGATAGGCAGGTGCTTGCTTGCTGGCCATCTCGCTTGGGACGTGGATGTGTTGGGATAGGCAAGTCGGCGTACGGGCTTATTCGTGACGGGCGAAATGTGGCTTTAAGGCGCGGATGACTGACTTGGACTTGCCAGGCTCGGTGAACAGTGGTGGGCGGGAGTGTAATATGGAATGAGGATCACCAAGGAGGCACTTCGGCCGGCGTTCATGTGATATGGGCTGCATCGCAAGCGCCTCAGCAGACGGATTCGCAACCAGGCGCACTCGCACCAGTTAGAGAAAACCACCCTATCAAGGACTCGTCAAGGTGAGGGAAATGGCTGCTTCGCTCGGGTCCATCACAGATCGGGAACCTGATAGTTTTTTCACAGCCCACCCCGGCGCCTGGTCACTTCGCAACGGTCAGTTGGGTGAACGGAACAACACACGAACTTATTTACTGAAACGCGACCGGATTGCATGGTGACAGTTGAATGTGGATTCTTGCTGTTGAACTTTGCGGCAACTTGAGCGAACAAAAAGGAGGATTATACTGCAAATTATTCGAATCAAACACCAAACTAATATCGCGTGCGGCCAAAGACAAAGACCCGACTAGTTGTTCTCGACCCGCATTGTTCATATTCACAATGGAGCGGCAGACTAATATTCCGACACAGAGCTTGATATTTTCCGGTTAGCGAGCTCTTTACATAACAGTCACAAGTTTCACTACACAGGTTATTCTGCCAGGCTTGTGTGTATTGTCTATCTTCTACCTTGTCTTCTTGATGAAGTGGGAGGTCTTGGTTAGCTCCTTCTTCCATACACCATTACCCCTGTTTTATCTCATTTATCTTATAGTCTCACTCTGTTCAGGCCACCCGTAGGGTCTGTCAGACGCAATGTGATATATGCACGTCAAGTTCTTTCAGCATCCTAACGTCTCTTCGGGGGAGCACCACTCGCGCTCGAGTAGCTACCGCCAGAGCTGGAAGAGGAACCACCACTAGATGGAACCTTGACCTTCTCACCCTTGACCGGAGCAGGGGTCGAGAACCCGGGCCGGGGGGCAGGTGGTGGACCTAAAGAACAAGATCAACGATTCGAACAGACTAATATGTTACGCTGTGTGTAATGCACAAAGCGAGTGCCACAATACGCAACAAAGTCTTTCTGGTTTGCAGTTCAAGGAAGGGATTAGTTCAGCTTCGTAGTATAAACAGACAATAGTGATGTGTGCCATGAAATTTTGATCTACTAGGGTCGTTACGTCGAGGTCGCTTCGCAATCGCTTCGCAACAGCCTAAGTAACTTATCACATTGAGGAATCCCCCGAGAGTGGGAAGAACACATAAATTCTCGTAGCGATTCTCAGAACATGCCGGAGGTGTCGATTGGATCGTCGCCTCAGCTTCTTGCTGAGCAGCAATACGTGAACGACCAGACGACACTTTCATTTCAAGCCGTCCCCTAGTCTTGTCTCGAGCTCAGAATCCGGTACTAGACTCTCCTCTCTGCAGTTCAAGCGTGCACACACGTTTACAGGGGCTAATCGAAGCTCAGCAAGTTCCGGGACAACATTATAGTCTAGGAACCTGGCCCTTTGCCTGGGTAAACATGCGAGTTTAAGACCAATGCTTAATATTCATCAAAGTTACTCTATGAAAGGGGAACAATAGACCCCCAGTGAGTAACTTGCCCTAGGACATTGACTAGAGTATTGGAGGTAGGTGAGTGGTGCTCAACTCAATATAAAATTCTACCCGGCTGAGTCAATCTAAGTCGTCTGTCAGCGATGTGCTCGGGTTTCTCGGGTTCGACCGGGGCTACGCGACTAGAGGAACCGCTCGCAAATAACTTAAGAAACATATCTTAAAATTGCGGCTCTTTCGAGTATCTCCTAGTCATGTAGCCATACTTCACGACCATACTTGTCCTTCTTTGACAGGAGCATCAAGAGCCCACCGTGTCCAATGACAAAGGCCTTCTCAGCGCGATTCAGGCACCACAGCGGTGGTCTACGATCCTGATCCTTGCCTGCTCAACGGTGAATTCACACTAGCCATCGTGTCCTGCTTGATCCAATGCTCATTGTGTCGCTAGACGGCCGCGTACGTTGTCATCAGACTGGTATACAACATATGGTTCCATCCTCCAAGCAAGTATCCCTGGCCGTGGTGGCAAGCAGCGACCAGGCTTCCGTACACCATCTCCATCACTCGGGAACTGCGACTCGAAACACGAAGTGGGCCGGGAAGTAACGGTCATATCCTGCGGGTCACCCCTGACACTTTGTCTTATACATGCAGTCAGGTATGGCCAGGTAGGTTCATTCAGACGATGATACAACAGGCTCCCCATGTGCATCTGGTCGACGTGTTCATGTCGATATCTACGGGCTAAAGCAGTCGATGAGCGCTGTGACCTGCCCAACGACCCACGATACTACATCAAGGCGGATGGCAATTGCAATACCATCGTGAGTTTTGCAGCTTTCGGGGCGGGACTTGTCCTCCCTCTCGGACGAACCAAGTCTTAATTACCATGTCCCGTCAACAGCAAAGGATGCCGACGGTCGCCGGCTAAGGCGCATCCAGGCGCACGCCTCCTTCGAGAGAGCCCTGTCAAAGCAGTATGACTACTTGAAGAGCAGGGGAGGAGACTGGATAATGAGAAGTGTGATTTTCGTCTTTTGGTTGCCTCAAATTCAGGGGCGTTAGGTGAGTGGGCATCATACAGGTCTGGGAGCCTGAACATGTCGCATAAGCAGGATAAGCCTGTTGTTTCCGAGTCCCCTCTGCATTGGTTACACGACAGTGAGATGAATACAAATAAGTGGCCCCCATGTATCTTCAATACCACCCTGCGTCTCTGTCCATGGTTGGCGAAGTATGCAAAGACATCGTCCTGGGTCCTTACCCCCATGCCTAACGTAAGGGAGTATTTGGGTGACCCCTGTACGTGTTGGTTGACGCAGTTGGCGCATCGGGTCGGTTCGCTGCTGTGCAAGGGTGACAGATTCAGCCGCCTACTGACCGCCCGCCCTCTGCGTTCACACTTTCTCGACCATGGGTGCCCAATTGGACCTCGACGGTCTTTCGTTCTATTCCTAGTCGACTCTTTCTGCGTAATCTGATCAATCTCCCCAGTTCTTTGCCTATAGCCGACATCCGGAGGCAGTCTCGGCCAGTCGCACATGATGTTGATGCGCATTCTGGTTGTGGCGGTCGCGCTCCTTGTACCTTACTTGTACAGCAGGGTGAGGTATAAGCGACTGAGACAATTTGCCCGCTTTCCACAACTACCTCCCTCCAAAATCTTGGAACCTCCAGACCTTGGATGAATTCATCAAAGACGCGCCGCCCAAAGCCTACCCAGGTAGCGCAACATACTCCTAGCAATGTCATCCGTCTGAGCATCATCGCTGATTCAACTAGATGTGGCAATCGCAGCCATGTACAAGGCCTTGGGCCGTCCGCTCCTCATGCTTATAGATCTTTGTCCCATCAGCCTGCCTCTGGTCGTTATTAGAAGCTATGAGATCGCAGAACAGATCGTCAAGGCATCGAGCGGCTTCCCATACAGGCCCCCTAAGTCGCCCGAGACTTGGAGGCACTTGGAGCATCTGACTGGGCCTACTTCAATTGTATCTTCTCGGGTAAGGCATTACCTCTATGATTGATGCCAATTCTGACGCACTCAATTTCCTTAGGGCGAGGACTGGAAATCGCTTCGCAAACGCTTCAACCCCGGCTTTGCGCCTTAACATCTCCTGAAACTGCTCCCCTCCATCATTGACAAGGCCTTCCTCTTCCTTTATCACCTCGACAATGCCTCACGCTCCGGGGATGAGTTTTCGCTTTAAGATCTTTCCACGAAGCTGACATTCGACGTCATTGGGCGTGTGGTTCTCGATATTGATATGGTTAGTGGTCCCTGACTCACGTGGTAGATTTATGGTCCTAACTCAGAGCACTGTGCCCAGACTGATAACCCAACCTATCTCATGCGTGTCTTCCACGAGCTTATCCAAGCCTATGCCGACGAGCAGGTCCAACTGCCCTGGTGGTACACGCCACGGGTAGAATGGAAGCGCCATAATCTCGCGAAGCGAGCCAGAGGCACCCTCAAGTCCATCGTCCGTGAGAGATATGCAGAGCTCGGCCAGGCCGCCAAGTCCCGCAGCATTCTCTCCATGAGCCTCCACGGTATCGAAGAATTGAATGCTAAGACGGTCGACGTGACCTGCGATCATTTGAGTACTTTCCTTTTTGCTGGCCATGATACAACCAGTATCACACTGGCCTGGGCGTTCTATGAACTGTCGCACACATCCCATGCACTTCGAGCCGTTCGCGCCGAGTTGAATGAACTCTTTGGCCCAGAGGCTGCATCGGTCAAGAGCTCGCCACGATAGAGACACGCGTCGTACTCGCGTTAGCGGTGCGGCGTTATAACTTTACAAAGGTTGGCATTGGAGCAGCGTGGCCTGGTGAAGCCACCGGACAGCAACCCGAGGTAGGCGAGCACAGCCAATACAAGGTAGAGAAGGAGATGTATATGGTGAGTTCGCCCACGCGAGGCCTCTGTGACTGGGCTGGTAAGGTCCTCCAGGCTAACAAATATCAGAAGATGCAAGTGACTGCGAAGCCGGTCGACGGCATGATGATGAAGGTGAGGATCGTCACCTAGAACAGAAGTGAAGAGACGAAAGGAAGAAGAGGTCTGCAGTTATCTGGACCCCAATGCCCCATTGAAATTCGGGCAGAGTTCATAACAAATGAGTTGTTTTGGCGAAGTTAAACGAGGAGCGGTCGAACCTTTACTTGAAAGATATTGCTCGTGGCGTTTTTAGTTCTATGGGCTTGGTGTATAGCTTGAGGGAGTTGTTGTTTGGTGTGCCATTGGGGCGTTCATGTCTCTACACCCTTGCGGCCAGATAATTTGAGCACAGAATAAGTCATTGTACATTTACAACTTACTCATAAGCATACGGATTTCACTCGGCGCTCTACACCAACAGATCCATGCTTCAAGCCCTCCTCTTCTGTCTTCTTCCAACCCAAGAGACTTTACTGCACTGCAGTGTCGGCCTTCCTACCTGTAGTCTGCCACTGCAATCTCTATTCTGCATCACGGGCCCAAAAGGACCCTTTGGCCCACCAGTAACCCAACCACCGCCCTTCAGTGAGTTCCAGGCCGCGAAGCCTCTCAACCCCAAACTGACGCTCCCATCTTAACTTATAGGCCAGACACTGACTGTAACATCATCAAGCATGTGTAAAGTGCAGTTGATGCTGTGCGCGCACCACGGGCGGCGCATCCACGGCATGGAATTGCGTCGTTGCCAGCCGCTGGTCGACCGGGGCTACAACCTCCAATCCGGTGTCTACTGGGTCCAGAATTTGATTCTCTCGCAAGATGAAGGGTGCGAGGGCTTCACTTTCCCGGATCCCCCGACTATAACCCTGCGATGCCCGCCATTTCAGCCCGATACCGTCGACGACGTCCCATTCTCGTATGATACCGTCAACGACTGGTCCATGGAAAAGACGCAGTGGTAAGAGTGTGCCGCATCTGCTATTGGGTTTCTTTGAGATGGCTGCGAGGCGACTGTGGGTTTTTACGGTTCGGAGACGCGCTGGCGATTTGGGGCGAACCTTGCGGCTCGTGCCTGGCAATGGGAAGGACCGCCGGCCATAGATCATCGGACTACACTTGGAGGCTCATTGATATACTGGAGGGAGGGACAGGTGACTGTGTGACTGGGTGTCTGCAGCATTGGCATCTGCAGAGAGCATGTCTCTTACGTAGCCTGTATGTAGGCATGTGGTACTAGGCCAACATTGCAGAACTATCAGGTTTGCCACCAGCGAATCGGACGTGGCACCGTCGTTGTCACTCACAAATTTTCAGTTTGGAGAGAACGTGAAGAGTCGTCCCCTTATAAACGTTTCGTAGCGGTCCCCGCTGATACGTTACCGCGTTTTAGACCGTTTCTACTAGAAGCCGTTGAAAGTGTTAGCAAGCAAGCCACTCGAGACCAAAGTTCATAAAAACTGCTACTCTCTGAGTCACGCATATTTAAGACACGGCGTCTTTGGAACAAGCTCAAATTCTCCTCTGCGACGAAGCATGGAAGCTACGGCGAATCGCAATACGAATCAGCCATGTTGGCTCTTTCCACTTCAACTATGGTATTGGTCGCTCCTATGGCAACTCAGATATCCCCATATCTAGTGGCGTTGCTGACAACCTCAGGCTTTATTGCCTCAGCCTGACATCTGACAGGCAATATGCGGGCCGCCGGAACTCACGATGGCGCGCTCAATGCAGCCATCTTTGAAGCCCCCGAGAACGAAACTCGCCCAGCCATCGCGTGCGTTTGCGTCGTAGTTCCAGCCGCTGAAACCACCGCATCCATCCTCTTCGTGCTTGAGCGAGGCTCCTCCATCGGTGACCCAGGCATTGCACCCAACGACGTTGAATTCCACTAGGTATCCGTGGCCAACCCCATAGCACTCAACTGCAGGAGGTGGAGGTGGTGGTGCAGCTGACGTGGTAGGGGTCGGTGTTGGTGTGGTCGACATGCCTGGGTCGCTGACTCCCAGCACTGAGCTTAGGGCTGAGCCTATGTCAAAGGCACTGGAGGTAGTTGAGCTGCTTGAGCTGCTTGAGCTCGTGGTGCTCGAGGTGCTCGTGGCAGTTGAGCTGTCCGTGGTCACAGTACTGGAGGTAGTTGAGCTGTCCGAGCTCGTAGTCACAGTACTGAAGGTAGTCGGGCCGTCCGAACTCGACGTGGAAGAGCTAGAGGCCACACACAGCATCCCGTCTGCTCTTGCTGAGATCGGCTCGGGACCGCAGTACGGAACCGGCTCCCCACGGCCCATGTTGTACGCAACGTTGATAGTCGCAGGAATCGGGTACAGCCACAAACCTCCATCTGAGGGGTCTTTCTTCTTGTCATCCGTGACTCGCTGGAACGACTTCTCAGCAAGGTATTTCTTCATTCGCTTGGCGACCGAGTTGCCGTTGTCGTAGTCGTTGTCTTGGAAGTCGAACATGCCAACACCCTCATGCAGCGTCAGGTAATACGCCACGAGGCCCGCCACCGACGGCGCCGCGACGCTGGTCCCGAACTTCACATCTGTCACTCCAGTGGCGTCGTACGTCAGGACCTGCTTGCCCTGAGAGTAGAGCGTCAATGACCCCCGGGGCTGGCTCTGGTCGTCGGCGAAGTTGCCCTCGGGTGACGTCGTCTTGTAGAGCGAGCCCTGGGCGGTGGTCGCGCCGACGGTGATCAGCGCATTGTCAACAGTACCAAGCCGCTGGGGCCATTGATCGCCGAGGAACGCGTCAAACATGCCGGTGGCCTGGTTGACGCCGCGGTTTCCGGCCGCTGTGACTACGGTCGCTCCGAGCTTCTCTAGTCGGGTGATGTACTCGCTCGTGACGTCGTCGAATTTCTGTCGCTCCGCGGCATCAGCGTTCCGCACGACCGTGGATACCGTCCAGAGAATGACACTTCTTGGACCTGGTATGCCATCGAGGGTGATGGCGTCGAGGACTCGGTCCATCCCGGCTTTGAAGCCGGATAGTGTTATTCTGCTGGGGTAGAGACCCCCATTGAAATTGTATACGTTTTGGGACTTGACTAAGCCGCTGGTGGTTAGTAGTTGCTCTCTTCTAGGTTCCCCTAGGGGTCGCAGGTCGTGTTGCAGGAGTAAGCGACCCAAATTGAACCGCACAGCCCCTGAGCGACGGAAAAGGGGTAAAAGGAATCCTGGGTACTACTCACTGAGAAACAGATTCGCGTTTGGTGCCACCCCCGTCAGCGAACCGCCGGCGATGCAAGAAACAGCTGTACCGTGCCCCTTGAGGGCTGTGTACATACCGAAGAATACCACAGGGTCAATTGTGATATCCCGCATATCGTCATCGTCCGCGTAGGTCATTCCGTCCTCGAGGTCCTCTTTGCTCAGTTCTGGCAGGGTGTAATCGTTCGGCACGACGTAAGTCCTGATCTCCCTGCCTGCCTGGTGCTGCTCATCGGAATTCAGCTCATGGGCAACATTGTCGATATTGAAGCCACCGTCCAGGATGAAGATCCAGGACCCCTTCCCGCCAGAATCATCAGCGATGTATGGCTGCGTCGTCGGATCCGTGCCGAAGACTGAACTCAGGATCTTCAGATGATTTGGAGCAAAGGGATTCGTTACCAACGCGCGGCCGCTGAGATGTCGTGGTTCCTGCGCAGTGCCCTTCTTCGCATCTATAAATGCCTTGGTCGAGTGGTTGACCGGCAACGTCGATGCGTCATATGATAACGTATCATCCTCGTCGTAGAGTGGAACTCCCAAGTCCGCATTCTCGATCAGGGGGCCCTGGTCATACGTTGGGTCCTGAGTATCTGAGAATGTTGGCCTTTTCGTCACGAAGTTGACTATCGGTAGGTACTTGATCATCTCCGCGATGGACTGGTTCATGGCAACGTAGTAGGCGGGAGCAACATCGGGATACCAGGAGTTGATTCCTATTGAGCGTCCCTCAACATCGGTGGTAGTGACATACTTCAGAGCGTTGAACTGAGTGACGGTGGTGCCAGCTTTGCACTGAATGTAGTAGAACGAAGCATCCGACTGTCTTGGGCGTTTCTCCTCTTCGGGTGGATTGTCGCCACTATAGTCAAAAAAAAGCAATGACAGTCTAGATGCGTACCGAACCGCAACTCTCAGGCCCCACTACAGTGAGAAATGAAAATAAGTCCATACTTCTTCTAGCTGTTCGAGAAATTGGAAGTAAAGAAATGGGTAACGTCCGCGGAAAAGGGCAAAAGCGGCCGCTCAGCGTCTGCACTTGTCGACTTGCTCTCGAAACTTGATTGAAATCGGAAAGGAATGAATCAGAGGGAAACTCACAATACCGCCTGCAAGAGGTGCCATAATGGGCAAAATAGGCCTTGTTCTCGCGAGCGTAATCAACGCGCGACCACCGGCGGTGATACCGGTGATGTCAGCCAGGTTGGTAAACTGTTGCCAAGAGTTCTCCGCTCTTGCGATTCCGCTGCCAAGCTCATTGATTATATCGGCATCCAGGGACTGCAGGACCGCAGGTGTTGATCGGAGCGACTCAATCGCGCTGCTGAGGTCCGCGCCCAGGGTGCCCAGGTTTTGCCTCAGCTGAAAGATGTTGTTCTGGACCGATTTCAGGACTTCCAGCTCGACGTCTCCTGCCTCGAGGTCAACAAGGCCAGAGGCTGCGTCGTAACCGATTTGCGCTATGCCCCCGCCGACAGCGCTTATGAGACATCCGAAAAGACCGAAGAGACTTGATCCACAACCACTTCCCCCTCCACCGCCACCGCCTCCGCCTCCGCCTCCGCCTCCTGAAGTAGTTATAAGTGCAAATGCTCTGATGATCTCATCATGGGACATGTCGTTGCGGATGCCGCGGGAAGTCCATTTGGCAATCCAGCCGCCTTGCGTTTCTTCAGGGGAGCTAGACACGTCTTCGGGTAGATGGAAAATCAGCCCGTGAACGACAAGCCGATCGCAATAAAGGGTTCCTTCCCATTGACCGTCGGAAAGCAGGATGGAAACGGGCTCAGGGTTCGTCTCGCAGGGCGGAACGACATAGCTTGTGTTGTCGAAGAAGACACGGACGAGCGGGACTGGCATGAGCGAGGCCGCCGGTAGGAGCGTTCCTGCGTACCCTGAGGTCATGGTGGACGTGAACGGAGCAGGCCACGTGCCAGAAGGCGTGATTGGAGGGATGGTGGTGGTGCCCACACCCAATAGAGTCAATGTCGTCCCGAATTCGGGATCGAAACTCACTGTGGTCTGTTGCCCGCTCGGGAGGGCGATGACCGTGGTAGCCACCGATATGGTAGTAAATGCTCCGGTCGAATTTGGAGAGACTGCTTCGGTTGATGTGGTGGTCCCACCTGGAGAAGCTACATCCGTCGATGTCGTGCTCGCAATGCCTGTGGGTGATGTTGTAGTTGCTAGAGACGTCCCTGGTACGCTTCCGGTAGAGGAGAGCGACTGGACTGGTGGAGACGCCGAAATTGATGTAGCTGGCGCGGATGCCGATATGGTAGTGAGACCAATCCCAGGCAGTGACAAGGCAGTCGTCTGTCCCAGACTCAGCGAGATCGTCGTTTGCTGGCCGCCCGGGAGTGGGATAATTGTCTCTTCCTCAGAACCAGGGCCCACGAGAGTAGTCAGTAATCCGGCAGGCAATGGGATGATGGTAGTCGCGTCCACCTCGATCGTAATTGTTGACGGACCAATGCCTGGAATGGAAATCGTGGTGACAATGGCAGACACAATAGGGGTGAAGGTGCTACTCTGGCTACTTGTACTGGAAGAAGACGATGCATCTTGAGAACTGGCAGGCACTGTACTTGTCGTCGAGTCCAATGTCGCAGTAGCCCCGGCTGAGGTCGTAGAAGTGGGAAACCAGGATGAAGGCGAGCTTCTGAAATTTGCACTGGTCTGAGTAGGCGAGACAAGTGTCTGCTGAGACCCAGAAGATCCAGGACTGCTACTTGGTCCGACCCCGGCGGAGACTGTGGCCGTAGTACTGGCTAGCACCGTGGTCAAAGACGACGGAGTGAACGGGTGCACGGCGGTGTCACCGGTCATGGAGCAGACGGACATGTCAGTCGTACTGGATACAGTGATTGAGCCCAGGCAATGGGTGTCCGAGGGACCAGTGGTGGTACATCCAGGAGTGGTGAAGATATACCAGAAGAACTTCGCAGAAGGTGAAGGTAGTAACTGAATCTATCTGACCTAGAGATTCACGAAGTCAGTTCCCGAAATTCGTGGAGCACGACCATCGCACACGTACCACTCATTCCGGAGCCGGTGGGTGCAGGACTGGCTTCGTGGTCGCCAGCAGCAAGAAGGCTGTTTGCCATCGCTACTCCGAGGAGCAACGAAAGCAAGAACCTCTTCATACTGCGTGGTGTAATTCGTTCAGTACTCGGTGATTCTTTGACTGTTGCATTCAAAGGTTGCGGGGATGGAGAAGATGTTCTTCGAGAATGGATGTGTGTGAGAGAAGCGGGAAGTGGGAAGTGTATTATGTGAGAGGCAGAGAATTCGGTAGAGACAGAAAAATCGTCGTGCGGGCGAATTTGGTTGAGCAGAGATGCTGGCTTAGGCGGGCAAGCTGCGCACGGACCGTTACCAGTAGGAAATCACTCCGGGGTGCAATTCACACAAACCGTGAGCCTTTCACAGGACGCATTGAAACCAAATTTAACAGTTTGAGGAAGGTGCGGTTGACACTCAAAGACAGGGGGGGCTCCTTCCATCTGCGAGAACGGCGGTCACAAAGTTGCACACTCAGACCAATCAGGCATTTGTATATGTACAGCAAGTTTGGTTGTGACATGAAATACTAACGATAGCCTCCAGTGGCCAGACCGACAGTGGACTAGCAGACACCATCTTTACAATTTGTCTTTTCAAAGGTGAGATGCATCTCAGTGTACCCACGCTTCACATTGCCCACGTCAATTCGCCAGGGAAGCATAGCAACATCTTGAACTCCTCCGTTGTATTGGTCACTGGTGGCCTGTGAAGACTAGCATGGCATTGAAGATGGTCGACATCAATCTGTTTGGCAATCAAGGTTATCATTTTGGCCGGCTTTATCACGATTGTGTCATGCCCTATGGTCTACTATCCAATATTCCCAGAGCCCTGTAATGGCTACGTATATTCAAATAATGTCTTCCCCTCAGAGGAAGGGCAATATGGGAGAATCATGCATCGTTTCTGGGACACTGCAAGCATTGAGACCGCGAGTGAAGTCGCTTAACAGTTTTCCTCAAACGACACATGCTCTATGTTGCTCCTTGTAGTTGTCTCTACTGGTGGCTCAGTTGTCGAAAGGACTAGGCTGGTGATAAGTAGATGGGGTCTTCTAAACTGTGTTGAGGTCAACTTGAGGACCTTGAGATATTTAGTATGGACAGCATGAAGTACTCTCCAATACGAGGTTCAGAGGTCGTAAATAGTCTTTGCGAGTCGGAACAATGTTTAAAGTCTCCCAATGTAGACATATAAACCATGGTGGCATTGGTGGATCATCCTTTGGCCCAACTTCACCCCGTTGAACGTCCTCTGTGTACAGCGACTGGATAAGCTCCAAAGTAGCGTGCCGGTGCACGCGGAGTTGCGGAAGCCCTAAGAGAACAACTTGACCTTTTAAAGGTGACTCAAAGTATGGGTAGGATGAGGGAAGATCTTGATAGGTGATGGAAGGGAAGACATCGTCGAATCGGAGTATTAGTCACCCTTCGTAAATCTCCGTCCGGCATGCCTCTGTCAACTCTTGGACATTTGCTATGAAAGCAATATTAACCTAGATCAAGCAGGCTAATCCGATGAGCCATATTAGATACTTATTATAAAGTGATTATTCCACTTACAATATATGCACCTTTGACTTTGCTAACGAGGGCTGTATGGAGCGTCTCAGAGGTCCAGTGCATCCGTTGGTGGTGCAAGAACTTTCAATAAGTTACCCTTTAGTGCGATCGAACACGCAACGTGGCAACAATCGTCATCGATGAACGACAAGGGGAGTGCTTGTTTCGAAGGAGTGAAGGAAGCCGCTTGGGGTGATGAGGATCACGACACCCTGGCCAGGTTCCCATGTCTCCGCTCCGTCACATCATCGGCCAGGAAGGTATCTAACTATAGTCCTCAGGCAATCACGGCTTCTCTAAATCACTGGTGTGAAATTGAAACATATTAATCTGCGCTCCTGGTGTTCCTGCTCTATATCTAAGCGGCCGATGGCGGGTACTTTGACGATCGTGGCCCGCCCAAGACCAGGATCGACAACCTACCCGGTATGCACTTCTAGGGCAGTTGCTGGCAAATGCTTGCCGTGGTACATCATATGATTCCCATTCTATTGGAGCCGTGACCGGTGCTTCCTACTGGATTTTGGCCGGTCTGTAGAGAAGGCCGACGTCTACAGCTGGAATTTCAACACTCGACGCCACTCTGCCCCTTTCGAAACCCATCCGGCAGACAGCAACGTGAAACAAAACTCTATACTCGCGTTCGGCCGCCTGATGAGGGCAGGGGTTCTGGACCCTTCACGATCCGGCCAAACCCCATTGAAAATGACGTTGCGCCAGGCGTACTCAATCGCCCTCCCCGAACTTTCTGGTCCGGGGTTCATACCTAAATGCTCCTTCGTGCGGATCCGGGCCACGCAATACGATCCTGGGAACGATCCTTTCGGCGCCACCGAAAGGTTCTCATACTCAATAACTGACCTTTCGCCAATAATAGAGACGATGGCTGCGGTACCTTACCTTGCTTGCCCAGCAGGTAGCGGTATAATATGCTCCACCGCCGGTCTGTTTGGAGTCGAGGCGAACCGGCGTCCCCACGGCGACACGTACTCGAGTGCGGAACATTCACGTAAGGAGGCGAAAAGCCAGCGCGGTTCCCACGTGTATAGTCGCCTCTGACGTACGTACCTACCAGCCAGGGTATATATCAATCTTGCCTTCTGCCAAGCTGAGACTGCATCCGATCCCAACCCGACATTGAACCAGAAGGATTAGGTAAACCCAGGCGGTCTCTGACATCTGTGAGGGAAGCATCGATCGCATCCGACCAACGTCTTCCACTCAACCCGCCTCGCACTCTTGCCGGAATCGAGACACCAAACTCAACAATTTACCATGCATATTTTTATCGTCGCGATAGTCATGACGGCGGCCGTATTCCAGGGCAGCTCTGCGGCTCCTCATCACCCCGTCTATCCCGCTCGCTACCACCAGAGAAGCCCTGCTGCTACGAATCTACCCGGCAAACAGCCGTGGCGGCCAGAGTGGCCTCATCCCCCAAAGGGCTGGGGCGACAGCAAGAGAGACTATCCAGTCCAGCCTCAACCGACGGGCGGCTACGCGTATCAACCGTATCAAGCAACGGGCGGCTACACGGCTCAACCAACGGGGTATCTCGGTAGTGGTAGCAACGCATACGGATCCCAATCATCCCAAGTCCCGGCCCAATCATCTCAAGTCCTGGCTGGTAACAATCCATACGGATACCAAGCGTCCCAAACCCCGGCTAGCACCGAGCCTCAAGCGACGACAGCGCCCGACAGTGCAAGCAGTGAAGCCGGCGATGCTAGCCGTACCGCCATGATTGAAAGCAGTTTCACCTCCATTACTAACGTCCACAGCGGCGACGTTGGTAACCTCGTCGGCGAAGAAGACCTTCCGCACATGCCTGAGCTGGCTATACCCACGATACCCACGATCAACACCCTATCATGGCCTACGACCTTGCCTCTGCCTACAGGCGTCAACCTACCAATCCCGCCAACAAGGCCATTTCCCTCGGGCGGCTGGGGACACGCCTCATCCGCATCAAGCCAGCCACCTGTGCCCCAGCCCACGGGTAGTAGCCCCGGAGCCCAGACGACTGGGTATCCCAGCAGTGGTGATAATCTCCCTGCCGCGGACGAGAAGCGAGATGGTCTCCCCAGCGACAATGGCCACCGCCCCGGCGATCAAGACAGCGCTCCCGCCAGCGGCGACGACCACTCGCGGTGGTCCCATCCCCTCCCACCGACGGCATGGTTACCTCGCCATCCGCCCGAGCCGCCGTCGTCTCACCCACGCCGGTCGCCTTCCGATGGCAGGCCTCGTTTCCTACCACCGCGGTCGTCGTGGCCTCATCCGGCTGGGCCCGTGATGCGGCGAAGTCGTGAACTCCATCGGAAAGACACGAAAACTTCACTGTACCAATTTTGATACCCCCAACATTCACTTCAGCGTTTTTATGATAGGGCGAAGAGCGCCCACGATATAGACAAAATACACACAAGATTTTTAGACACTTGCTTAGGGATGCTTTTTGCTGTGATTGCGTGTGTTTGTGTTACGTACCATTGAAGATAGAGGTGTCGTTAGCTACTAACTATGATTTAAGGGGACCGGGCTCTGATGAAGGCGATTACAGAATGAGGTCAGTAGCCGACTGTGCGCATTAACTGGCGCGATACTAGCAACAAGTGATTTTCGGCGTTGTAATGACAACGCAGGGCTGGAGACCAGGGCATCGATTCGGGATGGTTTAATGTGGTTTCCCAGCGCAGCTTGAAGCACTGATGCGGCAGAACAACATCTGCACAACATTCATGAGATGGCTGGGGTTAGTTACTCCTACGCTGAAAAACAGACTTTTCGGGTACGTTCCCATTGAAATGAGACGTGTGGTGAGTAACTAGAAGCGGGCAGAGGTCACGACCAAAATGTTCCGGAAGTGGCGCGGAAGAACAGCGGAATAATATGGGAAAGCGACGGCGCCCCCTACACACAAGCTTGGGAGGGCAGCTTTTGGAACACACGTGTCTCTTGCCCACATTTTCCAAAGTTGCTTTAAGTAATCCCTTACGGCTCGCCAACCATCATGTAAACAACATTCATCCCCTCAACGCTGACATGAAGCGGAATCACAGTACTCCGACCCGGTCCCGCGTCCACGGTGCCTCCCACATCTTCTTCTGGCCGTCGACGACGTTGAGCCGCGCGTACCCGGCGGCAGCGTTGCCGCAGGAAGGCGCCACGCGCGTCCAGTCGCAGTCGGCGTCCATGGCCATGTCGTTGCGCGGGCAGAAGAGCCCGCCAGGTCGGGTGGAGGTGCTCGGCGGCGTACCGCAGTTGGCCACGCAGCTCGCTTCGCTGCCGAGCTCGGAGACGCATTGCAGGGCGTAGCCGAGGATGGGCTTGGAATAGGGGAACGTGGGCCCCTTGCCATCGTCGTCGAGAGCGGCGGCTTTGGCTCGCTTGACGGCTTCGGCTTGCACGGCTGCGGTGTCGTAGTCGTCGCCTCTCTCTTGCACGAGCGACCTAAACTCGGCGGCAGCCACCTGCGGCGGCTTCATAACTGTGGCGTCCCGCCCTTCCGTCTGCGTCCGGACCGCGTATCCAAGCGCCTGGTGCCCGTAGTTCCTCCTGGCGAGATCCGAGTTCTACGCGTTTCATGAACGTGTTAGCCCAGGCCGAGAAGACAAAATCATGCTCGCGGCCAGCTGGTAGCGGTACGCGTCGAGGAACTTGTGGAAGGGCTCCTGGGGTCCCATGTTGTGCCATTCAAGGGGGGACTTCTGAGTCGCTGATATGCCCGGCTTGCTCTTTTGAGAGCTTCGGGAACTTGGCGAGGTCGAGTGTCTTTCGGCCTCGAACTGCTAGATGTGATGACTGGCTTGCCGCCGTGGCTGTTTATACGATGGTTGCCATATTGGAAGAATGGTCTGGGCACTGGTCGTGTTGAGACTCAACGAGGCCTGTTTGAAGCTGAAGGACGTCTTCAGGATTTCTCAAGCTCAACCGGCATCCCAGCCGAAGGATCTTCTACCTATCTGGCGGATGCCATTGGCGAGTCGGACTGTATGAGTACTGGTGGACAAAAATAGGCACGAAAGGAGTGCAGTGCCGCTGCGTTGCTATGATCATTGGCCAACGGATACAGGACGCGCCGTTAACATCGAAACCAAATGTAATACATCTTCTTGATCCGCATCTTCCCCACGGGATTATCAAGACGGACGTCCGCGGTATCCGAACCATTGAACACCGACGGAACTTATCCAGAGACCAGTGTGACTGAACAGCGCTCGTCGACGGAACTTTGTGGAGTCTCACCGTCGCTGCGAAGGACCGCCAACCAGAAGTCGAGCATGTAGCTACGAGGGAAGACACGTACAGTCGAATACCACATCTGATGACAGGAAAGCAAGGCGTATATTCCCTTCCTTCTCCGACAAGCATGACCGGGCATCGACAAAGTACCAGATTTCACAGCGGTCTGACACATGCATGCACGGGGTAACAAGGTTGAGCACCGAGGTCGAGACCAGCTGAGCAACTGCTGTGTGTATTGACAAGAAGAGCACGCTATGTACAGTTTCCCTTTCCAACAACATCTCGGAGTAGCAAAACCCAAGAAGTAAAACGAACGAGCGATGTCCCCGAGCGTATTCTGCAGATACTGTTCGATCGACATCCATCACCGCGACCTGCATCCATTCCTCCCATTCATACACCCCCCACCATCAATCAATCCATCCACACATCTCCGTCACCGAGTGAGCCAGGCAAGCGCTCAAGGGCCCTGGACCGTAATACTGGCGGAACCGCTGCTGCCGTAGCCCTCGGTAGCGACGATCTGGTAGTTGTGAGTGCCGAGCGTGAGGCCGGCCGACGTCCAGGCGTTGAAGTGGTTCTGCATGTTGACAGTGCCGCCGACGCGCTTCTCGCGGCGCACGGACCAGAACTGGTAGAAGGTCGAGGTGCCCTCGATGGACGGCTGGTTGACGCGCTGGGTCTGGTAGATGTCGTAGGTGCCGCCGTCGGTGGTGATGGAGCCGCGGCTGGTGGTGCCGCTGGACGGGTTGTAACTGCCGTAGCTCTCGACCACGTAGTACTCGATCAGCGGGTTCGTCGTCCACCCGTACACCGACAGGTAGCTGTTGACGCTGGCGCCGTTCCACGTCCCGCTGTACGTGACGTTGTGGGCCGAGCCCGGCTTCCACCCCTTGCCCGCCACGAAGTTGCCGACGTTGCTCCACGTCACGTCGTACGCGCCCGCCGCGTCGTTGTTGTAGGTAACGCTGCCGGCTCCGTCCGTCCAGAACGAGTAGAAGAAGCCGTTGCTGGTGCCCTGGCCGGCCGGCGTGGACCGGGTGATGAGGTCGAGCGGCGAGGCGACGGCCGTGGCCGCGGCCGCGAGGGCGACGAAGATAGAAGAGCCGAGCATGATGTGCTTGTGATATCGCTTCAGTGCTGCTGCGATGTCGAGGTGACTGGTTTCTCATCCACGGAAGGGTTTAGAGAAGGCCTTATATAGAAGTCAGTGTGGTGATCACACCACTGCCCTCATTCTGTGCTCATCAGTCATCCTACTTCCGAAAGAGGAAGTCTGGCTTGCATCCGTTCCTGGTTCCGAATGCATGTTTGCATGCGGCTCAGATGATAGGACCATCATCGGTTGTGGAGTACATATTACCGGCATTAAGAAGCCATGGCGAACCGGGGGTCGATATTGGAAGGGCGATTTTGCCGGCGGCTAATTGCAGAGGAGTTGGGATTCGTGGAGGTACCTATAAGCCGTTTCAGCTAACGCCCTGTGTCTCATTGTCATATTGGCCGGGAAAGTGTCTTGGCGCTGAAAGGGAGCTGAAGCCGTGACACGTGTGTATGTAATATTTGTCCCTCTTAATATACCCCATAAGAAGTGTTGACGTTTGGGGGTGGCGATGAGACTGCAGATGGAAAAGGAAAAGCAACTATAGCCGGTTATAGACAGAGCCAATAATCGTCGGCTCTGAGCATCAGTGAGGGCCTAGCAAAGGAACTGCGCAATATCGCCGGGCTCGTCTATATTGTCACATGATGACGGAAGGTGGCAGCTCCTCTCCCAGTCCTTGAAGTATAAGCGAAACATTTGGGCGTAAAGTTAGTTTCCAGGTTCTGTCTGTTCACGAACTTCGCGAGATCAGCCTAAACACCGTGTTACATACAGAATACCTTGAGAAGAGGAAAGGTGATATGGTATGGCGCAATCAGACAAGGTTGTCACTGTCTTCCGTGTCTCATTGCGACTTTCCGTCGACTGAGCCGGGTGGGCTTTGGTAACACAATTCGATTTCTCCTTATGCGTCTCTAAGTAATCGAAGCTTCACAATACCTCCAGCTGGGGTGTCCCTCGCGCAATCTATGGAAGTTGTTCCATCTCTAAGCAAGCTCTATGGCCTGGTTCAAGACTTGCTCAAGGGCTGACCATCCTTGATCTTCTGAAGACCGTACTTCTTGAGGCGGATGGCGTTGATCTGGATAAACCCGGTGGTGTCCATTGGCGAGAAGCCCTCCAGCGAGTCCATGGAAGCATCCTCCTCGGAGTAGAGGTTGCTTGCATCGCTCTTTCGGCCCAGCACGTATGTGTTGCCCTTGTACGCCATCAATCGGACCTCACCAGTCACGTTCTCCTGGGAGAACTTGATGCTGTTCTCGATGAACTCACGCTCGGGGCTGAAGTACATGCCGTTGTACAGCTGGCGCGACCAGGACAGAGTGGCGAACTGATCACGGAGCTCACGAACCCTCGAGTCCATGACCAGACCTTCGAGGTCAAGGTGGGCAAGTCGAGCAATAGTAAGACCAGGTGTGTCATCTGGCATGGACTATGTTAGCGACCAGTTGCGATTAATCGATGCGATGCTTGATGAGCATGTTACGTACAGCAGCCACGGCTCTTTAGACCAACTAGTTATATAGTCAGTATAGCACATTGGTATGGTATTTGGTAATTCTCACTGAAGCGATTCTCGACAATGTCAATGCGGCCGACACCACTACACGTTTTCGGTCAGCAATTGATATCTCAAAGCAGTTTGGATTCCACTTTGGTCTGGAATTCCATGATACTCACTTGTCATGTCCGATCTTGTTGAGGAGCTTAAAGAGTTCAACAGAGCCAGTCGTCTCCTTTCCAGCGACCACGACCTTGGTAGGGATACCCTGAACAGGTGTCAACATTCCATCTTGAGTTCCGGCACCTAGTCATCAACTTGGGGAGTCGTAGGGGTTTGCACTGACCTTCTCGAAGTGGACGGTGAACTCGGTAGGCTTGTCAGGAGCATCGAGCGGGTCGACAGTACGAGTCCATAGTTCCTGGGGTATGGTTAGTTGTAATAAGATGGACTGTGACTGCTCTCTTACCTTCGGTGGGGTGGTGTTCGGGTCTTCCAGGATGCCAGCTTCATAGCTGCAATGGACTAGGTTGTCATCCACTGTTGCATGCGTGATTAGTCATTGCTCCTTGGGGGCGTTCTCAGGACTCTTTGAGACTCGCTATCGTGACAGGAGAGTCTCAGAAGTAGACAGAATCTCCTCGAAACCAAGCAGAACAGAGACGAGGACACATACTGCTCCAAGGTGTTTTCGGGGTCGATGACACGGGGATGTTGTTCTCGGAGGCGTATTTCAACAGGTCCTGGCGTCCCTGGAATTTCTCGATGAACTCGGGTAGTCGCCAAGGTGCAATGATCTTCAGCGATGGGTTGCAAGCCTGTTTCGTGTTACCGTAAGTAAACGTCACAACTCATCATTATGGGACAAATTGGGGTTAGAGCAGGAGCAGACGGCTACAAGCCCAACTCCACGAGGAGGGACATACCAGGAATGCTAGCTCGAATCTGTCGACATGAATGTGTCAGTAATTGCCTTTCCAAGCAGTTCCCGTGGATGGTGCAGGGATGAAATCAGTGGACATCGTGATCCAAGGGGTGTCTCCCAAACGTCGCAGAGGACGTTGGGGGTTCAGGCTGTAAACCCAACAGGTGGAAGACTAACCTGACTTGGTCGTTACCTTTGCCGGTACAGCCGTGGCTGAGGAACTCGCAGTTCTATAGATCCAGTCAGTCGATACTTCTCTCATATCGCCCCCAGGGCCTCAAGCTTTCCGTTCAAACTTGGGATTATGAGAAGTTCCTCGGGGACATTTGGAACCTTTAGGGTGGCCCAGACGATGTAAGAATGGGACTGATAATACGTACGTTCTCCTCAGCAACACGGACTTGAGCGCGAGCAATGATGGGGCGAGCGAGTGAGGTACCAAGAAGGTACCGGTCCTCGTAGATGGCATTGCACTGGATGGCAGTGAAGCAGATCTCTTCGACGAATTCCCTCTGCAGATCGAGGATGACCTTGAAGATGGTTAGTGATGTATCCACCGGGATGCTTTGGATGGATTGGTTTCGCAGTTGTTCCGCGTCACGTAGACCGCGCCCATGATGTAGAGAAAGGGGAATAATGCGTACCATTTTCTCAGCTCCTAGCTGCTTGGCCTTCTTCTCAACGGTAGACCAGTCCTCCTCTTGGCCGACGTTGGCCAAGAAGCAGACGACGGTGTAGCCCTACCGACGGCACGGGTTAGTCATGGCTGGTACATGAGATGCCAAGACCAATGTTGGTATCAGAGAGCCGGCATCTTGTATCATGGGCAGAGGTGAATAGGTACCTCATTGATGAGCCATTTCAGGATCGTCTACAAGAATATGAGTCAGTGATGGTTTACTAGAGAGCAGGGGTGAAGTGCACTCGGTAGTGTCGTCAAGAGCTCGTTCAAGACGCAAACTGAGAAGCGAGGGGTGAGGAAACAACATACACTCGTGTCGAGACCTATGGAAGCCAATTGATTAGGTAAAGGGGTTCAATTGATGGTTTTGCTCGTGGTGGACTGCATTCATACCTCCCGAGTAGGCGCTGGTGGAGGGCGTTCAGTTAGTCATTACCCTGCAAAATCGAGGGGCAAAGGACGAGGCTGTAGCCAGCACTTACAGACAGACGCGGCCTTTGGACATGATTGCTGTAGTTGTTGGTCTGGATGAGGGGTTGAGGTCAAGATTCGCTAGAGAATCAATGCTGTGTTCGTGTCTTGAGGGTCTTGAGGGTCTTGTGTGAAAAAAAGTTAGTCACGGGCGATGTCGGTGAGTCAAAGAGGCAGATGCACAATCTGCACAATCTGCACAATGCCTACCTGTGCCACCCCACCATGCATAATCTCTTATCGCATCTAATCAGACTAGCTCATCAACTATCGATAGCCCTCGTGTCGTATCGGCTTACGCTACTACACGAGTGGCTAGACAGCTCCATTAGGGCGAGCTAGCTTTTGGACACCCTCCTTTGAACTTTCCCATCACATTCTGAAGAAGATGGAGCACATCTATCTGAGACCGTCAGTGCGATAATATTTCCCATGAGGATCGCGTGTCTGAAGGGAAGCGGTTTACATACGGCACGGGAATATGGAAGCAGCAACATTCTGTACTGAGTGACCGAACTTGAATACTGCCAGGGTAAGTGTGTTGGCGCGAACAATAACCAACGCGACATACAGAAAGATGATTGCTTGGAGTTTAAGCTTGGGATAGCCGGTGCCTCATCTGAACAAGGGGCTCTGTGGGACATATGTGCTTGTTGCTTGCTCCCTGAAAGGGGAAGCGGCTGTCACGAGCTGACAACATGATTGTCGTCCGTATGCCTAGGCTAGACCAGTCGGAAAGCACCGTCAACAACGCGCTACGTTGAGCCATCGGCCGTCGGATTGCTGCTGTCGATCAGGGAGGCAAGACCTCGGCGCCGGCTAGACTCTCACACCCAAGCATCCTCGCCGTGGGCATGCTGATGTATGAACGTCTCCGAGGGTAAGAAGGGGAACACCATACATTAGGCTTTGAACGTGAAGAGTCACAAGGAGACGTTCATTGCAAGGTCCGGGCTGGTTTATAATAGGTAGATAGATGTATATATGTGGATGTATCGCCTCCCGGCACGCAGAACCCCATGTATGATTCATGAGGGCCCCGCGAAGGATGAATCGCGAATCGTCCTTCGGTGCCCCGGAGCGGCAGTGAAGCGGGGATCGTCCACCGCCGCCCCGGAGCGGACAGGATCTTATTGCAGAGCCGAGCTTGATGACGAGAGGGTAGTCTCCTCGATGATTTCCTCACTCTCGGAACCGACGTGCTGAGCTTCCACACCTCGACGCTTGGAATAGCGCCGAGCAGATGAAAATAGCAGTATGGTGGTAGGGCATGTGATCCATAGCCGACAGTTTCGGTATTGGGGAATATCTGGGCTCGCCGGTAGTTCAGATTGTGAAGCGCGAATCGTCCTAAGGCCACTCCCCTCTCCATTTAGTCCGTTCCTTTCTTCACAGCACAAGCCTTCTTGTACTGCGTGCCTCGCCGACACGGTTGTTCATATTCCACAACTACGTGTTCTCGTGCCGGAGCTCGCACACTTCACTGAGAGTTGCATGCGTTGAGGAGACGCAGTGAGGTGTTGGCCAGATCGTTGATGGCCCAAGATGAAGTGATCAAGGTCTACCGGGCTGTTGAAGGCGGTGTTGGCGACATCCACATTGATGCTGAGACCAGTTCCGCGAGGTGTAGATCCAGCGAATCATCCAATCTACCGCGTCGACATTCTGTTCCTCGAGTACGATCTCATTGGTCGTCGCTTCCTGTGCCTCTCCTGTCAGAAGATAGATCGAGTAGGGTACCTCTGTTTGTGCTGATTGACCAAGACTGAGTGGTCGATTGATCCACTTATCTCACCCAAGACGGATGGCAGAATAGTATCCCTTCTGGGCGACAGTGCTTGGACAGAGCAAACTCGCTGATTTCGGGAGCGTAGAAGTTGCGGCGGATGCGGGTAGTGTCGCATCGGATAACCTAAGAGTATGCTAACCACTGCACCGCCGGGTCGAAGAAGTCTATGGAGAAATGAGTACGGAGGTAAAGGATTTGGCCATTGGAAATTACTTACTCATGCATTCCAGGACGTGACTATCCCAGGGGAAGAGAAACTCATTGACAATCCGATCAGGCAGCGTCGCAGAGAGAGGCTGGAATGGTGCTGTTGGCAAGTTCGTAGATGCTGTCGCCGCGATCGTAGGTGCTGTCGCCATGCTATCGCCGCCTTCGTAGGACGTGACTATCCCAGGGGATCTTGCCTTCAAGGTAGGTCTTCAGATAGGCGCGGCTTCTGGCCATTAGGCGACATACTCTGGGGCTGGAACATTTGCTATCATTTGGTTTCGGATCGGCGAGAAGACCTGGACGACATGGTTCTGCCCCGGAGCCCAGTAAACTTACCCGAGTCTACCATGACTGCCATACCGGAACTGAAATCGTCGGCACTCCCACGCCGAACTTGATCTCCAACTTTGATCCCTCAGATCGATGCTGGGTCGACGACTGGGGTTGCGCCCGAAGCCAATGGGGTATATCCATGTTGCTCGAACAGTTTGGGCTGGTGAACTTGTCGCTGGCCACAGTGTCCTGTCAACGACTATTCGGTATCTCTCTTCGGACTCACGAGAGCCTGTCAGACAGCTCGGGGTCAAGATGGTCCAGCACAGGGCTGGCAGTCGAACCGGGACAGCATGCCACCGGTAATCGACTTGGATGCCAGATCTGACCAAGGCTGACTCGAAGCTCATGAGTGTGAAACCCGTAAACCGTATAGCTGAAACCGAGAGGATGACGAGTGCAGAAGGTGATGAACAGGACAGTGACATCTACGTTCATGGCACGAAAGGAATCCAGACCTTCCGCCTTTGCTCTTCGCCCCAGCATTCTCGTGGGTCGCTTGTCCAGAGTTGCGCCGTGCTTCATCAGCAGTCGGAAGAGCTCTTCGTCGTCCTTCATGATGGTTTTGCCCAGCGCGTTGCGGAGAATGACGTCGCTGTGAAAGTCGGCGTCATGGCGTCATGTGCCCTCGGTGGTATCGATGGCCACATCTGTCAAATCCGGTATAGGCAGCGAGCGGAGAGCGGGCGTCTGCTGTGGCCCATCGACGCCCAATGCACAAACAGTGCTTCCCAGGTCTACTGTCGAAAGCCAATCCACGAGACGCGCAGAGCCGAAGCATTAGACGTACCACATGGTAGGTGGTGTTCATGAAGGCGACAATGTCACCAGGCCTTTGAGTGAATAAGTGCGTGTTGTCCATCACAGGTGCTTGGGGTTCATCATGGGAACCAGGGGAGCAGCCTCGAGGGGCTTGGCACCAAGTCGAGGTACTCATTCTCGTGCCAGAGCGTATCGTGGCCTTCGCGCAGGCGCTGGTTCTCCTCACGCAAGTGCGTGATCTCATCCTCAGTGACAGAGACGGCACGGGTATTGTGGGTGCCCTCCCGCGAGAGTCCAAGTCGAGAGTCGAGTCTTACTGGTTCAGGGCCGAGTTGGGGCCGTCCTCAGCGACGCATGATCCGCAGTAAGCGCTGCACTGGGCCGAGTCACCGCCGCACAGGCTCTTATTATTGGGGGCGCAGAGCCGAAGCATTAGACATACCACATGGCTAGTGTTCATGAAGGCGACAATGTCACCGGCTGCTTGGGGTTCGTCATGGGGACCATGGGAGGAGCCAGCATGTGTACCTCGAGGGGCAGGGCAAAGTTGGGCAGATATTTATATGCAGATTCTGCCACAAGAAACCGCAATATCATGTCCACGTCTATTCAGGAACCTGGGACAGGAGCCTCAAGAGGCTTGGCACCAGAGGAGTCCTCCTTTCCGGACGGGGAACCCTGCTTTAGGATGGGCAGCAATGATGCACGCCACATCCGCATCTAACGGTTTAATTGAAACTGCCACTGCCAATGCCAGTGTAGATCCAGATCAGATTCGCCGTCTCAAGTTTCGGGGGCTCAAAAGACTCAGAGACCCCTGGGCCGAGTCACCGCCGCACTGGCTCTTGTTCTTGGGGGCGCAGAGTAGACTTCCGTGTCCTGCTTTCCGAACCTTGCATCAGGATGGGCGGCTCACGCTGGCTGGAGGCGATGTTCTCGTGGCAACGAGCACACGCTGAGAGGCCAAGTGCGAGTATAGCCCCGATCCGGCCGGGGACGGCCCGCGTCGTACTCTTCTTCTTCGTGACCGGATGTCATTTCGTTGTTGCTAACGATGGTAAAAATCGTGGATGACTCAACTGTGTATCCGGGCACTACGGGTTGCCAACTCGACATTGCCAGGAAGCAGGAAGCCAATAGTAATGCCGAGAAGATGTGTGCAGAGCGAGAAGTATGCAGAGAACATATCTCGCAATGCCAAGTGAAATGCGGGTGTTGAGATGATACGGTCGGGTAGTCCGAACGGGTCCCTGTAGAGGAGGTGAGACGGCTTGCCTGGTCTGAAAGATCCTGGCCCCAGATAACCTCCTCGCCACGAGCTGTTCCCCTGGTATTGGTGTCGCTGGATGCCGCGTAAGGCTGCTTATCGTTGTATGGAGTCGTACCTGAAGTACGGTTAGCTACTTGATGACCCACGAACCAGCCAGTATCATGGTTACCTTTGTGCTCAGCAGGCTTGTCTCCGAATCGAGACGTGTCCACGTTGTCAGCTGGTATGCGCGGACATACATGGTGTTGACAACAGCCAATGAAGCTGTCTCGTGGAGACCGCAGCGACCTTGGGAAGGAATACCGGGCAAGGGTTCCGTCATGTCCAACGTCCCGGCAGCGACACCGTCCTTAAATGCAGTTTAACGTCGTGCTGGACGCGGCCCTGCATAGGGGGATATTTTCAGGGGATATTTTCAGGGGATATTTGAAGAGATCTGGTCGGCATTGAAGATGGTATTCGTGTGCATCGTCGAGGTTCTCTCCATCTTCTCCATCATCCTCGACCCATTCTGCCTCTGACATGTTTCGGACCACTCCGCTCTTGACATGAACGTAGCTGCTGTGTCGAGGCCGAACAGGCTGTGTCAGGAAGCATCCCGTGAACAAAGGAATCAGCAGGGAGATCGACGGCCCCCGAATCAGCAGGGGAATCGACTCGATGAAGTCCTTCATGGCATTGTACGGTACAATAACCACGAAGTCTTAGGCTACCGGATTGGCAGCGGTAGAGGGCACCGGGGCAGGAACAAGTATAGTGACGACGGCAACGTCACGAGAAGGCGTCGATGCCGAATCACCCACAGCGCCGGGACCATATTGCTGTAACGCTATCTTGCGTGGTGTTCGTCAGCGTCTGTGCTTCCTGATTCACAAGTCAGCTTCGTGATTCTCATGCGAGGCCGCAGCACAAGATCACAGCAGAACCCAAAGACTGCGGCAGAACCTGGTTTAGGAAGCGAAAGGCAGGAAAGGCCTTACAGAAGAAGAGGTGTCGCCCTTGCATGATGTCGAGTGCGGCCCGAACGGAGTATGTGCATGCGTAGCAGAAAGGCTTGTAGCGCGGGGAGGGATGTTGATGCATTGGCAAGGCAGGGGAGAGGGAATGACTTACCTGGATGCAAAGTGGTTTGGTCGCGTCGTTGAGGAGCAACAGCTCGGTTGGTCATGATATTCTGGGTGGCAGAGTCGTCACATGCTGAGGTGGGGGTTGGCGGTATTGGAGATCCTCATTGGAACCGCAACCGGTTTGCCATGGGCAGGATCAGTTCCCCCCAAGGTCGAGGAAGAAAGACCAGGTCATGCTGTGTGATGGTGGGCACGTGTGAGTGACGACACTGCCAGTGTTGGGCAAGTAAGTAGGAATATGGAAGAGGACATACCTGTTGGTGCACCCCATCCAAGGAGGAGGATGTGTGCGTTGGGTGGCTAAGCCCATGGTTGGGGGAAAAGGTTGGAGGTTTGGAGGACTGGGGAAAATATCTGCAGTATTTGTAGGAAATCTCTTCAGTTGCTCAGGATACAATCAATGCCAGGTGAGCACAATGGGTTGGTTGCCAGTACAATGGGTTGCCGTGGTGAGGTCGCCGATGTGCCATTGTCCCTGAGCTTGCTCTTCACACCGAAGCCCACACGCATCGAGGTAGACCCCTAGAACTACCTCCCCCGGGGGATAATCACTTTCATCACTCATCTATCACTACCAAAAGCTGCTTGCTAATTTTCATCTTGGTGGTTGGTGGATTCAACCTTCGCTTGACTGTCAACCCTCAACCTAGTCGCGAGATATCAGTTCAAATCAAATGAAGAGCTGGTCTTCGTGCCAGAACGGGGTTTCAAAAGCTCACACAAGAGACAACTACTGTTGCCCCCTTCGTCAATCATTCTAAAGTGCAGGCGAACAAGTGAGATGTGGTTGGCAAATAATTGCCAGTCGTAATCATTCCCCAAATTACGGCCATCCATCGCCCTTATTATACATGTACATGTCTTGAGTGGAAATATTACACGGAGGATGACTCCAATAGTACATCACGAATGCCCTTGCGAAGACCAAGAGATATCCTCATCTTCGTTGCTCTTACACTCCGCCCCTGATTGTTCAAGCATCGACAAAGGTCTTGACGTCCTTCAACCAAGTGTTGTATTCCCGCTGCTCCTTGAGGTCCATGTAGTCGGGCACGAAGACAGCCATGGCCTGCGTGACGCCGCGGTCCTCCAGGTATCGCTCCATCAGAATCTGCAGATCCTCGTCGAGGCTGCCGAACGGAGGGCCAGGGTAGGTGTCCTCGGCGGCGTGGACAGCCTCGGGGGTCTCGCCGTGGGCCATCTTGGCATCCTTGAAGTAGTAGAAGTTCTCGACGAGGATCTGTCCATCCTGCGCGACGGCCTCGATGTTCAGCGCACCCTTGTTGGGCTTCTCGACCACGATGTTCAGACGGCACGGCACGCCGGGCTCGCGCTCCTCTCCGTCCTCGACACCTTCTTCCGCCTCGGCCTCGGCCAGTTGCTTGCCCTCGGGGGTATCCAACTCCTCGTCGCCCAGCGCCGAGTCTTCGTTGTATTCGTCGGGCTCGTAGTTGGCGAGATCGGAGATAGAGAACGAGACAGTGATCCTACAAGGGGCGCATTGTTAGCACTAGAAGCAGCATGATAGAGCACGTAGAGCGACTGCCAAACTTACTTCTCATTCTCGTATGTCCGCGTCAGGAAGACGTCCTCCTTGCCGGACGTGTCCTTGAGCTCGAACGGGCTGTTTTCGAGAAAGTCCTTGACGCTGGCGGGTACCTGCTCGCTCTCCTTCAGCTCGCCCTCGAACTGGAGCTCGCTCTCAAGCTTGACAGACAGCTCCTCGTCGACGGCGCTATTCGCCGATTGTCTGAACGGCGTCGTCGAGAAGGCGGATGTGAATTGTGAGGTTCGGAAAGGCGTCCATGAGGACTTCAGCAGCTGGGAGCTGGGGCGAGCTGCTCTGGACTGTCGCAATGCGGTGGAGCTCAGACGGGTTAACGTGCGAGGCACAGACCGCGCAACAGCTCGAATAGACATCATCTTGAAAGAATTTATGGATTGAAAGAGTTCAGCTGTAGGGGAATAAAGGATTGCGGATGGAATTGTTGTTGGGGTATCTCAAGGTTGGTAGGTTTGGTAGGTTGCGCTCGGAAGGGGTCCTGTCTGCTGGAGCTTAGAAAATTTACTTGACGTCGCGATGGAATGATTTTTGCTGCGCACGGGCCAGAAACAAGGTCCCCGAGCTAAGATGCACGCGCATTGCCAGTCGACGGGTCTTTGAGCGGCAGCTGCCACCAGCTGCGTGCAGGTCCTGACAACTGAGATGGCCTATGTAGTCCGCAGGAGAGAAAGGAGACGATGAAGTGGTAGAATAACATTCAACACTAGGATGGAGCAGAGTGACCATACAATGGCTCATATATATCATGTATAATAGCTAACTGATAAAGTTCCGCCCACAAACACAAAAACCTGATCAGAGCCGGCCACCGTTTCGATGAGCAGCGATACCCCCTTGGATAAGACAGCCACCTTAAAATGTCGTTATACATCAAATGTAGGTATGAAACCCACAGTCCAAGTCCATTGCGGTTTTCTGCGCCTTATATATCGAGGGTGGCGTGAGGATTCAGAGGAAGTTGAGCCGCATTGCTCGAGTATGCGATATCCTCTCGATATCTTCCTTGCATTTCCAACATTGGTAGGGAGTCGTGCTGGGCTTGGTGCCGATGCCTCTCCCGCAACTGCCAAAGACGCCGCTCTTCTTCGCCGACGAGCAGGACTTCTCGGAGATCAGGACGGTTTCCTCGTGCGCGCAGAGGTAGCAAGTCCTCGTATGCGTGACATAATTACACATCTCTACAAATGGTCAGACTAGGCGGAGAGACGTGAGTGCACGCACCTACTGTAGAGCTCGGCGATGGTTGCTCGCATTTGTTCAATCTTGTGTGTTGGTATTGCTCCTCCGGGATGGAAGTGATCGGCATGTTCACGACACAGCTGCCTTAGTCCCACCTTATACATAGAAAACCCATGGTACCTAACCACATAGTCTTCGAGGAGGCTTCTGCAGTGTCCTCTCTGCACGTGTGACTTGTCTCTCCTTCGCCGCAGTGTAGTATATGTCAAGCCAATCAGGTCTTAGTCGGCACGGAGCAGTGATGGTTCTGGTCCAGACTACCAAGGAATAAGGCGAGGGATCCTCCCTCCCACGGCTGGAGTACCCCATCAGACCGCCGGCGGTTCTGGTGCACAATCCGTTTGAAGTGTGCTGGCGGCGTGCGTATCCGTGTGTGGGGGGTTGACGCCGGAGAGGGAGGAAGGAAAGGTTGTGAAATGTCACACGTTCGTAGTCTGAGGATGAAGTGTTCGGCTTAAATATGAGTAAAGACGTAAGGGAGCTGCGGTCTAGAGACGATGAACTGTCTCTATAGATTCCAAGGATCTGGATCCCAGGTTACTGTGTAAGATCTCGGCTTCGTGGTACCAGGGCGGCCGCTTCCCGAGGACATACAAAGCAGATAACCTAGCATCATCATCGAAGGACACGTATCATCGTTGCAACCAGCGCCCAGGCCGGTCGACCCCCCCGCCCGCACTGGCAGTTGACGACGAAGACTACGCATAAGCACCGCTGTCATACCAAGGATAGTAGAGCGACAGAAGGGCAGAACTGGCTGCCAGATGCTCCGTTAGCCTCGGATTGTTGCCAAGGAGGCTGAGACATCGTGTATAAGGCGGCTTCCACTGGTCGACAGCGTAATATTGCAAGTCGCAGGTGGGGTTCCTCAGTGGTCGTCAGATTCTGCCGCCGCAGAACCAAGTCCTAGGTTTTATATGCCGAGAACATCGAGCGGGAGCACATTTCGCGGCTGCTGTGTACTATACTGCGGGTACCCGGAGAGTTGGTGAATCATCAATTAGAATGGCCAAGTCCCCGCCATGTCTCAGAAACTTCTTCGCCGTTGTGCAGCGACCCGTGCGCTGTGGATGAAGATAGAAAGACCAACCGAACGAAGACCACGTGGATGTACCACAAACTCCTGCAGATGCGGATATGTGTCATGCATAGGGACGGTATAACCCATCCTTTGCTCCTAGTGATCTCCTCTGGGAGGGAAACTGGAAGGTTGGACGGTGCCGGCAGACGACACCCTCACCCACTTCATAGCCGTTAGATATGACCAAGAGCCTTCCCACCGGTCTAGCGACTCGGCATCCTCCTTGACATCAAGTACCGGAACCACTAGGGACATGTTAGTTCTTGTGTTGAGTACCAACCTCGGGTACTGTATTCACAAAAGCCATTTTGGTATTCCTTCTCTAGACTGGCGACTTTCATCTTCAGCAGATCTTCCCTGGCGCTCGCAGGCCGCCCTGGTCGTCGTGCTTTCTTGACTTCATCCAGTTCCTCATCGTACTGATGTATGTATCTAGGCGGGTATCAGTATGAACGATGACGAAGCACACTAGGGTGATGAGAGACTCACGTCTTTACGAGATCGTCAATGACAGTCCTCTCGAGAGGCTGACCTCCATTCTGCTTGATTGCCTCTTGAAAAAATGCTGCTCGCTCGACTGTAGAAATCGGGAATCAGCATCTGCGACCCCTTGTTTTCACGCTGCATCGGTTTAATGTGTTTAGAAATAATGCACGTACTGTGTGGCCGGTCATTCTTTTTTCTTGAGGCAGCGAGCTTCTCCAGCTTCTCGTCCCTGCCCTGGGCTCGGTGAAGCCGCTTGGAGTTGCGTGAGTTCTCATGAAGTGCGACGATAGAACCGCCCTTCTTCTTCGCAATGGCTTTGCGAGTGCGTTCAACCGTCTTTGGCATCGTGAAGGGGTATATGAGTATGCGGAGAATACCTGAAATCGGTTGTAACTCGCCAATGGATGGCAGAGAAGGACTCAGATCGCAAGGCTTTTCGGAGCGGGATCTTTGGTGGGGCAAGGGTGTTTCGTTTTGGGTGGCACACAGCTGAGTTCTCGTTCTACTGTTAACTACATATATTTGTTCCGTTTGTTGCATATACCCGGCAGACAAGGGCCAAGGGCAATCCCAGAAATAGATTTCCTTAGAGCGGCCCCACGTTGCTCTGTCGATGGTTCTGTGGTTCCGCTGGGGCAAACTGGGCAAGTCGCGGTCCAAGACGCGGTTGCTCATTTGGCCTTATCGATTGAACCAACTCGTCCTCCGTCGCGCTTGCCCTCCTTCCCATCGACCTCGCCATGTCATAATTTGGATTGAATTGAACTTCCAGCTTCGAGTCTCGGTGTTCACTTTTCTTCTCGGCATTGCAGTTGGAATAAATCGACCTGGAATCCCTTCACGCCGTCCCGCACAGCCCAGTGTGTAGTCGAACATCGTTCTTGGCTTGTTTACTTTGAGTTGCCGCCCACGACACACGATACACGCCACAGCTGCTCGTCTGGACCCTGCAATGCCGCATGTTGTCGGCCTCAGCTGATCTTCTGATTCCGCCCGTGTTTGCTTTCGACTGCTCACCTTTTGAGAGCTGCTTTCCCTTCGCCGCAATCGACCTACATAACTTTCCGGATGGCATCGCGCCAACAGTAACTCGGTGCCAATCGAACACCCTACCTTGCCGCGATCGGCAAGATGGGTATCCAGGGTCGGTCCAAGTCATGTTAGCCCAACCTCTGGACCTTCATTGACCGTCGTCCAGGCCTCCTTCCGTTGCTCAAATCCATACATCGACCAACCGAGTTGAAGAAGTTTTCCGGAGAGACGTTAGGAGTCGATGCCTATGGCTGGCTGCACCGAGGCGCGACGGCGTGCGCCATAGAGCTTGCCGAAGGCAAGCCAACGCGCAAGTAAGTTGATTGCTTAGCATCTTACGCCGTCTTACAGATCATCCAACCTTACAATCTCTCCCAGATATGTCAACTTCGTGATGAACCGTGTACGTATGGCTAAGCACTTTGGCGTGACGCCCTACATGGTTTTCGACGGAGACTACCTACCCAGCAAGGGCCTCACTGAAGATTCTCGCAACAAAAGTCGAGAAGAACACAAGAAGGCCGGGCTCGAGTTCTTGAAGGCAGGGAAGCCCTCTCAGGCGCATCTTGAACTTCAAAAAGCCATTGATGTCACCCCCGAGATGGCCCGCCACTTAATCGAGGAACTGAAGAGAGCCGATATTCCTTACGTGGTAGCACCATACGAAGCCGACGCACAGCTGGTGTATCTCGAGCGCCAAGGCCACATCAGTGGCATCATCTCCGAAGATTCAGATCTGTTGGTCTTTGGTGCAAAGCGACTCCTGACCAAACTGGACCAACATGGCCAGTGCGTCGAGATCAATCGGTGCGACTTCTGTTCTTGTCGCGAAGTCTCTCTGACCGGCTGGACTGATGCCGAGTTTCGGCAGATGGCAATCTTCAGTGGCTGCGACTATCTCGACAGCGTTCAGAATCTCGGGTTGAAGACAGCACATCGGATGATTCGAAAACACAAAACGCCCGATCGAGTCCTCCGCATGCTACAATTCGATGGCAAATTCCGCGTCCCCGCAGAGTATCCGACACTCTTCCGCCAGGCCGAGCAAACGTTTCTCTATCAATGGGTGTTTTGCCCTAAAGCAAACGGACTTGTTCACCTCACCTCGCTTCCGTCCGACATCAATGTAGACGATCTTCCTTTCATCGGTTCTTTCGTCGAGCCTGAGGTCGCGCGGAAGGTTGCGAACGGAGACTTCAACCCTATGACCAAGCAGGAGATCATAATCGACACACTACCTTCCCCGAGAAAGCGAACTGCATCTGTAGCCAGCGGCAGCGCAGCGCCGTCCCGAACCATGCAGAAACCACCCACCAAGCCGATTGACTCCTACTTCAAGGGCCACCGCCGAATTCCTCTAGGTGAAATGGAGCCCAATTGCTTCACAGTTGATCCTGATCGGGTGTCTACTATGACCGAGAATGGGGAACGACCGATCGTCTTCCCGCTACCGAGACCCTATATCGACGATGTTGATTCCAGATCTGGTACTTCCCGCCACTACATCAACCAATCCGGCAATTCGGCACGTACACTGCGTCGCCGAACCGAACCTGTGAGCAATTTACTCAGCAACGGCGGACATTCTCTGGCTTCAAGCTCTCGGCGTCAAACCACTGGGCCAGACAACCGACTGTTTAACGCCACCCACGTGGCAGCCACCAGTGTCACTAGGTCGCCTAAGAAGGCGCGCCTTTGCGATGAAGCAAAACCAGGATTCAGTCCCGGGAAGGAGAAGAGCAAATTCTTCTCTCAGAGTGGCGCAACAGCATCGCCAGCTACGAAAGGAGATGGGTATCTTATGTCGGACGACTCAATAGAGGAAGCTCTAAACGACCTGTCCGACGTCGATGGCTGGGCCGCAGTGGGACGGGGTCACAAGACAATCTCGGTCTACGATGGAGAAGTTTCGCAAACGACGACGACGGAGGAGGGAATACCCAAGGATGACGAACAAAGCGAAGCGGACATATTCACAGACGAAGCCGCTGTGGTCCACAACACGGTGATTCCTGACACCCCTCCGAGGAACAGCGTCAGCCGTTTCTCCTTCGCACCCAATCCATCAATGAACGGGTCCCAAAAGGCCATGCAAACGTCACGTAGACTGAGTACAACAACATCCCGCCGCAGCTCGGGCATTACAATGACGCCAGGCTCGTCTGTAAACACATCCATGATGTCTTCTACTCCAACGTCCTCACTCGGCCAACACTCCACGACCAAGTCGACACCGGCCACGACGCCACGGCTAACCCCCCTTCAGCGACTAGGGGCTTATGCCCTCAACCGGAACAAACAGCCGCCTACGCCTACGTTTGTAGCACCCCGACCGCCGAAGCGATCCAGCCTTGGTCACATGAGTCTGGAGTCGATGCCGATCAACCCGGCGTTTGTCCCGTTGCCGCCTGTGGACTTGGATGAAGTAGAAGCCCTGCACGAGCCTGTCGGCAGCGAGGATCTGCTAGTTCCGGACAGCGAGGGCGAGGAAGCGGGAGAGGGGATAGAGAACATGGTGCATGGCAAGACTAAGAAAAAGCAGATGGACTTGGCACGATTCCTCTTTGCTTGAGCGAGAGATGCACGGATTATGGGCAGTGTGTGTATGCAGATACAGAGCTGCTGTGTGAGTCAGGAGAGAAAGTGGCACTCGGTGCTTTGGGCATGCATGGCGTTTATAGGTGCACAGCGCCGGAGTTCATGGTCATGGGAGTATGGGGTAGGATTGGGCGGTCAGGACTCGCCTTGACTTGTAGAGATATAGTATACGACTTCGTCGCAATGCACCATAATTACAAGTCTTTTTTCCACAATAGGCATCAGGTTTTCGGTTTGTATTTTACTGTTGAAGTCTCAGATGATTTTCAAGTGCTCGTTACCTACCAGCGAGGTAACAGAAGAAACGCCGAATCTCAGACCTGAATAAGACAGCGTTAGTCACAATTCTATTTACAGTGGTGCTATTCCATTGCATTACCCCTGAATCAACACCGAGCTTGGATATTTTGGTCACCTGATATGTGAGTCATTCCATTGACAGCCTTGAGTCTATCAGTACTGAAGTTGCCACATTCTGAAGAATTCTCCCCCTTATTACCCTATTAAAGTGGATTGGCCGAAGAGTCAAGCAAGACTCATACCCGTAGCGGCGCCTGCCTGCCTGCCCTGCCTGCCTGGTCTAGGTACCGTAATAGCGTAATAGCGGGGGCAGGGGGCGGGCCCCACTGGAGATATCCATGGATGGCAATTGGATGCCACTTCGGTTGCGTCACAGGATGCTGACCAGTGACCAGTGACCGCTGACCGGGAATCTGCTATCGTAATCGGGCAGCGCTACGGGCAGCAACGCTCTAGCCGTGCCCCGCACCACTTTCCACCTCGCTAGGGCTCACCACATAAAGTGGTGCTCACCACAGTAGCACACCAACCACAATAACACACCAATATGAGGTTATTGAGCATTAAAATTTACGTAGCGATTGTATCTTCTTGCCATATTTGTTAATAATAGCAGCAGGCAGTCTTTTAGTAGTCCTCTAATGCCTGACCAACTTTACTGCCTCCTTAGCGAGGTTTTTTCGTGATTAGAGCTCCTTCTTTGCCAGGGCATCTGTCTTCTTTTGGAGGCCTGTTGTGGTCTTCTGCTCCTTTTTTCTTGCTATTTTATGCCTGATTTCAACTATAAGTACTCCTCTTGATTAGCAAGGAGTGCTTTTTACATACTTACATTGTTTATTAACTCAAGAAGCTAATTCGGTTCTTTCAAAGTCCCTTTTGGTCTGGACTAGCTAGGAGGGGTAGAAGCGCGTCCCTTTAGATAGGAGCCTGATCCTCTCAATATCTTTAAGAGTAAGATCTTTGCCATCGTCTAGGTTATTCAAAGCCTCGTTTACTTAATAAGCGACTTTGTGAATCTACCGCATTGTAGCTGGGGTGGCAACTGGAGAGAAACCAGGCTGGCTAAGGGGAGATGACGGGGTCCTCGCACGAGCTTCGCGCTCCTTCAACTGGTTCATCATAACTGACGGTTTGAAGGGATAGATGCCCAATTTTTTGAAGACAGAGAGGATATTGGTCTTTTTAAAAGCTTGCTGGTGAGCCTTTTCAATACACGACAGGAACTCGATCTTCCCGATATGCATAAAACCATCACGCACTATAATATCCAGGGCTTTAACATAGTAGTGCTTTAAAGGCTAGAAAATCACTACATCGAGCGGCTGTAGTAAATGCGTCATGTTCAGAGGGAGACCAAAAGGGATAATGCCGTTATCATCATAATATCTAATGAACTGTATCGTGTGGTGGCTACCGTGACCGTTAATAATTAAGAGCCTCTTTATAACAACTTGAGAGGTTTTAGAGTGCTTGTTGAAGTGCTAAATCAACTTTAGGCTGATCTCGTCGTTCAAATAACCACTTTCCGTGGTTGCAATTGCCATCCTGGGGTCTAATTTGGGTACCTTGTACCATAGAGACATGTGAAAGGTGCCAGAAAGGATAAAGAAGCCTGGAACAACCTCGCTTGCGGCAGAGATAACTTCTATGCTAGTATCAGACTTCCTATTCTCTGGTATCTCAAAGTAATGGGTTCTTTTTTGCTTGGTGATGACCATCTGGTTTTTTCCAACCCTTAATCAAAAGCCAGTCTTGTCCATGTTCCACAGGTTGTCAAGAAGGGTGCCCTCCTCCCTGATGACCCTTCTCAGCTTTTAAAAGTACTCTTCAGTACGTTTCAAGTCTTTAGCAGCTTATTGATCTTATAAAAGGACCTTCTGAGGCTACTTGAAGTATCCGTGGCGCTTGATGAAGCGGGAGGCCCAATTCTTGCCAACTGTAGGTAGTTCCGTGACCGCGGTACTCGCCGACTCTTGGAGCAGCAAGTTGGCAGCCTCTGTGATGAATTCTGGCCCCACGAAGAGATTAATGATATCTAGGCGGTTAATATAAGCACAAACGGCCTTTTCTTGTATTGCATTCAGCTTGATGGGTGGTTCTCGTGATCCTTTTTTAGAAGGGATGCCCTGCAGGCAGTTATGGAAGCGCTCCCTTAGAACCCCGAACTGGCGGCAGATACTACGTTCAGAGGCATCCAGATACTTGCCGGCATATTCTACGGCTTTGTGAATACGGGATTCTATCATAAAAAAGTCGTTCGTCCAAAGAGACAATGACTTTGGTGTGGTTTTGGCTGGAGGGTGGTTATTTTGGAAGACTGGTGTGTTATTGTGGTTGGTGTGCTACTGTGGTGAGCACCACTTTATATGGTGAGCCCTAGCGAGGTGGAAAGTGGTGCGGGGCACGGGTAACTTACCGTCTGTGACTTTAACGGGAATCTTCAACCAACAACACCATCTTATCATCCACCGGGCTCTCTCCCAATACCCAATACCCAATACCGTCAAGTCGCTGTCGGTATTGCCCCGTCACCCGTCACCCGCACTTTGGGCCACTTCGTTACTTTCCCATGCCTTCTCCTGACCGTGCATTGTGGAAGCGCCTTTGATCCAGCACTGCCTTGTCCGCGTCGTTTCCTGTAACGGCTGCCTTCGATTTCCCCCTTGTCCCTCCTCCGAGCTTCCGCCAGTCACTTGTCCATCTACCAAGTTCTGTTGCTTGTTGCTCAGTAAAGAACTTGCACCCTCCACTAGGAACCGCAGCCAGCCTTGTTGATGACCTGACTTTCGGACCCAACCATTGTGTTTCCGATTCCGACCACCCTACAAACGCACAACCACAAGCTCCGTACCTACCTACTTGCCTACCTATCTCCCCGAGTCTAGGCACTGCGTGACACGACCCGCCACCCTGCTCCCAAGGTACGCTCCGACGTTAGAGCCGCGATCATAGCACCATCAAAAGCTCGTCAACGGCGAGTCACTTCGAAATCTCCCTCCCCGACCGACAAGATTCCTCCCACTACCAGAAAGCGCAAGGCGGAGGAGGCGACGGTATCCTCCAGTACCCGCGACGCGCTTCCGAACAAACGAGTCGTCGCCGCCTCTGCAGCTGCCGCACCACCCACTCCCGCTACAGCCATGGATTCCGATGACGACTTCATCTCCAACATGTCGAGCGAGGACGATGTCATGCAGGACGACACCGATAACGATGACCTGTCCGCTGCGGACGAGGGTATGTTATATTTCTACATTTCAAACGTGGCATCTCCATGCAGCAATCACCACATAGCTCCTTGATATTGCCGCAAAATACTAATGTTTGTGTCTAGAGTTCGATGTTTTTGATGACGAACCCGATGACAACCCCGCAGTCACCTCGATGAAGTCTGACAAGAAGAAGGGCGTGTCGTTTGATGTCAGTTTCAGGGTGTACAGGCCTATCGACGTCCAAAACCAGCAAGACGAGATGATTGACGAGGTCAACATGATCCTAGAGATGAAGAAGGAAGATGCTGCCATCATGCTACGCCACTTTCGGTGGAATAAGGAACGACTGATCGAGGACTACATGGACAACCCAACCAAGGTCCTCGAAGCGGCGGGCTTGGGACCTAGCTCCTCGAGACCACCCGAGTTGGAAGTGATACCCGGCTTCATGTGCGACATATGCTGCGAGGATGAGGACGGCCTGCTCAGCTTCGCCATGAAGTGTGGGCACCGATATTGCGCTGATTGCTACAGGCGATACCTGACCCAGAAGATCCGCGAGGAGGGCGAAGCTGCCCGTATTCAATGCCCAACAGACGGATGCCAACGCATTATGGATTCTCGGTCGCTCGATATACTCTTGACCTCGGACCTGAATGAACGATACCGAGAACTGCTCAACCGTACATTCGTTGAGGACAAGGATATTCTGAAGTGGTGTCCGGCCCCCGACTGTGAGAATGCCGTCGAGTGCGGCATCAAGAAGAAGGACCTAGACAAAGTCGTCCCCACCGTTGACTGCGCCTGTGGCCATCGCTTTTGCTTTGGTTGTTCGCTTAACGATCATCAGCCTGCGCCATGTGAACTTGTCAAGAAGTGGCTCAAGAAGTGCGCCGACGACAGCGAAACAGCGAACTGGATATCGGCAAATACGAAGGAGTGTCCAAAGTGCAACTCGACCATCGAGAAGAACGGTGGTTGCAACCACATGACGTGCCGCAAGTGCAAGCACGAGTTCTGCTGGATGTGCATGGGCCTGTGGTCGGAGCACGGCACCGCCTGGTATAACTGCAACCGGTTCGAGGAGAAGAGTGGAAGCGAAGCGCGGGATGCCCAAGCTAAGTCCCGGGTTTCCCTGGAGCGCTACCTTCACTACTACAACCGCTATGCGAACCACGAGCAGTCGGCCCGCCTGGATAAGGACATGTATCAGAAGACAGAGAAGAAGATGGTGCAGCTGCAGACCGCATCTGGCATGTCCTGGATCGAGGTGCAATACCTTAACATGGCCTCGCAGGCACTGCAAACTTGCAGACAGACGCTCAAGTGGACCTATGCGTTTGCCTTCTACCTTGCTCGGAACAATCTCACGGAGATCTTCGAGGACAACCAGAAGGACCTCGAAATGGCCGTCGAGGCTCTGTCCGAGATGTTCGAGAAGCCCATTACGGAACTGGCCGACGCCAAGCTTAAGGTGGACATGATGGACAAAACGGCCTACTGCAAGAAGCGTCGGGTCATCCTCCTTGATGATACAGCCGACAATCTGGCAAATGGTGAGTTCACTCCGTGACGTGAAGACACCAAAGACACTAAACCAATACCAAACTGACCACCACACAGGGAGATGGACATTCAGTATAGACCTGAAGGGTCTTACTGCTGGAGCTGGCAGCACGGGTCCCCGACGATAGACTGTAATTGTATGGGTTAGATAGACTGGAATCATGGCCGGGAGTTAGGAGTCTGGGAGCTGCCGGATGGATGGCTGCTAACACTTTATCATATTGCACAGACATACCATGTTCTGTTTGTTCCTTTCGTTGGTGATGCACTCCATTCTGACGGAGTAAGGAACTGCCCGTGACGTGGACCATGAAGTGGTTGAAGTTCCTACTGAGGCATACGTGCTGTGTATTCTGCAAGCCCGTCTTGACACATAGGCTCCTCGTGGCACGGAAGATGCACCTCCAGCGCATCTGGTGTAAACATACTACACTGGACCCCCAGAAGTCTCCGTACATCAAATACCTACCTGACCAATGGCCTACCTCAGAAGGGTTTTCTTGAATTGTAGCATAAGCACTCCGGACCAATCATGAAGAATGGTTCTTTGGGATATATTCCCATATACATGTCTGTTTGTTCCACGATCAATTACTATTTTGGGTGGGGAGTAAGGAGTAGGGGGAACCAAAGTGCGCGGGCGCAGGCTTATGAGGGGTGACAGGACATACAGTAAGACACATTTCTGGCCGGGGCGAAGTTTAGGGTATGGTGTGGAATACATGTCATCGGTAGAGGTTTGTGTCCCTTTGAGAGACGGGAGAGACGGTGTCTCCCTAGGTAGTAGGAGCTCTGAATCGAAGAAAGACTCAGGTTCAGAGACTTAAGATATGTGTATATTACTGGTAGGGGAGTCTGCTGTCGGCAAGGTCTACGACCATTTGGTGTTTGAGTCTGATTTGTGCCCTGTTCGAAAGATGCCGGCTCTGTTGGTTTTTCGCTGCTCGAGCTACGGGGTGCGGGATGCTGTTGGTCAGGGATAGGTACCTAGAGCGATGTGAGCTTCCTCGGCCCTTCGGGATCGTGGCACAATGCCGGGCAAGGCTGGGGCCGGAGCGGGTTGAGTATGATGGAATATAAAAGGGGTATTGGTTTGGTCTGATAGGTTTCCAGGCTTGATTTGTTTCGCGGTCCCTGCTGGTTGGGTTAAGGTGTCTCCTTCCGTGTTGTCCGGTGTGCCCGTGATTCCGCGTGTATGTGCGAATGGATAGATAGATGGATGTATGGGTGGGTGGGCGATACAGGCACGCGAGAAGGCTTGGGTGAAGCAGGACCTGGGGTGAAGTTTACGTGGAGGTAGGTCACCGTTGTTGCTTTTGGTCCTTAGACGCGTTCACGGGAACTAAATATGACGAAGACGGTACCGTACTGTACACATAGTGCTTATGCATTTCGCCGGGCCTGTCACTTGGGGGTTGTGAACAGCCTACTTACATGTTTGGATCTGGGATTGCCGGATGACGGAGACGGAGATGGAGACGTGGTTGCTCGGCTTGTTGGTGTTGTAGTTATTTTAGGGAGGCGTGACAGAGGTCTCATATTGACTACTTGCGGGTAGTTTATGTAGTTGAGCTTACTCGCCTCGGTCGACGCGCGTCCACGGTGTAGTTTTTCCAGATTTTTGGCGGCTGACAAACCTCTCGGGTGCTCGCGATTCCATCGTGGGCGTTCGTGTGAGGCGGAATCCGGCACTTGGAGATGGACGTGCCAGGGCCGGAACGGGGATTTCAGGGGCAGACTCACAGGAGCTTTTTTTTTTTTTTTTGGGAGGTGCTTTCGCAGTAAATTTTGGAGCAGACGACGGGCTCCTTGGAGTCCGGTCTATCCAAATGGAAACATGGATTGGTAAGGGTGTCGAGGCCGCTCAGGATTTCCTCGAGACTTTGGGAGTCACATGGCATGCAAGCGGTAAACCTATCACGTTTGCACAGTTACGGTTATGCGAAGGTATGCCGTGAACTATCGGAACCTGCTGCATGCAACGGGACTAACGAAGACGATTCATGCTCTGAGAACGAGCTGATAAGGACAGGTGACCGGGTGCAAGCTCAGGAGTTCCTGCACGGAGACTCAGACAGATCATTACGCTATCCCGGCCACAAGATGCGGCCGGGGCAGCATTGTTGCCTCTGATTGTTCAGTGACGATATTTATCTGAACTCCGCCCCCATGGAGAGCGAAAGCGCAGAAGTGGTGTCGAGGTGACCTGTAAGTATAACTAGTTCACTCCATCAGCAAGTGGACGGAAGAGTTCGCTACAGCCAGCCTCTCACGACTGGCAGACCGGAAAGGCATAACGATTAACGATGGGGAACAAGCAGATTCGCCAGCAACCCAGTTTTCAAGGGATATACACGCTAATTCGACGCGCCAGTTGCATCTACCTTACACTACTAGGCCCTCGTAACTCTAAGCCAGCACCTTGTCGGCCATGGTGGCTGTAGTCATGTCAGTCAATTACAGCTTGAACCCCCTTTTCGGCAAGATGTATTACTCACCATCAGTTCCCGTGTTGTCGGGCTCCACGTGGATAGACTTGACCTTGCCATCCTCGATGACCAGGGCGTACCGCTTGGCTCGCATGTTTCCAAAGACAGGGATCGCCTCGAAGCCGAGTTCCAGTGCTTTGGTGAATTCACCCGCGGGGTCTGCCAGAAATCGGATCTATGAAGTTGTGAGCGGCTACCTTGTGATACGTGACATTACTTAGAGGCGGCACTTACTCCGGACTCCTTGGTGGGGTCGAGCTGATCAGCCCAAGCTTTCATACTGTTGAGGAATCAGCGGTGACTTTTTAACAAACAGTGAGCAATGGAAAAAGAGTATGCGACTCACACGAAAGCATCGTTGACACTGACGACGAAGACCTGACCGGCATCTGCAATGTTGGGGTGGTTGATGTAGCTCGGGATGTGCTTCTGGGAGCAGGCGCCGGAGAAGGCGGCGGGGACACCGATGATGAGGCCGTTCGCGATGCCGGTGCCGAACTCATGGGCCAGGCTGACCTTGTTGGCGGGCGAGTCCTCGTGGAGCACGTCCATATCGGGCACGGCGTCGCCGACTTGGACGAAGGCGCGCGGCGTGCTGTGGAATGGGCGGCTCGCACGGAGGGGCGCGGCGACCATTGGCCGGGAGAGGGAGGTGGGGACGCAGCGGAGGGCACGGAAAGCCATTGTGAGTGAGTATATGTGTTCTTTAGGTGGCAATTGACAGTGTTGGTATTGGGCTGTGTAGCTTGTGAGTGATTATGTACGCAAGTTGAAGCTCCGGAGCTCTGGCGGGTGTCACATCTGAGACCTTGGAAGTATCGTTGGCAGTTGCACATTGCAAATGGAGCTTAGGCCAGCCAGCTATGACGTTAGATATTACAGTATTTATGCGATCAACAACACTGTGTTCTTTCGCGGTAAACCCCTGCCACACGCCGGGCTTTGAACTGGGAGGTACAGTGCGCGCTGGATACACTGCTAAGGTTACTTACCTCTTTACTGTTGGTCTTTGCTCGATTCCAAATCACCGCCGACACATTCTCAACTCTACAAGGCGCTGCCGCCCATCCAATCTCACACTCACCACGACTCTCACAGATGTGTATCAACATCCCCATGCCCGACTGTTACCCTTCGCACCCGTTTGGCTTGGGTCGGTCTTGTTGTTCTGTGCAGCTGGCTTATGGCCCGATAACAAGCAGATGGTCGATGGCCAATTAACCCGCCGCGCCATGCCCTCATTCGATGTTTGGATCGAGCACATGACATAAATGCCACATCGGATCTTACAAGTCGGCGTGGAAGCCGTTCGGCGGGTTTTGTACACCCCGATCAACCACCTGCTTATCTCCCATCATTCCACTCCGTCGTCACCACCACCATTGGTTCCAATGAGGAGTCGCCTGTCATCTTCCTACCGTCGTGGTGACTCTGTAGAGCACCATCCTGATCGGTATGTGCCGTGGCGGAAAGCTCTGGCCAAGCTCCGGACAGTCTTCCCCTGCCAGGAAGGTGGAACGACTGGCCGTCACCTTCACGTCTGCTGGTGCTGCTGTCGTCAGAACAGACAATTCTGATGGCCATGACCCCGGATGCGAAAGTGAGAATATCCCTCCACGACCCAATGTGGTACGCGATCTTACGCGTTTGACATCCTAGCTCTTTATATCGACGTTTAAGCCGCCTTGTCGCCTGGTGAAAGAGATATATCATCGACGGCGGACAATCATGTGTGACATGCACCGTGGACATGCCAACTTCGGGGTAACATCGATACCACTGCACCACGTTTGTCCCTCCAACAGCTCGCCCAGTAAGCGACCAAAGCTACTTAACCATGCGGAACATCCAGATCGTCCATACATGCCGAAGCAACCGGCCGGGTATGTTGATCATGAGAGCTCACCCACTGCCCGAGAGGGCCATCTCACGCCGTGGATCTCAACCAGACTGACCTATTTCGGACTTCAAGTGCTACCAATGATAGATCTGCCGATATCACCAATCAGCAAATGACGACGACATGGACTGGCTCGATAGCTTCAGAGAAGACCAAAGTAGGCAGTCGACAACCTTTCTCAACCCGCCAGATGCCTTGGGCGCCGCCAAGTCGCTTGCCGTTCTTTCTCTCCAGAGCGTCATCACGACTCGCAATCAGACACAGTAAGACTATGCATGCTCGCTTCTTGTCCCCGCCTTATCGATGCCTACTCTCCAGTCTTATCTTGTCATAAATGCAGTTATATGCAAAGTCCGTGTCCTTGCTTAGATGGCTTCGCCTCTTCTGTATGCTGGGGGTAAGTCGTTGTCACCCAAGTGTGTCACTTTGCCTTCGTGAAGTGGGTGGTTGCTACGGGTGCCGATAACACTCTGTGTATCGGGAGTTCGTGAAAGGGCTCCTAAATTGCAACCCGAATTCGTGATTGGAAGCTACAGATACCCATCTATACTCTGCAGTCGATCGTTGCCTGAATGCCGGGTCGACTTTCATCGCCATTTTGTTTATCATCATAGCTTCGTCCCCGGCTCTGCGCCAGGTCCCAGTCAAGTGCTTCTACTCTGGCTGGTCTGGAAGTGCACAGACAAGCATACGAGATGTCTGGTCAGCTGCCCCATGGTGCCGAGGGTGCTGCTGCGTTGACTGTGATATTCGCTGCTGTCAGTTGGATATGCTCGGCGTTCATGATATGGCTCACATGGACGCATAACGAGAGAATATCGTGTGAGTTCAGCCAAGTCTATGCTCTATCTCCTGTCCACGGTGGTGCACATCTAACCATCGTGTGCCAGATGTCGCCTGTGTAGCTTATTTCACACTCCTAAGCACGACGGCTTCCTTCATCCAGCAGATACACGTCATCGCCTTCTACCGCGATGACATGATCAAGGAGTTTGAGCGCAAGACCGCGCACCCCAATGCCGATAACATCAACATCGCGAACGGCTCCGTCGGCTTGGATTTGGCGCTCTTCTACGTTCAGTTCTTCTGCTACAATGTCGAGTCCATGTTCATTATGTTCTGGTCAGCGAACCTCCCCTTTTCGGCCGTGCTGCAACTTGCGACATGGCAACCCGTGATGGGAAGCTAATGTGACCTTGCAGGGCGTCCGAGCTGGCGCAATCCATCTACGGATTGACCGAGAAAGCGGCCACGAGACGAATACTATGCAAGGTCAATGCAGGCGGCAAGGTAGTGGCTGTCATCTTTCCCCTTGCTATCGTGCTTGCTCTCCAAGCGCCATCAGTACAGAGCCATCTCCATCGTTTTGTGGTCCTGGCTGCTGTTCCTCGTAAGTCCACGACGCTGTCTGTTTTTCATTACAGATCATTGATATCGTCCAGTTTTCTTCAGTCTCGGCCTCGGCAGCCTGTTGCTGTTGGCTATTCTGGTGCGATACATACATAGCCGGCGGAAATTACGTCGCTTCAGTTCAAGTGACGGATACTCAACCGACCCAGAAAGCTCCCAAGGTGCGGGCAGGAGGGCCAGGGGGGTCAGATCCAGCTGGAGCACGCGGTCTAGCTCTACTAAAGGCATATACGATCGGTGGCTCCTGACGCGCTTCACTATCGGCTTTGTGCTGCTCACGTATGTATTCATTCCCATCCACTGCCCGCATCTGCTTGCCCCATCCACCTCCCAAGTGGTTGCATGACGTTTGTATAAGCAGCTGGCACAAATCAATTTATTCCGGGCACAGTGGACTGAACACTCAGCTGACCACTGCTTATTCAACTGCAAATTATCCATGCAACCCCTTGCTCCGACCCTTTTTGCGTACCTCACGCTGTTCGTCACATGAACCAAGTCTCTATACACTTAGCTTCATACCTTTATACACTATATACTGACTGATGCCCCCGACCAGCGTTTTTCAGATAGCCACCGTCCTCTTCCAAGACTTCTCAAAGCGAAACGCAGCAGAGGACGTCTCCTCAGGGACAGTCGACCTCAGCGTAGCCCGAGCTCGCGACACGCTGTACCTCTTCATTCCCGGGAATACCCCCGGGATCGCCATCTTCGTCGTGTTCGGGACCACGAGTGCGTTCCGGCGGCACATATACCGCACATTCATCCCAAGACGATGGCAGCGCAACCGTGCGACGTTTCTGCTTGAGGATGGCAGACCAGCTAGCACGAGTCCGGGCGCAAGTCCTAGATGCTCGACTATCACCGCGGTGCCTTCGCGGCAGGCCAGCTTCGTGAAGAACCACCGTAGGGAGCCAGGGAGTGGAAGCACCGTGTGTAGCGCCGCGAGTCGGGAGGTGGAGATGCAGACGACGGTCGCGGCGAGGAAGGAGAGTGGGAAAGGCAAAGAAGCAGAAGAACGCCTGGGCGACGTGGCGGAAATAGGTGTGGGGTATGGCGATGACATCCCGGCAGTCGCGAGACCCGCGGCTGTGATCGCTCCTGCGCTTGTGTATGGGCGCGGAGATCCAGAGCTGAGTGATGGTTCGAGAAATATCGTTGTTATTTATAAGTGTGGGGGCTCTTGGAGGCGGTGATGTGGTATTATATCAGGATGGCGCGCGGAATGGCACAATCATTGGCATACCTAAATTAGGTTTGATTCTGGTATAGTCCTGCTGCGTCAATGATACTCCACCAAGCACGAAACATCACCCCCCCTATTTCCCGATCTAGTACCCTAAATACGTCTCCCACGCGGCGCAATTATCACACATATCGCTTCGTCTTGACATGAAGGTGGGTCCATCGACGATGCCCTCGGAGCATTGACCGAGGGGCAATCCGTCCTTGACTGCATCCTTGCACCTCGTGCGGCTCTTCTCAATCCTCGTGTTGGGGATGAAGTGGCTGGCGTAGACGCACCATTCTGCTTTGTAGAGGATTTGGCACATGGTTGGCGGTGAAGGGTTGAGGGGCTAGTTATGAGGGTGAATTGCTGGATGAAGGGGAAATTGGCTGTGGTGTATGTGCGTGAATATGTGGGTAGAGATATATATTTTTGGTATTTGATGTGTTGCTTGGCTTGTACGGAGGGATCTGCTGTTTGGTTCCGGCCAGACTATATATCTCCTAGGGTAAATGGATTGACTTGTTATACGTCACGCCATATGTCAGCTGTATTTGGCGTTATTATCGCAGACTTGGTCTGACAAGGCGCTACGCAATGTGACCCCCTGGGCTCTTCATGAGTTATGTATCATGACTGGGACGTCTCTTCGAATGTATATTGCAGGTCAACGAACAGTCGTATCTATTTCTCATTGCCATCATCTGCTGTTATCATCACTCCATCAAACACCAGGTAATCGTGTGGCCGATGGGGGTAGTTAAACCGAGAACCTGACGCCACCCCCTATCTCGCAAGCCAGCAGTTACGCCGACTCACGGCAACGTGGAAATATTCATCTGCTTAACTCACGGCGATCAGACCTGTTCCACCCTCGGAGTATCTACAGTCCGAGAAATCATCGTTCGTCAGGGACCCACGTATCCAGCGCAGTTTGATGGCCCTCGCGGCCCGCGGTAGACGCCCGGCAGCGCCCACACCACCCAGCTGGCATTGTTGTGGACGGTAGAATTGCGCAGGCGTTTGATCTGGGTCTTCTTGAATAGGTGGGCGTCCTTCTCGCGGCCGAACTCGGTTACGATCGCGGGTGTCAGGCGGTTCGCGCCGGCTCGCAGAGTAGTCGCCAAACACATCGCAGGCGGCCGGCGGCTGGATGCCGAGCGCGTTGGGCCCTGAGCTCGCGCTTATATAGCTCTGCCTTGGTGATCTAGCTGCTGTCGGTGAGGACGGTCTCGGTTCAGTGTGTACATGTGCAGCTCGAAGACAACGGGGTCGGCGAAAGGCGTGTCTCGTCGAGCCTGAAGACGAGCGATGCGTCGACAGGCCCGGCTCTTGATCATATCGGAAGAGGTTCTGGTAGCAGCCGCGCGTCAGCAGGGTTTTTGTCCGTCACCGACTGCTGTAACTTCAGCCACACCAGGCATGCTTACATGTACCACTCAGGGGTCCTGACAGCAACCCTTGCAAGAGGCTCATTACGCTGGTTGCCGACATGGGCGTCCTTGAGTCCGGAATGGCGCATACGGCCAGTCATCGATGGACTGGAGTGAGGACCGGGCTTGGAAAGTTTACCGCGTCATGGCACAGCCCGCGAGCGCGAGGTCGTGAACGAGAGGAGAAGCAACCTCGTTTTCAAGTCTGCTCACCACGACGAGGGCACTTGAGAGCGCTTGACAGTATATGAGGGTGTCAAAGAATAGCGCAGTCATGAGGTGCGAATACACTGTATTAGATAGCGAAGTCAGTCTTATCTGATGGTAGCTACAAGGACGAATGCCTGTGTGTAGTCAGTCATCATTGATAGGAGCTACCCCCCACGTTAAATACAAAACAAACAACAAACAATTGATAGATAACTTACCACCTCGATGGTACCGAGGAGAGTACAGGCTAATGATATAGACCCGACGCCGCGGTTCTTGAAACTGTTTGTACTATCATGTGGATCGGCGGTGGATTCGCATTTGGCATGCTCCGGTCGAGAGCTTAATAAAAATCTAAATCTAAATCGTAAATCGTAAATCGTAAATCGTAAATCGTAAATCGTAAATCGTAAATCGTAAATCGTAGATCATAGATCATAGATCATAAAGTAAATCGTATCAACAAGGCCTACCTACCTTCGTCAAGAACCGTGGCTTGCTGATGGCAAGATCGCTGGCGCTCGAGATACGCATGAAAAGGGATTCAGTCTTCTCCTTGCAAGCCCTACATCAGAGCACATTTTTCGTCGCCGCAGTCTATAAGACCGGGAGAGGGCAGGAATCAAAGCTTGATCTTAGCTTGTCTATTTTTTGCTAGCCGAGAGACTCTGTCGGTTGGTGGCTGAGACGGAAGCAGGTCGTGGCGGTCGTCGACGAGATGTGTAGGAAATGAGACCTGCAAAATGAATAGACCTATCAGAAATCGCGATATCAAAATGATATGTCAAAGTTCTAGTGCATGTGGCTCGTCTCTTTGTTCTAGAGCAGGAAAAAAGACTGATCGCGGGGGGCGCATCCTTTGTCCCATGGCTCAGGCTGCATCCGACGTTCTCCTTGTCCCTGCATGGCCGGAAAAAAATATTTCAACACGCGGAGACTCGCTTCTTCCACTGAGCTGAGAAGATAATCTTGATTCAGCAAACCCCTGGAGTATCATGGCCGGCCTTCCAGATGTTCCTGGCTCCAAGCTATACCCATTCAATACAAAGGGCAAGCCATTGAACATTGAGTACCTCGAGGAGTTGGGACATGGTCTGCATGGCTATGTTTGGAAAGTTCGGATCAACGACCAAGTATTTGCCTTGAAGATTGTAGGTTTCCGCTCAACTTAACCATTTACTTGCCCCATTGCTCACATACCGAAGCCCAGTTCAACTGGTTTCGCGAAGGGGTTGAAGGGTCCAACACTTTTGGGCAAGAACTGGACTTCGCTGAGAGGGAAAACTACTTCGAGCCCTTTCAAAATGAATGCAGGGCGTATGGCAGGTTGAAAGAGTTTGGCTGGGAGGACCTGACGTTCAAGTGTTTCGGCTATATCCTGCTTGAGCAGACACATCTGACTTTTCTGAAACGCACGTACGAAAACTTCTATAAATGCGACTGGGACTACGACTCAGATGAGGAATATTGCCGCAAAGAGCCAGTCCGGGCAATTGTCAAGGAATTCGTAGACATACCGAAGAGTATGCCGACTGCGGGCTGGATAGACCGCCACATGAATCCTCGGCTTTGCCGAAAAGCGATCAAAGACCTGAAGACGATACACCCGCTGGGAATTTGTGTCAACGACATCGGCGAGGGCAATTACATCTTCGGCAAACATATCGAGTTCAGCAGAGCATTGACAGCGCCCCATCCTCTCCTCACGAGGGAATTGGGCACCTTTCCTGGTAAAAATCATCCGTGCGCTTGCACTTGTTAGTACATCTGCGTATATCACAGCAAAATTTTTAACCCTTGGCATTGTGCCATTATTTTGAATCTAAACACTAAGGGCAGAATCTCGAGATCCGCTTCGCTCCCTGCAAAAGGGACAAAATCAGCACTCAACGATGGCAGCCCTCACAACTCCCCAGCAATCCATCAGAGTCGCAACGGACGCTGCTCAGTTCACCTGAGAACCTGAGCCTATCACCCCTTCCAACCTCGACCAGCAGAATAAGAAAAGAAAGCCTGCCAATATCCAGACTCCCCAGATAATTGACCTTACTAGAAAGCCCGCTACCCGATATTATGACATTGCCACCAGCGCTTTTGCACCTCACCTAGAGGACCTTGAGCGCAAGGCATGCATTAAGCGAACAGTTTTAGGACAGCTCGCTGGCTGCCTGGATGACTATGTAAGCACTTACAGCAGACCACAACAGTCTGAGTACAAGAGAGAGGCCCACTTAATGGTTGAGATGATTTATAGTCACCTGAACACTGCTATCTTTTCTAGTACTGATGGCACCTTTTATGCGCCCATCCGTGTCAAAAGCTCTTGGCCTATTGACACCACTACCACCACCAACACTACGAACGCGTGCGGGCAAGGCCCTGGAGGGAAGTTGTCCAAATAGGTCTCCTGAGCGGGAGTGGCCAAAGCAGGCCACGCGACAAATTCAAGGGGCAATGCTATCACCCATGCCGGTGCCGGACCCTTTGCCCGCACGTCCCGCCCCGGGGCCTCGGCGTCTGCCCTAACCAGGGATGAGACACAAATTTTGATACGCCTAGATAAAGATTGGCGCATGCGGAGGGAGCAGCCCTTTACTCTTCGCTCTGTAATCTGTAAGGAGTTTAAAGACCTTGGGCTAGGCCTGGCTGACGTGCCGGACATCAGCTTGACCAACACTGATTAGTTTATCAGAGTGGCAACCAGGCAGATTAGGGTATAGCTGCTAGGTCCGGAAGCGAAGCTGCGTCTAAGAAAAGTTACAAACGCTGTAGTAATAGATATTCCAGAGCGCTGGTTCATATACGTGGTGCCAGACATCCCCTAGAACTTTCTTGACTACGTGAACTTGGGCAACCATATCCAGACACAAGACGTGATCAAGGACGAGGTATACACCCAGACGAAAGCACACCTTGTCAAATGCAAGCCGTCCAGACAAGGCCTAGACCCCGCCACAGGCAGAGGCAGCTGGATGATTTCTTTCCTAATATCCGTGAGGCCGTTCAGCCTCCTTAACGACAGCGGTCGCTCAAGACTAGTTAAGAAGAAACCCACTATCAGCATTCACAACCCGGGATGTCAGGGCTACTGCTTTACTAGGATGTACAACTGGGCTCACCGCTGCAATAACTGCAGCGACTGAGTAGACGACCACGAGGCAGGCAAGCCCTGTGACCGGCCTTCCCACTGTGCGAACTGCCATGGCCCCTTCCCAGCAGGACATGACAACTGCGCAGCAGCCCCCAAGCGTGAGCATGGGGAGCTTGTGCGCTGTAACAAGAAGCAGCTCCAGATTGTCAGACGGACTGGAGCCAAACGCTACAGAGAGGTCCACGATGTCACGTCGTCGGCGCCTAAATGACTTGGCCAAAGCAGGCACGCACCCTCCTCCAGTGCGCCGTCCTCCCAAGGCCAGAACGCACCTTCCAGCGACCCGTTTGCGGCCCAGAACAACCCCAGCGCCACTACCAAGGGGAAGAAGAGGGCACTGAGCACCGGCTCACGGCCCAACCACACGCCGTTATCAACGGCCAGCACGATCTCCAGCTCCCCCAGCGGGACCACCATGGAGAGACACTCAGTTAACGGGGACGGAGACACTGAGATGAGCGCCCCGGGACCGTCACAGGCCCCGGAACCGTCCTCTCAGGCCTCCCAACCGGACCGGCTAAGGCTACGGTAAGGTCCCCAGCGCAAGGCCGCCCTTATAAGACCTATAGGCTGGACCCATGAACAACCCAAATTTCCTGAAGAATAATGCCAGGATGCCGACATCCTGGTAAGGAGCAGCGCCGCCACAAAGGACAACGCCAGCAACACAAATCACCTGACCTATGTGTGATTTGGTGCAATACAGGCAAAGGGATGCCACAGCACAACACTATCCTCGAGCTCGGCTGGGCGCGGGGCGCTGATGTCATCTATGTCAACGAGCCTTAGATGGGCCGGGGACAAGGACACAGAACCACCCAGGGTTTGAATCATATGCCCCGATAGACTCGTGAAATACTACTCAGGATCGCCCACGGGTCATGACATATGTGCGGAAGGGGCTAAGGGTCAAGGCCAACAAAAGAGACCTATTAGCACCCGAGACGTGCTTTGGCTGGATATTGATGGTTATACCATGCTCAATATCTACCGGTCACTGCGCTCTGACGAGATGATTGACTACCTCACTAACATCAAAGCACCGGCTAATTTCTTAGTTAGAGGAGACCTGAATGTTCACCACCCCACATTTGAGCCCGGAATGGAAGGCCGAAATAGAGAGGCCGACATGGTAAAGTGGATGACTGACAGCGCCCTGTATTTAACAGGCATACCAGGGCAAGCCACCCATTGTACCGGTCATGTCGTTGACATAGCGCTTACTAATATTCCTTTTGTTGAGATAGAGGTATGCAAGGAACTGGCCAGTGGATTGGACTACAATACCCTGTTAACTACTATTCCCGGCCCGGGGACCGAACTGCTGGAACAGTACCATTATAAGGTCAAGGAAGAAAACCTGTCACGCTTCTCTACCTTTGTACAAACAGGAATGGCTTCTATGCCTGACCGGACGGACATCAAGTCCAAGCGGCATTTAGACAACTATGTGGACAAGCTCACAGAAGTGCTACAATCGGCCCTTACAGCCGTCGGCATACCCGCAGCAGGTAACAGTAAGGGAGCCCCCTGATGGACCAAGGACTGCAAGGAGGCCTACCGCATCTATAGAGCCTCGGAAGCTACCAAGCCCAGCAACCAGATGGAGTTTACAGAGGAGCATCGTACCTTTCTTTCTGTGGTCCGCAAAACCAAACGAAAATACTGGCAGAAAATTATTGACTCTACGCATACTGATAAGGACCTATACAAGATCATTGGCTGGCATAAGCTAGGTACCTGACTCAAATCCCCACCGATCAAGGTGGGCAACAGGGTAATTAAGTCCACCTAGGAGAAGGCTGAAGTGCTGATAAAAGAGGTGTTAGCATGCTTCTCAGATCACGACGACCTGGACTATGATCTACTGGAAGGGTGGGAGCCCTCTAAAGCCAAGCTCTACTGGGACACCACAGTGTCTTTAGAAGAGGTCGAGCAGTATATCGTCGGGGTTACCAGCACCTCTCCCGGCATAGACGGGATCACAGTGAGGCTGCTCAAGGCCTGCTGGGAACACATCAAGGATGCCGTGCGCGACGTTTTCGAACTCTGTTTGTAATTATGGCACTTCCCCGCAGCCTAGCGGGATACAGAGGTGTCAATGATCCCTAAGATCAAGAAAAAGGACCGCTCTTTAGTCCGATCTTGACGGCCGATTACACTACTCTCTTGCCTCAATAAGGGGCTAGAATGACTGCTAACAAAGCGAATAGCCTGGACGGCGTTCTCTCAAGGTATCCTCAGTGCCCAACACAGGGGGGCGCGCTGCCTAAATGGTCATGCATAGGCCTCGTTCTGTCCTTTGCCCACAAGGTTGAAGCGGCACTTGCTAAGGGACTCAAGGTCTCTCTCGCTACAGTTGACATACAGGGTGCATTTGACACGCTTTTAGTGCGCCGGCTGCTGGAATGCATACGGAAGCAAGGCTGGCCCCTAGCCTGCCTAGAGCTGGTTAAGTTCTTTCTTGAAAAGCGGAGGGCCAAAGTCCGGCTTGAACGTGTCTCCACGGACTTTAAGGACATTAAATACGGCACCCCCCAGGGCTCTCTGTGGTCCCCAGTCCTATACATGCTGTACCTGGCAGAGCTCTTACTACAAGACCCGGAGCTTCCGTTTTGGGTACGCCGATAATCTTTCTCTCTGCAGGGTATCAAAGTCACTGCAGCGGAACAATGAGATGCTAACAGATGACCTCAAGCAGGTCATACAGTGGAGAGAGACGAGAACAAGGTCTTCTTTGCTCCTGAGAAGTGTGAGCTGGTTCATATCACCAGAAGCCGAGACACCTCCAACCCCTCTCTGGTGGTAGGTGACCGTCTCATTATCGACTCTGTCCAAGAACCCGAGGGTAGCAGGAAGGAGCTAGTACTACGCTGGCTGGCGATTTGGATTGATCGGAAATTCATCCCCAAGCGACATGTTCAGGAACATGCTGGCAAAATTATTCAGCTATCCCGGCATATATGAAACCTAGCCAACATTAAGTACGGACCCCCGGCGTCTGGACTAAGGAAGGCTGTGATCACCTGTGTCCTCCCCATGTCGCTATACGGGTCAGAAATCTATTATAGCGGACAGAAAAAGCCGTCACGCAACCAGTCATAGACAGGCAAGCCTAAAGTTAACGCTAGTATAGGATGACATATTAACACTCTGCAGAGATCTATCATAATAACGGCACGGGCGGCATTGCCGTGCTGGCAGACCACACTGAACAACGTCATTTTTAGGGACACTGGCTTCCTTATGGCAAAAGTGGCACTTAATGTAGCGCTATGGCGGTTTGTTTTCAGGCTATATACTGTAGACAAGAAGCATCCCTTTATCAAGTGAATCCAACTCCCAGTGATTATACGGGGCCGCGGTACAGGCTGCTTTTAATGCCTTAAAACCAAATTATAGCTAGCAGTTCGTCTACTACCCCCTGTATAGCGGCCCTTACTGATGCCACTGTGCTTCACGCCTGGCTGCAGGATCGATCTAACCAGAGGTATCAATAAGGAACAGGCTGTCAAGGACTTTAAGACCTGGTTTGAGGCTCTGCCACTATATGACGTGGTGGTCTTCTTAGACAGCTCAAAGGAATGGATGCACGTTGGATACAGCTATGCGATCTATCAGGGCGGGCGCCTGCTCGCCACTGGCAAGGGTCGTCTAGACCCGTGTTCTATCGGGTTTGATGCAGAAGTGCTCGGAGCCTGGAAGGGACTGCAGCACGTGGTCAAGTCACCTCTGGAGCTTAGTCAGCGCCGGATCTGGGTGTGTGTGGACAGCATAGGAGCGATTTGAGGGCTCCGCGGCAATATCGCGGTGTCCTGCCAGTGAGCCTACCTGAAGTTCCATGCCGAGGCTGAAGTCCGTAATATTAATGTCAAGTGGTGCCCAGGGCACTGCGCTATTAAGGGCAATGAACTGGCAGACAAGCTGGCTAAGTCCGGCTCTAAGCTCTCTAATACCGACTCTGACTGCATGCCAACGGCATACGGCATCAAAGCAGAGGCGAGACTTAAGCTCGAAGTCTCGTGCAACATATGGTGGACCGTGACGGCCTGCACAGACCTTCCCACATGACAAGCCGATACTTCCCAATAAGGGAAGGATCTGACCAGAGGATCCCCTCAAAGGGGCAACCTCCCACTGTACCTATCTCTCTCTCTCTTCCTTTCCTCTCTAGTCTTGATATTCTCGTCAATAGAGTAATAGCTGCTTGCTGCAGGCCATGTCCCAGCTCCTCAGTATGCTCGCCGTGACAGTTTTATTTATTACATTTAAATATAGCTTTTAGCTACTTTTAATTAAACTTTTTAACTATTTACTTAGCTGTTTAATATTCGTTTAACATTCGTCACGTTCGACGTTTACGCTTTTACTCCTTTACTAGCTGGTTTATTTAGCTTTAAGCCTAGCTGCTGATAGATTTCTTAAGTTTATAATTGCGTATAATTCTTTAAACTTTTTCCTAGTGCTTCTTAACGTCTTTATTAAGAGTAAGGCTGACTGTTTAATTGATTAATATAAGGGTTTTTTAAGCTTAAAAAATAGCGACATAAACGCGTAGATAGATTGTTTTGTATTATAACGTAAATCTTTTTTAATTTTTAATTTTTACGATATATAACGTGTTTTATTAATTAGCGTAAGCTTGGTATCATAATTATAATTAGGGTTTATTTTAATAGTTTTAAACGACGTCGTTTTATAAGCAGGCTAGGTTTGTTAAATTATCGTAACGTTATTTAAAGGGGGTTATTAAATAATCTTAGCGTTTTAAACTTAACGAGACGAAAGTGCTTAAGTTGGTTATATAAAAGGAAAAAAAGAAAGAAAGCGCTTTCATTAGGCTTTTAAATAACTTACAACGGTAAGGACTTTTCGTAACGTAAGGTTGTAAATTTTATTATTATTAAAGTTTACCCCGGTGTTATAACTTTTCATCCATCCCAGCCGTAACTCGAAGCCAAAGCGGAATGCTACTCTCCTTCTCGTTCCATAGCCTTACAGACAGATACCCACGCACTGACAAGTAGACACACACCTCAAACCCGCAACGATGATTTTTCATTTTAAACACTTCACAAAGCCTTAACAGCCGCAAAGAACGGGTTGGCCAAAAGCCGTTCGTCCGCCTTGACAAGGTCCCGCATCCGCCCGACCATCTCCTCCCGGCTCATCCCGCCGCTCTTGACCTCGTCCTTCCACTTCACCAGGACCTCCTTCAGCCTTGCGCTGCCCTCTTCGACGTCCTCCTTGCTGTACCGCCGCAGGCCCAGCCCGTCCTCGTGCTTGGCCGTGAAGTCCTCGAGCTCGTCGGCCTTGCGCTTGGCCATGCGCACCACCTTGTCCGGGAACCGCACCAGCTCCGCCACGTGGATGCCGAACGACTGGTCGCAGATGCCCGGCTCGACCTTGTAGAGGAGTGTGACCTCGCGTTTTTCTTCGGTGGCGGATGCGGATGCGGCAGCGTCCCCGCCGGTGCCCGAGATGTGCGCCGTGACGTGCAAGTTGCGCACTTGTGGGAATTGGTCCGAGAGCGCGGTCAGCTCGTGAAAGTGCGTCGCGAACAAGGCGAAGCAGCCTATCTCGTTGACGATGTGCTCGGAGATGGCCCACGCGAGGCCGAAACCATCATACGTCGACGTGCCGCGGCCCAGTTCGTCAATAATGATCAGAGACTCGGCGGTGGCCGACTTGAGAATGTTGGCAGTCTCAAGCATCTCGGCCATGAAGGTCGAGACCCCCTTCAGCTGTGAATCGCTGGCTCCAACACGGGCGAGGATCGAGTCGAAGATGGTGAGCTCGGCCTCGGTACACGGTACAAAGCAGCCGATCTGGGCCATCAAGGCGATGACGCCGATTTGGCGAATATATGTCGACTTACCACCCATGTTCGGTCCGGTAATGATCAAGAAGGATGACTCGTCACGTGTCATCTCAAGGTCGTTCGTGATGAATCGGACGTCGTCTTGCATCTCCATACAGGGGTGGCGAGCTTGCTTTAGAATAGTCGATCCCTGGCCTCGAGGGTGGATCTTAGGTCTCACATACGAAGTAGGAGCGTGGACAGAGCAGTGCGCGAAGGAAACCACGACATCCAGGTGTCCCAGGACGCCGGCAAGCTGCTCCAGTACCGGACAGTACGATGCGGCGACTCCGACAACCTCGCTGACCAAGCTGCTCTGAGTCCTGTTGTACGTCTGAGACAGCTGGTCAAACTCCCGACGATAGGCTTGCAACGTCTTCGTCGTGAAGTAGACACCGTTCTTCTGGGTCGAACATTCCTGGTATCGCTTGTTGTTGCGGATGCAGCCGGCCTCGGTTCTCGTAAGTCGCATACACCAGCCGTGAACCTTGTGGTTCTCCAAGAAGATTTTCTTGTTTTCGTCCTGGTTCAAATCTGCTGCCGCCTCGTGGTACTCCTTGTCCATGTTAGATCGTAGCTTGTCAAGCTTCCTCCGAACGATGCGCAGACCATCGTCGAACTCTGGCTTGATGATGAACTCGTGATTGTCTAGCGCATCGAGATCTACCGTAGTCTCGACCATCTCTGCAAGCTTTCCGAGACTATCTGAAAGTTCCCGCAGCTTGTTGGTGTAGGCCTCGTCGAGTGGATCCTTGTATATCTCATCCATCACACCTTCGAGAGTACCCAGAAATCCGGGCAGGCGAATGATGACTTGGTATGCTCTTACAACATCTTCCAAATTCGCCTTCTTCCGCTGAAAGCGCTTTGCTAACCGGTAAAGGTCGGGCACCGACTTCAGATGTTCCTCTTGCATGGTCTGGCGCAGCTCAGTACCATTGACAAAAGCCTCGACCAGTTGTTGCCGTTTTTCGATCTCGGCCTTGTTCATCAGGGGCTGTTTCAGCCATTGCGATAGCAGTCGACTGCCCACTGGTGTTCTGCAATGGTTTAGGAGACCAAACAGGCTCATGTTCTTCGATCCATCCTTCGGTCCTGGCATCAGGTTCAGCGCCTGCAACGCGGCCGCATCCAGCTTCATGAACTGTGATAGATCATGCTGATAGAGCTGGTATTGGCCGAAGTTGGAGGGATCCTGTAGCACGCTGAGATACTTGATCAGGGCAGCGGCAGATCCCATGGCTAGCTTGAGGTCCGTCTGAGGGAGCATCGAAGTTGACCTTTCGTCCTTGAGCAGGCGGGCGAGGTCTTGCTCGATGTCCTTGGTGGCAAAATCGCCAGCCGGTCTCTCCGACATGGCAACTCCGCAGTTGTCAACGATCTGGCGCAGCTTGGCTAGTTCGGGGTCCGTGTCCTTCTCGGCCTTGTCAAACTGTAGGAGACACTCTCTGACGCCCAGCTGGATGAGAAGGGACTCGAAGTTGGAGTATAGATCATTGTCAAGGAACTCGCTGACGCCCAGCTCCCGCACACTGGCATCGGCGAAGCAGACTCCCACGCTTCTTCCCTGGCTGGCCTTGGCGGAGATCTTGACAGCTAGTATCATGGGTGCGGCGTCGAATTGACCGCCGAGCTCGTCTTCAACGTCTTGCAGGTTTCCCGGTGATGCCTGCTTCACAATTTTCCAATTCATACGTGCGCCACTGCCGGCGTATATCTCGAGCCGCTTTCCGAGCTTGAGCAGAGCTTGTCGCAGAAATTGTCGGAATACGGTGACGGTCATGGTTACGGAGGCGAGGCCGCTCGCATCGTTTTGTCCCAGCTGTCGCACGACCGAGGTGGTCTTGTAGACCTGTAAATGGTGTTAACAGGTGCACCCAACGAGTGTTCTGAGGCGGGTGACATGCCGTGCGTGCTATGAAGTTGGCATCTTCGCCGTGGGCTGTGTACCAGTCGCCTCGATCGAATATCCGTATTGTCTCTTCACCTACGGCGGGAAGGGATTTGAAATATCGGATGAACCCATGCTCGTCGTCAACCTGTTTCACGAAACCGTCAATTCCACACTTTTAGACTTTGAGAGGGCTAGCACCATACCTTCAACTCCGGACGCGAAGACATCTTGGACGGCAAGCCCACCAGGAACCTTGAACAATACCAACTTCTTTGTATCCCAATTACTCCCTATTGCAACATCCGGCCAGTTGTTGAATGTGTAAATGCAGGCAAGCTCCGGGTTTTGGTGGTACAAGGCTATTGGTGGGCGCAGGTGAATTTGGGTGGTGATAATTGGAAGGTGTAGTGTCGCGTCATGGGAACCAATTAACCTTAAGAGCTGCAAAGACGCGACGGCGACGGGCGACGGACGACGCGTTGCTTTGGGAGCTTGGACCCTCACCCCTCTATTAGGTACGTGCCCGAGCTTTTTCTAGCGCGGGGCACTTACAGCGGCTCAAAGACCGCTAGCGAGGGCGTCTCAAGGCGTCTTAGGGCTCCTCCAAGCCTCATCCAGCGCCGCGGATTTCTCGACCGTTGAGCTGGCGCAACTTTGCCGTGGCCTCGACCCAATTTCTGTTTCTGCATTCGCTCTCCCCACCAAGAGTCATTGGTTGCTTCGACTTGCTGCAGTCAGAAAACCAACAATTCACCAATTCAAGACATCACCAACAAGTGGGAGCTCCAATTCAATCGCCATGGAGGTGCCCGACACTGCTGGTCTGGAGACGGTTGCCGCGCAAAAGTCCGAAATAAAGGCCAGAGAAGAGCTGGACCGACCCCTAGAAACCCTGCCGAGCACTACCGACACACGCGGAACAAAGCGTACGGCCACGGACATGGAGTCCAGCCATGCCGTGACGAGCGTGGATGTAGGCGCCGAGGGCTCAGAAGATGCCGACATCACGACCGAAGCCCCGACTCTGTCCAAGAACCAACAACGCAAGGAGAAACGCAGAAAGCTTTGGGAGGAGAAGAAGAAAGAGAGGCGTGTCATTCGCAAGGAGAAGCGTCACGACAGGAAAGACCGTCTGCGACAGGAGAGGGAGGAGGAGATTGCCGCCGCTGCCGCTGAGGGCCGAGAGCCTGTGTTGCACGACGCCCGCAAGCAAAAGCCAAAAGGCAAGATCGACATCCCCGTTACCGTCATTCTGGACTGCCAGTTCGAGGAGTACATGATGGAGAAGGAATGGACCTCCCTCACCAACCAGGTCACCAGGTGCTACTCCGACAATCGAAACGCCCAGTTCCCTATACACATGTTCATCAGCTCCTACGGCGGCGAGATGAAGAAGAGGCACGAAGGTGTGCTGCAGAACCAATGCAAACATTGGAAGAATGTCCACTTTGTCGAAGGCGACTTCATGGAGGCTGCCGCCGAGGCCAAGGAGCTGATGCAAGGGCCACGGGGCGGAAGAACAATTGAGTTGCTTCAACAAAGCTCCCCAGCCGACAGCCTCAAGCTACTGGAGCCGACCAAGAAGAAGAGGTGGAGGGACGCCCCTGTGCCTGCTCCAGAACTAGAAGCCGAAGACGTGGACAAATCTATTGTCTACCTGACCGCCGACTCCCCGTATGTCCTCGAGCGCCTCGAACCCAACACGTGTTACGTCCTTGGCGGTATCATCGACAAGAACCGAGAGAAGGGTCTATGTCACAAAATCGCATGCGAAAAGAACGTCAGAACGGCGAGGCTGCCCATTGGCGAGTACATGGTGCTGCAGCACCGACATATTCTAGCAACGAATCACGTCATGGAGATCATGCTCAAATGGCTAGAGACAGGCGATTGGGGCACTGCCTTTATGCAGGTCATTCCTGCTAGAAAGGGCGGAGCGCTCAAGGAGGACGAGGAAAGCCCGGAAGTAGCCTCCGGGGACACACCGCAGGAGACGCCACAGGATCAGCCGCAAGATGATGATGTTGCGGTTGAGGTCATTCAGGTGGAATCAACCAATCCAGAAGAGCAAGGCCAGCCTGTGAATGAGGATGCAGATGGTGCAGTGGAGGTGGACGGGGAAAACTCAGAAATGGGCTTGCAGAAGAACTCACTTGGCCAACAACGATGGTCAGACCCGAGAGAGGACGATCCCTCAACTAAGACCACCCAGGTCGGCTCCGTAGAGGCAGAAGATCAGGGAGAGCTCGACACAGGGAACGCAAAGAATATGGTCAAAGTGGAAGGAGAAAACTCCGACGAGGGCTTGCAGAAGAACTCGCTGGATCAGCAGAGATGGTCCGCCCCGCCACTTGACCAAGAAGAAGATGAAGCAGCTGCCCTATAGAATGGCGAGTCGATAGATCTGCAGCCCTACCGGTATTTGCTCGACTAACTAACCCTTGTCGAATGTTCGAACAATGTCACAATCCAATGTCTGGACTACCTTACGAGATGATCACCATACTAGCTCTTACTGCGAGGCGCTACAAGCGGCCCAGGCGAAGAGGCGAAGAAATACTACCTCGACTTGATTTAAGTCTGCAGGACGACTTGCCCGGATGTGCTCGCTCATGGTTACCCAGTGCTTGACACAATGATCCTCACAACCCCTTGTCAATCGGATTGAGACCGGCGGAATAGTGAATACCGACCAGTGCTTACATACGAGGGCCTTACCTTACCACAGGGCCACAGCAAATGTTTTCATCAGCGCTTGTCAGCGTCTACAGGTCAACCCATGCCAGAACCACTGAACTAGGAATCCTGCGTCCCGCGGAGTGCCAACTATGTCTTCCAGACTTCCTGACATCATGTACGCGGTCCCTTTCCACTTCCCAGACGCGTGCGGCGCGGCAGCCTCATAGCAGTGCCTAGTGGGGAGAGCAGGGCGTTGAGGATTACTCCAGCAATAGTAATATTCAACTGATGAGTATCCCTTAGGCACTGAGTTCGTGGGTTTTAGCGCAAGCAGGGATTGAAGCCAATCATGGTACGTATACGGGAATTTAATTGTTAGCCAATACCGACGCACAGACTGGGCCTCTGCTCTGTGACAGCTATGCCCGTTCGGTACCAGACGAACAGCGCTAAAACCCAAGAACTCAGTGCCTAAGGGGATAGTGGAATAATGGGTCATCACTCCACTCAGGAGAGTATTTTTAACACCGTGGGGGAATGCCTTGCACATGGGCCATGGAACTTCGTGCTTACGCTAATATAGGACGGATGGGGTCAATGGGTCTTGAGAGTTGAGACAAGCATTTGACAGGGTTGACAGGGACTTGGCAGGGACATGACAAACGTTTGACAGGGGGCTCAGCTGCTGGGCAGCGGCACAGAAGAGCTGTATTACGTACGCGTGCGTGTCTGTGCCGTATCGGCTGCCGTCCCACTGCGTCTGCCGTCCCGAGAGCGAGAGCGAGAGCGAGGTGCATCACTGCCCCTGATCGGGACTTGACCATGCCCCAACCCAGCCTCCAAGCATATGAATGGTCTGGGTTCGCGGGGGTTTCGTTGATGGGCTGGGTAGCGAGTGCGAGTAATGACTAGAGAGTCCCCTTGGGTGGTGGCTGTGCGAAGCCGTATGGGTATTTTGAGCTGAAAGACTTCAACTCAGCGGTCAATTGCCAAGGGTGTGTGATATAAGCATCAAGACGATATTGAGCTTCTACGACTTGACTCTCACATCAACTTCAAGCTTTCAAACAAGCCATCTGTGTGCTCCTTTTTCGCTCCCTATCCTGTGTAGTGCCGAGCCTTGAACCTATTGCAACGACCGACAACTATTCCCTCGAGATGGCTCTCTTTATGCGAGGAAAACATCCTAATTCCGACTCCGACTCCGACCATGTGTCAGTGTGCGGTGATGTCTCGCTTGCTATAAGTATGACCATGTTTCTACCGGAGACTCTGGGAAAAGTCATAGCTGACCATGGACACCAGCCCCAACGGACCCCATACCATCCCCCCCTACTTCTCGTACACCCCACATCTCGTACAGCCAAACCCCACTATCACCACCAAAACATCCCATTTTGCACCTACACGTAACTGAGGCTATTCACATTGTATAAATTTAGCAAAATCACTATAAGTAGAAGAATGATACGGCTTAAAAATGATATACGCCTTAAAGCCGTGGCACAAGGCAATAAAAAGTTATAATAGATTTAGCCCGAGGTCTTTGACGACCTTGTTTCCTATACAAATTGTATTCAAGAAATAAAATGCTTAAAAATAAACGGCTTTGAAATATTACATACTAGCTTAGATAACTATATATGTACGAGGTTTTATATATATAGACCTTATATATCAAAAGTTATGAAAAAGTGGTCGTTATATATGGTAGTTTTGTATGGGAGTGTACGAGATGTGGGTGAGGGATGGTAAGTCTTATCAGTCTATCGCGGCCTTGTTGGTAAGAAGACAGGGGGTTATACTCACCCATAAAGGGTATCCGGAAGCTTCACCTTCCACAATGTGGCCCTGGTCACTTCCGTAGCCTGTACAGCGTTCACGGTCATCGCCATCTTCGTGCTCATGTGGCAGCATGCCAGCCATCTGAGCACTCCGCGAGAACAACTCCAGTCCGTCCAGCCCCCTTTCCTCTCTTCCATCTTTACCAACAGACGGACGATGCGGTCACAGATCACAGACGGCTAACCAGTAGAACAGCATTCTTCGCCTCTGCCTCTTCATCATCATATACGGCGGGGTGACCCTCCTCATGCTCGCCGTGCCCACCACCTACGTCTACCGGGCCAAGGTAGCCGAGGGCTACGCCCTATCCTGCTTCTTCCTGTTCCTCTGCAATCTGCTCACGCGCTCCTCTCCCAACCCTTCCCAGTCCTCCTCCTTCCTCGAACCTTTCCTCGCGACGACCAGACAGGCGCCGCCCGCCAAACCCAAACGCATCCCCTTTGGCCTGAGCCCCTCTAGCTACTACCGCGCGCGCTGGATTTTGATCTTCCAGTGCCCCATTACGCTGACCGTCCTCGCGCTCGTGGAGGACATCACCGAGGCCATGGGCACGTTCTGCCTCGAGAGCAACAGCGCGCACTACGCGCATATCTGGGTCTCGGTGCTGCAAATTATCAGCCTGGCGCTGGCCGTGATCAGCACCCTGCGCACGTACGCGCAGCTGAAGGCGGAGCTCGCGGGGCATCGCGTCGTGGCTAAGTTGTTTACTTTCAAGATGCTGGTGGGGCTGTCGATCTTGCAGGAGGTGAGTTTGTTGCTTTTTTCTCCGGCCGAACGGATTCCTGGTTATGTTTTGGGGAAAAGGGAAAATGGGGGGAAGAAGATCGAATGCTGACATCGAGGCTTTACTCGCAGGTCATATTCAAGATTCTCCTGGGTTTCAGCCCCTCGCCCCTCGCGCCGTCCGCCACGCTGAGCACGTCCAATATCCAGGTCGGGCTGTCGCTGCTCATCGTGGCGTGCGAGCTCCCGTTCTTCGCCTGCGCCTACCACTTTGCGTACACCGCGGCGACGTATTCGGATCAAAACAACAACAACAACAAGATGTCCGGAGGATATACGAGCCTGGGCTGGAAGCTGCCCTTCGAGATCCTCAAGCCCAACGAGTATGTTGCCGCCGTGCTGTTCGCGTTCAAGATGAAGTCGAAGCTGCGGCGCGTGCAGGCGGGCGGTGTAGTGCGTGGCGAGATCAGTCGGTATAGGGGCGCTTCGCCTTCGAATCATACGCCGCTCGTGGATGGAGAGGGGGCCTGGCGGGGTGAGGTTCATCGTCCGGGGGATTTCCATCGTGAGGGTGATGTTCCGCTTCCGCCTTATGGTGATGTTCCTCTTTATCGTGATGTCCGTCATGAAGGTTATGGACGGTATTAGAGATCGGGTTTACGACCTCGACGAGGCGGAAGGTACACTGGACCCCCCATGGTCTCTGTACTGGTACACCCTTTCTACGTTCAGCAAGCGAGGGGCGTTCTCTTATGGATAGAAAAAGCATTGAACACGGCTGATTGAATCGAAGCTCCTTGTTACAGGTTACTTACCCCATTGGATTTATCGTAGCGTTGAATTCCAGGAGTTGATAGACATGCGGGACGAAGGCATATGAAAGACCACCATACAAACTAAGGTGGTTGGGGTAATCAGGGCACGGAATATACGACTCACAAACTGTTTTCTCAATATCCACGCGGGAGTGGGCTACACCGTGAAAATGCAGTTCCAGTCGCCAACCAGGATCCAAGTCAGGTGTCAGGCTGGTAGATTCTGTCCATGTACCTCCTCTGCTGACAGCGGATGAGGCCTTTCCGTGCTGAGGAGAAATGCCAGTTTGATAGTTCAACTTCAGCTGTTACAGACGCTGGTGCTTCCTTCTGTTAGATTCCGAACGGGGTTGTGAGGCAGACAGATGAATCATACTCGAAAATCCCGCCCCCGAGCCCAGTCGTCTTCAACTCTACAACAACGAGTTGCGAAGATACAGTCCAGCAAACTACAGTACAACTGTGTGGCCCTCATCCTCATCCGTCAGTCTTGCCATCATGTATCTTTGCGTCTCAAGACTGGGACAAGTAGTCAGCCACGGCGTTGTCAAAGTCGATTCAGGTCGAAAGTAGACTTATCTCCACAACAGGTTCCCCACGCAGTTACTTCTCTGGACCTAGATGAATGTCTCCAACTCATGTAGGCATCCTTTCTTGCCCTGGTCCCGGAACAACAAGAGATGTGCCGCTTGGTCAAATTGTAGCTTTGCAGTTCGCAGACATGTGACTGACTCAGAGACGGCTTTCTCGATGTCACCCAGCGAAGCGAAGAGCAGTGGAACCATACTGTCAATGCAGCCGCTTTTGATTTCCTTTCTCAGAGAGACCAGATCATTGGTGATCGAGATGGTGACGTTCGTCTCTCTCCATAGAGCCTGCATAGGCTCACTCTGCATGAGGTCTGACGGTAGGCGGAGGGACAAGGAGTACACTGCAGGAGCAGTGCCGATATAGACTGCACTGGTGCCAAGACGAAAGTTCCAATACTCGTTCAAGGTGGGCACATCACCTCTCATCCGGGTATCTTGCTCCAACCGTGATGCAGTCATGAATCGGGAAATCTCATCGTAGAACCGCTGGCACTGGTTTGCATCATATGAGGCGCGCAGTGCCGAGCCGATCACATCGAAGCTCTGGACTATCTTGTTCAAGGTGGGATGAACCGCCTCAGGTGCCCTAGCCCAAGACTGACACCTACGAAATGTAGGGTGCTGTCTCTGTAAGCTTGAGCGCCGGAAATGTCTTCGGCGTACGATCCACTCGGCTCGTCGATCTCATCGTCCCATGTGAAAAGCCAGATAGCGAGGTAGGCAAGAACCTCAAGCTGTGCCAGCGGAGCTTCTGGCCACCAGAGTGCAGTGAACAAAGCGAAGTCCGCGAGCTCTAGTCGCCTTTGCTTCTCCCCACCGAAATTGAGGCTGCAATTCATGTTGCTTAGTATGTGTGTGGCCTGTGGAAAGGCTTTCTTCCGTGTTCGACGTACATTTCCAGCCGTTTCCCTACTTTTTCTCTCAATGGTTCAATCCAGGGGTTAAGGTGTAGTGCTCTAATCCCCTTCCAATCCGCGAAAATCTCTCTGAGGTCGGGAAGATGTATCGTATGGCCTTTAATGCTAGACAGAAGTAAGCTTCTCCGGTTGGGGTCTGCCTGCCCAGATGGTGCGGGCTGAATGCTTGAGGCCGTCATTTTAAGGGCTCGATCTGGGTCTATGACAGTCATTCCAAGACTGAAAGAAGAGGAGCAAACGCATAACCACAACTCGCTCTGTGATTCCCATGTATCCTATCGTCATATTATCGATATGTGCAATAAGGCGCAGGAAAGGCCTTATCAGGCCGATCGGCCCGCGACATAAGCTCGTCTTCCGAAGAACTGCAATGCAGTATCGTTTGTGGACCTACTATAGCGACAAGTCTCACCTGCAGATAGGTATGTAGGTAATGTTCCATCGCATCCCATAGATGAAAGCGATTCAAACAGTCGGTGCTTCCGGGTGTGCCATATGATTCTGTTGGTTCGAGCTGCATGACCACCCTTGGCGCCGAAGCAATTGGTTGGACTGCTTGATGCGTGATGTTGCCCGCTTGATGTAGTATCGTCGTTGTACCCTGCCGAGGGGTGACAAATGTGATGGGCCGATGTGCCATCTTCTGTTGGCTCGATCCTGAAAGAGAATATTGGTGCGTACGTAGGACAGTTGGGCAGAGCCGCATGGTACCACTAATGGTCTCATCATTTTCGATGATATTTCGGTATGGGGGCAGCGATGCGCCTGGAGGGCGCGCATCTAGGATACAAGTAGAGACCAGAATATACCAATTTACCCACTCTGAATATGTGATCTTCCCGTCGATGAAGGTGTCACTTTCAAGCAAACAAATCAAGCCAAGCTACTGTCGAACTGCTATGGAACCCAGCATTATGCTCAACAGCTTCCCCCCCTCACTATTGTTACTCACAGGCATCACCTGCTTGCTCCTACCACTGTGCCTTGCCGTTTACCGTCTCTGGTATCACCCACTGGCACAATTTCCAGGACCACGTCTTGCCGCAGCAACTCACTGGTACGAAGCGTGTAATGAACTCATTCACAATGGCGGTTCACAATTTGCCCCCAAAGTAAGGGATCTCCACAGTCTGTACGGTCCCATTGTCCGCATAATCCTTGATGAAATCTCTGTCAACGATGCGCGTTTTCACGATGAGCTCTACGCCCCCCAGCCCACAGTACGAGATCGGCCTCCAAGCTTTTCGGCGTTTCTTGGGATCACCCATGGATCATTCAGTATATCTGATCACGGCATACACCGGAACAAGAGAATGGCGTACACCCCGTTTTTCTCCTCGCCAATTGTCATGGCGTCCGAAAAACTCGTCACGGAGCGGGTCCTGCACCTATGTGGTCTTCTCCGATCCAAAGGAGATCAAATACCCGAAGGCCGTATGGCGCAATGGTCAAATGCGCCTGGTTGTGTTCTCGTTTGTGCGGTGGGCGACGAGAACAAGTGGGTTCGAATCCTGCTATGGCCCCCTTCTGACCCGGCTTGTGCGAGTCGACAACCAGCACATGACAGTAAAGAGGCCCCTTATCGCAGAGCCCGATAGCCAAACAGCTTGTCTCCACAACACCCATTCCTGCGAGGTTTTTCCCCTTATGGTTTCCCTCGCTAGCAGATAACAAACACCTATTTCACCCACCAATGCGACATATATCGAACGGCTACTGGAACGATGTGTACACCAGAGGACTGAGGTTCACTGGGTCGCTTTGTCACTGGACAGGAGGTTTTTCTGACAGAATTGTGCTTGGGTATTGACTAAAACCATCTGGACACTCCAGATTAGTACCGCTACAGCGAGGATAGGTTTGTGCGCGGATCTGAATGTATCTAGACTGACACCTCTACAACCTTGCGATGCAATGCCTCTGGGAGGCGTGGTTTGCCCTGTTGAGGGACTGCACCCACGATAAATATAATCATCATCATCAATCATCATCATCAAATACCCGAACTTCGGACATACTTCGCCGCGATCAGCTTTGACACATTCTTCACATGTGCATTTGCTGACTCCTTGGACCTTCTGGACGACCTTCCATTGGCCGATCAATGCAATCAAATTGTCGAGCTTCTTGTCACCAGCGTCCCTGTACATCGGATATTCCCGTGGTTAACTACAGTTGCTAGGATGGTTCCTCAGGCGCTTCTTTGCCGCCTTTCCCATCACGTTCTGAGGGTATTCGGTTTGCATGAGGTATAAAGATGACCACCAGGTGTCGCATACAATAAGTTACATTTTCTATAGCTGGTATTGAAGTCCTCTGAGAAAAGAGTATAAGTTTAAAATATTTTCAAAATATAATAAGAAAAGACTTGAGGATTTTTTTTTAAATACTTTTGCTTTTCAATTATAAAATAATCCTCTTTTTTTAAAACAAACTTTTAATACATTAAGCTTTGAAATATTTAACATTTTATAAAACTTATTAATATATATATAATATGAATAACAGTTTTTAAAAAAACCTAAGAATTTTGATTTTAATTTAAATTAATTTGTGAAATGAAAAACCTAAAAATTAAATAATTATGAAATAATTATAATAATAATTACTAAAATATTTAATTCTTTATATAATAATAAGATTAATTTATAGATATATAATTGTGAGGATTGTGGTGGCAGTATGGTGGCAGTCAGGGAGGCTGCCAGCTGACAAGGGGTCAGACAGGCACCTTGGCAGAATAAAGGGATGGAAGCACCAGGAAAGGTGGCTTTCATTGGTGATAGACAAGGGATCCTTGGCTGGAGGATCAATGGATGGGCACATCTTTGTCACTGCGAGTGTACTGAGGAGCTGGGACATGGCCTGCAGCAAGCAGCTATTACTCTATTGACGAGAATATCAAGACTAGAGAGGAAAAGAAGAGAGAGAGAGAGATAGGTACAGTGGGAGGTTGCCCCTTTAAGGGGATCCTCTGGTCAGATCCTTCCCTTATTGGGAAGTATCCGCTTGTCATGTGGGAAGGTCTGTGCAGGCCGTCACAATCTTTATATTTTGGTGTGTATTTAGTACTAGATTGGTCCCCCAGACCCATGGATAAATGCAACGCACTAGACCGATCATCACCCCCATGTTCTGACTCTGATGATCTGATAATAATATTATAAAATATTTATTTTTATTGAAATGATAAAGTTATAATAATCATATAAGTAATGGAGAAGTCGCTGCCTGCTCTGCCGGGTTTAGCGGCACGCCTGATTCGGCATGGCGTCTCATCTGCCCTGTGCAAGCTCGCGCACTTGCACAGTCCAGTCCGCTGCATCTCATAAGTACGGACGGCACCCCCGACATTCCTTTTTGGGTACTCTCTACATCCCCTCCTTTCAGTCCCGCCCTCGGTCCTATGGATCTTGGTTTCACAGCCGTTTAGTTCCACGCCTTCTGCTGTTGTCTAGATATTTGACTCACAGCTGACTCCAAGAATGACTTTAGCTAATTTGAGAATTTGTGAAACTGTGCACCTCGACACCCACCTCGACACCCATATAGTGGCTTTCGCCACCTTAGTTATTGATTATTATCCATTGTTTGTTGGAATTTGAATACCTCTCTGTCCAAGCCATAGAGCTCAGAATGTCTAGATAGGGGCCCAAACTCTGCCTGATAATTCTATCAGGTACTAGACACTATGCGGAGTATTAAGGGGACTATGCCTAGAAAGAGTACACCCATTCTTCAGTAGTCTGTAGTATGGGTAAAATAGATCCTTGACGGCAAGGAGCAGTCAGTTCTTGCATATGGTTCTATAATTTGTTGTAGAAGCCCAAACAAGGATCGAGCGAGGCGTTGCGGCCCTCCACACTGGGCGCTTATTTGGCTCAAACATTTCCTTTCCGCCCACGTAATTGGACTGTTGCGATAACCCGGCCGTTTTATGCAGGTGAATGGAATACATCTGCTGACAAACCTTGACCCTCGATCGTCACTTGAGGCCTCCGAGTTAGGAGGCAGGTGCTCTCATACTTTGTCGCGGCAACTCCGAGGATCGTATGACCGCAGGAGAAACTATTGGCTGGTGATGATTGCGGAGGATCAGTGTGGTCTGGTGATATCTCTTGACGGTATTGATCGACGGCACGATGATATTCAGTACTTGTGATATTTATGCTCTGGCAGATTATCCACTTTGTTTGGGTGTGACTGCTTACATCTCGTTTTGCTGACGATCAATACCCAATTCTGCTCAGCTCTACGTCTCGAGCTAGCTATAAAGTCAATGTTCTTGTGTTTTAGAGGACTTTGTTCTAAAGCCAACTCAACAACTTGTTAACAGTGTAGCAACAATGCCGGTCGATTTAGTTTGTTTGTTTGTTTGTTTGTTTGTTTTTTTATTTTATATTTAACGTGGGGGATTGCTCCTCAGTAGTGCAAACCACGCCTCCCAGAGCCTCTGCATCGCAGGGTTGTGGAGGTATCAAGATAATAAGTACAGTCAGTCCCGCTCACGAGCACATCCCCGTTGTTGCGGCGGTATGACCTTGGGTCATCCATCTGGTCCTTTAAGAACAGCTATCTATCGAGGGCAGATTGATGAAAAGAATTTGCTCTTCTCCACGAATTTTGCCCATTCTGTGCTCCTCTCCCCTAAGTATTATAAACAAGCTGTCCTAGGCAAGTACCTGGGCAACAGCCGATTTTTCCCCAGTCTCTTATAAAAGAAAATATATTGTGGTGTTTTCTTCTCACCACAGCTGCAGTGATTATTTGAGTCTGTATGCCCAAAGCGTTCATGATATCTGGCAAAGTCGCCATGTCCAGATCTGGCCGCTAGAAGTCTGTATAAAGTACTCCTCTTAAAAGATATAAGGTCTCTTTTAGTTATTGCATGTGAGTATACTTCTTAATATTTAGGTTCTGATTGGTCTTTTTATTATAGATTGAACTCTTTTTTGCCCTTTTTTTTGAGATCTCTCTTGACCTATAGGATTGTGGGAAGGTTTATTGTGTCTAATTCTAGCATGGCACCCTCTTTTGTTAGTGTGTCGGCAGCTTCGTTGCCATTAATATCTCTGTATCCAGGAATCCACTTGACGGTCACTCCAGGAGTGTGTGCCGTGGCAAGTTCTTAGAATCGTAGAAAAATGATCTGTGATGTCTCGGGTGGAGTCCCGTTGAGCCATCTATCACTGACGTGTTGTCCAGGCAGACATATAGCCGTTTTCTGTGTCTAATCGCCCTGGCTGCTGCGAGACCTTGGAGAGCATCATAGACTTCAGTATCTATTACTTCTGCTTGAAGAAGTCTGTCTTTTCCCTAGTATACTTTTTGTGTAGTGTTGCCTTTTTTGATGATGTAGCCCTATCCAGTGCGGGTTGTGCCTTTGTCGTCCAATTGTGATCTGCCTGAGTAGATGACAAGGTCAGTGTTCACATTTCTCTCTTATAACCATTCCTTAAAGAGCTCTATCTTTTTGTCTTTGTCCTTTCGGATTGGGGGCTTTTTCTATAATAGCTTGGTGAGTATTGGTCTCTGGAAGTCAGGGACTAGCTGGAAGTTTCTTTGTAGCTTTGTTGGTTCCTTACGAGCTTGTACTTGAGCCTGTCAACAAGAGGGTGACTTTGATCTAAACATCCGAGTCGTAGGCCGTGACGCTGTCTTATTACCTCTGTAAGAACTCCTGCTAGAGGAATCTATGATTCAAAGTATAGGATATGTCCAGGGTGTGTTTTCTAGACCGGCAGGATAGCCCTGATCACTGTTCGTAGTACAGCATCTATCGTTCCAAGAAGCCCCTTAATACGACATGCTGATGTCTCACCTGAGCTCCTGATTTTTTTGATTCCTGGGTACCAGGCCTCTAAGCCATATGTAAGAATAAGAATAACACAAGCTTTCACAGCCCTCCTGGTTGAATTTACTGGGAGTCCTTTGACTGTGTTGCATAGTCCTCAAAGGTGATTTGCTACCTTACTAGCTTTCTTGGCCCAGTGAGAAACATGATCTTTGACGTTTAGTTTTCTATCCAGAAGGACACCTAGCCATCGCATGGAAAGCTTGGCTATTTTGTTCATTGTCCCGTGGCGGACTGGAGGGTTGTCTGAGTTCTTTTTCCTTAAGAAGTGCATGATCTTAGTTTTGTCAGGGTCAAATTTAATAGAGGGTTCTTGTATCAGAATGATGTCTGCTTGCTCTCCTTTGTAGTCAGTCAGGTTAATGGCTAACTCTGTAGGGCCTGCACTCTTTTGTCCTCCTGCCGCATTCATGGAATGGATGACTAGATGCCCGTGTCGATGTGTTTCGTTTGATGTACCTAGCATTAATAGACAACAATGGTGTCAGCATCTCTGGGATGAGTTGTATTTATTGTGTCGATTTGTATTGTGGTGTCTTTGCTATTGTTATTAGGTGTTGACCTAGCTTGGTTTTTGCCTGTTTCATTGAAGGCCCTGGATCTGGCTCTTTCTCCGGCCAGCCTTATTCCCTGGATTTGCTCCCATGTGTGCTTGTGGATGATGCCTTTCACAACCTTGGGGCGTGCAGGGCATTTGTCAAAGTTGGTAGCATGAGGTCCTTTACAGTTGACACACTTTGGGATTGGTTTTTTGCACTCCCCCTGGTGTACTGCACTGGCGCAACGTGCACATACTTGCTTTTCACATCGGTAGTTCTTACCATGGTATCTGAAGCAGCTCGCACACTGGTGAACCTTGGGGGAGTATTAAATGTGCCTTGAGGTCATTAAGTGAGCAAAAAGGGTGAATGGTTTCTTTGCTGCACAGGGCAGAGAGATCACCCATGTTGTCTCTGGATCAGAATCCACTGTGTTCCTTGAGAATATGTACCTTAAAGGTCTGTCACCTGTTTGGGCTTCAACTTTCTTAGTAATAACAATATCGGTAATGTCAATTGTTAACCCTTCCGCATTGATAACCTTTCTTAGGCATCCATCGACCTTATAGTGATGCCAGACTGTGTGGGTCTCGATCTTTTCTGCCTTGAGAATGTCAGTGATTTCTTCTTAGAAGGTTAGGAGCTTAGCCTGAGTTGGCTTGTCCCTTGGGTGTAAGGTAAATCCGGAGGGGCACCGGGTTACTTCTCTAAGCTCTTAAGGGTGGAACTTAAGTCTTCTGTTCAGTGTAGACTTTACTCCATAAGGCTCTAAGTGGCTATTATCCATACGAACAAAAACCCGGAGATCATCCTGCTTTTTCTTCAGTTGGTTGGCAGTGATGAGGGCGCCAGGCTGTGTTTTTCTCATGGTAGTGTTGACTGTCCGTGGATGCTGTCGCTGGCTAGAGGAGACAGTTTGGGCGAAGGTCATGATGGGCTTCACTATCCCTATCCCCCCAGGAATGGTCTTCTTTTTGGGCGGATCTCGGGTTTCTAGCCACTTGTTCAGACATTTAGAGAAGAAAGTGCTGAACTCCTTGGCATGAGAATATAGTTCGGTTCCAGTTTTCTTAAGTGTCTTATCAACTACTGCAGCACACTCCTGAAATATTGTCATCCTGGCTTCATAAAGGTGCTTGTCTTTAACCAGTATCTTAGCAACTTGGCCCTGGCACTCTGAAGAAAAAGCTTTGCTCCCTATATCACATCCAATGGCTTGGTCTGCAGAGATTCGTTCAATTAAGGTTGTTTCATTCTAGTGATGCTGCCGTCATTGATATTTCAGGATTTTCCTTTCAGAGGGGAAACAATGGTAAAGTCAGCCTCGGAGACCTGTGACGGGCTGCTGTTGATGTCGTCAAGCAGCGCCTGGCGGAGCCTGCTCAGAGTTGCCGGGCTGTATGTCTTTCTAGGGGCCGGGGATTTGAGCACGCCGCCAGTGGTCGTCTTTGGGACGGCCACGGGCGTATTTGGGAGCCCGTCGTGGAAGGGTGCCATCCGGCTTGTGAGAAAAATTCTCTTCTGCCTTAACAAAGATAGTCAGTTACTAAAAGAAATGCCTACTTTAGCGCAGGTATCGAGGTTGCGCCCTAACAGCGGGGCACCAAGAAAAAATAGTTGTTTGCGGAGTGTTGTTGTTGTGGTTGTTTGGACCAGGGATGATAGGAGGATGCCGTCGTCAATGACAATGTCAAAGAGATCGGAAAAGAAAATCGGATGAGCCCCTTTCCTAGAACCTATAAGTCGTTGATAAATCAATGGCAGATCCCGTAATGAAGATTTGTTATGTGCACTTTCGCTCGATACCATGATCCTAGGCGTCGGTGATTCGAATTCCTCAAATCCGGCGGATTCTCTTTTTCTGACCGACTGTCAGAACACCCGTCGGGATTCGGACGTGCAACCAAATGCCCCTGCACAATTTCTGAAGTGAAGACATATCAAAGAGTTCTGGTCCTCACCTCTTAGACTGTGGTACCCAGACATCTTCGCAAACCTCGGCATCGGCATCGGCTGCATCAACCGTCATGATTCTCCTTCCTTCGATGCATTGCCGACTTTGACAAACCACTCGCTCTATTACCACTTCACATACTCTGACAAACAGTACAGTGATCGCAGATCTGTCCGAAACTTATAATCCTGCGTCCATCATGAGTGTTTCGGGAGACAACTCCCAGCCATTGGCTCCCCCCGGCGCCCCTTTTCGAAGCTCCAGCGAATCACGATCACGAGGCTCCCAAAGATATCTCACCAAACGACCCTCAAGAGACGGCCAACTAAAGGCAATACATCTCCAGGTTCTGGCTCTTTGGGGTCGTTACCAGTGTGACTACTGTAGTCTTTCTGTTGTTGCTGGATCAGTCACTCATCAGCACAGTAGGTGAAACCACGCATCCCAAACTAACAACGTACACCAACAGCATCACAACTAATCGCTGTCACCTAGGCTGTGCCTCGAATAACCGGCGAGTTCCACTCCCTACCCGACGTGGGTTGGTACGCAAGCGCATACACACTCTCCAGGTGACTCGGCCCAGTATCGCCCGACATACCGCACCTCGACTAATGCCAGGGGGACTCAGCTGTGCGCTCCAGCCACTCACCGGCAAGCTGTACACTTACTTCCGCGCAAAGGTCCGTGAAGGGACCACTTGATGGACCGATGGACCGGTCAAGACTAACACTTGCCCAGTGGATCTTCCTGATCTTCGTGCTCGTCTTCGAGCTCGGTTCCCTGCTTTGCGGTCTCGCCACCTCGTCGAACATGCTCATTGGTGGCCGCGCGGTCGCCGGCATCGGGGCATCAGGGCTGTCGAACGGGGGGCTGACTATCATTGCTGGAGCCGTGCCGTTGGACAAGAGCCCGTGTGAGTCGTCATGTTCATCCAGTTGGCAACTTCTATTTCGCATGGCTGACGAAGTTGACGAACAGTGTATACCGGCATCATGTTGGGCAGTAGGTGCTAGACCTCCCCCTGTCTTGATACGGACTTCTGACGATAGGGTAATAGTCGGTCAAATTGGCCTGATATCGGGTCCTCTCGTTGGGGGTAAGCCAGCCCAAATTACCGTCTTATTATCGATCGTCACTAAAGTAGTGAAACCCCAAAACAGGTGCACTTACGGAATCCGCTACCTGGCGATGGTGTAAGTGACCTCCGATTGTCAACTGCCCACTCGATGGGCACCCTTGTCTCGGCTCGGCTGACATAGCGGCTCAGGTTTCTACATCAACCTCCCAATCGGCGGCGTCGCAGCATTGATGATACTCCTAGTCAAGGTGCCCGAGATCACCAAGAAGAAGGCTTTCTCGCCCGGCGCGGTGAGCAGGGTCCTCCCGAAACTCGACCTAGTCGGCTTCGTGCACTTCGTCCCGGCCGCCATCATGTTTCTGCTTGCCCTCCCGTTCGGCGGCGATGGCACATATGCCTGGGGCAGCGCTACGATCATTGGGCTATTCGTTGGCGCGGCGGCGACAGCTGTGCTGTTCGGACTATGGGAAGCGCGCATGGGAGACAGTGCTAGTGAGTCGCACCCCTTTTCCCCAGCCTATTATCACCCAGTCAGCCACTGAGTGTTATCGGAACTGACCGGAAACCGAAGTGATTCCCGCCTCGCTGCTACGGAATCGCATAGTAGTGTCCAGTGCTGGCCAGACCCTGACACTGGCGTGGTGCATTTTCGTCCCCAGTTTCTACCAGCCCATCTACTTCCAGGCCGTGAAAGGGGGAAACACCAACACTGAGTGGCGTCTATCTGCTGCCTTCGATACTGAGCCAGCTATTATACGCCGTCTTGTCTAGATCTGCGGGTATGTACACCATATCCTCTCCTATGTTCGCCGGGCTGGACATTACTTACCATTTGCAGTCTCTCGATTCGGTTACTACCTGCCGTTCGCAGTTATCGGCATGACGGTCACGGCCATTGCCAACGGCCTCATTTCAACCTTTTCGCCAACGACCAGCATCGGTCAATGGGTTGGGTACCAGATCCTCATGGGAGCTGGGCGGGGGTCCTCATTGCAGATTGTTCGTCATCACTCTGTAGCCACATCTCATAAGCTTACGAGCAGATTTCGCTGACAGAAGCAGTCTTTCATCGCGATACAGAACGCTCTGCCCGCTAACCAGATTCCCGTCGCCCTGGCCTTCATCATCTTCTCCCAGAACTTCGGCGGTGCCGTCGCCGCTGTTGTTGTCACCACGGTGTTCAATCGTAGCTTACTCGCACAACTGAAGGTATGCGATGTCACTTCGCTATCTTTCAGATCCAAGTTGTCGAACTGATGTTTACTCAGGTCCTGGTACCCAGTCTGTCGCCCGCAGCCGTGTTGGCAGCCGGGCCAAGCGCGGACGCTGTGCGCGCGCTGGCCCTGCCGGACAGTCCACTGCTCTCGGGGCTTTTGATCGCCTACTCGAAAGCTGTCCAAAACTTGTTCTACATGCTGGCTGGCCTCGCGGTGTTAAGCTTTGTCTTCTCTTTGGGAATGGGCTGGAAAGATATCAGGACGCACAAATCAGGCGACAAGAGCGTGTTGGACACTCGGTCAGAGAAGGGGAAAGTCTGATACCACGCATGTGCTTACCCTGCTACTCACCCGTTTCCCACGATCCTTATTAGTAGCCCTGGCGTGACAATTGCGAGGGTTGATAGGTTCGACCCATAGCTCTGCGTAGCGCACCGCTATTCTAACGCTTATGTGAGCAAGAAAGGTTAAAGGAGGAAAGTGGACCAAAAGAAAAGGGGGCAACTGGATGTCAAGAACTGAGGGAGCCCTGACGGCGCCTGGCGCCTGAATATGACAGCTTGACTTCAGTGGCCGGTGAAAAATCGTGCGTGGTACCGAAAAAACTTAGAGAGTGACCAGTCAAGAAATAAGGAAATAACCCAGAGAGTGACGACTAGAGAAATAAAGGAAAAATTGATCATCCTGCTTTTCCGCCCACATTTCTGCTCATTGCTCCTTCGCGCTTGCCGATACCCATCCCAACTCCAAAAACAGTTTGACATAAGGAAAAACATAAAGAAAGGTAACATACTGGAAGAAAAAAATCGTGCCTCCTGTTCGATTTGTTGTTGAATAAGCGTTCTGAACCCCATTCACCTCTTGGGCTTCTTGCTACTGCTTTGACTACCGCTTCCATGACCTCCGTGGCGCCTTGAACCATCATGAGGATGACGTTGAACGGACCGGCTTGACCCAGCCTGGGAATGGGCAGGGGTGCCTCCGTAGCCCCAAGGCTCGCCAGGTGGGTACATTCCTCCAGCGGCAGCGGAGTTAGACGCCTCATGAGCTACCTGGGTCCCCTGATTATAGTCCCATGAGGTTTCGCCACTTCCGCCTGGTCCCATGCCAGGAGCGCTCCCCGTTGGCTGCCAGGTACTCACACTGGCTGCGGCCTCGAACCCCGCATCATAGGAGTATGATGCTGATCCAGATGCCAGTCCTTGGTCGTATAGGTATGGATTGGCGTGCGACTGCGAAGAGAACGACTGCGAAGGGTACGACTGCGAAGGGTACGGCTGCTGAGAGTACGACAGCGGAGCGTTTTGGTCTGAGCCATAATCATCCACGCTATACTGGCCCGCGTTGAAAGGGGAGTAGGCAGTCCCCCCTCCATGTTGCGTCTCTTCAACACCGCCCGATGGGGCCTCAGTTGAAGGGCCAGGATATCCTTGCCCTGGCTCCTGGGCTTCTGCAGGAACGGCGTTGGAGAGGCTGTGTTCTTCACACAATTTTGGGTCCACCTTAGGTGCCCTGATTTTAAAACTCGGGCAGAGAGCGCGCATGGCGATGTTCTGGTTCCAGACGATGATCTTGCTCTCGTCGGTTTTCTCGTCCCCAACGATGTTCGGGTTCCCAGAGAATCTGTCACGAAGTCAGTGGTGTGTACAATTCTTCCCTTCTGCATTCCGCTTCCCAGTTGAGCCTACATAGTCGAGGGGCGCCACTTCCACGTGTCTGCGAACATCAGGTGGATACATGCTGCAGTAGTACCCAATAGCCCGTGCTTCGCAATAATGTATCTGTCCGTCTGGTGCTGTCACTTCCATATTGTCGACGTTCCATGGCAGTACTAGAGTTGGGGCTGTCCAATGTTCCATATCCGGCACGTCTCGTATCAGCGAATTCGGGTCCTCTTGATGACGCCAGAGGCCACCATGGATATCACATCTCTTGATCACGTTCTGTGTCTTCTGAGACGCGTTGCTTTGGGGCCCCTTTTCATTTGTCGCGCCGGTGTGGATGTCCAATTCCCCAGGCTTGATAGTGCACCAATTGCCGTTTTGCCACTGGGTATCTTTTTGGCGGTCACACACCCAGCACCAGTACTTAATGGTCCAGCTGGTATTAGTACCCGACATGTTGGGCGGTGGAAATTGGCGATTAGTGCCTGTCCGTATCCTCGGTCACTGTGGATGCTGGGAGTCGAGTGACTGAGGGCTGCGTAGGATGGGTCGATGGTCACTCCTTGCGTTGTGATCAGCGTTCCGTTCAGGCAAGGGATAATTTTTGCGCACCCCTACCCCTGAATGAAGCGCTCCCGCCGATGGCACACTGTTATTCATCGATCCTCAGTCCCCCGATGATTCAGAACTCGAGTCTTGACCGATGGAACTTTCGAAGCCGCGAGAAGTGTGTGAACCCTAGTCTAGTCAGTCACATGCCTAGTCCTCTTGCTGTCGTGGAGACTTACCGGCTTTCTACTGTCACCCGAGAGGCGTGTCAGAAGGTCAACCTGAGAAAATGAATAACGACTTGTTTCTGTGAAGAATCCGAACCGAATGCTTGTGGGGGAGCGTAGCCATATACAGGTAAACAGTCCTTTGTTCGACGAACTGCTTCCTGGGGAGACACAACAATGTTGGTACCGTACTCCAGAATGTCGACAGGCATCCCATGTCACTGTAAAATCGACCAACACAATGGATGAACCTACTACTTCAGCTCTCGATGGATCGTAGCCATATACAGGTGAGCAGTCCTTTGTTTGACAAGGTGCTTCCTGGGGAGGCAGACAATGTTGGTACCGTACTCCAGAATGTCTACCAGCATCCCCTGTCACTGTAAAATCAACCAACACAATGGATGAACCAACTACTTCAGCTCTCGATACAGCCTATTCATCATCCTCGCTTTCCTCTTCGGCATTTTCCAGCCACTCTACCAACGCCTGGCACTTATCCCTCACAGTCGCCATGGCATCGCCCTCCTTGCCCTCTTTGCCCCTATCGTCACCCCACCATGCCACGATGCCTTCCTCCTCCAAGATATCGAGATCGTACATTTGCTGTAGGACAGCGGCCAGGAGGTTTCCAGCCTTGGTGATCTCGATGACCTTGGCGCTACTGACACACGCTCTTTGCACGGCTAGGGCGAATTCGACCTGCTCTACGACCGAATCACCTCCGACGCCGACATCTGCCACGAATTCTGTAGCCCCTTTTCGGGATGTGAGCGCTTGTTTGGCAGCTTTTGCTGGTTCGAGACCGCCTTGCTCGGCATTCATGAGATCAACACTGCGGCGCACGAATGCTGTTGCGACAGCTCTTCGCATTGCTGCATCAGACGCGTTATTGGCGAGTCGAAGTGACATAAATTCGAGCTTCTCCGAGTCAAAACTCCCCGATACACCACGCAGAACCTCCAGAAGACCGTGGACTGCGTCGGCATGAAAGGAAGGAAAGTTTGGTGCCCCTGAATCGTCTGAGGCAAAGGAGGAAAGACGGGATCGAGAGGCAGGGTGAATGGGTGTCAAGGACGCAGCAGAGTCATCGTCTGACAGATAGTCTTCATCTGCAAGGGTCGAAACCGAGGAGCCGTCTATGTCGAACTCTTCCAAGGAGTAGACGAGGGATTTTTGCAATCTCGACAGATCGTCTGTTTCAGCGTCGTCATCTTCTGCGTCTCGGAACGTTGAGGTATTGAACTGGGTTTTGTCGTCGATTTGGACTCCAAAGGATACCAGAGAGCCCTCACTGACTGTGGCGTCCTTGCCGATTGTGGCCATATCCGCGACCACTGCATGTTCCACGGTCGCCCCATCGTCGATACTAACATCGTTCCATATGAAGCTGTCCGTGATGCGCACGTTGCTGCCAATCTTGCAGTTCCGGCCTATGACGCTGTTGCTTATTGTGGTGTTGGATCCAACCTGGGTATCCCGTCCAAGGACGGCGTCGGAAATTTCGCTACTGTTCTCGACGATGACATCTTCTTCTTGGTAGACATGGTCATCTCGTAACTGATATGTCTGGCCCTTCAATAGATTGCAGTCGGGCGTAAAAGGATATGTCCAGCCGCTCAATATGTCCCGAGTAATGGCGTCGTACATTCGGAGGTTGTCGGCTCTTGCGCTGTAACCCTCGCTGACAATCTCGGTGTGTATCATCTTGCCATTGAGTTCCCAGTCCTTCAGCACGCCGTGCAAGAAGTTTGCGCGCGGTAATTCGTAGTCGAAGCTCTCGGACCATAGAGCGAGAATGTCTGGTGTGCATATATCGATCTCGGCGTCGACCAAGTCTGTGCGTGCCTCGACCTCGGGGTCCTCTAAGATTGAAGGGTCGAGACCAACATAGTGCTCGGATTGGAACGGATTCATCTCTTCGTAATGCAGACATCGCTTCTTTCTGGGATCGACCACGAATACCGGTGTAACGACCTTGGCTTTAGTGTTGTGTTCATCCTCTCCAGCTTCTCGTAGGATCATGGTCATGCAGGAATCTCGATTCGCTTCCCTTCGAGCTCTGTGTGCGGCCAGTGGAGCGTCAAGAGAAAGGTTTGCGACGAGGTCGCCGTGTACGAGAATGAAGTCTCCGTCAATCAAGCTTCGCTTGTCCAGATCTCGCAGGAAGTCGCCTATGGAGCGGGCATCGGCAACGCGTATGAATTCGACGGTCGAGAAGGGACATGATCTGGATATGGGCGACCATCGTGAGTCGTGGACGTAGCGTTCTATTTGCTCGTGGTGTGCGCCGCAGTATATATATACTTCTTGCACGCCGTTCACTTGGAGCGAGTCAACATTTGTTTCGATCCCAAGCTCCGGACATGCCGCTACTCACTGGCGAGGAACTCGAGGGTGTACTCGATGAGCGGCGTGTTTGCGAGAGGTAGAAGACACTGGAACGGGCTTCGGATCAGCAACTAAAGCACGCTGCGGTAGACGTCCTGGAACTCACCCGAGGTTTCTCTACCGCGAAAGGCATGAATCTTGTCTGGAAAGCGTCTGCGATGACCTAGGAAGCGAGGCGCATTGCGTTAGCCATGGCGACGATGCCCCACGATGCACGCACGCATGACCGGAAGATACACACCACAGCTTGAAGGACATCCTCTCTCTTCTCTTCGCCTGTTGCTCTGCCCGAATTCTTGCCTTTGGAGGCAGCGCCACCACGTTTGTTCTGCGACATGTTTGCGCGATAGGGTCGGTGGTGGTGGTGGTGTACAATCTCGGTGGTGGTGGTGCTTGGTGTGTGGTGGGCTGTGACTCGATTGAGTCGCATCGATATTTCTTGGAGGGGCAGGCAAGAGCTTCGAGTCATAATTTGCACAATCATTTATGCATCTGCCACAACGCACGGGCGCTGCATTCTTGCTGCCAGCTGGCGTAAGATCCACAGTAGCTGCCAGGATCTTGGCAGAAATCCGCTTTACCCCTTTCCAATGGGAAATGCAATGTCTGCATCCCCTTTCCATTATCCAGTCTAGGCCATAGCTTCTGCCTACTTCTCTTCTATGCAGCGGAAATCTTCTACAAGATAGGTTGCTACTTCCACCGCCTCTTTTGCTGACGCCAGCGTTAGAACAGAAGGAGCTGGCGGATCATTTCCTCAAATCAAGGGAATTTGAATGCGATGGCGGCACCCAGAAGCTTGGGGCCATTCCAGCCCCCTCTTACAAGATATGTACGTCCTCTTTCAGTTCAGCTCAACTACATTCATCAAGATTCCCATTTTGATCCTTTATATACGAGTTTTCGGCGTCGTGTCGTGGTTGCGCATTACGTCCTGCGTGACGATGGGGCCATCCTCCGCGATGTACTTGATAAGCTTATCAGTCGGCGGCGCCATGTGCAGTCCGCAGAACGAAGCCGAGGATACCGCTCTCCTGGTCAATTGTACCAGGGCCACAATCTCCGTGGGAGTTTTCAATGGTGCCGTTGCTGTGGTCACCGACGTGGTCATCTTCCTCCTACCACTGCCAGTCATCGCCAAGCTAGAGATGCCGCTACATAAGAAATCTGGGCTGGCCATCGTATTTCTCAGTGGTATCTTGTGAGTCTGATGCTATGATTTTCTCCAGAAGACACGTCATATCTATAGGCACCACTGATGGTTTCACGTGATCAGCGCCATCGCCGCCAGCGTCACGTCACTGTATTATAGGTCAATATCTCTGGCGGGACACTCCATAGGATTCTCAGTGTCACCCCTATGCGCGTAAGCCCACTACCACAGATTCCAAGTGGAACAAAAGCTCATGAAATCATGCCTTTAGAATTGTTGACTGCTCTATCGCCATAACTGTTGGCTGTATCCCAGCAGTTCGCGCTTTGCGGTCGAGGCTGCGTAATAAGCATGCTGTGTGTATGGCACTTCAGCCAGGTCTCTAGCGAGGGCACCTCTCGGGATCTGGGGAGCCGCGCAGAACCCAACAGGCTTGTTAATGCGTGGAGATAGACGAGATTAGTCTGGCAACAGTCTCGTCGAACGTACGCAAGCTCTGTGTTTGATAGTGGGAAGCTAACATTGCATGAGAAATGATGCACTTCCCCCCGCTGCTTCCAAGACCATGGTAACATCTCACCCCCCCCTGCGGACCACCCCCCCACGGACCACTCCACACCACACCACTCTCATTCAGATGAAGCCATCTACAACCACCACAGTTGCTAAATACACTAAGGTCGTGGTGTTCTAACCATAATACAGCTCCCAGAATCCGATTCCGACCCTAAATCTTCACCAGGGACCTCTTATGGGACCTCTTCGCCTGCAGCGGAGTCCCTATAGACCCTCCTGTTCCTCAGCTCCATTTTGGCCTCCCTTATGTTAGCCATTGTGACGAATCGTTCCCCTGGTGTTGGTTTGACTGCTTTTCGAGTGGTATTAGCCTTTTTAGCCACTTGAGCCTCAAGCAGCTCACATTTGGCCCGTAGATTTGCAATGGTAGCAGCCTGAACATCCATGGCCTTGCCAGCCTTCCGTACCAACAAGCGCTCAGAGGGCCCCCCAAAGGAAGGGTCCTTTCTTTCGAGTTTTCGAGCACTCTCTCGCAAAGCCCGGCTTCCAGAGGGTGTTGTGACAATGGTTTTAGCTACCATCTCGAGAAAATCTGGTGTTGTGGCTCGCTCGGAAGCCTTAGGGTCCCTCTGGCGTGCCCTGGCCACCCCTTTGTCCTCCAGAATCACATATTTCGACTTCAACGCCTCTGCTCTGTTGCGAGGAACAATCCCAGTCTTTTTCCAGGCAATTATGATATTGAGGAGCGTCATTGTGTCCTTCCGGGCCTGCTCGTAGCACTCCAAAACCTCCTCCTTAGATGGCCTGAGTCCCAGACGGCCGCTGGGCGTCTCCTGGAGTAAGGTCTTCAACCTTTTCTTCACCAAATTGAAGACTCCCATATCTAACACCTGGACTATATGGGAGCAGTGAGGTTCATAAAAGATCAACCATACTTTGTTTCTCAAGCAGGTGGCTAGGAACTCGTCATTCATGTGGGAGTCGTGGCCATCACACACCAAAACCACCTATGTGTTGCCGTGGACCTCCCGAATGTGAGGAATAAAGATACGTTAAAGCCATTCTAACGCAATGGGATTCGAGGTCCATCCATTGGGCGACGTAATAAACCTCCAGTTGGTGAATTTGCCCTCATTTTGGTTGCTAAATTACTGGGCTTGTACGTTAATCCCCTTGAGAATCACCAGCGGCGGCAAGGTCTCACCAGATCCGTTCACACACTCTAGGGCAGTTATCCATTCACCCTTCTTGACCCCTTTCTTCATAGCCATGTTGCCAGAGGCCTCAGAGACCACCCAATGGGAGTCCCCAACCCCCTGGGCAATTCCCATTTCGTCGACGTTGTACCAGCGTGCTGGCATGAGGTTAACCACGTCAGGGGCGTCACACCGATCGAAAAAAATGTTGATATTTGCCGCTGTAGCACCATTCACTCGGTTATAGTCGATAATACGAGACTTCATTATTTTGACTTCCGGGTTTTGAGACAGGAACTTGGATTCCCAATTTTTCCCTAATTCTTGAGCATCCCCGGTGGCATGGAGCATCCGCTGGGCCATGAGACGGAACTTAGAGACCGCCGGAGAATACCCTAACCGTGCTTGCCCAAGGGCCCAGCTTGCCAGCTTATGTTCGAGATACGGTGAGAGAGCCTGTTGGAGAGCGCTGGTCTCATTCCGCGTTGGGGTGCCAGAGATTCGTCGGTTGACGTACGAGCGACTGATTTGCCATTCGAGGGCTGACGAGCGGACTGGAGCTCCGCATTGGATGGCCAAAATGGCGGCTTCAGCTTTTATTTGACGGTCGTAAAATGACATCATGAGATTCAGTAGTGGATAAGGATTCAAATAGTGTGCTTTGTGAAAAAAAAGATGCAAAAGTGATGGTGTAAATGGTGGATCACCATAATCCTGGTGGTTGGTGAATTACGCGTTTGTGGGTCAGAACGCGCTGGTCCGCGGGGGGGTGGTCCGCAGGGGGGTGGGAGATGTTACACCGAACTTCCAAAAGTCACCGTACACCATTTACTCAGCAACCAAAGGGTGTGGTTATCTGAAGAGGAATAATTGTTCTGAAACTAGAATAAAGAATGGTTTATTAAATTAAGCCTGTCTATATTAGGGTGCTCATTCCATCAGTATGAACATAGCATTGAGATCTTAAGACTAATAGTGATGGACGAAGACAAGCCGGAGCCAAACTGATGACAACGAATTACGATGGCCTGCTCGAGACGCACTGCGGGCTGCCTCCGCTTGACCAACTGGATCCCCAGGGTATAATATCCGTATCAACGAGACACTTACGATGCGGTATTCCACCACCACGGCTACTGGAAAACCCGGGACACTGGTATGTACATTTGCGAGTCTTTTATCACCCCATATGGCTATGCCTCAGGGGCGAATTTCCTCTTCTAGCCTGTTTCAAGAGCCCCTGCTCCCGAGACACGCATTCCGACTCTTTGTTTCTCGTCGAAAAGGGGTAATTACTGACTCTAATTTGCTACCAGTGGTCTTATCCGCCGATCACTACTATGATTTTGGAAAAAACGTCATTATCCAGGTCCGTACTATACCTACCTGGCCGTGGAACCTCGAGGAGTGTACAGTGCGTGATTACTAATCTATGTCATGATATAGAACGTTCTAAAGCATTTGTTGGAGTGGAGGCGGCGTTAGTGATCCGAACTTTGGAGTGCTTCTGAACTGGATTGGCAAGGAACGTACGTAATATCGGGAACTATTCGTCCACCCTTTGAGGCATGTCCGGGGAGTAGGGCTTTTAGACCGTTTCGTGTTGGAGACTCTGTTTACTCCCAAGACATGTTTTCAGTTTCCCACTTCTTAATAACTCTTCCTTGAAAGCAATCACTAACTGCTGGTTTTTAAAGATGAAAAACGTGGTGCCACTCACTACATTCTGACGCGAAAATCAGAGCCTAACCCGGTTCCTGCACTACTACTAAATCGTCTCACGTGTGACGGTTTGGACGGCATTGCCCTTTGGCTTATGGATCCCGTGGACGAAGAAGATCCAGCCGAAGGGACAGGTAAGTTTTTCTGCAACTGATACCGGTTCAATGTGGCTGATCGCGACCTCGCAGTCCGTGACCTCGACGTGGGTAGTGAAAGGAGAAAGATCGACGACTGGCTCGCGCCCGTGGACCAATCTTGGTTCGTTAGAGTCAACAATGACATACAAGGGCCAGCACCGCAACACAATCGTAGCGTCGACGAGGATATGAAGGAATTAGATTCCAACGCCCTTCTGTGGCTAAAAGGTCCTGGTAAGTTTAGTGTTCTTATATTCAAAGCCCACGCCGTGCTGACCACAGAGCCGCAGAGGGATATGGCAAGATGCAGAAATGTGCGAACTACATCAGGAAGATACAGCACTACAGCCGGCTAGCAGACTTCGGAGAGTCCCGCGATTCTCCCGCCTACTTCTTCTGCACGACATATGACCTCTAAGAAGAAGACCCGACAAAGGACAACTTGCCCTTTGAGCTGTTTTTACGAACCGCCATATCACACCTGCTGCCACCAAAGTACACTTCCAGTGGCCTCCTCCGACTGTATGCTCAGTGCACAAGGCACCATCCAGCGAGACGACCGACCAGAAATGAGCTGGAGACCGTCCTGATTGCCATCATTGAACAACTGTGCCCCGATGCTGTGCCCGCTACAGGGTTGACGATGGCGCCAGGAGAGACATACTTGATAATCGACGGCCTTCAGCACATAGCCAACGCTGATCGATCTGGTTACCTGGGTTTCACACAAAAGGTGACGACCAAAGCATTCAAACGCTTCCATCTGGTGGTTTCCACTCGCAACGAAGCCAAGCTTGATAGAGTTCTCTCAGATATCACTGGTTGGACATACATCACCTTTAACGAAGTACATACCCTTGGGCACATGAAGCAATGGGCGAGCGGTTACCTCGCGTCCGATCACGAGCTGGGGCAGATATCCGAATGCATGCGCGACAATATTGTCGACGGGTTGTACAGGAATAAAAGCAAGCAAGTCATCCCCAAATTCCAGCCACGCCGAACTCGGGACTTTTCTTCTAACAGTCATAATTCTAGTTACACCTGGCGCACCGCGTACTTCAAGCTGCAGACCTTGAGGGACTTGGAATCAATAGGATGGACTCATGTTTTTAACAAATACAATGGCGCTCCACAGCCGGCTCAGCTTAACGACTGGGTATTTGGGCTGCAAACGCCTGCACCTCCACCTTCGCCTCCACCCTCCCCTCCAAGTCCCGGAGGTGGTTCCGGAGGTGATTCCTCTAAGAAGAAGCGAACATATTCTCAGCCCGAGGCTGGGAGTAAACGGCCGAAATTTACTTATTGTCTTCCAGGGAATATGGGTGTCTAGGGCAGGGAGAAGAGGCTACGTGAAGGGCACATATTATAACGGTGTTATTATATCAAGGGGGTCACTTAGTGGTGCCCACGCAATGGTAGGGCGAAATAACTGTCTACGATTTACTATCTACTTAATTATGTATTCTTCCCCATTCCTAAGTTGAGGAAGTAGTCTACGCTTAAATAACGTGTGGTTGTGCGGACTGATTACGGTACTATGGCCCACCTACTACTCGGCCACCCCCACTACTCGTGTTGGATTAAAGGTATGCCTAGAAGGCACCTTGACAGGTAGACAACGGAACCGAGTTGTTCCGTCCCGATCCAGCCCCCTCTGGTACAAAACTGCCACGGTCGTACAAGGACACTCTAGACAGACAGAATACACACACACACTTCACTTTGACGATTAGCTCAAATCTGACAACTCGGACCGCTAAATCTACGACTTACACCTAACTCTAATTATAAGAGAAATGGTATAATAGCTGGCTATAAAATGACTAAAGATTTATATATTTACAAATGTGTAAAGTTTGATTATAAACTTTTAACCTTTTATTTTTCCGAATTTTTTATTAATATAATAACTCTTTATATATAAAAAATCGTATTGGTAGCGTATGCATATCATATAGATCGATAGCACCATACTATATAAAAACAATTATATATATTTTAAATAAGGATTATATAATATAATATTGGCATATAAACGTAATGATATAAAGCGCAATGAAACGAACTGATCGTATATTTTGACGTAATTCTGTAACTTACTTAAACTAAATTATTTTATTTTAACGGTCGTTTATTTTATACAGAAGATTAAGCCTCTCTAAACCGCTAAACCTTATATTATATAACTATGTTGTAAATTTTCGAATTGTTCATTAGATAGAACTCTTAAAAAGCTCTACCATTGTTTAATCTATAAGCATTTTCTAAACCTTATCAAGTTAAAGCCTATACGTAGACGTAAAGGTGCATATGTAGCGATTCTGATAATTGCTACGCTCCGAGTGGTAGGGGTGGCCGAGTGGTTGGTGGGCTATGGTCGGTACAATAAATGAACCAGTAAGGATACTTAGACGCAAATGGCCCTTGAAGTAATAGAAAGATTCGATGCAGAATAAAGGAAACAATTGTCAATACTTGTCACGATGCCTTCGACGTTGTATTGCAATCTGGTGTTGATTACGAAAATAACAAGGTGGGAAAAAAGGAACAGTTGTGCGTACAGCCGAGGCTGCAGCACATATGGTCCTTCCACCTTATCTAATCTACACGTGACCTAATAACTTAGCATCTAACCAGGTGGATATAGCTGTACACCGTTACAATACTCGAGCTGTCAAGTATATCACAAAGGCTATACTTTTTATTATATTTTAAAGTATTTAAGTTTAGCTTTAAAAGAGGATGAAAAGAGGTATATAAAAAGTGGATTAATCGTAGCTATAAAACGAACTATATTAAATGCACTTAATATAAAATATAATACCGCTTTTTAAAAATAAACTTTATATAATACGTACTGTGACGGCCTGCACAGACCTTCCCACATGACAAGCCGATACTTCCAAATAAGGGAAGGATCTGACCAGAGGATCCCCTTAAAGGGGCAACCTCCCACTGTACCTATCTCTCTCTCTCTTCCTTTCCTCTCTAGTCTTGATATTCTCGTCAATAGAGTAATAGCTGCTTGCTGCAGGCCATGTCCCAGCTCCCCAGTATGCTCGCCCTGACACGTAATTTTAATCTTATATATATTATATTACGTATTTATCCAAGTTACTGTATATTTTTCTTATAACGAATTCCTTCATACAGAAAAACTTGAAAAACGTATGAACGTGTAACGTATACTTTTTCTTAAAATATCAAGGTAGTATGAACCGTTTTAACTTTAAATAACCTATATTTTAACCAGTATATTACTTATTCAAATGGCTAAGCCTTAAATTAAGCTATAACTAGGGCTATTAAGCCATTAATAAGTTTTAGTAAGGGTTACTTTTGGCTACTCTATTAACTTAAATAACGTAATAATTCAAAATGTCGTATATTTCTCATATACAGAATTATATATATAATTAAAGATATATACCATATAGTTTTTGAATTACTTATTAATAATGTTTATATGGTCTAAAAACGTAAACGAACTAGGCGTAATAAGCTAGGATTACATAGATTTTTAATAATTATAAAATAATAAGTAGTTCGTATAAATCGTAAAAGTTTACTTAACAAAAGCGGTATTAAAAGATGTTTAAAGTAGGTGTACCTCTTAAACGCTGGCGTTTGAAAGGACCGACAACCTTAACTTAATTAAAACTTTAATTAAAATCAGTTTATATAGTTTAATAATAACGCAGGGACTAAAAATTTAAAAAATTTAAAAAATTTGACATTTTAAGTTTTAGGATTAAATTCTTCAAACACAATTATCTACTTATAAAGATTTAAAAAAGATTTAAGGTGATATATTTCTATAGTTTATACGTGTTATAATTTCAAACTTAACATAGGTTTAAAATAAAAATTATTCAATGACGTGATTATTTTTCGAGTTCTAAAACTAAAACTAGTATTAAATATATATTAAAGTATGAAGATTTGTTTATATATTAATTTCCGAATTAATAAAGCCTTACTTATTACATTTGAAGCTACCATTTTAATACCCTTATTCGTTTTTTAATTACTTATCATAATTAAATATAGCTGCTTTATAGCCGTTATAATACTTGTACGGCATTTTATATATTATACGCCTTTATAACGTTAAATATAAGTATTTAGCTTTTAAATATCGTTCGATATGATATTAAATAAAAGCGTTATTTTTAATAACGTAACGAACTTTTTAAGTTTTAGGTGTTTAAATAATTTTATAAGCTTCTTTATTAAACTTTTATTAGTTAAAATGTTGGAACAGGCTTGAACGATCAATCATAATACTCGAGTATGGGGTCAAGGTCATGATGTTGCTGATGGTTAGATTGAGAGGAATCTAGCTGGACTTGAAGGTCTGGCCAAGTGCCCTCTCAATCCACTATCTTATCTTATCTAATCATACATGTGGGTCCTGGTATAGATGATTTGCAGTCTGGAATCGCATGGATCCAACAGGTTAATTATTAAATATTACGAATATAATAAATATAATAACGTAGGTCACAAGCGAGCGGCAATTACAAGCGAACGGCAACTTTTCACCAATCTTCTAACCAACATGTCAAATAACTTGACCACAACGCATTTAATTCAATACAATCAATCGGATTCTTCTTCTTCAGACGTTTCTATCTCTATTGTACAAGTTCGCGCATTATGGCCAGTGTTGCCGCAAACGCCACAACGTCGCTCACGCGCTGCCGCCCTCCTCGGACGACGACTACCTTCACCCATTTCCTGTCTTGCCAGCTCACCACCATCCTTTACAGCCTGGAGACCTACTGCATCTTCAACGGAAAGTACTCCTCCTTTCATTAGACGTTTGTTTTTTGTCCTCCGGCGTTTACTTAGTAGGTGATTGGCCTCCTCTAGCTCGCGGACCCGGGAATCAACCAAAGCGACCTTGTGCATAAGACCGTATGTAGCCTTTAAAAACGAGCTCAACGCATCAATTATTGATGTAGGTGAGCTTCCCTAGTGGTTTCTGACTCGATTTCAAATATGAACCGATTGGTTGACCGCTTCGTTGATGGTGGTAGGCGTCTTCGAAGTCCAAGTAGTGGGTGGCAGATTGGGGTCTGGCGACGGTGTTCGTACGACAGCGACAGCATCCAGTTTCGAAATGACACTTTCTGGGTCAAAAGGAACAAGCCCAGTGGCACTGAAACCTGCTCGAATGTTCCCTGGCATCATAGCAGCGTTGTGTGCTTTACAAAACGCTGCAAGGAAGTCCTCTTTCGAAACATGGGTTATATGACGCCGCATGAGATCCTCAATCATGCGACCGTACGCTCGTTTGAGCGGGCTAAAACAACTGACATCTAAAGGCTGGAGCCTGTGTGACGAGTGGGCAGGCATACAAAGGGTAATAATGCTGTTGTTCTGGCAATATCTCTCAAAGATCTGGGAATGGTGGCTTTCGTGACCATCTAGGATGAGGAGGCGTTTACCGGCAGTCATACGCGGTCTGGTATACTTGTCGAAATGCCGAATCCATTCCAACCCAATCTCGTTCGTAGTCCACCCATTATCGGACACGGCCACCTTCCAATCGCGTGGTAATGTCGTGTCGCGATACCATGACGCGAGGTGGGTTTTGCCCTGTAGAATGATGAACGGCGGGACCACCCAACCATCAGCATTGACAGCAGAAATTACTGTAGACCATTTCCTGTTGCCTTGCTGGGCTTGTCTAGGCCTACCACGTCTTTCAGCGCTTGTAATGACCATGCCGGACCCAATAATGCCCATCATAAACCCAGTCTTATCGAAGTTGTAAATATCCGCGTCTTGGATACCATGTTTCGCGATTGCCGCTGCAACTTGGCGAAACCACGCGCGATACGCGTCCGGATCTTCGTTTAAGACCCTCTCGTAGTCCATCCTCTGATAAAAACGCGTCCGGAGGCCTGGTGTACGTTTGATGAAGTTCGCCATCCAGTTCTTTCCAACGCGTCCAGCCCCGCGCGCCGCCAACAATTGATTTGCCATATCTTCAACATAAGTGTACCGGGGCGGAAATGCTCGCGCATCCAGGTCGATTATGAAGGAATAAATGGCATTCTTTTCAGAAACCGTAAGTTTCAAAGAATTAGGCATGCTATCGCGTCGTGATGGTCGGCCGGCAATTCTAGCCTTCAAGGTATTGTATGGGACATGGAAAGTCTTAGAAAGCTTGCCAATGATAATATGAGGGTCGCGTCGCTTAGCTTGGACAGCAAGCTGTAAGTCTGATTCGCTATAACGCAATGCCATTATTGTTGGTTGATCAATTAGGAGCCTTGATTGAAAGGTTGGGTGGCTGGTGAAAAGTTGCCGCTTGCTTGTAATTGCCGCTCGCTTGTGACCTACGTTAAGTTAAAGTTATTTATAGCGGTTAACCTCAACTTAGCGTTAAATTAAGATAATATGAAGGTAATTATTAGTTGTATAACTTTTATAATAAAAGTGAAGCGAGCAAGTATAGAGGTCAAATATGTTGTTGTGTGTGGGTTGGCTATCTAGTTAAGTGGGAGGACTGCAACCATTACACGATGGCCGCTCCCTTATCTTATCTATCTAGCCGCACTCTGGTTGGCTAGGGCACCCACTTACAGTGTGTCCCCCTGGTGATGTGTGTCAAAAAGTTTTCGTTTTATGATATCTAAAGCTAAAATTAATAAATAGATAATCTTTTTCTAAGTAAAACATATGAAATTTATTAAAACTATTAACGATATTGCTTAAATACGTTTTTTTATGTCAAGATCGATTAAGTATTTAAAAAACTGCCTATTTTATTAAAAGATAATTTAAATATTATCAATTGGGTAAAATGGGGCGTTATAAAAAAGCGTTATATAAAAATCGCTTTCATTTTTGCTCAGTAGGAAACTACAAGAAAATGTATTGTGTTAATATAAGTTTTAACGAAAGAAAACCTTATAAAAGCTTTATAAAGTTATTAAAAAGCTCGAAATATTAAAAGTTTATCATGATGTTAAGTTTAAAGTTAATATAATAGATTTAAGAAGATTATATATAACGTTTTCAACGTAATATAATACCTTTATTTAATTCTTAGGAGGATTTACTAGGTGATCTTATAGCAAGTTATTGATATACCGTTGATTTAATTGAAACATAATAATACTTTTATTAATATATTTTTATTATAAATTTGAGCGTTTTAATAAAATCTGAGGTTTTAACACTATTTAATTACAAGACGTGTTAAACAAAGTAGTATAATTGGTATAGCTGTAAGTAATTTATATACGGACTAGGTAGATTTAAAGTGGTTTTAACGCTTTAAAAATGGTCGATTAATAACCGTTGCCTTATAATTTCAATGCTATATTTGCTAGACGTATTACAACTATATTTAAAGGTAAATATGTTTATAATAAGTATGTGTAAAACTACGAACGAACGTATTCTTACTACTTTTATATACGAATTCTTATAAAATATAACTATTTAAAACTAGCTTCAAAACGTGTTTTAAATAAAATAAATATGTTTTATTAAAATGTATAATATTATATAACATACTATATAGTATTGAAATCCCATACGATACGATACGATATGATACGATACTAAGTACAAATACGAATCGTATTTTTTAAGACCCTGCCCGTCTGTCTATCAATCCCGGACGTCGAGAACCTTGAAGAGGCGGGTCAGCACACGCTGGCTAGGCTGGGCAGTACGTAGCGACCGCAGCAATCAGCCTCTCCCGCGCACGGGTACAGGTTCTTACAACTTCTGTCCGCGTCTGCTAATGAGATAAACCTGAGCTTCCACAGCCAAACGAGACGACATCTCACGACTTAAATCACCTCCACCATGGAGCGGGACGCCGCATGCACCGTCACCGTCACCGTCACCGTCGCCTCACCGAGATTGGAAAACATAACAAGAAGAGAGAGAAAAGACAAGACAAGAAAACAGTCTCCACCAAGCACCCGCTGCCCGGGATGCCCCGCGCAGCAACGATCTAGGCCCGGCGACGGCAGGGGATGCGTTCGGGCTCGGCCCAGAAAGCCAGGCTGGGTGGGGACCTGGATCACCCGATGGTACGACGACGGACCGGTCCAGGCTTTGGTGGTTCAGCGTCCAGACCCGAATCCTCTGAGGGGAGGGTGATGGGATTTGAGGGTCGTCAGGCGAAATTACCATGTTGTTCAGGATGGGCTACGGCCGGTGGATGTACGGAGTAGAGGTGATTAGAACTTGGCTTCCAGCTTTGGATTTTGGTGTATAGCAAGGCGGAAGGAGTCTCAATGTGATGGAGCGAGGTCTGTACATGTATCCATCCATACACGCAACCAGCCGGGACAGTCAAGAGTCCTACCTGCCTACCCACCAACAAAATCGCGACAAAAACGAAGTCACTTCTAGGTGCCAAACAGCCAACCAAAAGCCGAAACACCTCTAACACCTCCTCATGCAAGGCCGTTGAGAAGTGGAGGTCCTGACCATGTCCATGTCCCCCAGCAGCGGGAAGCCGCAAAAAAAGTTCCAAGTTCCAGCCCAGCCCAGCCCCGTTCTAGTCCGGTCCAGAAGCAAGGGGTCACGGCAAACATGACAAGATGTGACGTACGTCTAGGCCCCGTAAGCCTTGTCTAGAACGCCGACAGATTGGAAGTTGGAACTTTAGAAGAACCTTAGGACGCGTTTTATTAATGGTGTGGGTGCCCTCGGTGGTGCCATGTCTGTCTATTCCACTGCTGACAGGTACCTGTCAGCTATACTGTCAGCTATACTTGTCCAGGAAATCTTACAAACGCTCCGAATTCCCATACGAAACCCGAATTTCAACCACCCTAACATCATACCATCAGTTATGAGTACACCTATCCAGAGGAAGTGACCGTACGGCCGCGAGTGGGATCAAGCATGTACAAACAAACGCGTCAGTGTTTGCGGCTCATCCCTCCCCCTCCTCCCCATGCACGCACGCGGTCTCGACCAAACTGTGATGTGACAAATGCACATGTGTTTGCCGTGCCGCAGATAGATTGGGCCCCGTAAGGCCAGCCGTGGCCAGAACGTTTGATGCGCGGCCCGGCAGCAGGCAGCGGTAAGGCACGGCAAGGCAAAGCAAACAACATGAGTGCAGGCAATCAAATATGTCAGCAAACGGACCCCCAGACGGAACAGAACAAACTCCCTTGCTCTCTTTCTTAGTTTTGCGCGCTGGTTTTTTGGTTCTTGGTCCTGGATCCATATCCGGATCTGGGCTGGGCTCGGGCGTTTTTCCTTGAGTTTGCCATCAAGGTACCGGATTACCGGAATCACCAGCGGGCTTTGCATTTCGTCGCATTCCCATTTCGCATTCCGCATTTCCCATTCGCATTCCCTTCCCTTCCCATCGCTCCGCCTTCGTGACCTCTCCGCTCACTTCACTCCAGCTTTTATTATCCAAGTTCAGGCAACCGTGTGCTTTCTGTTTTCCTTTTCTTTCTCTTCTTGGAAAAACCCCCGGTCTCAAATCCGCCATTTCGCAAAACAGCTAGAGGTCATCTCCCCCACCTCAACCAGGTGGATTCTTCGTCTTCGTCCCCGTCCTCATTGCGACCTCGACGGCCGGCCGTATGTTCGACATAGCGCAGCGCATTCAGTCTTGCTCCTCAGCACTCCGATATGTTCTTCGTTCCCTCCCAAGCTCCGAAGCGCATGTGAAGCGCATGTCAAACGGTCACCGCCGAAAAGCCCCCACGAAGAAGACGGGATGGATCAGACGATATGAGGAGTCAAACACCCGCCGCCGCACGGGTCCTCTTACATGAGGGGCACCAATGTCACGAACCACCGAGTCGCGAAAGACATATTCAATCAATAAATCGACGATAATCAAGTGGTGACCGTCGGAGCTAGGTGTCTCGTCTCGTTTCAGTTGACGTGAAGCTACCAAGACGCAAGCGTTAATGCCATTCCTCCGGAAGGTCTCCGAGAAATCAGTCGCATGTCACTTCTGTTCGTTTTCACTTCCTCGTATTGGGCAGCTCAAGTTGCCGCCCGGGAGGAATCTTCTTGTATACCCAGCCCTTCCTTTGTCGAGGTCTTGTTACTATTCGATGGTATCTTCTGATCAGAATTCCTCCGCACCTCATTCTATGTCAACCCCTCGAGATGGTTTGCCCTCTTCAAAATCGCGATGCCCTTCTAGTGGAGCCCCACTGCCCACTGATATACACATGCAGCCACCACCTTACGACAGCCGAAAGAGGGTATTTTGCTAGCCCGAGGCTCTATATCGCGCCCGAGCGCACAGACTGTTCCAAAACTCGACTGCGCATGGGAAGGCGCCAGCGCGACTGGTGCCACACCACGTGTCGAATGAAGTCGGTCGAAACAAGGAAAGATGATGTCCATGACATCTATATATACACGTCGAGATCGGAGTCGTCATCGTTGGCTATCTCTCTTGCGGCCCATACAACCGTTGTCGCTTTCCGGGTGGTCCATCGTGGCGCTGCATGCCCTCTGGTATTTTTTGGGGACCGCCCATGTGCGGTATCATGGCGCTAGCATACTGTGGCCTTTGGGTACCGCCAGGCGTGAGCACCATCTGCGAGCCGCTCCCAGCGGCGAGATACGCTCCTTGGTCATGGCTTATCGTCGGCGAGGCATGCGGAAGCTGGCTTGGCGAGTGCCACGAGCTACTGGTGGCTGGCGATTGTACTGGGGTGGTGTCGAACTTAGCGACAGGACCGGAAGACGTCGCCGAGAGCGGTGCCATGCCCATTCCTTGGTTGAGGTATGGACCAGGCGTTGGTGGTTGAGCCGGGCCTCCGTTGGGATAGATGGGGTCCATCATAGCCTCCGGCGGCGGGTTTCGCAAGAAGTTGACCAGATGTTTCCTCAGCTTACCGATCATGCCCTCCTTGGTGAAGGGCTTGGCCAGCACGTCTCGCATTCCTGGAGTCACGTCAGCAAACCTAAGTCCGAATACAGTACACGATCCCGCATTCGACTCACCCCAATGGAAATACATTTCGAGGTCTTGCTGATTGATGTTGGACGTCATGGCAATGATGGGCGTGTTTGGGTGAACTTCGCGGATCATGGCAGTGGCAGAGACACCATCGAGCTGGGGCATGACGATATCCATGAAGATTAGGTCATAAGCGTGCTGTTTCGCATTGACCTTGTTCACAGCCTCGAGGCCATCGCGCTGCCCGATCGTTAAAATAATCATTCACGACGACACACTGCTGGACGAGATAGCATACCGCGACTTCGACTCCGCAATCATACTGGTTCAGGAATTTGGACCCGATTCGAGAACAGGTTCTATCATCTTCGACGAGGAGGACAATAGGCTTCTTTGATCCCCAAGGCGAGCCCCCTCCCGATAGTGGTGCACCTGGAGAACTGTGCGAAGGCATAGGCGCCGCATGGAAATCAGAGCCTGGGCCGATCGCGTTCTCTTGGCCTGGCCGGTTATAGGGGATGTTGTTCATGTGTTCGGGAGCGAAGGGATCAATACCTATCGTCTGACCGACTGGATACACGAGATGACGCATGTCGTTGAGGGGATCGTGCAAGAACGGAGCTACTCCCCCGGTACCAGGCGGACCCATCATCGCGGAGGACCCGGCAGATTCGGGGGAACCACCGGTATGGTGGTATGCAACTGACATGCGGTTCAGATCACGATCTGCGTGGTGCTCTACGGTGAGGCTGTTCAAGATATCGCGGGCTCGGCGGAGTTCCAGTGGTGATTCCGAGCCGTCTGAGAGCAGATTGCTACTGTTGGAGTTGAACGCGGGTGTGGAATGGTTCGAGTTGCGACTGTCCTTTCTCTCCTGCTCGACCTTGTTGAGATGGTTCAGCAGCTCGTTGTGTACCTGATTCTGCGCCTTCACCAACTTCTGGAGGTGCATGATCTCATCGACAAATATCTTGTTTGCGTTGAGGATCTCGTAGTACGACTCCTGGAGTTGTTGGACCTGCTGTTGTGTTGCGGCCAACGTCTCGCCAATGGCCACGACTTGTGAGTTCGCTACTCCGTATTGATCTTCAGCATTCTGGGCTTTCCTCGGAGCCGGGGCTTTCCTTCGAATATTGTCGAGATTATCTTTTCTATCGGCTCGGAATTCCGGATGTTTAAACTCCCATGCCTATGCACAGCGTCAGCTTCCCTTTTACCCATGTCTTCCAGGGAAGGCAGTAGCTACCGATGCACCATAGGGAGAATGCCCATTTTCTTCGTTATGCCGGACTTTGTGGAAATCGTACTTGTTCAGTTGACGCACGAAACTTGCAAAGTTGCTGTGCTTAAAATGTTTCGGTAATATGCTCTTGGTAAACTTCTCGTTCTGCAAAGCGAAGATTAGCCAAGTGGCGCATAGGATGGTTCTGGAGGAGAGGCAAGAAAGCTCGCAGACGTCCCAGGGGGGTTGACGTACTTCGAGAACGACAAAGCTGTCGCCCTGGTCTCCCCATCTGACTACTTCACTGTAAGCTGGGTCTTCCAGCATCCTATGGCGAGGCGCATCTTGTTAGTATATGCGCGAAGCATGGCTGTATCGAGACGATTGTGGAAGGTTGTAATTACTTGTATAGCTTGCGGACCTGGTTCGGTTGCGCCAAATATTAGTATACGTACTGCACATGCACCCACCCGCGACAGCGTGGTCTCGGGTATTGACAAAAGACAATCATCTTGACTCACAAAGTCGCTCGAGTTGTTGTTAGCGCCCTGCGCACTTATTTCACCTTCGGGCGGCATGATGGGCAATTGGCCTCGGCCCCAGGTGGATTCACGATGGATTCAACGGGCGAGGTATGTCTCGATCGGGGAGCGCTTGGTACCGGCGGCCTCTTTGAAGCTGGTTTTCAGACGGTAGCACACCAAAGAGGCGATGGTAAGTTGGTGCGACTGGATCTCGATTGGCAGTACTCGGTCTAGTGTCGTGTCGAGTCGAATCGAATCGTGGATCTCTCTATCACAGGTCGCCGTATGGTCCGCTTCGAGTTGCCCTGCAGGTGACTATAGCTCACGCTCTCTCTTCGCTATGCCCCTGTGTCTCCGGGCACGAATGACAATCCGCAAGAATAACAATAGCCAGCACGTCGCAGCCAAGGGGGACAGGGACCGGCAGGTCAATCGCGGGGTTCGAGTCTTTGTTGGGGGCGGTGTACGTGTTGGAACAAGGCGATGACGGCGGTATCACAGCAGACAACGGGCGACACAACGGCACAACGACACAACGCGGTCAAAGACCAAACTGGGGTCTCTGTTTGGTTGGTGACGCGGAGCGAGTATCTCTCTAGGCCGGCGTTGTGACACTTTCAAAATTGGCGGTCGTCAGTGTCGGGACTGGAGGGCGGACGCAAAACCATGACGAACCGAGCCGAGGGGATATGCCGTGCCTCTGAGAACGAGAGGCAGTCTCGCAGTGTCGGAAGAAGTTTGCGTGGATAGCAGGTATGGAACCCAAGTCCAGCGCAGCGAGTTCAGCGTGTAGAGCGGATCAATGGTGGATAAGCCAGGATATGTGCAGGGGGGCGGATGGGGTCATTGCCTCATTCGCAGCATTGGAACTCGGGGAACCCTTCCTTTCCTTGTCCAGGAGCAATACCCAGGCGTGGTGTGGACTAGTAGACGAGTTACTGTCACGCCTGCGACTGCGCGGGAATACTAACAGCGGAACGGGTAGGGAAAAGGATCCGGGAAATAAGGGCTACGTAAATAATAACGGGTTACGGGGCTCGTCACTGCTGAGCAGGTGCCAGGCTGCCAGGCGGAAGTGCTGGAATCGAAGCGAGACGCGGACAGGAGGGCAGGAGGACAGGAGGGAGGGGCGCCGGCAGGGAGGCAGGGGGGGAGGGGGGAAGGAGCCAGGCGAGCCAGGACTGCCAGGGACAGGGTCACAGGGAGCTCGGGCTGTCGGCGCTGTGCTGCTTGGGGATTCATGTTTTGGGAATTGGGGAAATGTTACCTCACTCTGGTTATCTGCAACAGCAGGACCCAAGAAACATCCAACCTGATGACTCCCACGCACACGCACGGCTGCTGACGAAAACCAGACGCCCCAGTGGACAAGACGAGCGCCATAGGCCTGATGGGGGAACGTTCCCAGGGTCAATTTGTACCACCGGCATGGATTGATTGAATGGACGCTGATAGTGAAGTAGGCAGGGGTTAGGCCGACTGAATTATTATCCACGTCAGTCAAGTCAGTCAACTCCGTCATTCACCAGAACCAGAAGACAAGGTATTGGTGTGCCGGTGGGCAGGTAGGTGCTACCTCGCCGTCGTCGACCACAACGGCGTCCTCGTGCATGTCTCACTTCATCGACCATGTAGCTCGGCTACGTGGAGTGTGCCAGCGGTACACAGCCCACGCGGCCTGGCAAGTTGCTAACATACATGGGGTGAGATATTTCATTGGGCTCGCGAAGCAAGTTGTGTTCCTACCAAAACACACGATATGGGAGGTGAGTAAATAGTGGCACTGCACTAGTCAGTCGAAGGCGCCAGCGTTGAAGATTTTTCACTTGACGTTGGCATTATTATTAGGTTGCGCACCGAGCCGTCGCGAGGACAGACGCGTCGTCGAGGCCAACGGCTCGGCTTCCCAGCTAGATTGTCCAGCTAGATTGTCCAGCTACACAGTACAGTGGGTTCGTCGCTTGGCCTTCGACACCAACTTTATCACACGCCGTCACTTGAGATGCATTTTCCACAGCTGGCAAACCAATACTTCATGTACGGAATGATGCGTTCAATCATCTCCCTATACTTTTCCAGTGGGACGACTGCTATGCTTTCTCCAAATGGCTAACTTTAGCAGCTCGGCTTGAGATTTTCCCGCCCGTGAGCGACCCCTGTCCCCGTCCTCTATTCGTCAATCACCGGTCTGCCATTCTGCCATTCTGCCATTTCAATGGATAAGTTGACGTCCCGGGGATCTAGTGCTGAAGACGGGATGTGAAGATCAGATTACCCAATACGGGTAGCCAATACATGGGCGCCCGCCAGCTACGCAATAGCTGAGCAGCCGTCATCAGACGAGGAACTTTGGGACACTTCACTTCTCGTCCCGCCAGCCCGTGGGAGGTCCTCCTCATGGCCAGCATATATTACCGAGGTCGCTGCCACGAGGAAGGGGCCTCCGATATAAACGGACTCACGTCGACAAGCTACCTACTCACCACACGCGTCTGCTTTGTTTGTCTCGCTTCAAAGCGTACAACTACCAAGGTTAGAACCGATCTAAGTAGGCATCATTAGCTACTGCCCCCTTTCAGAACGTGTCCAAGTAGGCCCGTCCTCGCCCACGCTATGCTGGCGTGACGGCCCCCATTCCGACTGGACCTGCATGGCTTGTCAGATCTCGCACCATCCAGCCGTCAGATCTCGCAACATCGCACGATGGTGACCGATACTGATGATCTTGGCCCTTATCGCCTTCCGCTGCATCCCGCTCAGCCCATCTTCGGACCATGGTCAGCTGAATCCTGCCCACCCAATACCGGTACCGATGCGCCGCGCTTCAGCCACCGGCAAGAGTGATGACCTACCTATCTTGCATGAGCGCTTTCTTGGCTCCCGCTTGCAAGCCAGCCACCCTCCTGCCAGCCTGCCTGCCTGCCAGGGTGTAAGGAGAAGGAGGATTACAACGGGCGTCACGCCGCGTGCCAAGCCGCGAGCGCATCTCAGAAGAGGCAGATCGACCCCAATGAAGAAAAATGAGATAAGAGATCCCTAGGTGACTCGCCGCAGCATGGCAGCAGGGATTATCGACCCGACGGATCCAGCGCGAGACGTGCGTTAAGCGCTACCGAAGGACTCACTCCCGTCGCTAACGAGCAGGGCGAATTATGTCATACACAAACACAATTCTCGGCCAGCTAATGTATGTCAGTCATCAGTGCTGACTTGAGAAGAGACCCGTCAACGATTCGCGATCCGCTCATTTGCCGAGGTAGACAAGTCACATCATCATCTCAGGGGTCATGCATTCTGGAGAGCTATTGAGGCCCACTCTCGATGAGACCTCACATGGCATGAAAGTCTGGTCACTTTCCACATGTGCTTCTGCTACTGCAACCTCCTTCGCTAGCCTGGCTGCCATCACATTCCCCTAGAGCTTTGGGGCAGCATTCAGCTCGTCAAGCTCGCTGAACTCTAGGAGCCGGCGTTGTTGTCAGCTCGCGCGTCTCATCCCAACCTTTCCTCGTCTTGGCTTTTCACGGCATTTCGCTACTACAGTAGTCGTCAGCCCGTCCACGTGAGTCAGCCCATGTCAGGGGCGTACGCGGTGTAATACAGTTTAGACCGTTCAGAGGGACGGACTAAAGGCGTTCAGTTGTAACCGCTTCGTGGCGGCATGGCAGCTACTGGTCGTAGCTGAAAGCCGGCCACCGGTGCCAGCCACTCTGAAAAAGCTTACCTTACTTATAGGGGCTGGTGTTGCGTGAGGCTCGCGACAGACGGGTTGCCTACAGGTGTCTCCCACCAAATTTCCCAACGGCCTTTGTGGTCGCTTCTTTCTATCAATTTTCAGGCCGGCTGTCTGCTCCCGACGGCTGATGACCTCGCCAAGGGATCTCAACCAAAAGGTCCGACCCGACCCCGCACCACGATTCCAGCCGAGCCAGCTTGCTGCGACCTCAGCCCTGCCCTGTCCTTGGTTGCCGTGCTGTTCATCCAATGTCGTGGCACCTGCGGGCAGTCTGTACCGAAAGGTCCACTGGCGCTACAGTAGCGCCCGCATAGCTGTAGGTATAAGCATACCTACACACCTTTCCCTGAACGCACCTGCAGGCTTGTCCTATAGCTTCTGCAGCGGCATATTACCCATTCCCCCTCCCCCTTCTTTCCTCCCTGCGCCTTTCTTTCATATTAGGCGCAGCGGCTGAGCTTGCCAAAACGCACTATATCGCCCTCACACCACACCATAGCCCGTAAGTCAGCTGCTTCTATGTGTATTACCGTGGTGGAGGTCTTCGGCCCTTCGTCTGGTCTTGCTTCCGCCGCGCTGGATGAGGGGGTGCTATAAATAACGGTTCGCAGGAGTCTACCGGATATTTCTAGACATGTCTTTGATGTATCGAGCATAGATGTATTGCCTCCGTGGTCACGGGGCAGGCTTCATAGATTGGTAGATGGTCGTATAGAACATCACTGAGGCTTCAAGGGACTTGCAATCTTGCTTAGCCTTCCTCGTCCACACATCATCTCCTCGTCTGCTCCGTATCACACTATTGTCGTGATACCGCGGCATGATCGCGTCACGCGGTATTATTTCCGGTTGCTCAAATCCCTCCGCTGCGGCGAAGTGAGGCTGTTCCGGCCTGTCTAGCCCGCGAATGGAATCTTTCAAAGTCTGTTGGACTATCTATTCTTATGATGTCTGCCTCTGAACCTTTGTCACGAGATGTTCAAGGTGCATCTGCAGTTCTAGGGCTGAAAAAGGGCGCCCCGGAAGGCCGCCACTAGTGCGAAGGCATTTTCCGGTGTGGGTTCATGGCACCGTACTCCCCGGTCTCACAGAGACGAGCTTCGGTAAGAGACCCGATGGTGAGCGGAGCATCTGACCTCGTCGACATCGGTAAGAAGGCGAGCTTCGGACCTGTATGGAGACGCATGGCAAGGACAGCCGTATTTATGGGAGTTGGTTGGTTGGTTGCAGTCTTTAACGTCTAGCAAGTAGCCACAGGGTGTCAAATGGCACGCAAGCCATAGTGGCGTTCAGTGGGGTGGCAGTGCACCAACAGGGCCTCTAGGGCAATTTCGGGCCCTGCGGCTTACAACAGCAGATCCTTTAGAAACACACACTCTAATAAGGATTACTAGAATATACGTTATTAACTAAATAAACTATAATACACGCTGTTTAACAGTTATAAGCCCGGTCTAGCAAATGCTCTTTCAACTGACGATCATTTTGTAATTATTTACAATTAAAACAACCTATTTTCTGTTAGTTTAAATTTATACCTGCGCGATAGATATTAAAAACAGCGCCTATTTTAATAATAAGATAGCTACCGTAATTTTAAACTAGAAGAAAATATTTAACGAACAAAAGGACTAGGATGTCTAGTATGAAGACTTCGTTAATATCATACCTCTTTTTCTTCAAAGGTATATCAACTTCGAAACCTCCAAATCTGTTGCCTCTTTAAGTGCATCTAGTATCATTAACTTTTAAGAGCGTTCAGGTAAAAATCGATTTGTACGCCAACTTAACCGCTAACAATTAACGGGTTTATTTGTAATTCTTAAGCATTTACGAACGGAAAAAAAATATAAAGGCAAAAAGAAATAATAAAGAACTTAAGAGATTATATTAGGAAGACCGTGTTTAAAATTAAAAAGATCCCTTTGCAATCTATTTAGCACTTACAAAGTAGCTTGCTACACTCGTTTAAACAACGAAGTTATTAATAGTAAATACGTAACAGATAGTTATCGATTTATATAATAAGGTCTTATTATTAAAGCAAACTATCCGCTAAAAAAAGCAAGCTTACGAATTTGTATACGATTAAAAAAGGGTTATAGCGGATATTATATAGTATCGAATCTTTAGTATAGTTTAACCAATATTTTAAATTAAGGATTTAATAATAGCGATTTACGGAATTTTTAGCTGATTTTACGAACAAGCTTCATATAAACTTCGTATATAATTAAGAAAAGTACTTAATTATTTAAAGATTAATAAGCGATTTTAAACCTAAATAGTAATTTGAAAAGCTAGCAACTGTAAAAGTGCCCAAAGACCTTAAAAAGAAGTGGCTTTATAAGCTAATATTACTCGTTTTATAAGAAAAAAGAGCCTTTTTATAAAAGATGCCCTAGCTAATCCCCTATGTAATTAAAAAGCGTTAGTAAAAAAAGACTACGAATAAAAATCTTTTTTTAGCGATACACTCTGTTAAAAGAGCTTTAAGTGCTGTAGTCACGGCGCTTAAAAACATGATCTCCTTAATTGTAAATGCATAATACTAGGACTAAAGCCCATAAACAGGCTATTAAATACCTTTAAAAAAAGGATAAAAATGATTAAAATCTCGCTAAAAAGGTAGCAAAGCTACAAAAGGGTTCGATAAAAGACTCACAAATATTAAGAGCTAAAAAAAGCTAAAAGAAAAGATCGAGGCTAACGGTGTAAGGGAAGGGAACCCTATATTAAAAAGATATAAAAAGGAGCCGTTAATAATATTTATAACTAAGCTTTTCACTTAGCTTATAACTATTTACTTCGTTATTCGTTTATTTTTAACTTAAGGTCGACTTTTTACGTATTTAATAATCTCGGTTAATTTAAACACTTTAAAAAGGCTTTTAAGGACTATTTTATAGCAGCTAGCTATAGTAAAATCCCTATTTTAAAATACGAAAAGGTGGCTGTAAAGGTTATTAAAAGTAACGGTATAAGTATCTTTATTCTTTTTAAAGTAGCTTACTGCGTAGAATTCGCTTGTGATATTGTCTTATACGACCTTTTTTAAAAAGGTATTATTAAGATACTAAAGTTGTATAACTAACTGTAAAAAAAAACCCGAATTTGTCGTGGTAAAAATTTAAAAGATCGAAAATTAACAAGTATTTAAATACGTAGTGTCACGGCGAGCATACTGGGGAGCTGGGACATGGCCCTTCGCAAGCAGCTATTACTCTATTGACGAGAATATCAAGACTAGAGAGGAAAGGAAGAGAGAGAGAGATAGGTACAGTGGGAGGTTGCCCCTTTAAGGGGATCCTCTGGTCAGATCCTTCCCCTATTGGGAAGTATCCCCTTGTCATGTGGGAAGGTCTGTGCAGGCCGTCACACATAGTAACGCCGAAATATAAAGCCGCTTTTTTTCACTGTAACAAAACGATTAAAAAGATAAATAACTGCTACGAAGCCGAATTTATAAGGTACTGCTTAATAATAGCACCTTTAAATAGGTTATATCGGCTTTCAATCTTTGAACCCACTTAGATTGTAGTGCCGCGGCTTTTTTTAAGAGGTTTTTTGACGTATAAATGTAAAAGCTGCGCACTTTTAAAAGCACAAAAGCTACTTTTACGCAAAGAACTAGATTTTCAAAGTATAAATGCATACTACCGAATGAATATTAATTAAAGACAGGTTTGAAAAGATAATAACTACCGTTTACAATGCTATAATGATTATAATCTCTTATTTTTATTATAAAAGATTTAATAACGAAAACTTAATGAAAATAAATTAACGTTATTATAACGGCGCTTAAAACCCGATTTAAAATCAAGCTGATTAAAAACCTTGTATAGTTTTTTAAGATATATATTATTAAAAATCAAAGCTAAAAAGGTATAACGTAGCTGACAAGCGAGTTGGCACTTGTCATGAACTCTTTAACTGCTATGTTAAATAACTTCATCACAACGTATTCAATTCAATTCAATTAATTGGATTCCTCTTCTTTACAGGTTTCTATTTCTATTATACAAATTTGCGCATTATGGCCAGTATTGCTGCAAACGCCATAATGTCGCTCACGTGCTGGTGTTCTCTTTGAACAATGACTACCATTACTCATTTCCTGTTTTGTCAGCTCAGTACCATTCTTTGTAGCCTGAAGACCTATTACATCTTTAATAAAAAATATTCTTCCTTTTATCAGATATTTGTTTTTTATTTTTTGATATTTATTTAATAAATAATCGGCCTCTTTTAACTCATAGACCCAGGAATCAACCAAAACGACCTTATGCATAAGACCGTATGTAACCTTTAAAAACGAGCTCAATGCATCAATTATTGATATAAGTGAGCTTCCTTAGTGATTTATGACTTAATTTTGGATATAAACTGATTAGTTTACCGCTTTATTAATAGTGATAGGCGTCTTTGGAATCCAAGTAGTGGGTGGCAGATTGGGGTCTGGCGACGGTGTTCGTATCTTAGGTACCATGTTTCGTGACTGCTACCTCAACTTGACAAAACCATGCGCAATATGCATCTGGATCTTTGTACAAGACCCTCTGGTAGTCCATCCTCCGATAAAAATGCGTCCAGAGGCCTGGTATGCGTTTAATGAAGTTCTGCGTCCAGTTCTTTCTAATGTATCCAGTCCCATGTGCAGCCAACAATTGATTCGCCATATCTTTAACATAACTGTGCCGGCAACATTGTAGGTCCGTCGACGGGCCTTGTTCTGGCACAAGCTGCAACTCTCTACCACACAAGTCCTTCTACCTCGTTTCAATGATCGGCCCATTGTAGTACTATGCGCCTGTGGTTAGCATGAAGCATAGGAATGTTTAGGTAGGGGCGCCTTGCTGACCTTTCTTCCGTAGGCAAAGTAGTATGCAATGCCAAAGAGGAACCAAAACCCCGTCATCAAGACGCTGAAGTTCATGGTTGCCGGGGTAACTTCAGCGCTGCTAGGCCAAAAGCTGAAGAAAAACGCAATCGCAATCCAGCACAGTCCTATCACGTTCACAATGGACCCAAACGGCTCGGGTACTCTCCAGGGACCCCACGTGAGTGGGAAGTCTGTGTCAGCAGTCGACATGTAGGAGTTACGAGAACGAGTCCGGATCCTGCCCGTTAAGCGATTCCACAGTAGAAGAGAAAGAGGTATGGCAGCGGCTGCTTCCCAGGATGACACCGTGAAGGACAATATGCTTTGAAGGGCCGTCTCGGAGCCGATGTTGATGAGGCCCAGAAGCACCGATATAGCACAGGTCGTCCACACTGCGTTCAGTGGCAGGAGAGACCTCGGGTTGACCTTGAAGATTAGTGTTAGTGGCGGCCTATTAGTCAATTGGGGAGGATAACCACTGACCAGAAGGAGCCAATTGGAAAATGGTGGTCCACGGTCCCTAGCAAATGCCCATAGTTGGCGGGAAGCGCCAGCAAATTGGCCGAAAGTAGCGGCGTACGAAAGTACCAGGACAATGCAAACCATGATATTCGTTCCAGTGCTTGACAAGGTAGACGCATAGAAGATTTGGATGAACGGGTAGGGCAGGGGTGATTCCATCGCGGAGTCTAGATCGCCCATGCAAAACAGCGTCGTGAGCAGCATGCCGAATCCCAGGAGGCCGTTGAAGACCATGGTAATGACAATGTTCCACGGGATGACAAGAGCGGCATTTTGAGTCTCCTCAGCCATGTGAACCGCGCCATCCGCCCCTGGATCGAGTCAGAGGTCATAGAACGGCACAATTGAAGTTGCACTCCGCTGCGACATACCGATAAAGGGGCCCACGTTGGTGATGATCCCAACGAAAAAGGCCAAGCCCACTGATGACCAGCCGCCGTCATTACTCCAGGTCGTGAATACTGTGGTAGCATCGACACGTTTTGCGAGGAACAGTAGGGGGATGATGATTGCGAAGAAGCCGAACACGTGGAGGTAGAGGATGAACCCTTCTATTTTCGGAAGCCACCGGCCGAGTATCGAGTTCATGATGAATGCAAGAAGCACCGTGGCCCATATAAGCAATGTGCCATGCCATCCTTTGGACGTATAACTGTCGGGATAGTTTAACACGAGCAGACCTTGAATCAGCGTGGCGGAAAGAATCCCACCCATCGCAACCAGGGATTGCCAAACAGCAATCGACAGCCATCCTGGTCTCCGCGTTAGCAATGGACCAACTCCTGGTGTTCGTATATTCGTTCCTTTCTATACGTACCAGTGAGGTAGCTGAGTATGTTCCGAGTACGGTGAGGTGCTAGCATGAAGACCCAGTGGTATTGGCCTGATGAAGTCGGGGCCATAGAAGCAAGCTCTGCCAAGGGTACCATGACGGCGAGAAACCCAAACCAGGAAAGTATGAACGAGGTGACCAAGCCAGCACTTCCCCCGTTCGCCAGCCCGAATCCAAAGTAGCTTGATGCAATATCAGCATTGGATAGTTCTCTGTAAGCCAAAGCATCAGGCGAAAACTCACACCAAGACACCTTCCCAAGTCAACATCAGGGTTGTAGAGAGCCCCAACGTTGATATCATGCCAAATCGGCGCTTGACGATCATCAGCAGGATCGCTCCATCAGCCTCTCCCGCCAGGACATGCGTTACCTTCAAGACTTCTGTAGAATTTGATCAGTAAAGGAGTGGGTTCGGGCCTAGTGTTACTTACGCTTCTTTCCAAGCCGGGATAATTGACTTTCATCCTGACGGGACATTTGCTCTATCTTCGTCGGGCCACGCGAGACACCCCCTTTCCAGCCTCGATTTTCCATACGAGCCGAGGGCTTGAGCGTCTGCATGATGGCGTCGACACGGGATTGTGTTTCAATCAATGGGTTCTACTGTTAGCACGAAGAGATCAAGTGATAGAAACATTGGGTGGAAGGACGTGCTGGCGTATCTGAAGAGTATGGAACTCTGTCAGTGTAGGCATCCGCGAGACCCCGACGTTTGAGGCTGATACGGTATGTGACTTGTTCGGCATGCCACTGTGCCCCTCCTGGTGTTACATTGGTTATCTCTAAACAGCTTGCAGCAGCGCCGGATCTCATCCTTTTACATGCCGATAATTTACCCGCCATTCCGCCAGCTGGATGGACCATGGCCGGTCGGGGATACGCCTGCGTGCAGGTAGTGCACACATATCGCTGCGAGTCTTGCCAACCGAAAGACCATGGATGGATGGATGGTGTACCTTGTAAATGCATACCCCATTCTAGGACCACCGCCGCCGCGTAACAAGATGCGACCTTGGGACCAAGTCCTGCATAATCAATTTATCCCCTCGGCCACTCACAAACGAACCGATACGCAAGGAGGTTGCGCCAGTACGGCCGAAGCATCCCGCAGCTTGGATTGGGGAACGGGTACGACGGTGAGGAGTTCGAAGTAGGCCTATGTCGAACGCCCACGAAATTGGACCTTGAATGTTCTCTGTACGCTCTTTGCTTCTTCCTGGGCCTTGCTTCACACAGAAACTCGAGATGGGTTCATATCCGCATCTGATTCAAGGTCGACTGGCTTACATCACTCCTGATAGCCAAGCTACGGGAGTCAGCATCGCAACATGGTTCCTCGCCACGACCTTTCTGATCATGTACCTCTCGGGTCAGACCGTGAAGTACCTCATGCTTCAACGATTCCGACTGGATGATTATTTCATGCTGCTTGCCACGGTACGTGCCACCATTCCGATCACCTCTGCCTATCCTGATGCCCAAGTAGATATTCTCGTTCGGGTTGTCTGTATCATATTCCATAGCAGCATCCAACGGACTGGGAAACCGCACTGTTTCTAGTGAGCAGATGAGCACCATCCAGAAGGTATTACACTTCGTGAACATGGCATGTCTCCCTTTGATAACCATCGTCAGGCTTACTACGCTGCCGACGTGCTATATGTCCCCTCCGTGTGCTTGGTCAAAATCTCCCTGTTAGTCTTCATACGTCAGATTGCCATCGAAACAAGGCTATCACGTTTCGTCCTGTCACTGGTCGGTTTCACCGCTGTCGGCGGCGTCGCAGCCACGTTGGCGGCTGCATTCCAGTGCCAAACCCCTACAACATGGGAGATATTCACCCCCAAGTGCTTCAACCAGGTAATCGGCACCCGTGCGTGACCCTTCCGGGTACTAACGGAGTTATAGTCGGGGTTTTGGGTTGGATTTGGCGTCATCGACATGCTTACTGACGTCTCAATCGTCGTCGCCTCTGTGGTTCTTGTGTGGAACGTTCAGCTTGCATTTTCGCGGAAAGCGGTCGTCGTAGCCTGCTTTGCTCCCCAAATTCTGTAGGTACATGACGATGTGGAGTTATGACTTACAACTAATACTCCCAGTGTCATTATAACGGCGGCATGTCGACTAGCCTATCTTGTACCGGTCACTTCGTATGACAACCCGGCATTCCGCTCGTGGATAGCTGTGGTGTGCACGGAGGTTCAAGTATGTTTGAGTGTATCCACTGCTTGCATTCCGGGCGTGAAACCGCTTTTCGAGGCGATCGAGGTAAGTTGCTTTCCACATAGCTTATTTAACGATGACACTAGCTGATGACTTCCAGGCCGGTGTTTGGCAGTCTGATGAACTTCGCCGCCGTGGCCTTTCACTGGACAATCTACACAGCAGAGGATACCTGAAGAACACGGGGAGCTGGATGGAGTTGTCGGACGCTGTCTCTAACAGCAGGACGAATATGGCTCCAAGTGCAGCATCTCGCAACATAGACAGCCGCGAGGGCGTTGACCAAGCTTCTATTCAGTCATCGTCTCAGGTCGACCGGGATTATGTCAGGAGAGCATCCATTCAAGAGCATGTTTGAGGCTCGCTGATGCTGTCGACTGGGTGGAAGGGTGCCGCTGCGAGATGCGTTAGCCCATGATCTCCGGACGGAAAGGGGTCACGGTAGGCCGGTCGAATGTTCGCGGTTGTTCTTGGATGGTGTCGATGTTGTTTGACGCTTGATTATGGTGGATCGCTAGAATCTCATCTGCTGGTGTCTCTTCGTGGCCACGTGATAAACTCGAGCCCGTTAGTGCTCTGGTGAATTGCCGATGATGTTTGTTTTCCGGTAGGAACTTGGTCCGGCTTGGGTGGTATGCTACTATGCTAATTGTTGACAGGTTTACCGTACTGTATCTAGATAGGCGTCTTGAGATATATTACACGCGTAAGCCTCTGGCAGAGCTTGAAAGCGACGATCATATCCTTTGGGCGCTGGTGAAGCAAGGAACGCTCCCTTGCCTCCAATATATATCTTGGCACGCTGGGGAGATGCGATACTGAATGCACCATCATGTCTTGCTTCATCCTATAGTGCGTGCAAGACAACGACGTGCGCTGCCCAGGATAACTCCATCACTTTTTAAAGCACATTCGTCTACAATTTTATTACAGGCTTCATCAGGCAGCCTACCACTCTCCTCGCCATGGTCGCCACTGTCCCAGCTGTGCTCGTGTTCACAATTGGTATCTGCGAGTTCATACTATCGCTCGTAGTGTAACAGCACGCAACGTCCAGACAGTGGGGATAGGGGATACAAGTGGTAATGATACTCGGGCTCTGATGACCTCCGTGCAGACAGTTGCATGTATACACCGCAGTAATGCATGGGGACATAAGTCCCTTGCACCGCTCACCCCTATGCAACGCCACCCCGAGGCACCAAGCACACTCCATCATCTACACGCGGCCTGCAACTCCTCACCAGATAAGAAACGAGAACGAGAACGAGAACCCCCCGCGCACGATAAGCCTTCTTTGGGTGAGATGCAGCCCTCCCGCCTGCCCCCCGCGCATATTCTGATATACCCTGGTAAGGATGTACTGCAGTACAACCTCGCTTGCGGGAATCACCCACTCTTCTTATTATATTGTCACGAGCCGTAGAGCAACTGACCATTCCTGCAGCCCTACGGCACAGCAGGTTCCTACGAAGCCACTGCGACGTCGGGTTGCAAGGTTCCAAGCTGGAGGTCGAGTCGTGTAGTTGATTCGTTGGCATTACGGTGTCTTTACCCCTGGAACATGCCGTGTGACATGCCGGCTCGTGTTATCGTCCAGTGTGACAGCACGTTATCTTGGGTGCCAACTCTGAGTAGGCTGTGCTCTATGTGCATCCCCCGACGTAGCGGCGACGCGGCCCAGGCCCGTTGAAACGCAGTGTGGCCGAGAACACGCGCGCGAGGTTCTGCTTGCGGTATCATTGCGCCGCGCAGGATTCGGTGGCGCGCTCGTGATGTAACACCACACAACGTTCAGACCGTTGGGGGGTCGGGGTCCAGCACCCATCATTCCGTACGGCCCTAGAGCATGATTGGTCTAGACGGAGCGGGACCTCCTTCGCAGTATAATCCTGATATCGGCATCTAGTTACTGTGGCACTCTTGTAGTATCTTAGAGGGTACAACGGGGGCTTCGAAGTTCAGAGTTGACATCGTGCATCATCGTGCGCTAACCAACCGCGACACAGTGATGCGGAGTTCCGCTTAGGGGGTAGTCACTCTTCACAGCATGGACATCATGAAACGGCCTCGGGTAGTTTTCGATGTTGGGTCTACCTCGTAGTACACAAAAGACGACCAGCCTCTACCACCTTCCCAGCGTAAGTTCCCCCCTATCTCGTCAACCGATCTGAATCCACCGCAACCTAGGCATCTTGATAACTTTATACGAGATCAGTATTGTAACCATGTGCTTCCCTTCCAGCATGACCTTCACACTTACCCGAACGGGCACAGTCCGACCTCGCTGGTTTCTCGTTAGCTCCGGGCTGCCGTTGGGACAAGCTGGTAGGCACTCACAGCGACGCGGCCTCATGAGCAATGCAGGCTTCGAGATGAGACCTAGTAGGCCTTAGACATGATACGGATTAATTCAGCGGCGGGGTTGCCTACGTATCCTGGTTTTCTTGCTCTTCTTCTCGGTGAACGTGAGCTCCATCTCCAGCCGGGACAGGCGCTGCGAGAGCAAGACCGCCCACGAGGGCAAGGATCGAGATGTGGATCAGGCGAAGATACATGATAGGCTGTTGCGAAGAAGGTTTCCGGGAAGGTGAGGTCTAGATAGAGATGATGGATAGGAGATGGGAGGATTCGGGACATTATATAGCGAAATGTTGCCTTGCTCGGGAAGGCAAGTGCAGAGAATGACCAAACCAGCACTCTCAGGGGGGAAACAAAGGACCTCCTGAACGTTTGCTGATCAATAGGTTGCCAAGTTCGCCTACATGGGCTGTATTGGCGTCGTTTTTTCCAATATACAGCTGCATTGTGACCCTTTGGCTGTGTAAGTGTCGTCATCAGGCTGGGGTTACAACGCATACAGGGGCGACAATGCGGAAGTCGCATACATACTAGTTAGCCGGTAGAGTGATTTGACCCTTCCTCCACATGGTTGGCGATTATCGAGCTCGTTGGATCCTGTAGTTGTAGCAATGTGTGATCACAAGGGAGGATTGATGCAACGCTGGCATGGAACGAGGCAGCATCCTGCTGAACGTGCTGGGAAGTGGGATCGCAGCGGCGTGGCGAGAGTTTGCACCCATCATGCCATTAGGGTGTTGGCGAAGGGGCAGGGCAACCTTAGAACACCCGAACACCCCTGCGTGTGGTACTGGTCCGATTACGAACTTCACCACTGCCGCTCTACTGCCGAAACACAGCACTGGGGAACATGGCTGCAGGCTAGATAGTCTGATTTGGGGCCGCAGTGTGTTCATTCATGCAGGCAAGGCTGCATTCCGAGTACGTCTCATCTTCTAGCTACCAATCAAACACTCAGCCAGGGTGCTCTGTCCGTTCCTTCACGGTAGTTGTGACAAGCCGGCCGCCACATCAAGGCAACTCGCAGGTCATCGGCTGCATATTCTTGCCATTTTTTGCTAGGATTGGCAACGGAAACGTCTGGGTCAAGACCGTCGACATTGCCATAGCCGAGCTTCTCGTAAATGGGCACGGCAGACAGAACCGCCTCGACACATGACTCTAGCCCAAGCTCATCTCCTTTCTGGATGCCCCATTCAGTCAACATCCGGCCGGCACCTTGGTTGCGGTGGTCTGGGTGTACCACCAGCTGCTCCAGCTCTGGATGGGTATATCAGCACAGTCAGCTCAGTATGATCCAAGAACGACTTACCGAGGTGAGGACGTGTCATTCTCTCCTTCATGAAGCCTTTGAGGCTCGTGAGGAGTTTACCAGTGAACTCCTTCTCCTCTGACCCTTCGATGTGCCAGCGAGCGTTGATTGGCTGCTGCGGCTCGTTGGTGTTGTCTACCTGCTCGCGTATCTCCCATTCAGCTGCGCCGATGATTTGGCCGGATTCTGGATCTGTGACTTTCACCCAGTGCAGGTTCTCGTGGGCCTTCCAGTTCTTGATTGCACGCTGCTTTGAGGCTTCAATGGCGGCCTCGACGGTGGTATGGACTGGCATGAACCATCGTCGCAGTGAGTTGTAAGGCTGGCCAAAGGCAGCATAGAGCATTGGCGAGATTTGGTCAAAATCTTGCTCATCCCGCACTTCTTCAAGCTTTAGAGGCATGGTGGAAAGAGTACCGCTGCTGATGAAGGGTGAAGGTGAAGGGTGTGGAAAGAGCAGGATGCGAAGATGGATGTCGGAGTGAGGGGACTCAGGGGAGGGAGGGCGGATGGATCATGGTGGGTTGCGTGCGGTCTGGCTGCTGTGCTGTTGGCTTTAAGAACGTCGCTGCGGCTCGGATGCATGGTACTTTCGGTACAACGTAGTCGGTATAATAATACTTGTCGCTTTATATGCATATCACAACCACCCGCGGTTGACTCACGGGTGGCTCATGCCGTCAATCGATGCAGTGTAACCTGACTCCTTGTATATTGGTTTGGGGTCCAAGTTCAGATCATCGCGAAGCAAACGGTGGGCAAGGCTCTTCCAGTCCTCTCTGTGCGTCATTCCGGCCCAGTGTAGTCGGAGGGCCTCTGCCCACTCCCTTAGCCTGCTTCCCTGCACCCTACTTCCTCGATTCAGTTTCAGACCCGACTCTACCCCGACCAGGTCAACTCGCCTGACTCGATTACTCCTCTCACAACTGCCACCACAGGAGACGGCCATGGACTGCGACAAGATGCCTTATCACCCTCTGCGCCAGAGTTCAAACGATCAGCGAGAAGACGACATGTCTGAAGCACTTCCTCCGCTCCGCAAGAAGTTATCATCGCATACCAAGCGTGCTCTTTATATCACTCTCGTCTTTGCCCTCTTCTTGAGTAATGCCGTCTTTGTGTGGCGCGAAGTCCATCATTTGCCCGGCCCTAGGGAGGAGCTGCCCTACTGTTCGCCCTTCCCCCACACAATAGGTTATTACCATGATTCTAATTTCCCACAGGGGGTTCTGATCGGACTATCTTGAAGCCTTTCCACTGGACTACAGCTTACTCGAACGAAAACAAGACCGAGACAAGCCCTCTTTGGGAAAGTCTTTTCCCAGGTACTGGACCCCCCAGGCTCCTGTTCATGGGATGTTTCTGATCGTTCATAGTCGGGGATGGGCTCGTGACGCTCGACGATGGCTGGGCCGCTGCTCAGAAACTCCCAGCTAGCATCAAGCGCTACAGATCCTCCGCAGAAAGCATCTACTTCGTGGCCGCATATCACCAACTGCACTGCCTTGTAAGTTTTTCCAACCACTTCGCCATATTACCTAATCCTAAAACCCAACCTTAGGCTATCATTCGGTCCGTCATCTACCATCTCAAAGAAGGCGTACCCTTGGCCGTGCCCTTCGCACATGCCACGCATTGTTTGGACTCCCTCCGTCAGTCTGCGATGTGTCATGCTGATGACACGCTGCTTTACACCGAAGATACACACTCTTATGGCGATGGACAGCCTAGGGTCTGTAGGGACTGGGAGGCTCTTGCACTCTGGACAAATGAGCACCGGATTTACGTAGAGGGACATGGACAGGCTCCAATAGAGGGGTGAGAGGTCAAGAGGAGGTTGATCTTCCACGCGCTATGTACGTACACGAGTAAATGGGGTGCTCTCTTTGGAAACAGTACCGCATATGTTTCTGCCATTATTGAGGTCACTCGGCTCTATTTTGTGGGCTAATTGATGTTTTTTCGTACATCCTTGTCTGTGAAAATAGTCCTCCTGGGCATATGGGTGTGGCAGTTGTTTGGTCACATGTTTGTAGTGAAAATCCATTAAATCCATTCGACTCTAAGTTGTTTGTTTGTTTGTTTGTTTGTTTTGTATTCAACGTGGGGGGTAGCTCCTCAGTAGTGCAAACCACGCCTCCCAGAGCCTCTGTATCGCAGGGTTGTGGAGGTCTCAAGATAATAAGTACAGTCAGTCCCGCTCACGAGCCCATCCCCGTTATTGCGGCGGTATGACCTTGGGGTTATCCATCTGGTCCTTCAAGAAAAGCTATCTATCGGGGGCAAATTGTTGAAAAGAACTCGCTCTTCTCCACGAATTTTGCCCATTCTGTGCTCCTCTCCCCTAAGTATTGTAAACAAGCTGTCCTAGGCGAGTACCTAGACAGCAGCCGGTTTTTTCCCAGCCTCTTACAAAAGAAAATGTGTTGTGGTGTTTTCTTCTCACCACAGCTGCAGTGATCATTCGAGTCTGTATGCCCAAAGCGTTCATGATATCTGGCAAAGTCCGACTCTAAGTTATAGGGTGGACTTAACTCATTATCGTTTGAGCCTGTTCAGACGTGACTCTTACAAAAACGATCAATCTTTCCGAAGCCGTCTGGTGATTTTCGCTAATCTGATAAGTTATCAAGTGGACCATTCTACCCCTGTACATCGTCGCATCGATCCTGTCTCTAAGTTTGCAGCATACAAAATTTCCTATTACAAGCTTGCCCATAGTCAGATTGATATACCGGCGGGCTGCCATCCCTCAGCCGGGGCACAGCTATTTACATCAAGAGTGGCCGCTCGGCGGTTGTCGAAGCCCCGGCATGTTGCTTAATAATACAGTCACTCCTCATAAGCCCCAGTCCGCTGGCATCCATTTCGATTGCTCGTCAAGGGAAACTTAGTGGAATAGGCGGTCTGGAATAAGCAATTCTATTCAAATAAGCAATCTTTGATGGTCGTTCCGGAGTGTTTATTCACCCCTAAGAATGACATCTTCAAGATATTCAAATTTTGGTTAAGGGGTGTAAGGAGACTTGCGAGGGTTTATTGACTTCCAACCCTGATCATCTTCTGGGCGCTCCGCGGCGGCGGCAGGTCCACCTTCGGAGTCGTCCTCTCAGCTGTCGTCAAGGTCTACCCCAAGCTACCCGTAGTATCCACGCTCACGCTAAACTCCACCAATACCGATATCAGCAACGCGACCTTCTGGGCCGGCGTGCAGACCTACCTCGCAGGGCTCGACGACTACACGGCCGCCGGGACGTCCTCCTATTTCGTCCTGACCGCAGCCCAAGGAGGCGGGCTCTCGTTCCGGCTAAGCCCTTGGTTCGCGCCGAACATGACGCGAGCGCAGCTCGAGGGGCTCACTGCGCCCTTAATCAGGGAACTGGATGGTCTAGAAGTAAGTTATCAATTAGAATATAACGAGTTCACGAACTTCCTCGATGCCTGGCGCGCCAGCTTCCCGCTCGAGACGGGCTACAGCTACACCGACGACTGGCGTCTAGGCAGCCGTTTGCTCCCCAAAGAAATTTTCGCACCCTCCGGTCCGGGAGCCTCAAGTTTAACGACACAATGCGCGCCATCCGCGAGGTGACGGAGAGCGTATATCAAGTGCAAGGTTTCCACCTGCGAACAGACCGTCAGGCAAACAACTCAACCGCACCCGAAAACGCCGTCAACCCAGCATGGCGCGAAGCGCGGTGCCTCCTGCTAGCAACACAGGACTGGTCTAAAGCATAGACAGACGAGGAGCGCCAGCGGATCAGCGACGACTTCACAAACGTGCACCTGAAGAAATGGCGGGACGCAGCGCCGGACTCGGGCGCGTACCTCAGCGAGGCGGACTACATGGAGCCCGGGTTCCAGCAGAGCTTCTGGGGGAGCAGGTATGAGCGCTTGTCTGCGCTGAAGCGGGAGCTGGATCCGACGGGGCTGATGTATGCGCATCTGGCGGTGGGCTCGGAGGACTGGGAGGCGGAGGGGACGGTGCTGGGGATGCCGAGTCAGAGTGGTCGGTTGTGTCGACGAGAGTGATTTGGAGAATCGATCATCGAGAGTGAGACTACGCGTAGAGAATTGGGATTAGACATGAAGAGATTGTTATTCGGACACGGAGTTATATCCCCTAGAAGCAAATTTATCTGTCTGCAATTGTACAGGCCCTCTAGACCCCATCCATTTTCGGCACACATCTTCCAAGAGTGCACTTTCCATTTCTTGAAGCCATCTCGGCGCCACATGATCAACCTTATACATCCAAGCCCGAGGTATAGGCTGCTCTTGGGTTTGCAATATGTTCAAACATCGTGCTCATGTCCTCTGCTGTTGAGGCTCTCGATGACATTCGACTTTGCGCGCTCCGTCATGAACGTGGTACGTAACCGAGGGCGAGTCCAGTACATCGCCCTCTAACCTGAAGCTCACATGCCCGTCTACTTCCCTCGGAAATCCGTATTGTTGAGACTGGTCATCGAGCTTTGCCATGATCGCCGTTGCGAAGTGCGGAAACTTGGCAATGACCGGTTTGTACTGGGACATCTCTCCGTACTTCACGCCCGTGTAGAAGGCATACTGGATCAAGAACTCCTGGATGAAGGAAGTCTGGGGACAACGCGTAAAGACCAGTTCCAGGTGATCTAAGGATGCGTGACGGCGCTCCAAGCTCTTTTCCCCAGAGCGAAAAGCGTCCATAGTGTCGTTGTAGAGTTTTTCCCATTCATACTTATCGGCCATGATCAGGAGGCGTAAGAGGGTTACCTGTCGGTTTTCTGACTCGGCAGCAGCATCAGGGACCGTGCGTCCGGGGATGGAGGTTGAAGTTGGTCCATCTGGAGACGTCTCCCTTGATCTCTTGGCCGGGAGTATACTTTCATCTCCACGCGCTGTCGGGTTGGTTGAGGGTTGGGACCATGCAGAGTAGGCAAGACGTAGCTCCTCGGGAGAGAAGGACTCCCAGTTAGGCAGCATACAGATATGTTGAAATGAATCTTGACTGGATAGATGGCTCCGCTCCTCGAGGACGACCGAGGTGAAGAGAGAGGCTTCGGGCGTAGAGAAGAGGGACTTCATGGGAGAGGAGATGGTAGAAGAAGCAGGTTCGTTGGGATTTGGGCTGGGAAAGCTCAAGGGGTCGGATGATAGTGTGTCACGGCGGAGGTCATCGACTCGGGGCAGAGGCCTATTGAACAACCAGTTGACAAGCAGGTTGAAAGCAGCCGGATCCTCGTCGGGTAAGTCCACTTGCTCTCCGGGCTTGATGACAAGTTTGGGCGACATTGGAGCGAGGAGTTGCTGGTGAAGCTGAAACAAACATCGTTCGATGCCTACCAGCACCGTGACAATGGATCCACCGAGTTCACTGGGGGAATTCGCTGTCAATATGGATGCGTTGACTAGATGCCTTCTCTCTGAAATCTTGCTTACCCGGTGATGGACATATCCGGTACTCCCTCCATCTTCATCTTCTTTCTCCATGGCATCTCGGTACACGCACCCGAAGCTTCTTCGACCTTGATGTTCTTGCGTTGTGCCGTCTCAGTAGATACAACCGTCAGTTTGGAATAATGAACACGCTCTGAAGTCGCTTCCGCCATGTTGTCCTGCTGGACACTTTTCGGAGTCTCAGTCGCCACGTTGTCCTGCTGAGCAACTACAGCAGACTTGCCCACCGCGCTGGGCGACGGGACGGCCTTGGGAGATGATGCATCCATGATGGGATCGGTGGCGGCTGTAGAATCAACGTTAGTAATTGTCGTAGGTAAATGGTTTGTTACTTAAATTTCACCTTTGTGGTCGTGTGTAGCCGTTGCCCAGGACGGTTGGTGGGTGTGGGTGGAAGAGGCACGCAGTGCTGAGGTGCAGAACCAATTGGGGGCAGATATGCAGAGCACCAAGGCAGCGGCCAAAAAGAATGCTTTCAATGTATGCCAGGCTTGTGGAAAGAAGGTAAGGACCGAGAGGGCTGCTGGTCGAGAGGGAACCCGAAAGTGATGAGGGTGAAGGTGTGGTTGCACACGCGGGTGTGGATGTTTGGAACGGGAATTGGGTGCCTGGGGCAAGGACGCGTCCGTTTGCTCAGGTACCAGGTACGTGCAAATCTTCAAGGACTGCATCCATTTGATAAGTCAGTTCCCTGCCTAGGTGATTGGGGTTTGGTTGTTGCAGCTGGAGGTGCACGTACACTCAACCATTACAAGTGCTCCTTCCGCGCCAGGCAGTTCGAATCTCCCGTTTTTGGATCAGCACCCTGGTACAAGCATTTATATAAGAATAATCCATCTTTGATGATTAGTCCAGTATGCTTATTCAAGAGAACCTAGACCACCCCAGAATGGTTCGTATCTTGGGTAATGGGGATGTGGTGTATGAGTTCGCTGTGATCTTATCGCCTCTAGACCTGAGGCCGTGTGCATCTACGGGAGGTCCAGCTTGTTATGAGAGCTGAATTGAGAAGCGATGCACCAAGCAATCCTCAAGTAAGTTGAGGTGTTCACAAGCATATCCGTCTCGAGGCTTGCAGAAGCTCTCCCCTACGATGCAGTGCCTGTAAGTCACGCGACACTAAATACCATTTCCGTTGCGCGATTTGACATTACAGTCTGACAGATAAACTGCTCACCAGGGCGTAAGGATGCTTCGGTAGAATTCAAGCTGCGTATTGCTCGTGTTGTGATCCTCCCGACTCGTCACCAAGGCCAGCCATCTCAACAAGCTTTTGAGTATGGCCAACTTGGCTTGGAACATGATACCGACGAGTATCCTGAGCACGATATGGTCCGGCGTCGAGATCTTACAGGAACGCATAGTGTAGAGTGTAGACCCCCAATTGATGACTGTCCGTCCACAAGAGATGGGGCTGTCAGTGAAGAAAATAACAGTGTTGGGAAGGCGGCTACACCATATCAATCAAGCATATGTCGCCAGCGGCGATGATTGGGTGCTTGAATCAAGTATAGCACTCGTTATGTTGCAAGAACACCTCGCGTCGCGTATAAATGCCACCTATCTAGATATTGATAGCTTTGGAGCAGGGACCTGAAGTGTGACATGAAGCTAAATGCTTTGATTGATTTGGTGCAGACCGTATGTACGCATGTACCTGCGGGAAGATAGAATCAGGTGAGAGATACAGTCGAAGTCTTAAAGAGGGAATGGTGGTTATATACGTGCCGATGATAGTGAAGAAAGGGGTGGGCAGGAGGGATGAAGTTGTAGGTGGAATTGGGCCCCTGAATCGGTTGCCTCTAGGTAGTCTAGTGACTAGAACTTTAGTGCGGGGGTGGCTTGGCAACGGCTTAACGCGCGAGAAGGCGACGACGCGTCGGCGCGCTTCAACTTTACCGGTACTTTCCCAACCAAGCCCCTCCCTCCTCAACCACTACGAACTGCTGTAGATACAATTCGGACTGAACACCGACTACGAACCATACCATGCCGCACTCTGTATCTAATAGCCCGCCGAACGACATGGAACAAATAATGGGCGACGCTTCACCCCAGAATGGCGACAGCCAGACCACAGACAACGACATCCCCATGGCCGAAGCGGAAGAAACGCCCACAGCGACCGATGGTGACGAGAAGAAGGACGTCAAGCTAGAAGACCTGTTTGCCGATGTCGACTCTGACGACGAGTTCCCCAGCTCGAAACCAGCAGAAACCAAACCCTCCAGTTCGCCAGAGGCACCGTCATCGCCAATGTGAGATGCTCTAGTGAGCCCCGACGTGTTGTTGGTTCTGACAGCAAGACAGGGATATCGAGACCGACGTCAAGGCCTCAGACCCTGAGATTATGCGCATGTTCTACCAGCGGTTATTCCCCTGGCGGCACCTCTTTCAATGGCTCAACCACAGCCCTACGCCCACCAACGACTTCGGACACCGCGAGTTCGCATTGACGCTGCAGGGCGACATCTACCTACGATACATGTCCTATCCGACCTCAGATCTGTAAGCAGGACGTCTCCTATCCCCCTTGGAGGCCATTTCCCGCCATTGAACGGCTCGCTGACCATTACACCCCACAGACTACGCAAAGACATCCTCTCCAAGATGCCCTCCCGTTTCGAGATCGGACCCGTCTACACCACAAACCCGCGCGACCGCAAGACCCTCCGCAATCTCAGCGCCTTCAAGCCGCTCTCCAAAGAACTATGTTTCGATATCGATCTGACAGACTACGACGACATCCGGACGTGCTGCGACAAGGCCAACATCTGCAACAAGTGCTGGCAGTTCATGACCATGGCCATCAAGGTCATCGACGCCGCGCTGCGGGACGATTTCGGGTTCAAGCACATCATGTGGGTGTACTCCGGACGGAGAGGTGCCCATGCCTGGGTGTGCGACAAGAAGGCGCGCGTCATGGACGACCAGAAGCGCAGGGCTGTGGCCGGGTACTTGGAGGTGATACGCGGTGGCGCGCAGAGCGGGAAGAAGGTCAATGTGCGGCGGCCGCTGCACCCGCATCTCAGGTATGCTATGCTCCCCGTCTATCAATCTCGCCTCCCCCAGCTCTCCATACAATATCCGCGCAACTGGAGCGTGATATGCCTTACCTACGACCCAACACTAACACGCCACCCCTCCACAGCCGCAGTCTCGACATCCTAGCCCCGCACTTCCAAACCGACGTCCTCGAATCGCAAGACCCCTGGTCCACCCCCGCCCGCGCCGAGCACCTGCTCTCCCTGCTCCCAGACAAGACGCTCAACGACAGCCTGCGCAAGAAATGGGACTCGTCCCCGGGTCGGGCCAGCGCCTCCAAGTGGGCCGACATCGACGCGGTCGCCAAGTCGGGCGCGGGCGGCAAGAGCCTCGACACCAGGACTTTATTGGAAGCCAAACAGGACGTCGTGCTCGAGTACACGTACCCGCGTTTGGATATTGAGGTCTCCAAGAAGCTGAACCATTTGCTCAAGTCTCCTTTTGTGGTGCACCCCGGCACGGGGAGGGTTTGCGTGCCTATCAACACAAAGCGGCTGGAGGAGTTTGATCCACTGGCTGTGCCGACCGTGCAGGGGCTGTTGGCGGAGATTGATGGGTGGGAGGGCGGCGGCGGTGGTGGTGGTGCTGGGGCAGAGGAAGAGGGGAAGGGCGAGAATGTCCAGGATTGGGAGAAGACGAGTCTGAAGCCGTATATCGAGGCCTTCCGCGGCTTTGTGCTTGCCCTCATGAAGGATGAGCGGGATCCTAAGGTCAAGCGGGAGAGGGACGAGGATGAAGGGATGGAGTTTTGAGTTCAACGTCAGAGACGGAGAGTTTGGTCTCTGTATGTGAATGTTGGAGCGTGAGAGGGAGATGAGAGCAGGGGAGGATAGATGGATGATACCACGAGTCGGATGGGCGATGGGCGATGGGCGATGGGCCCGGTTTGGCTTAGGAGACCCCTTATGCATATGGGTAGGAGTTTGGGATAAGGACTTTACCTACATGTAGCTACCGCACCGGTTGGGATGTGTATAATGAGGATCGAATGACACTGCACTTTCAAAGCAATCACTCACAAGAGGCTGGCCTGTTAATCTTACCGTGTGACAATCATCTATACACTTCACATAATCTTCCCCAAAGCCCTTGTAGTCACAATAGGTAGGCAAGAATCATCTCACGTACACTGAACCCTCATAAGTTTTCCGTACACGTCCCTTCCAGCAATCAACGTCAACGGCAAATCCATCAATCGGAATAAGCACACCGGAATAGGCAGTTGGATGTCTGGGGGCCATGCTTGACGGTTATTCCAGGGTGCTTATTCTAAGGATAGAAAATACCCCTGAATGTACAAGATCCTGAGGACGGGGTGTAAGGTACGGACTTATGACGGTTTAGTGTACTTACACCATCACCACCACCACTACCACTAGCTAGTAGACAACCATATGCATTAGGTAGCAAAGCGTATCAATTCGTTTTCATCCAGCCACCAGAAGCTAGGCAGCCCGCCGAAACGCCTGGCAAAGTGCAAAGGGGTATGTAGCTCTATCGTTACAAGCCTCCATCCATCATTCCTGATGGAAGGGCTACCACGCAGCAATCAGCAATGATCGCGTTTAGAATGCTCTGAGCGCAGCAGACTGCCCTCCATTGTATGATCGATCACGGTAGCCGTGGACTCACCATTTCCCGAGCACTAACCTCGCATGTCAAGTAATGAAATTTCGCGAGACGTGCCATATAACGATATTCAGCGTCCAGCATAGCCACACCCAGGGTAGCGCCGTGGGCAAGAGAACGCATGAGAATCGATCAGTAGAAATTCTGCGCGTCATGGCCACCCGAGCCAAACCCCCCTGAGCCACCACCAGGGCCCTGCCAGTGGCCTCCCCCTTGCTGCTGGAAAGGCTGACCGTACTGGGGCGCCTGCGACTGATATCCATTACCACCCTGCGACCCCAACGAGGGAAAGCTGTCATCATACGAGACGGAAGCGTGGGAGCCGAAGGCCCCCTGGTTCTCGCGTGGTCCCACGTCGTCCAATGATTTATAATTGCCGCGTCCGCCACGACCGCTCCCCTTTCCGCCGCGACCGCTGGCGCGGTAACCTCTGTTAGCAGCACCGGCTCCGCGGAAGCCAGCTCTTTGGTTGCCACCCCGTCCTTGGTAGCCCGAATGGTAGCCACGAGAGTTATTGCCGTAATTGCCGCTAGAATTACGTGGTCGTCCATCCTCGTCACCTCCAGGATACTTTCGCTTTCCTCTGTTTGAGGAGAGACCACTGTTGCCGTTCTCGACGGACTGTTCGGGCTCAATGCGTAGCATGACTTTCTCGCCTACCACGGTTTCGAAGACCATTTCACTGTCCGGCGGCAAAGGCTGCCAGTCCCGAATCTTATTGGCATCCGATGGACGGGCGCTCCTTCTCGTTGCGATCACCACCATTGGGTTGGCCTGGTCTGTGTGGTACTTGGCGTTGTCAGGCACCGGCCTGACGGACACGGCCCAGATACTGTTGTCCCAGGAGCCTATGCCCGTAGCCTCCCACTTCATCTTCGCATTCATCCCACCAATCTTGTCTAATATGTGCTTGGGACACGCACGCGGGGTGATGATGATGGTATTTGCGTGGTATTTCAGATCGCCGTTAGGCATGCTTGGGGCTGCAAGTTTGATTAGTCGCTTCGTATCTTCGGGTTGCATCATGTAGCTCGTGAAGAACACAGTTTTCCTAATAGCCAGGCGCTCGCCTCGGCCTCGTTCTTGGTCAACAATGGCATTGTGACTGTTGACTAGGTGTTGCACCTCGGCGACCTCGACAACCGGGTCTAGGCTGGTCGCGATTTCCGGGACTTGGATTACTTCGCCGACGATTGGTCCTCGAGTGGAGGTGCCGGGGTGCCTTTGCAGGCGCTCGTTGTAATCGGCCAGGAACGCTTTGAAGCCGGAAACATGTCGCTGCCGGTCCTCGTATATACGAATCTCCTGCGCGCCCTTGTATGTCTCCATCATAGCCTCGAGGAAGCCTTGCTTAAAATGCATGGTACTGCGGAATCGTTCGTTGTTAGGCCCGACCTCCGGTTTGAGACCAGCCATGTCGAAATCAAGTTTCTTGCTCGTGACGATACGCTTGATCAGCTCCGAGAAGCCCCGTTCGCTTCGGCCAGTCAGCAGCACGCAAAGAGCACCTTGCTCTTTCATGCTCAGCTTCACCAGCTCGACGATCTTCTCGTTCCACCAGCCTGCCCATCCTCGTTTTTCCTCTCGCTCGACGCCATCACCCGTTGCCGCCAGTATGCGCGAATCGTGCCACCAGCCTCCATTGACAAAGATTTCGGGGCTGCCTAGCTGACCCAGTGTTGGGCTGTTCCAAAGTTTCGGGTTCGGCAGAGGGGTTTGGAAGAGGGTGTTGTCAAAGTCGTATACGTGGATCGCGTTGATCTTGTCTACGGCTGCATCGCAGGTCAGCACAAAGAGCCAGCCCTAGTCGAGGATGTGTCGCGTATGATGCAGGTGCAATACGGGCGAGCGAGGCAGGGCTTGCGGGTGTCTGCGTATGCATGCGCAGTACATACCAGGCAGCTGCTTGTTCAGAATGGACCATCTGCTGAGGGCCGTCACTGTATGGCGGCTGTTGGCCGAGCCATTCGAGGCGCCATTGGCGTACTTGGACGCCATGCTGCGTCGTAAAAGCAGTCGCGTGGAAGTTGAAGGCCTGAAGAAGAACATGCAACTACGAGAACATAATTGAATCGGGATGTATCGATCAAATGGAAGTTCTCGAATGGCAGATGGAGGTGCGTGTAAATATCGAGCCTGCGCACCTGCGTAAGGTAGCGAGCTTGGATGAATAAGATATTCTGATGGTGTCACTGCCTGCCAGGCATCCCATGCTCCACTGCCTGCAGTCTGCAGATGGGCCCCTGCAGTTTTTGCGCTAGTGAAGTAGAAGGTCCAAGCTCCCATCCCGTCCTCTCCAGCTCCTGCCTCTGCTTCTGTGACTCCTGAGGACTTGAAGACCTCAGGCCATCACGATACTGAATATTCCCTCGTTCAACAGCTGAGTCTTAACACAAATTTCAATTCCAAAGAATAAGGGAAACAGCTGGTATTTTATCGCAGTTCCAGCAAAGTTTCTCGGAGCTAAGCTTACATCTTTTCAAACACTACAATTACCACGTCTACATGTAGCGAAGCACGTACAGCTCCCGGCGGACAAGCGGATACTCGTTACAACGTATCAAAAAACCCACCCACATTGATACGACATCCGGTAGCAGATGATATGGCCACCCGTACCGCTATCACCCAGATCAAGAAGTCATCCGTGGACATCCTGCACCTGCGTTGTCATGTTCGGCCAGGTGCAAGCCAGGTACGCGAGGGAGTTACGGCCGTAAACGACGATACGATCGAGCTCTGCGTGGCCGCTCAAGCGCACGACGGAAAGGCAAACAAAGCTGTGCTGGAAATACTGAGTGAGGTGAGTTATCACAACGTGCACCTTCCTGCGTTTCTTGCCGCGATGGGTACTGTCGCGCTGTAAAGGCACCATTCTGGTCGAACCAGCAACTTACGGAGTGCAGGCTTTGGACATCGCAAAGTCTGACCTACAGATTACGCACGGGTTGAAGACCAGGGATAAGACCATCAGTGTCCCCACTGCTTGCTTCCAGCATGGAGGGGCCAGGAAAGACGTAGACATCTCGCTTCTCGTTAGAGAGAAGCTACTGCGCAGCGAATCGACGTAATGATGCATGCGAGCCATAGACTTGGACAGCCAACGGAACACATCTGAAAATGTAAAAGTCTGTACAGGCAATCGTCAGCAAAAAAGTCATTCTGTGGATTCGCAGCAGATTTTGGGAAGTTGCCAATAGTGTCAGGTAATATAGAACAATGTGGTGAGTATATTTAATCATGCTCATGAAGCATGAGTAATAAACAGCCTCGTGAAAAAATTCATCATAGAAAGGGCAGTAGAATGGGTTGTGTTTGGAGTGACTTACCAATTGTCAACGCCCAGCTCTAGTCACTCAGGCCCATCACAGTCGACGAAGGGCTTATTGTTGGAGACATAGGAAAGCGGATTATATATGTACAATGCCACCTGACAATGTAGTAGCATCGTCTACTCCACATTGGCCGAGACGGGACTGATTTCGACGCCGTACTTCTCTCTGAGTCGCTCTCGTCTCCGCTCCTCGTAGCCAGGTGGCTTAATGTCTGTAGAGATGTCAGCCGGACTACACTTCAGATTGACAACGAACGTCTCCACGAGGGACAGGGTGGAACGGAATATAGTGTTTGACGCACCTCTACCCTCGCCGATATCTGCGATGGTCTCGGTTATTGGCCGTCTGCGGTTCTTCCGCATGAATTCTTTGCGCTCATACTCGTCCATCCCGGGTACCTCTGTCCTCTTTCCACGCAGACTGCCACCTGTGTAATCGAAAGCCGTCATGACCACGGAGAAGACGGCACCGAATCCGAGAATGCGCGGCATCCGGGCAGCTACCCATTCGTGTTAGCGACCAAACGCTTGGTTTTTGATGTCGGACACCATACTTCTCAATCCTAGTGTAGAGCCGGCAAGGAAGGAGGCGACGGTGACGTTCAGGGTATCGTCCTTCTCTCGCAGGTTGGCGGATGCATCCTTTGTAAAGAGGTAGACCGTGGCCACGGAAGCTGTGGAAGCAGCGCGTCAGATACTCTATGCTCCCAGTAATGAGGCACGGGCCGAGGTGATGGGATATACGTACTGAAGCTCGCGATTGTGCTGCCGGACCGGGTGAAGATGCCCATAGCACCGACGTTGGCTTTGGCGAGGGAATTCTGCACAGAGGAGGCGATGAGACCAGCTCCACCACCAATCATGGCACCCTGAATGCCTGCCTTGACGGCATCTTTCTGGTGGAAATGATTCTCCTTCGGCGGATACTGGATGGGGTGAGGATTCGCCATCTTGAGCCGAAGGAGGCGGTCGCAATGGCTCGGGATGCAGGGTAGATGGAGTCGAGTTGGAAGAGCGGCTTGGTGAAGCTTTGAAGCTGGAGGTGGGTGATCAATTGAAGTTGCTTGGATTTGATTCGAGGTCAGCACAATCCGGCCTGCCGATGATATCCCGAGCCCGGCTAGTGGAATACTCAGTGGGTCTGATACAATCACCCCTTCAAGTCTCCGTCCGGCATGTCTCTGTCCATTCTCAGATGTATCTATGCTATCTTATTCTAATGGAAGATTATCAATGCTATATTCATTTTAAGTGAATAAGCACCATGGAATAAGCCGCTTTGATTTGAGAAGCCATTTCAAATGCTTTCCGGGGTGTTTATTCTATTTCTCGAGAGGGGTGTACGGGGACTTTTTGGAGGTACAGTATATCACGCACACAGTGCCAGTGGCCCATGCACACAGGTTGGACTGAAGTGGCCCGTGCCCAGCTACGTCAACAGACTGCAGGCCTGAGGCGGACACAACCAGACAGCCAGAACGACGTTGACCCTAAGCTCCAGCTCCATCAAGCTCCAAGCTTCAACCAAGCTCGTCAACAGGCGGCCGGTCTTCATCAGCCTCATCACATCTCAAAAATAGGTAATCCTTGATACCGCGTCACCTTCCTTAGAGCTTCAGACCCCCCAAAACGAACCCATCTCTACCTTTTTGTACCTTCCCTTAACCCGTACGTCTTGTTCCTATCCAAGCTGTCCAGTCAGCGGCTGCATCGCCTTCAGCAAACCCTACCCCTGTCGGCGACCGGATCTCACGAACTCACCTCCACTGAGTGACCGGAGGGCCCTGTTTGACTGACTCTTGACCTCTTGCAGCATCATACTCGATACGCGCCTAGGAATCATTCACACGGTACGGCCGCGGTTTCCTCTTGTCTGTCCTGTTTCTGCCTTGACTCCTGTTCGTCAGCCTCGCAACACTGGCGGGGTGGTTTATATGGCACGTCCCACACCTTCGTCTTTCTCACTTCAGTATATACAACTGCCCCAGGCACGTCCCTCGGTATTCATCCAGACTTGCCATGAACGATTCCATCACGTAGCCTCTCACCTCTCATGCGCTAGTAAGATAGCCCACTTTGCGGATGTCCACAGCGCCGTGGTACCACACAAACGCCTTTTCCCCTTTGACCGTACGCCACCCCGTTGCGACGATGCTTGTCAGCCAATTTGCGGTGTAGATAAGTGTCTGCAGTCGTACGAAGTACCAGAGTCTGTCTTGGAGACTTTGTCTTTTCTGCTATCTAAGATCCACCATTGCGGCTGACTCGACTTACTGACTTGATTCGAAGATTCCTGGGACTCGAGGCATCTGTGCTCGACGTTTGGGATACATCTCGACTCAGCGCGTGTGTCGGAGCCGACGAGGCTGCGGTTGCGTCTGAGACCAAGGTCGTGGAAAGGGCGAGCCAATCCTCCTGTTCCTCTTCATCGAGCTGGCAAACTGGAACTGCTACCCCCTTACTCATTAACACTCTCATGGGCGCAGAGCTGTAGTGGGGGTCAGCATTCTGCGTCAAGCTACGTTGAGTGCAGCCATGGCTTCAGGCACTATAACAATGCCAGACACTGTCGACCCGGCAGATGCGGCAGGTCCTGAAGCTCTTCGCACGCTGAAGACGGCCGCATTGCGCACGTTCCGTGCGCAGAACGGTATTAATGGTGAGCAACATTCACTGGGGAGATCAACACATCGTTGTGTATTAGATTTACCCGAAACCAACAAGCTGACAACCTCTAGCTTACACATCGCCTCGGGCTCTTCGACGATTCATCGGGTCGCAACTTCCCGAGTTGCCCAACGATGTAGGCTGTGGGTCTAGCAACCATCAATTGGTCTTGGTTACACCCCAATCCTACGAACGCAAAGATACCGGCATCTGTTTTGTGTCAAGTGTGTGTACACAATGTCGATACCACTTCCACGTCAAGAACGACACGAGGCATAGTCGAACGTTCGACAAGGAACACCCAAAGCACATGCTCATTGCCTGTGAGCAGAAGACCAAGGACGACCTCAGAAGAGAGAGAACTGGGTACAACGAGATCATTGGGTATACCCGATTCATCTGCACCGCCGACGACTGCCTCTCCACCGTTGAGGTGTTTCTTATGCCCCCAAAGCTCAGTAATGACGAGGTCGATATGTTCAAAGACCCGAATCGCGTTCTCCGTAACTTGCAACGCGCTCGCGCGGATGACCCTGACAGGTACAACGATGTGGGTGATGGCTATGGGGCGGACCCTGCTTTGACTATCCTCAAATACCTCACTGATGCGCTATTGCGCCCCCATGGTTCTGGCCCGCTGAGAATCAAGAAACGGAACAAAAGATTTAGGGTTTCATTTGCTGAAGACTTTGATCCTCTTCTCAGACAGCTGGGATTCCAGGACCGGGAGGAAGAAGGTGAGGCGTGCTGGTTCATTACCGAGCCAGAAGAAGCACAGACTCCTACTCCCGTCCGAACCTTAAGAGCTCGTATGCAGGATACCCAGGAGGAACTAAAGTTGCTCGTTGAGGGTCAGAAGACAACGCCGGCATGGGACCCGCTACTCAGAGCGTTCCAGGGCGACTACAACAGCATCGGTGCAGACCCCGTTGCATACCAGCAGACCAAGGAGCCCGACCTGGCGTTGCTGGGTTGCTTAATAGATTATCAACCTCACTTGTTCAGTTGGGCTGCTATTCTTCTCGCCAAGATCTGTCCCCGGCGCCGCGACGAGTTCCTTGACGCTGGTCTTCGTTGCATTCAGCAGCGGAGCGAAGAAGCCTCGTTCGACATCACTGTTTTTAGGTCCCAGTTTGACCCAAGCACTTCCGTTGACATAACCGTACAGATTGCCTACAAGTTCTTCGACAGCTCTCCCAATGATGGCAACTCCTCTGACTGGATTTTGAGCAAATACTACCTTATCACTGAAGCCGATCCCAGCGACGATGAAAAGGCCCTGGCACTCCACCATCTTGAAGTCATAAGTAATAACATCGGCAGAGACCTCGTGGCCCTGGTTACTAAGGGTAGTTTCGGGACGGCGGTGCGTCCGATTACTCAAGGTAGTGTGGACCAACCTCTCACTCAAGGTAGTTTCAACAACCCTCTCGAGGAAGTGCCTGTGCAACCGGCGTTCAACAGGAAGATGAGCATTCGATCCGCCACCAAGCTGCTCGACATTGATGCGAACTATTCTGCAGAAATAATACAGGACTTTGCCGGAAACGTGGTAAGTCGCCCCAAGCTGTGCCGCAGCCATTTGTATTTTTCGCTGATATCAAGTCAAAATAGGGTGAGAAGGTAGATCGCGTGAAGGTTGTGGAGGCTCTTGAGGTGTTGGGTGATCTCAAGAAGCAACAAAATCTAGCCGAAGAAGCTGCAAAACTCCAGGAGACTGCGGACTTCCTCAGGGCAACCGGAAATGTCGCTAAAGGCGAGATGGCCATTCCATCGCTTGTCAACCAGCAGCCCTTCTCCGCTGACCCTGCGTCTTCCATGAATGCCCCTCCGGGTCTACGAAACATCGGCAATACTTGCTACTTGAACAGCCTTCTGCAGTACTTCTACAACGTGAAGGCTGTCCGTGACGTGGTTCTTAATTTCGATCAAATACAGTTGGAGCTGGATGAGGACATAGTGAGCAAGCGACGCACAGGCGGTAATGGTACAAGCGTCAACATAGAAGAGGCTATTGTTGCTCGCCAATGTAAGTGCAAACCTTTCACCGGTTGTATCTCAAATCACTGACCAGTGTGAAGTCATCGAGGAGCTTCGTAAGCTCTTTTCGGATTTGCAGTCAACCACTGATTCTGCAGCTCAGCCGTCGCAGAAGCTTGCCAATACGGCGCTCTCTTCTGCGAAAGAGATCCTGAGTGAGAGTGCCGACAACCAGCCTCCACCCCTGCCGGCACGTCCTTCTCCAGCGCCACCAGTTCCGCCGAAAGAAGACGTCGACATGGTCAACGTCACCATTGAGCCCATCAACGACCAAGTAGAGACCGCTAGTTCCCGCAGCTCGCACACGCTGGTCAATGAGGGAGAAGAGACCAGACTTGAATCTCTTGTCCAGATGACGCAAAACGACGACAAAGGCACCGATAACGAAGTTGTCGATGGACTGTCCTCCTCACAAGCCCAGATCAATGCCTCGAATCCGCTTCATTCGGGCGAAGATGTCGAGATGAAGGACTCTCCCGAAGTTGCAACGTTGGAGGAGAAAATGGCTCAGGTTTCTCGACGCTTGGAGCAATCAGATCGTTCGGGGACATCACAGCAGGATGTTGAAGAGATCATCGGTAACATCCTGGAGCATCTAATGCGCGCTATTCGACCGGACAGCCCAATGCCCGGGAAGCCCGATCTACAAACCGACAAGATTACGGAAATATTCTTTACCATGATCGTGAACTGCACTGTCAAGACATCGCCGGGTCCCAGTGTTAGTACCATGGATTCGGCCGTGGAAGAAAACATACTCAACGAGGAAATCGTCCCCGAACGTTGGATAACAGCTTTCCCGCACCCTGATAAGGCAAACAAGGTGAAAAGTACATTGTACGCAGCACTTGACCGCTACTTCTCTTATGAGCTCCTTGCTGATGGGAGCATTGCCCGCTACACAACGATTCGGGCATTGCCCCCGATTGTTCACATCTGCATCCAGCGCTCTGATGCCTCTGGGGTGAAGAACAAGAACCCCGTCGTTATCCCCGAGGTCTTGTACCTGGACCGTTACATGGAAACCGAGACCGGGTCATACCTATGGAACACACGTCGGCGAGTTTGGGCGCTTAAGGAGCGCCTCCAGGTACTTGAGTCTAGGTCCATGAACACATGTGAAAACATCTTCAAGGAGACACAAGTCGATCGACGGGCGCCTAACGAAGTCAGCGATCCTCGGACGGTTCATGCTGAGCCGGGTGACATCTTCAAGTTGGACGAGGGTCTGATGAAGGACATAGGTCGTCCCAGGAAGCGCAAGGTTTTCGACGCTTCTCCAAACGATTCATATCAATCGATACCCTCTAAGAGGCAATCATTGTCACCAGAGCCGCACAATTCGACAACCAAGTTTGTGGACACTCTGTGGGAATCTAGTCAAAGTCTAGACGTGGCGGACGCGGTGGAGATAAGCCAACTACGGAAAGGAGAGGATGAGGCCTTTACGTCGATGCAGCAAGAGAAGTATAGTCTCCATGCTGTAATCTGCCACGGTGGCGGTATGAATGCTGGTCATTACTGGGTCTGGGTGCGAGACTTCAAGAAGAATGTATGGTACAAGTACAACGACAGCCTCGTCACCGAGGACAGCCGTGACTCGCAGTCGGTTCTAGACGAGCTGAACAACAGTGGCGATCCTTACTACGTTGCTTACGTACGAGACGAAATCAAGGACGATCTTGTCGAGGTACCGCAACGCCAACAGCAGGAAAACGGGGAAGCACATTCAGGCGATCTGGATATGCAGACTATTGAGGGTATAGTGCCTCCAAGCAGCCCGACAACGATGGTTCCTAGCAGCCAGACCGCGTATGCTACCAGCGAGAAGGCGGACGATGGTCTTCCCCCGTACGAGATGCTCTGATGAGTATGCATGCGTTTGCGTCGTGGCTTGGTCTCTGTTTCGTTGCATTGCCGTTGGAGTTCAGCGCATTTGTATACCATACTGTAGCCTAGACTTAGCGCAGTCAACCAATCAAAGAGCATGAGCATGAGACTCGAATGTGACAAATTGGTCTTGTTTGACTTGGAGTTCTAAGAGCCGTCGCAGCAGCGATATGGTCAATCTACCGAGATGTGTACACTGAGCCCTCATAAATCTCCATACACTCTTCATCCACCAAGTGAAAGTGCGTTCATGATAGATAAATGGAATAAGCACGCTAGAATAAACATCGAGAATGACTTTATAGATATAAGCTGCTTATTACTGTCTGCTTATTCCAGTATTTCCAAGTTTTCACATGTGACCTGAATTCTTCCAACATGGCGCGTACGGAGACTTATGAGGGCTGACTGTAAGATGGCTGGGTCCGTCGACAGGTCAGGATGCCCATAGATTCCGGACCGCAGCCAGGATTGCGCCGATAATCCGTAGCGTCTGGGTCCATGAACGCTCGATCTAGGCGATCGACGAACCCGTAGATACTATATGAGGACATGTCCGGGTCCGGATACTCCCAGTCGAGTACCTCAACGAATTCGAGCCCATTGGCATGGAAGACTTCTCGACGGTGGGCGTCGGGATCGTCGTTACTGTCTGGCGGCGGCGGCATGGAATAGTCGATGAACCAGAGATTGCGGACGTCTTCGTACATGTCCAGCACAAAATAATTCATGTGGTGGAAAGCTCCGGGATCGGTGTCCCAGACGGGTCCGTATTGGAGGGCTAGATTGCAAGCCCCGTCGCATCCCCAGTACTTGGAAAGGGACGAAGCCTAAGCCCAAGATTCCCCACGGGTTGCGGGGAAATGGTTGGTGTGGCTCGAATCGGATTTGTATACCGATGAGGTCTTTGTTGGGCCTGATGTTGAAGTATTGTGGCCTGTCGTCCCTCGTGAAGTAGCCCATCACCTGGACCTCGGGATCGTCACAGCCAATGTCGCAACTATAGTAAGACTGCCCAGTACGAGCTCGGTCGTCTGTCCGAGCCTGTCGATATGATCTGAGCGTCGCGGCCCATTGGCGCATCTCGTAGTGGCGCTCCATGCGGGCGCGGGAATGTTTGCACGCCGTCCACAGTCCTCCTCCTCCAGGTAGGTCGAGAAATTCCCCTGGGTCCAGGATACCGAAGCTGGGCTGAAGACTTGACTCGGCGGCGATAAGGAGCAGCCCGGTGCCACAATCCATTGGCCGTTTTCCCAGCCAGGAGGCTCGAGAGCTACGACGCGCTCGAAGCTTTTGCTGGAGCCCATGAGCAGCTGGCTCCCGGGCATTTCGATGTCGTCGTAGAAGGAACTGACCAATGAGATCATGTGCACGCCGCGGCGCGATGTATCCCGTATGGCCATGTCCCATATCTTATCTTGCAGTTTCTGCGGCAGCAGACGGAACGAATGGAATGTTGAGTCCATGTTTTTCGGTACCTAGTGTAGGTGAGGTATACGCGGCTTTGTTTTTGGAGAGTATTGTCGAGCTGGTGATGGATCCTCAGGCGTATGGTTTGTTCGTGAGGCCGGAAGTGAGGTGTTCGTGGAGAAGATCTTCGCGAGATTCCGGCGCGAGGATTCGTCCTCATATAGGGCTCTCGTGACTCATTGGAGAAGGACGAAGGTTTCGCTAGAGTCATATTGGCGTCGAGGGTGAGGAAGAAAACGAACAGAGTTCAGCCATGAGCCACCAAACCACACTCCCCCCCCCCCCAGAAAAAAAAAAAAAAAAAAAAAAACCCATGCTTAATTAGCTCAAGGTTGCGGCAGAGCCTGAATTGATTCCATGCCATGGATACCGTCTCTCAACCTGCTGGGTTGGGAACACAAAGTCTCAGGCTTACGATGATCATGGCGTGGTAACCTTGGCATGGATATGATGACTTCTTCGATGGTTAGTGTCGTCGACAGACGAGATTTGTGAGGGATGGGATAGTAATCTATTGACACAAAATTAAATGTGTCCCTCCTATATTAGCCACACAATGTTCAGATAAATATACGACAATCATAACCAACATAATCAGAAACGGGAGCGACGACGGCCTCCAAAGGAGGCGTCTCTAATGTGACACTTGGGGTTCATATCCCTACGAATGGAGACACAGCTTAAAATCCCATAGTCAACATAGTCTTGGGACATCCTTGAGCAGGGAAAACAAAAGTGGAAAGGAGGAAAAGCACTCAAATGGTTAAACTCTCTATCATCTTTCTCCGTCAGCCTCAACGCCACTGTCTTTTGACTTTAGCAAAACCTTCGTTGCTGTCTCCGGAGATAGCTACGAGAGCTTTATAAATATCTGTGTCCATCTCTCCGTGGCTGCCTTACCTTCTAATAATATTCTGCAAGGTCTTCAACCACGCAGTTGTCAAGAATTACCCACGCTCCCGACGCCCAGAGCCAACTCCTCCCATACGAAAAGAACTGTGCGGCCTCCGGATTCTTGTTCCACTGTGCCTATACCCAAGATGTGCAACGAGCCTCCCGCGCAGTCTGCGCATCTTCAAGCCAAGTCTCGTCTGGCAATTCTCCCTGACGAACTTGTCTTCATGATAGCTTCCTATCTGGAAAGCCCGTCTGACCTCTTCTGCCTTGCCTCCTCAGCAACACGTTTTTGGACGAGGGTCAGCAATCGAGACTTCATAGAGAAAGACGCCGAGTTCCAGAGGTCTACTGCGAACTATTACGAAATAATGGACATAACAAGGGACTTCTGGTTAAAGAGGGTCGTGGAGTGGCAGGAAACTCCCTTGCAGTGGAACAATCTTGCCGCAAGGTCCAAGATGGGGATGCCCGCCTTCAGTCTCAAGGGCCAACCAATGATACATTGGGCTATCACCAAGGACCAGGATATGTTCCAGTTGCGCGACATGGTCGCGATCTACTCCAAAAGCTTCCGGGGGCATGTTGACGCCCTGATCCATCTGTTCTCACAAGCCCTCGCGCTCGCAATCCGTGGTGGCCGCTTGGATGTGGTCCAACAGCTCACGAAGAGAAACGAAGAGAAACGAAGAAATCGACGCGCAGTTGGCCGTCATGTGTTCCGAGCAGACCCGTTTGCTATTCCCGAAAGCTGTCAAGTTCCTGGGCGCCGGGTTCGACCTCCTGGAGCTCGCCTGTCGCACAGGCCAGCAGGCAATCGCCCTCCATCTGATCGAGAACGACTACTTGAGCGCGAAGTTCCTCATTGAGTGGCATCGTACCGGAACGCCGACTATGACACATTATGCTATGTGGCCAGTACCTGAGGTCATCAAGGCTATCCTTAGGAAAGGCTCCCCATTCCGACTCCGACTCCAAGACCGCACTTTCCGCACTTTCCGCGCGGGTACTATCATCGACTTGCTCCATACAGCGGCGGAGACGTCGGTCACGGATGATAACTTCGAGGTTATCGACGTTCTTCTCGCCGCAGATGCTCCGTATCTCGAGGAGACGCTCCGCGACGAGCTGCCGTCCATCATACAGAAAGCATTGTGTTCGCGAAAGCCGAGAAATGCGCTCCATCTCTTCAAGTTCTTCTCACAAGACCGGGACCAAGAGATCAACAGTCACAATTATCGCAGGTCGATCTTGGACATTGCTAATTGTGCCGCATCGCTAGGCCATGACGCACCGCTCGACTTAATCGAACTGCTCCTGGAGCATTTCCCACGGATCAGGGATGGAGATGACACTGCTGAGTACATGCTTCACACCGCTCTCGATGACATATGCTCGTAGGATCCCAGCTTTTCCTGCAGCGAGACGGCCAAACTTTGCCTGAGAAAGGTAGAGAAGCTTACGGGCGCCACCTTCGGCGCATCTCTCAGACCAGGCAGGACAGAATGATTGTCTTCCTCGTCTCCCATGGTGCCCCGGTCTCCGAGCCTTTCAACGAATATTGCTGTCCGCTGCTGCAAGGACTTAGGCACAGCGCTGTGAGCCCACTGGAGCCGGCACTGATGCGAAAGCAGTTCTCGAGCGCCTTGCGGCTGATGTACCACGGCGCAGATCGCTTGACGATCAGCTCACAGTATAAGGACGCGGTAGAGACATCGCTTCTGGACGAGACCAGGTGCAATCTATACTGGTTAAAGGACTCGATCGACTGGGCTGCGATGAGAGGTACCATCAAGACCGTGCAGCGGAGTCTGAGTTGGAGGACGATCTTCTCTCAGCCGGTCGACCGCAACTCGACGCCGCTTCTCTACCTACAGCAGCTCTGGGCCATGCGCTACTTGCTCCTCGGCGAGGGTATCGAGGACCTCAGAGGGGGGTATATTTACAGATGGGTAGCGAACACAAGGAAGTCGGCAAGGTCGAAGAAGGCGACAAGGAACCAAAAAGAGCCGTCTCGGATGCTCCCGCGTAAGTTGCGGGAGACACCGTCTGCTTGGGTTGTTTTCGGGAATTATGAAGAGTTATTTGCATCCTACCTAAAATCCTTAATTGCACCTTAGTAGGGTCGCCCAACTGCTAGCCAGCTGCAGCCATCACCGACCAGCGATTAGTATATGGCAAGGTGATCTTTGGCTCAACGAGGTAAAGGCACCGATAAATACTCGTCTTCCTGGGGGGTCGGAGGTATCACGGACGAGGATTCGGTCTTCAGAGGGGATGGATGGATGGATTGGTCGTTCCGAGTCCGCGTCCTCGTGAAGGATTTGAGGGATTGATCGTGACAGGTATTCGTTCTCAGGTAGTAAATATTGATTCGAGGGATTCACAGGGAAACGGATGGTAGTCGAGAGAATTGAGTTACGTCCAGGTGGCCAGGTAGATTATCTCAAGATAGTAAACAATGTGCCCGTATTCTTCCGCGCGTGCTTTCAATTTCCTGACAAAACTGGCCGTGGCTGGTGTAGTGGCGCACGACAGTGCTGTGGCTCAGGCCCAGGACGGACCGCTGTTGGCGAAAGAGGTGGGCGCTTCCCCACCACCAACCAGAGTTGGGCTGCTTCCGCTTCCGAGGCATCAGTCGCAGCCCAGTCACATCGTCTATCCGAATCACCTCTAGCAGATCTCATGCTGTTGTGAACGAAGTGGGACTAGTGTTGTCCACCACGATCATCAGCCGCCGTCCGGCACTCTGATTAATTACTTGCTGTACGATTGATCATGCGTGTATGAACTCAGGAGAGCCGGTACCAGTTCGAGAGATGGAGAGCGCGGACATGGCCACACCATTCGGCGCCTTGCCGTATGACCCAACCGTCAACACCACCGACGAGCCAGCTGCAAAACGCCTCAAGACACTGGCTTGTTTACGCTGCCGACGCAGAAAGCAGAAGTGTGACGACAGCCGGCCCTGTGCCAATTGCACGCGGTCCGGTGAGGACTGCCACGAAGTCGCCCCTAGATCGTTCAGCCATGTTAATGGGTACGTACGCTCTTGCTCATAAGCCCGGAGAAGCCTGCTGATCAGAGTACATAGAATACCCCCAACGCCACAAGTACCTCTCTCATGGATAGGCGACATTCCCTCTCTGGAGGAGCGAGTTTCTCGTTTGGAACGATCACTACGCCCCGATCAGTACAGCCTCGATAACCATGAAGTGGGTGATGGCTTTCACGCGCAAGCTCCTCAAGCGAGGGAGCTTGAATCGGCACGGAGCCTCGAAGAGCTCAAGTATGCCGGCGTCTCCAATGGGGCTTCAGACGCTCGAGCATTGACACGAAGCTCTCCTGCCATTGGATTGCTGGCCACTTTCGCCCGCTCCGAGGAGATGCAACCACCGACAAATTTAGGCGCAAGTCCCATGGGATCACGAGATTTAACACAAGCCAAGGCTATGACCCAGCAAGGAGGCGGCGATGAGCAATCAGGTATTCCAGTCATTGATGTTCCCACGGAGCAGATACTCTTCGATACATACTACACCAGAATTCACTGCCGCTACCCTTTCCTCCGGCTCGACCACTTCCGAGATCCGGCGGTCAGGCCGAGTGGCATCTGGGCCGGCTATTTCACCAACATGATATTTTCCATCGGACTACTCCTGGGCAAAAGCAGCGAGTTACACATGTCAACCGACAACCACCAAGCATTTTACCGTTTAGCTGTGACGAGATATCTCTCGCATGTCTTTGCTCAGCAAGATCGGCTTCTCCACATTCAAGCCTACTTGCTTCTGGCCATGCATGCGCTGTACTCCCCATCAACCGAGAGAATCATCTCGATAGCATCAGCGACAATGCGCTATTGCGTCATGTCACAACTTCACCTTGCCGGCGCAGAGCCCAGCCCAATGGATGTTAACACCAAGGTTCAGGTGCAAACCAGGCGAAGAGTTTTCTGGTCTGCGTATGCCCTGGACCGAGCCGTAGGGACTATGTTTGATCTTCCATTCTCGATCCCCGACTACCAGATCACAGTCAAACTCTACGCTAACATTGACGACGGCGATCTAGACGACAGATGCCAAGCAGCCTTTCCCGAGGATCCGCAAAGTCAACCAAGTCTCACAAGTGTCTCTGCGGCTCTCCACGTTGTATATTGCAGGCAGATACAATCGGAAATTCTGAATACCACTCTCCATCGCGACTTCGCCATCCAATTCGACCGCCTCTCGAATTGGCGGCTTAGGATCCTTGAGAAGCTCGATCGCTGGAGATCCCTCTGTCACCGGTACTCGGACTCCCACTCGCGGTCTTACACTAGCAGCGAATGGCTTCATATGATCTACAACTACAGTCTTGCCATGCTTTACCGGCCCACGAAGTCCAGTGTCAAGGGCCCTGCCGGTGATTGGACGGTCAAGTGCTGTGTACAGGCCTGCCTCATTTTCCGGAGGTTTCAGAAGGAAAACACCATAAGTGAAGCTTGGCTGGCCCTTTTGGCACAGTTCAAATGTGGTGTCGCCTTGCTGTACTGCTTCTTTGCCACACCGCCTCAACTACGGTCGGTCACCTACCACGGCCCTGATGTATCCGAAGCAGTAAGGGCCTGCAGCATCATCCTGTCTCTGCTTGCTGAGCGCTGGCCACAGTCAGCACCACTGAGAGACTGTTTCGACATATTGGCCAAGGAAATACCGCTGTCGGAGTTACCTGCCGAGCAGCCAGGAAGAATCCGACAAGACTCTGCTGATGCTCTCATATCATTGCTCACGCAACTTGAGACGATAGTCGTACACCGGGACACGCTGCGAATGATAAAAGAGATGGCGACTGAGCCATATCCACGACCAACCGATGCACGGGACGAACAGGAAGATCAAACTCACGATGAGGCGAATGCGGATGATGCGAACCACGGCATTGAAAACGATGCTGCCTCTCTGAAGACGACAATGACAGGGGACATCTTCCAGCCAATGACACCACACTTCTTCTTACCCGAACTCGTGGAGCCGGAGGACGGACTTGACTACGCAGCGCTTGGCTTTCCTGGTATATTTGATCCCGGTGTGCCATTTTGAGGTCATCTCTGGTCCATATAATAATGTCTAGGTTTATTGACGGATGCTACGACTCAACCCTCTAAGCACGCTCCGTGATTTCCTCCCCTGAGACCACGTCGAAGAATGCATCGGCAAGGTATCCTCCTCGCGAAGTTGGCTTGCCATACTTATCCGTCGCCATGCCCGCTATCGCCGGTGCCGCAACATCTCTCATATAACCGGCTATACCACCTTCCTTGAAGCTCTTCGCGAACTCTTTGGCGTGGAGACTGAGGCCTTGTGTGGCCCATATAGGCTGTACCTGCCACACCACGCCCATCTTCGCGATGTCTGAGTGGAACGACTCTACCTCCTCTTGGGTGTATCCGGCTTTGATGAAGTCATAGGCGCCGATGAAACCGAAAGCGAAGAGGCGACCGGGGAAGACTTTGCGAACCGACGTGTGGAAGTCGTGCATGTCTTTCTTGTCTGGATCTGATGTCAGTCCGGTACTCCATCACTTCCTACAAACGTTAACTCACTAGGTTTATCTGGGAATCGAATGTCAGCAGCTGTATCTATACTTGTACTTTGACAACGGATTTTACATACCTTGTCGGCTCCATGTTACATCTCCAAGGGGTGCAGCCAAGATGCACCGGTCGATGACAGCTTTGACGGACCACTGCCACATATACTGGCCCAGAGGCGTTCGAGGGAGCTCCCAGTCGAAAGTGACTTCTTGGCCGATAATCCGCTTCGCGATAGCCTTTCGCTCGTAGAGGGCGACGACCTTGTCTGCGACTTCTGAGCTGTACGCACTGTGCTGTTCTTCTGTCGCGACAGCTTTCACGGCATCGTCGAAGGTCATCAGACCAGCTGATGCTTTCCATTCAGCCTTGACCGTCAGATAGTCCTTTCCTTTCTCCCTGCCGTTGGATAATGCTTCGGTAAAAGCTGGTACTGATTTGGTGGCTCCGAGGACGTACGGGTGGTCGCGAGCATCTAGGACACTGTTCAGATGGGTCAGTATTACTGCTGTCTGGTCACGGACGACTCAATCTCAACTCACCTTGTGATGAACTCGGCATGATCGCTATCGCATCGGCACAGCAGCATTGTGTCAGCACTGCGCACTTTGTGTTAGCTCGTCGTCGTCAGTCATCCGGATTTGGTAAACGGACCCCATAATGTCAAATGCCATTCTGACCGTCGTCAACCGCGTGAGGTAGTCGCTCGTCGGGATGATCGTTCTCCCCTCGCCGTTCGTGAACTTCTTCAATCCCATAGCCAGATCGTCTATGTGGATCATCGCAACGCCGGCCTCGACGAAGCTTCTCACCATCTTCATGCAACCAGTCAGAGTACCAAAGCCCATGTCACCATCTGCGACGATTGGCAGCATGTAATCGATGCATTCGAGGGACTTGCGGTCCTCCTCGCTGTATCGCATTCGAAGCTGTGTCTGGCGCTGGTCGTGGAACAGCTGGGTGTTGAAGATGCGCTTGACGACGGACGGGACAAGGTCTGCCGGGTAGTCTGCGTGGTCCTCGCCGGGCCATGCTGCCTGGGATAGGCCGCAGAGGGCACCGGATACGTATATTGTCTGCACTGTTTTCCGTGAGCCCGAGGCCTCGCAGTCTTGTTGGGGACAAGCCGGTGAAACTCACTGTATTTGGCCATCTCCTTGGCGATCAGAGGCTCGGTTGTCCCGAAGGTCAACTCGTAGGTGCCGTTCGCATTGTGCTCGTTGAGCTGTCGCCAGAGCTTGCCTCCTTGTACGCTCGAGGGATACTCAATCTTGAAGCCGACGTTGCGCAATGCAGCGATCGACTTGGCAGTGTACGGCCTGGTGTCATCATCGTTAGTTTCTTGTATCATGCCAGACATTTGTTCTCTCTCCTACCTCTTGATGTGCTTTTGTCGATCCGTCTGCCACCACTCCTCGATCGAGCGCATCTCGGCGGCGAAGGCCTCGCTCTCTTCTTTCACGTCTGCCCACTTCGAAGTCATGGTTTACTCGGTTCAGATTGATACTGATGTTCAACAGAATGTCACGGACAGTACAAGCAAAGGTGAGGTTTGTTTACTTTCAGCGATCAACTTGTGGCTTTCTCTCTTTGTATCGTCCGGTCACGGAAGCTTGGTGCAATTCATCCACTTCCCAAGGCCACCTCGGCAAGTCTCCGGCGCGGTACCTCGACTAGCCCCTTGCGCGTCTCTGAATAGTGGCACGAGATCCCACCGTGGCTGATCGACCATAGAGATTAGCGGCACAGTGGGCTGATGCCGGTCATCCACCATGATAGCAGCCCGGGTCGGCTGCCCTCTCCCTAGCGTCCGACTCTAGGTCTGATAGACTCGTGGGGCCGATTCACAGGAGCATGCCCACTATCGCGGGACCCTACTTGCATGACGGAACGGATTCGCGCCCAATGGCGGCAATCGCGCCGCAGAAGCAGCGGGATGAAGATATCTTGCGAACTCTTGTGAGGAAACACTTGAGCTGTTGAAACTCTAGATTCTTTGTCAGCAGTGTCATCTACACAAGCATACTCACGATGGGTTCAATGCCACCCAGCACACCAGCAAAATCGCTGATCAACCTCCAGCTCGGATGGCCATCTCCAAGGCTCTTTGCGCGCGACGGACTGCTTAAAGGCGCCGGGGATATCCTCACGTCGGATAAGGAGACTGCGGCAGCTCTGATCTACGGACCACATATAGGGCACCCTCCTCTACGAACGAGCCTCGCGGAATGGCTGACGACCGTCTACTCCCCTAAAACTGGGCCAGTAAGCCAGGATGGCATTGCGATCACAAACGGCGCTTCTGGAAACCTCGCCAATGTGCTACAGAGGTTCACCGATCCACTCTACACTCGGAAGGTCTTTATGGTCGAACCGACATACTTCCTCGCATGTCCGATCTTTGAAGACAACGGCTTGCAGAGGAAGCTGCGCGGAGTCCCAGAGAACGCCGAAGGACTGGACATCGACTTTCTCCGGCGCGCGCTCGAGGCGACCGAGACAGCAGCAGTGGCTGCAGCGAAGTCGAGCGGCCGTTCCGATGAGCCGACTGTGAAGAACGGTGCCACATATCCCAAGATTTACAAATACGTCATATACTGCGTACCGACCTTCGCGAACCCCAGCGGGAAGACCTTCCCCATGCAAACACGCGAGAAGCTGGTATCTCTGGCCCGAGAGTACGACGCGCTCGTTGTGTCTGACGACGTCTACGACTTCCTGCACTGGCCCGAAGACCCCAAGGCACCCCACGACCCAAACGCCGCAGCACCGCCGCGTCTGGTCGACGTAGACCGCGCGATGCCGGGCTACAGAAAATGGGGAAACACATTGAGCAACGGTTCGTTCTCGAAGCTGATAGGACCCGGCGTGAGAGTGGGCTGGGCGGACTGCGCGCCAGCCCTCGCCCGGGAACTGGCTGAGGTGTAAGTCATTACCCCTTATCGGCAACTTCCAGGCCAACGTAACTGACAACAGAATTGCAACGACGCAGCGGCTCCTCGAGTTCCGGCGGAGCGCCGTCACATCTCACATCTACGTTCGTCGACAAGATGCTCCGCAGCAACTACATGCAGGACTTCATCCGCTCCACGCTGGTGCCGACGTACCGCGCGCGGTACTACGTGCTCATGGGCGCCATCAAGGAGCTCCTCGTGCCGCTGGGCGTGACGGTCGAGGTCAACAAGCCGACGGACGTGACGTCGGAGATCGGCGGGGGGTTCTTCACGTACTTGCGTTTGCCGGACGACATCCCCGCCGCGAAGACGGTCGCGGCGTTCGCGCTGAAGGAGTACGCGTTGCGCATCGCGTTCGGACACATGTTCACGGTCACGGGCGATGCGGATAGCTTGGCGAGGGCCGAGGCGGATGGCGGGTTCTCGAGGTGCGTCAGGTTGTGCTGGGCTTGGCATGAGGAGGGGGAGATACGTGAGGGTGTTGAGAGGCTCGCGGCGGCAGTAAGAGATGTGAGGGATAGGGTAGCGAGGGGGGAGGATGTTGGGAGTCAGCTTTCTATTGGAATCAGATAGGGTACTACATAAATGTGTTGAGTAGCGATGGAAACGAAGAGGAATTTACAAGCAACGACATAGGCTTTCGGTAGACATTTCACTATGCTCATGATAGTGAAGCGGGAGCTGTCAAGCCTTCGTTCTGTTATTCCCAACATAAGTATGTGTCCGGCTAAAGTGTACAAAGAGTTGAACATGTTAACCTATGTATGTACTTGGCAGCTGGCATATCATCGTCGCATTCAATCCAGAATCTCTCATCCTACGAAGTATTCGAGATTAATCTCATTTAATTCGATGAGCGACGAAAACAACAGCCGCGACAACATCCCAAATCCCAATACCGTAGTCGGACATCACACGACTCTTCCACCCTTTCCCCTATCCAGCCCTATCAGTAACAATCCTAGCCCACGAAAAATTACGTGTACCACCATCGCAACGCGGCTCCTACACTTGCGTACCGTATCAAGCATTCCCCACACCCGGCTTGGCCCCTAACCTCCTGGCTCCATCTATCATCCTCCGTCGGCCGCTAGGCATCTCCACCCCGATGAGATAGTAGTATTCTCCGCCGCGAATGACTAGGGAGGTAGGGAGGCTAGGCAATCAGGCCACCAGACCACGATGATAGGCGTCGCACGCGTCGGCGGGCGCGCGGCAGAGAAGCAATATTGGGAACTTGATTACAGGGCAGAGGCGGGCGGAGTATCGGTCGGCTAGGATACGCATGGTTCTTTCTGGCTGGCATGGTTTGTGCCCAAGGCCCCAAGAACCATATTGGAAGAACACCGCTATGCGTCCCAGGCCCTCGGTTCGATGACAGCTGACCAGGCCGTACATAGCCCGAGGATTCTGATAACCCTGACCTTGGCCTTGAGCATCGCAGTCACTCGCCCCGAATCACTTATCAGGGGTTATCGGTAGGGAGATCCCCTACTGGCCTGGCGAGACTTTGCTGGCTGGCATATATACTTGGCCCCTGAGCTCCATCGTCGAGCTGCAAGTTGATGTGTCTTCAGCAGGTCGTGCGAATTGTCAGTCAGCCTTGTGAATTCACAAGCTCATACCATCCCTCATCTCCTTATACCCTATATATATCATACCGACGATACCACCCAGTCTTGATCCCCCACATATCACTATCACTATCACTTCAACCCTATCCTACCCTCTGGGAACTACCCCAAGTCACCACCGCCACCATGGCCGACATCCAACCGCCCATCGCGCCCATCTCCAGCCCCAGCATGGTCGACTCAGGAGCCGGAGGCCTCCCCAAAAAGAGCGGCTTAACAGCCTACGCCGCCAGCCCCAACGCCGACGTCGCCGCGGCCTATACGTCCTATTTCGACAGCTCAGAGTCCAACAGCGGCTACTCGCGAGCCGAGGAGCGCGCGCTGCGCTGGAAGCTCGACCGCCGCCTCATCCCGATCCTGTGGTTCAACATCATCATCGGCGCCACCGACAAGGTTTCCACCAGCACCGGCGCGCTGTACGGCATGCGCGAGGACACCGGCTCCACGGGGAATAAGTACAGCTGGCTCGGCTCGGCGTTTTATTTTGGGTATTTGTTCTGGTGTTTCCCGGCGGCGGGGCTGCTGCAGAAGTTGCCGATGGCGAAGTTTATGTGTGGAACTATTTTCTGTGAGTTTGCCTTCGATGCTGTGCTTTTCGCGATGTTCGAGTTGGCCTGTTGGTCCGGGTGTGATAGGTCGTGATGCTCAGAGTTGTTTTTGGAGGAGTCTGCTAACCGAGAGGGCGTGAACAGTATGGGGTATCATCCTCATTTCGACGGCCTACGTCCACAATTTCCCGACCATGGTCGCCCTGAGAGTCATCCTTGGTATTCTGGAGGCACCCATCATTCCTGGCGGTTACCTGATGCTTTCCATGTGGTACACGCGGAAGTGAGATTACCCACGTGATGATAGCTTCAAAACTCATTCACTGACACGTCAAATCAGTGAGCAGGCACTCCGCTCCGGCCTCATGTACACGAACCTGTCCGTCATCTTGTCCGGACCTATCGGCTACGGGTAAGCAAGCCCCTTTTCTTTCACCCCTCAGCCACAAGACTACACCATCACAGCAAACTGACAACCAACCCAACCAGAATCGGAGCCATCTCCGGCGACGGCAAGTGGCGCTGGTACTTCATCATCCTGGGCTCGATATCCCTAGTGTATTCCGTCGTCCTCGGCATCTTCCTGCCGGACAACCTCCCCCGGGCCAAGTTCCTCAACGAGCGCGAGAAGGCCATCACGGTCGAGCGCCTGCGCGGCGACCAGACGGGCATCGAGAACAAGATGTTCAAGCGCGAGCAGATGATCGAGGCCTTCACGGACCCCAAGACCTGGCTCATGTTCGCCTTCAACATCTTCTGCAGCATTCCCAACGGCGGGCTTTCCAGTAAAGTCCCACCCGACCTGTTCATTGAGTACCTTCACATGACTCAATGGAGAACTGTCTCGATGTAAAAGGGAGAGAGAATCGGAAAGCGACTGACAATACCCCCCGCAGACTTCCAATCCCTCATCATCAAAGGCCTAGGCTTCAGCTCGCGGCGCGCGCTCCTGCTCTCGATGCCCGAGGGCGGCGTCGCCACGGCGTCGGCGTACCTGTGCAACGGCGGCGTGTGGTACCTGACGCGCCGGTACCCCAAGCTGCACTGCCGCGTAGGCATCATCATCGCGGGCGAGGTCGTCGGCATGGTCGCGTCCGTGTTCCTCTACACGCTGCCGTTCGAGAACACGCACGGCCGCCTCGCGGCGTTGTGGATGGCCAAGTTCTTCCTCGGTCCCTATATCGTCATGTTGGCGCTCAACGTCGCCAACATCGCCGGCCACACGAAGAAGGTAACCGTGCAGGCCATTGTCTTTATTGCATATTGTGGTAAGTCGGCCTTTTTCTTGTGGAAGATGCTTGGTTTGAGTGAGCGGGATGTAAGATGCTGACTGAGGTCGTGCTTTCGCAGTTTCGAACATTATCGCGCCCCAGTTCTTCAGGGCAGACCAGGCGCCGCTGTACCCATTGGGGATGGGATCCATCTTGGGGAGCTACGTGCTCTCCATCATCACCATCGCCCTGTACGGGCTGTACTGCTGGTGGGAGAACTGCAGACGCGACCGCGTCGACGACACGAGGGGCGAGCGTGTGCATGAGGACACCGACTTCAAAGATCTGACGGATCGGGAGAACGTACATTTTAGATATGTGTGGTAATTTCGGTACCCCAGGATTAGTTTAGTTCGAGAGACAGGTACGGGCCAAGATCAGTCGGACCCTAACAAATCTTCCTACACTCGTATCGGTGTATCAAGCAATTAGCTTAATAAATTTCAACCCGCCCCCCCCCCCCCCCCCCCCCCCCCCCCCCAAAAAAAAAAGCGCCTGCGCCGTCCCTACGCCACCATCGTTGTCTCTGAGCCCAAAGTAAGCATGCCTCTTTGATGAATGTGAAGCGTGAAACCCCAATATGCGCCGATCTGTTCCGAGTGCTCATACATACAGCTCAGGAAACGCCGCTCTCCCTGCCCTATCGTACATGCCCGTGAAAGTAGGCTGCCCGAAGAAATGAACATGGTCGGCCACTCGGTCAACCCAGACCATCTTGGGCATGTTCGCCGCGGGGTTGTTGTTGAGAGTCGACGACACCATGATAGGGGTGAGCCTCTCCAGGACGGCCTGGCGAGCTTCGCCGTTGACGTGAGAGAGAGCCATCGCAGGGACGTGGCGGTCGTTGACGTACATGCCCCACGGCGGGTTTGTGAAGGTCACCCCCGGCGGCATTAAGCCAAGTTCGATCCAGGGCGACACGCTCTTCACCTCCAGTGCCCAGGAGCGTGAGACGGAGGTCTGGCCGGGCAAGGTGGAGAGAACGTTCTGCCAGATTCGAAGCCTGATTTTCTCGGGTAGGTCGTTGAAGCCAGTTCTGACAAGGGGCTGCTCTTCTATAATGCGGGGGTCAATGACGCTGTGGGGTTGCTTCCCTGTCACTTGGTCGTCCATAACGCTGTCGTCTACCGACACTAGGGACTCTTCGTGGGCGAAGAAGTTGCGGGCCTGCTGGATGAGCTCGGCACTAGCACCTGGGTCCTGGTCCTCTTCTTCCCATTCTTGGCCAGATGGTGATGGGAGCTCTTTGTCTTTTGCCGTGGTCGCTGTTGATTGAGTTAGACTCCGTATTGGCGAGCAGGAGTGATGTTGTTGGCTTGTGTCGAGCACCAAGTGTTTCATGTGTAATTGTGAAGATCTTGGTGAAAGTGGGACAACTCACGCCTATATCCCTTTCTCGGACGGCCGGTCCGTTTGCCGATCTGAAAGGTCTTTGCGCGCACAGCAGTCCGGATCTGGCTCTCGGAGTAGCCCGTGACCTCTTGGATGCGGCGCTTGGTCATGCACGCATCATAGTAAAGAGTTCGGACGCGGAAGCGCTCCAGCTCGGTGAGGTGCTTGGTGTGGACGCCCTTTGGACGGACGGCCCAGGCCACCGGGGGCGGTCGCGTCGGGCCCGGCGGCAAGTTCCGCTCCGACTCGGGCCCCGGTCCCAGCTGTGGCTCGGGTCCCAGCCGTAGCTCGGGAGCTGGGAATGCAGCCATTCTGGCATCTCACTTTGGCAGACAGACGGACAGACTCTGGTGGCGAATGTGTGATGATGATGGGGAGAGAGGAGGGGAAAGTTTTCCTGAAACGGCTGGTCGCAGATGCCGCCCCCGTGTTTTCTCGCGCCTGCTGTCTAGCATTGTGACAGGGCTGGCTAGCCCCTTCGGGCATGGTGCCGCAGGTAACGTGATCCGCTTGTACTTGATATGGGTGCAAAACTTCAAGGGGCCCGCCCTCCACGGGTATATCAATGCGACGCTGGCCTCTGAAGACTGAAGCGCGACTTCCCTCCTGAAGTGATGCCATTTTCTGGAGATGGTCCGTGTGCTTCACCACAAACTACCGGATATGGTCCAGCTGTCTACGAGAATTACATCGTGTAAGCCAGCACACCGCGTGAACGAGTTTCATAATAGCCGCGACGGCTATGTTACGGGTGGAATTCTCTTAGAAGGAAACTCTACTTCAAAGTCTTAACATCGTACTCAACCGCTTTAGGTGCCGATAGGGTACTCGACGGCTATACGTAGTTTCATATGAATCAAGTCTTCCCATTGACCCCTTCCTTGCCTATAAGCTTAGCCACGTCACAGTACATTATGCTTGCTATTTCATTTCCCCAAGGGTTATGGTACCCTGACCCTAACCCTAACCCTAAGTCACATCCGAATAGGGACCTTAACTCATTACTTCCTGGTCCCCAGCGTCAATACTTCTACCACGAAGAAGAACTTATCCTGCACATCGCAACTTACTTCGTGGTTTGGAGCGTGGACCACAGGAAGTCCGAAGGTCGTCAAGAACAAAGCCCGCGTTCAAGTTCTGCCACTGGCCAACCACTTATCTCTATGTCAAACCGCCAAATGGCCAGTTAGTATAAGTCATGACAGCAAACAAGCAAAGAGCCAGAGATACTGCCGTCCAAACTGTGTGAAAGCTGGTAAATCAATGATATATCTACCCCGCAAGACCCGTGAAAGATGGGCGTGCTGTGTTTAGAGGTTGTATACAAAGTCCGCAACAGATATTTGCGAGCTTTTGTAAGTTTACCTTTACAAAGTAGTAATTTCATTGGCGTAGCTTTTATGTCTACTTCTAGTCAACCACTTCCGTAGCAGAAACAACTCGTGAACCCAATCCCGTATCCTTATAGTGGTCTAGTAGTCAGATGAAGTAGGGGTGCAAATGGATGCCTGTCCAGCCCCTCTGGTTCCATAGTAACGGGCTAGACCTGAGGCAAGTACACTGAGCACAGGTACTAGCCTTATTGCAACTTTCTTTATTTCCAACTCCTCCCAACTTCTTTTCTCCAGGCTTTGCATCCGCGCCCTTTCACACGACTTTTCGACCTCGCCCATCTTGTCACTGCCTCAATCGAGCTTTGAAATCCCTCCCAGTCTATGCATTGAACCACAGAATCACCATCAACAACACTGGCCATAGCAAGATGGCTTCCGCACCACGAGAATTTCTCCCAGTCGTCCTGGGCCACGGCTGCTTCATGGTCGATCGATCAGGCCGCGTCAAGCGAGACAGCAAGGGACAAATCTTGTACATCATCCCGATCCACAACGACTTCCTGAAGATGGCTCCCAGTCTGGCAGCTCGCCAGTACTGGCCGAGAGGCACTGCAAAACAGGTGCCCCGCAAGACCTCAGTTGTCCTCCTCATCCCGACCATCAACACTGCCTGTAACGACCAGCGCGTAGTCACTAAGGTTGGCTACACCATGTTCGACAGGGCTTCGGTCTACCACAGAATCGACAAGACAGTGGGCGGACCGCGAAAGCCGCTTGCTGGTTGCTTGCCGCCGGGCATTCGAGGGGAAAACATATTCAAATTCGGCACACTCGACACTATATCGTGTCAGACACTGCCCATCACCACCCGGCAACCTGCTCGTCCCCCCGACACACCGCCCAGCCCTACGCCTTCGCCTTCCGCAAGTCTCAGTTCGTCGACCGAGGAAGAATCCGAGGCCTGCTGGCGGACATCTTCCAGCGCGCTGCGCGAGCCTGTCGAGTCCGAGCTCGCCGCGTCTGAGCTCATCAAGTGTGAGCCCACGGAGTCTGAGACCGCCCAGCGCAAGCGAAACATTCGTGAGGCTGAGCTGAATGAGCAGTATTGTGTGCTGGTCGAGAAGCGGCTCAGGCCCGACGACGAATAGTCATAGGATCCTAGAGTCTCCAATACAGAGTCTCGAATACAGAGTCTCCGGCACAGAGTCTCCGGTACAGAGTCCCCGATCATCTACAGAGACTCTTCGACAAGGTTCCAGACCTCTACACACCTGCCACGGACTCAGGGAGGCCGCCATCCAACGCGGACAACGCCGTGCCTTTGTCCTTGTTGGCTGGGGCATTCCCAACCACCACCACGCGATCCACCATACGGAGTGGTAAAAGAACGGCCGATTCCTCGAGCATTGGGAGGTGCGATACCAGCCCCTCATCAGGGCCCGCTTCCAGACCAAGCCGCCGCAATTTCTCACCGTCTTAGACGCACTCGGCGTCCGACACCACGTCAACGGCATCGTGTCACAGTCCGACTGCTAGAAGACTCTAGAAATGACTTTATTAATATACGTAAAGAAGAAAAAGAAATATAAAGCTATTTAAAAAAAAAGGTATATATAAAGGTTAACCCGTAGGGCTATGAGGTTATTATTTAATGTTATAATAATACCCCCTTTGTTAGAACAGGCTTGAACGATCAATCATAATACTCGAGTATTGGGTCAAGGTCATGATGTTGCTGATGGTTGGATTGAGAGGTCTAGCTGGACCTGAAGGTCTGGCTGAGTGACCTCGCAACCCGGTATTTAATGTCTTATCTAATCATACATGTGGGTCCTGGTATAGGTGGTTTGCAGGCTGGTGTCACGATCCGTAAATGTATTGCAAGGATACAGGGACCCTTATTAACTATTGACGTATAACGAACTCTGGTTGAAGGAAAAGAAAGATCTGGAGATGCACCCGAATTGGTGGGCAGCTAGATTGTTACAAACCAACAAACAGTGCGGCCTGATAACAGGCCCAGAGGAGACGATTGGAAACAGGTTGGCCAGGGAGTGGGGTGCCGACCAGTGGAGAAATCGGAGCAACGGAGCAACGGTACACAGATCACGTGACCAGCAGAACCTGGGTCACGTGACTAAGAATTTGGATCACTGGATCACCATGGTGAGCCACCTAATCAGTGAAGGAGAGATTGGATATTGTTGAATGGGAGCCGGAAATAGACGCCGGAAGATCTCCAGTGGGGCAGACGCACAGGGCATCTGACCCACCAAGACAGATGATCAATCTCTGTACGCTGAAGAAGCAGAGAAGGACAAGCACAACAACAGAACACACTTGACAACCTGAATAATCTGAACTCGCTTGCATCTGACAGATATATAAGGATGGATATTTCCTAGCTAGATAGATAGACAGTCTCTACCTCAGTGATCAATCTAAGCATCTTAGCCAACCCTGAGGTGGGAGAAATCTCCTGACGACTCGACTATTCAGTGATCCCTGTCACGGCGAGGGTACTGAGGGTTGGGACATGGCCGGCAGCAAGCAGCTATTACTCTATTGACGAGAATATCAAGACTAGAGAGGAAAGGAAGAGAGAGAGAGATAGGTACAGTGGGAGGTTGCCCCTTTAAGGGGATCCTCTGGTCAGATCCTTCCCTTATTAGGAAGTATCCACTTGTCATGTGGAAAGGTCTGTGCAGGTCGTCACAATCCCCCGGATCAGACCAAGCCCCAGCATATGAGTGTCTTCTAGTTGACAGAAGCCTCTATCTTCCTTTGTGTTGACTTACCTCAGAATATAAACCCTATAGAACCCTTTAGCCTTATAGGTTAGACGGCTCGTCACATAGATGTGGGCAGTCGTCCCCCACCAGACCCACCAGGGCATGGATCAACCTATCGTCCGATCAGTCACGTGCTCAGTCACGTGACCCGGGGACCATGGGGACCATCGCTAGACCTGATGGATGGTGGAACCATCACAGCTGGAATCGCATGGATCCAACATATATATAATAAATAACTGTTGGAACAGGCTTGAACAATCAATCATAATACTCGAGTATGGTGTCAAGGTCATGATGTTGCTGATGGTTGGATTGAGAGGAATCTAGCTGGACTCGAAGGTCTGGCCAAGTGCCCTCTCAATCCACTATCTTATCTTATCTAATCATACATGTGGGTCCTGGTATAGATGGTTTGCAGTCTGGAATCGCATGGATCCAACAATAACCTTTTTATAATACTTTATATAATTTAATTAATAATTTAATTCAATTTCTCTTTAAAAACTACGTATTTTATACATACTGACCTTTTTAATATCTTTAATATTGGTTGTAATACGGCTTGTTTGTTGAAAAGCCCGTTTTTAAAAAAGTCGGGAGGTGTCAGATTTGAGCTAATCGTGAGAGTGAAGTGTGTGTGTGTATTCCCCGTCTCTCTAGAGTGTCCTTGTGCGACCGTGGCTGTTTTGTGCCAGAGGGGGCTGGATCGGGACGGAACAACTAGGTTCCGTTGTCTACCTGTCAAGGTGCCTTCTAGGCGTACCTTTAATCCAACAGGAGGTAACAGCGATTTGAAGTGGGTCACTGACACTCGGCTTGAGAACGACAGTACTGATTTTGGGTTTGTGGACGGAAGTTCTACGAATATGCAAGGGGATGGCCGGTCGCACAGAGGCTCGCTATGGACGGATGTACTTTGAGAGGTATTCGGGAGTACACGTGACTTCCTCAGGCCAACGGCCCATGCCCCGAGTCACTTACACATACTTTCCTTCCAATCTACCATTGCAGTCAGAGCGTTTTTTCCCTTCCGGTTCTCGATGCCTTGACAATACTGACCTCGAAGTCTGGCTACTGAATGCCTTCTTGCTGAACATTGGCTTTGTCTTGGCTTTGTCCTGTCTTGTTCGTATGATTTAGTTGATTCTCTGATTCATTCTGCTCCAATCATCCCGTATTCATGGTTAGTCATCTATGGTGCACTGACAAGAGGAATCACTCCGACGCTCGAGAACAAAGGTTGTCCAGAGGCTATTGTCAACTCTTAGACTCAGAGCCGATGACACGAGACCTTATGCTATATCTATCAGTTGAGTGGCTCTATCCTGCTCCTGTTTGTCTTTACTTTGTAACTAACATTTTCCTTTATTAACCCTACGCCAAAGCGCGGCAACATATAATTACACGTGCAGCTCAAGCGGATATAGTTTTCAATTATATACTACTGGTGAATGACCCTGGTGCTAATTCTTAACGTTATGTGAAAGCTACTAACGTGTTAACAGCCTAAGCTTCCTTATATATAAGCATTATTGCAAGTAACGCCCTCGCTTGGGTATTGCAGTCGGACCTGCGTAGGAGTGTCCGGACACGACGTGGCGATGATTTATGACGACTACATGTATTTAATTGGTTGTCAATCCTTCCATGACATACAGACCTTCGGCCGATTCGTTGCTGACACCACGACAGGCATCGACGGAGTCCTCTTCTGGATTGACGATCGAATCGAACACCTCCACCCCGCCTGGGTACGCCCACAAGCTGTTGCTACAGACAAATCGACCTCTCTCAGAGCCGAACTCACCTGCCTGGCGGTGATGCTGGGCTTTCTGGAAGCCCTCGCAGGGCGCACTTTCGAACGGAGTGGAGACATGGAGTTCGACGACCGTGTCGTGGATCTGCTTGGGATCATCCATCTGCTTCAGGAGGAATTGCAGATCATGTTGGACATGTCAGTGTCGTGCTGACTGGGTTCTTACTTGTGGTATGTACCCTGGCTCGCGTTGCGCCTAATGTTGCTGTCGACGGTCACGCCTATAATATAGTATGCTTAGTGCTGAGCTTTTGATATATGTACCAGAAGCTATAAATATATTCACAGTATTGTTATCGTGAGCATATACCTGAAAGGCTTGACGGGAAATGGTTGGTTGACACGATCATTCGCTACCATTGACACAAGATGTTGTATCTAATACCTTGGTTCCCACGATTAGACTGTACGATACTGAGCAAACTTGAGTGTTATACCATTACAAACACAGACCGTTGGACACTTGAGAGATTTCGTTGCAGAGAATATAGCCAAGCGTCTCTCAACACGAAACGTCTAATTGGGGCATATGCCTTTGTACCATTGATGGCCCTCGTCATATTCTCTGTCTGGCTGTCACAACTCTTTCCACTGGCTTGAAGTGCACTGGAACTCAGAAAGCCATAGTTGTGTATGTTCTTTGGTATGGTATGTCCGAGGTTCATGTCAATTTCTCTTGCTTTTCCTGCTTGGACGTCAAATTCTCCTAACCTCCTTTTGGCTCTCTGGCCAAAGCGAGGTTTACATGCCTAAGGTCACTTACAGGTAAATGGTAAATTCTATTCCACTTCACTTCCAGCATACCAAGTTCGTCCATCTCTACAACCCACCGCCGTCTCTGAAACTCTGATTTAAGAATATTGCACCTCCACTTCCGCACAACCTCTTGCCATCCGTGAAAATCCGAACAGCTTTTGCATCGCCGCTGAGAATCCAGAACATGTCCGAGAACCAGAACAATGGCTCGCGCCGCTTCCGGCCCGCCATCGAGAACTTGCGCAACTCCCGGGACGTAAACCGGCAGGTCACCATCGTCAACTGGGTGAACGAAATCATGAGAGACCAGCGACAGATCCGCGAATGGATCCAGCGCCTTCAGGAGGGTGTAGACGTGATTGAGGAGATCTCAGACGAGAATAGCGAGGACATCCAGGAGTTGCGACTAGGCCAAAACGACATCAAGATGCTGGAAGAATATGCTGCCGATATGGTGCGTACGAAATCTATGTCTGGTTGACATCCTACCTGTTCTTTCTGAATGACTGTATCTTATCCTTACGGTAATAAGCAACTGACACTTTCTCATGCAGAAGGAAGTCGGAGACTCCGCCGACGCGCTTTTACAAGCCCGTATCCTGGCCGAGAATATGGAGGAGCACCTTCTTAAGTTGAAGGCGGACGTCGAGGAACTCAAGAGTCAAGTCCATCAAGTCGATCAGACCCTTCTCATCCCCTTAGACTACATCAGCTCTGACGCATTGTACAGGAATCAGGGGAAGGAAAGTTCCTCTGGGCGGTTATCGCAGTGTTTATTGCGTCTTTACTGGTTGGAAGACTCCTGGGTGGAACGCATCAGACCTCCTCCTGATGGCTGAGAATGTGGGAGCGCCCTGTGGTGCCGGACTCACGAAGGTTTCCAGGGGCAAGGGGGCGAGCGCCTGCACAGCATGCTACCAATAGCTGAGCCATAGCACCCAAGTAACGTAGCGTGCGGATGGAATATATTTATATGATCACCTGAAATAAGCAAGTCCTAGCTTGCAGCCACCTGAATAACCACTGGATTGCTGCTTATTCCGCTGAAGCGAAGCACTGGACAACCTGTTTACCTACTTCAGGCTCGTAGTAGACCAGGTAATGTATTAGTCCCATAGCACTTAGAAGAGTTCAATTTGTAGCACAATATAATCATTGCAGAGATTTGAGAACTCGTTCTGTCTGGCGTTGTGCTCAGGCACCTGAGGACCGAGGTGGAAGATAGTACGAAAAGGGGCCCACGGATATGGAAACACAGCTGGCTGCCAGGTGGAGCCAGCTGCTCAGGCCTGCAGTAGGACTGTGCTCAAGCTTCAAAATTTTGAGCTTGCCCAGAAGCCAGCCACTTTCGCCTTGCAGCGGCACCGCCATTGCACATCATATTTGTCGCACGATTTCCCTGTCAACTAAGCAGGGCGAAGCTGCGAGCGAAAAGCCGCAAAGCCTGCATACTCACGGTTTCTCCGCACAGTATGGAGAAGAAATTGTCCTCCCCCGACCGAAAGCATCGATCTCGCGACGGTAGCAGGGACGATTACGAACGCGACAAGCGCAACCGAGCCTCCCACCGCGACGCACATTCGAGACACCAGGACAGGAAGAGATCGCGATCTCGAGACCATTCGAGAGAGCGGAAGCGACACAGACGTTCTCGATCCCCAGACGATTCGCGCCGGCGACGATCGCGCTCTCGAGACCGCGAGCGAGACAGCGAAAGGGCGCACAGAAGCAGACGACGTTCACGAGACCATGATGACAAACACAGCGATCGAGCCTCACACCGTCGTCGGGCGCGAGACGACGCCCACGACGACCAAGACAGGGGTGGCAAACAAATCGTGAAGCGCAGCGGACCTCTTCCCTCGCAAGACGTGTCCTTCGCCCTGACCACGGGGGAGGAGGCCCCCAAGCCCAAGGAGAAGCCCAATTTTGGGAACACGGGCTCTTTGGCGGCTGCCTCCAATGCGGTTACTCAAGCAGATGGTTCCACCATCGTCCTCAAGTACCATGAGCCGCCGGAAGCTCGAAAGCCGGCGCCAAAGGACCAGTGGAAGCTGTTTGTGTTCAAGGGAGACGAGATCATCGACACGGTCCCGCTCAGCAGTCGCAGCTGTTGGTTGGTTGGCAGAGAACTGGCTGTGGTAGACATGGCGGCCGAACACCCCAGCATAAGTAAACAGCACGCGGTCATCCAGTTTCGCTACCTCGAGAAACGCAACGAGTATGGCGACAAGATTGGGAAGGTCAAGCCCTACCTCATCGACCTCGAAAGCGCCAATGGGACCATGATCAACTCCAAGAAGGTGCCCGAGAGCCGGTACCTCGAACTAAGAGACAAGGATATGATTCAGTTTGGTCAGAGCACTAGGGAATATGTGCTGATGCTCGCACCGAAAGACTGAAGCTGAGGCATCGTTTTCTAGACACCAGCTGGACTGGATCTAAGCCACCATTACTACGTCATATATCACAGAACGGTCTATGATATCGTGCGCGCGGTCCAGGATCAGGCAGGGGAATAGGGCCTCGGTCCAGAAGTTCGGCACCAAGGTCACCAACATGAAGATGGGCACTTCCCTTTGAACCGTCAGATGCGGCTCGACCTCATGGACGTCTCGCACTCGCAAATGTGGTCTCGACTTCGGCTTCCACCAACATTCGTATTCACAAGTAATGTGGCAACACTCGATGTTGGCCTTCGGTAACCGCCCTGGTTCAGAGTCTCGTGCGACCCAGCCTTTCCCAGTACAGCGGACGTAAGGAGAAGTTTGTTCCAGGCCCCAGGCAAAACGGAATGCGCATACGAGGCCTGACCTGAAACACTGCCCCGCTGACTCATACCGACGTTAGCCTCGTCTTCTCGCCCGGATACCTCCCGGAATAACTTGCCAATCTGTCGGGAAGCCTGTGACTTTCAATCGCTCACGTATCTGGGATGGTGATGTTTTTCTCCGGGGTATGCCAAGCGGTGATACTGTACACTGTTGGACACCAGTGACGTTCCACAGTGCTTCCCCATACTCGTCGTGTGATGGGATCGCTTAGGGCGAGAAGTCCCTGCAGATGCCCGGGGAATGGTGCGGTAGGGCGTGGTGGATGTGTAGCTTGTGACGAACAGACGGCAACCATTGGCCAGGCGCTCTCCCTGCTCTAACCGCCGGGTCGACGTCTTGCTTTATTTCGATGTCATCCACACCACCACATGGATGACTGCGACCACGTTCTGTCCTGCGATGGATGGGCTTCGGGGAACATTCCGGTCACTTTCGTAATCCAAGTCAAGCGAGAATACCTTTCTTGTCATATGAGAGCATCGTGTTGTTGGTCGTTGGGTGGCGACTCGATCTGATCTGGCAGATCATGTTAAGCGCGTAAGGGAGGAGGGAAGAGGCCTGGAGCGTGCTCGATGGCACCTGAATGAGTGGAATAGAGGTGGCCGGAGGTAACCGGAGGTAGCCCGGAAGCTATCAAACCCGTTCCAAGTCATGATCAAGTATGGGAGAAACGATAAACGAATCGATGCTATACAGATCATCAGTTGAAGCTTCTATGCGTTTGTTCCTGACTGCGCCGTAGGTACACTTCGATGCTACAGGCTACGAGCCTACGGCAGCGCGCCACACGCGGCTACGCCGCCAGGGGCCGCGATGGTCAGCGAACGGGGGTTTCCCGGCATTCCTCCCGCTGTGCATGACGCTATGCGGGCTGACGCGTCAGGCATCGAACCCCTATTAACGAATGATTCGAAGAATTCTCGAGGTCAGCTTCGGGTGTCAGTTCATGCAAATATAATCTCTAGGCACATATCTGCTTGATCTGCTCTGCCAGCCAGAACAGAATGAGCAACTCGGTATGATTAGAGTTAAGCTCGCCCTAATGCTGTGCCATAGCTGTGGTCGTGGAACAGTCAGCGTCCCAGTCACTGCAGCGCTTGGCCTAGCTGCCGGCGGCGAGGAAAAGCTTATTACCTACCCTGGCAAGTCGTCCATTCATGAATGGAATGACTGGAATCTAGACTACATCGAGGTTACCAACGACCAACCATCACCCAATATCGCCCCCTTTCGGCAATGTTAGGAGAATCAAGCTTCGGTACCTGTTCTGATATATGATATCTGATATCCCAGAGCTAAGAATAGGCAGTCACTAAAAACACCAAGGGGATGGATAGCAGCGGCTAGAATTCATGATCAGATTCCAATGTTGATTGACCGTCGCCGACATCTAACACAATCGAAGCCTCTTCGGCTAATGTCTCGGATCACCCTTCACACTTCACGTCACTAAGTTTAGTGACAGGTCGAATGCGAATATACCAGGTATGCACACCATACTCTCTATCGTCTGCACCATCACCAACAGTCAGGAACCTGACCATGGTATTGGCTCCCATAATGAGAGTGCAGGTGGTGTGCATCTCGGCATTTCTTCACATTATCTTACCACCCACCCCACCCCACCACCTTCATCAGGTATGGCGAGTGGGCCTCTGCCTCTGTGAGACACCCCGGATCAGAGTCATCCTTGCGCCTCTCCCGTGCCAGTCTGTCAGAGCAGGAGATAATACTTCGATAAACAAATCAACAAATCTTGGACTATTCCTGGTATAGGTGGCCAGGGTGGGTGGCCTCAAGCATTAGGGGGATGGGTGACTAGGCCGAATGCCGCCTAGGTCGCTGCCTTGAAGGGGCTCAGCTGTCCCGCGGGCCCTCCATCACCAGATTCGCCTCTCCACATCAGATACAGCCCCCGTGATGTGACGCAGCTTTCCCTGTCTGCCCTTCACCACAACCACAACCACAACCGCAACCACACCTTCGCATCCGTCGCACTGCCTGTGTGTGTGTATCTCTCTCGGTACGATGTGACTAGGTTGTCCAACCAGCCCACAGCTACAGCTGCCATCGTGCCCGAATACATGACACCGCCGTCGAGTGAATCATCGGACACTGGATGCCGGTACCTCAGCCTGCCGTCTATGGAGCGCGAGCTGATCCTATGCGCCAGTGGCCAATATACCTGACCCAAGGACCTGCGGACGTATCTTTCTGCATGTGCCTGGCGAGCAAGTGCCTGCGCTTACCGACGTGCGTCACACGCGACTGCGGCCTGCAGCAGACCCTGGCTCTTATATATAAGATAGCTCGAAGCCTCGACGGGCCACCACTCCCATCTGGACACTGACTACCCAAGGAAGTATTATTGGAAAGCAAAGCGACGCGACTGACGAGAGATCAAAGCCGTCTTTCTTCGTCTTGCCCATAGCAAGTATGGTGAGTTCGAGCTTTTGCTTACCCTTCTTCGTCCGATGCATTATGCCTTACCTACCTAGCGAGGCTGTTGAGCAAATAACTTGCGGTGGTATAAGCAGCCATCCAGTGGTTTTGCCACTGAGTTTCCCCAGCATGGATTGCCTAATCCAGCTGCTTGCGCCAGTTATTTGTTCACCCACTCGCCCAGTTCCCGTCGCGTGTAGCTTGCTGACTCCTCGCCATGCACAGGGCTCGATTAACAAGCAAATCTCGCGTTACGAAGCAACGGCCGTGTACACCCATCCCGATGCCGAAGTAGACATCGTCCTCGTCCACGGCTTGAACGGCGACCCCCAGAAGACGTGGACAGCCAAGAATGGCGTCTTCTGGCCCGCCGACCTGCTCCCGACGTCCCTGAGGGAAGCCCGCGCCAACGTGCTCGTCTACGGATACAATGCCGACGTCTACTCGAAGAAGTACGGCACGAGCCCCAGCGACAACTTCATATACATGCATGCCCAGACGCTGGTGACATCGCTCACCCACTACCGCAAGGACGAGCTGTCGTCGCGCAACCCCATCATATGGGTCGTCCACAGCCTGGGCGGCATCCTGCTGAAGAGAGCGTTGCTGTACTCGAACGACCTCCGGACATCACAGCACGAGGATTATCGCTCGATATACGTATCCACATACGGCGTCATCTTCCTGGGCACGCCGCACACAGGCTCCGACGTGGCGACATGGGGCACCGTACTGCAGGCCATGTCAGACGCCGTCGTGCCCAAGTCGTTCTTCCAGTCGGAATCCGTGCTGCTCCGGACGCTCAAGCGGGACAACGAGACGCTGCAGAACATCAACAGCCACTTCCTCGACATCTACCAGCGTTTCAAGATCCTCATGGCGCACGAGAACCACAAGACGGACCTCAAGGGCACCAAGATGCTCGTCGTCGACGCCAACTCGGCCAGCCCGCAGCTGCCGGGCGTGACGTATTACGCTATCGAGGCAACGCACTCGGGCATGTGCAAGTTCGACGGCAAGAATGCGCCGGGCTACAGGACCGTTGCGATAGCCATTCGGGAGTGGGTGATGGATGCGTCAGACGTCATCGCGACTCGCTGGCGCGTCGAGGAAGATGAGAAGCTGGCACGCGCGAAGCACGAGATTGAAGAGAGAATGAAGCCTTGGGTACGTGGACCTCCCGAACTCCTGGTCCTCGCCGACCGAGTGGTTGAAGGAGAAAAACTGCATAAACACCTGGATTAAGCAACGGATCATGGGGAAACCCAGTGGGATAACATCCAGGAGGCTGCTTATTCCATTTTTCATATTCTTCAGCGGCCTGTTTGATCGAGACCAGACACTAATACTACTCACTGTCTAGATCAACTCCCAGAGATTGCAGTCAAGTCAAGGATCCAGTAGGTTGCAGCCATACCCCCCGTCTGATAGTTCGAAGGAACAGGCCTATGATCGGCTTCTTGGGCATGCTGTTCAAGATGTGCAGTTTCCAGTGCAGTTTCCATTCGAGATAGAGGAAATGGAAGACGAAAAGACCACGGGCGCGCTGGCGCGCTGATTGATGATCGAGGATTCCAGGCTGATTTTCCCGTTTTCTGTAGTTCCGCAGCAAAATAATGAGACTACTTTACCCCCATCGCAAGACACTACTTCGAAAATCGATAACCAGTCTAGGCCACTCCTCCCTGAGCCACCAGAAGCGCCTAATCCTGAAGAGGCCGAAGAGTCGTTCCCTTCGCAGCAATCCAAGTCTGACCATGATTCGTCCCGAGAACCGATATTCGTCAAACCGACTGTCTTCCGGCCAAACACGCATTTCAAGGGCCGCGAGAGGGAGTTGAAGACGCTGCACAAGATGCTGATGGATCGCCAGCGTAGGTCGGTAGGCACCTCGTCAGTCCTGATCCAAAGCATGCCTGGCGGCGGGAAAAGCCATCTGGCGCGGCAGTACGTCTTCAAGCACAAGTACGACTATCCCGGCGGCATCTTCTGGATAAGGGCCAAGTCCATACAGGAACTAGAGTACGGCTACTGGGACATAGCAAAGACAGCCGGCCTGGGCGACAACACGAACAGACCGGAGCAGAATGGCTTCAACGACAGCCGTGCCATGATCAAGGCCGTTCAGGCCTGGCTGAGCGGCACCGACGACTGGCTGCTCGTGCTGGATGGCATCCATTTCGACCTGCCCGACCTCCAGCATTACATCCCGTTCGCCAAGCACACCAGCATCATCTACACATCTACCGAACGGACACCGGGCGAAGACTACCAATTCGACAACCCGCAGGTGATCGCCCTGGACTCACTCTCCAAACGCGAAGCCCAAGAACTTTTATTCGAGGAGATGGGCAAGAAGCAGCCCTGGACGCAGGACGACCTCAGACGAGCGGAGGAGCTTGTGGAGCTGATGGATCGCTTGCCGCTGATGATTCACGTCTCGGCGCTGCACTTGAAGGCTACACGGGAGCCGCTGGCGAAGTATATGAGGTCCTACCGGAGCAGACCGAAGGTGGGCAATTTGCCGGCTTATCGGGCGGTGAGAGAGCAGCTGGAGCATCGGGGCGCTGTGGCTGCGCTCAATTTGATGTCGATTTTGGCGTTCTTTGGCACGCATATTCCGGTGGAGATGATCGTGTTAGGTAAGTTCGGACTCCAGAATGCAGCCAACATGCACACGGGTGTCGGTGGTGGTGGCATGAGCACCCTGCTTATGGGCTCGGTGTATCACGATGACAACTGCTTACAAAACTATTGCAGGTGCTAAAGCGCTGGACAAGCGGACACCAGTCAAATCGACGGACCCTGAGACACGCAGGACTTCGTTGAACAGCACGTTCAAGATCCTCATCGCGTTCGCCCTTATCGAGCGAAATGAGAACACCGAGGCCGCTTCAGCAGCAAGTTCGCGCAGCACACGCAGCGTTGACATGGGCCAGGACAACCTGGATATCCTCAGGATACATGGAATCGTCCAAGCATTCTTCGTCGACGTCCTGGCCGAGGAGAAGGACGCCCCATTCTACCTTGAGCGAGCGACGGCTGTGTTTTGCCAAGCCTTCGATGCGAGTGATCGCCGAGTCGAAGAGGATCCCCAGACTGGCATGCCCGAGGACTTTCGGCGGTTACTGATCCACGGCAAACGGTTGTTGACACATATAGATCGGTTCGAGAGAAGATCGCCGGACCTCACGAGATGCCGCGAGCTCCTCGAGCGCAGGCTGGAGACAATACAGGACCGGATTGACCAACTGACGAGGAGAGTGGCAGACGCTGCCAACCAAGGGTCCGCAGAAGTATTTCTATCAGTGTTCGAGAGAACGAACAGTTTGTCAGAGGCAGATTCTAGCACTCCGCCAAGCAATAGCAGTCTGATCGAGAATTACATGCTGGATGAAGCCAGTCCGTTGGAATCGCCGGCGATCTACAGTCCAACCGACCACAATCCTTACCATTGGCACATTACTTACCCCCATGGCGAGCCTTACACAGCCGGGGACGACCTGGAGAGGTCGAGGACAGTAACGCCGCAGCCCGCTCCAACAGAGATCTTCGAGTCGATAACAATGCCTGACGATGATGAGACCACGCGGAAGGTATTCGGGCCCAATCACCGCACCGTCAGGAGGCACGCTGAGCGACGCTACCGTGACCATGCTGGCTCCTGGAGAGCGTCTCCACAGATTGTCAGTGACCCGCGCGTTAGCATCAGTCGCGAGACGGCTAAGGGGATCATCAACCCGTCGATGGTGCAGCAAAGTGGCGGACCACACTCGTCGAGCGATAGTGGGCCAACTGCCGCAAGTGAAGCAGAGCTCAGCCTGAACCAGATCAAGCGAGGGTCGCCCTCTCAGAGAGCAAGCACCAGCATGCCCGACACCAGCGCTCCCGTGAATGTACGGCCGAGGCTCATTATGGGAAGGACCTCGTACGCGAATCCCAAGACTGAAGAGGCCACTGGCGATGATCATCCGGTCACGCCGACGTTCTCGTATCCCGCGCCGTCGTCCAAGGATGCTGCTGCGACGATCATGCGTCTTAAAGGGACAGACCGTCCGGTTGCAAGTGTGGACGGCCTTGCGCCGATCAAGGTATCGAGTCCGCTCACTGCAGATCCGTTGACCACCGGGTCGCTACCACGACCACGGCGTCCTTCTGCTGTAGTACGGTATCCGAGCACTGAGTCGCTCCCACGGCGTCCTTCCAGCGTACTACGATATCCCGTGAACGAAGGAGAGATCACTCTTGACCGAGCAGCAAGACCACCCTCTCGACCGCCATCGGGGCCACCGTCGAGACCTTTATCCAGGCCATCCTCAGCGCATCTCTCCCGAACAGCCAGGTCCAGTCCCTCCCAGCCCACCGGCCCCTTCCGACCACCCCCCATCCCCGTCGAGGTGAACACCTCCAGCAGCCTGCGCTCCCCACCCTTGCCCGACTCCCGGTACTGGACGGAGTCCCATGGCCGTGTCCTGCCCCCCGGTTACGCCATCGACGAGGACGACGAGTACATGACGCACTCGCTGCCCTATCCCAACCCGCCGTACCCGCACACGGTGCCCATGCCGCCGCCCGACGGCTTCAACATGGCCATGCCCGACCACCACCCTGCCCCCTGGGTCGCGTCGCCGAATCTGCACCCGCAGGGCTACTCCTCGCAGCCCATGTCCCGCGATCCGAGCCACCAGTCTAGTGCTAGTCACGGATCTAACCGCTCGCAGTCGTCGCATCTGCGGCAGAGCCAAACCCATGGCAGTAACCACAGCCCGCCAATGCATATGCCGATCCCTATGCCCAATTCGTACTACACGCAGACGCACCCCCAGAGCCACAGCCACAGCGCCTCCCCCGCTTCCCAGGTGCAGATAATGCAGCGTCCGCGCTCGCGGCGCCCGAGCATGGTGGAAACAGAACCCAGTCCGCGCCTCGCGCCTCTTGAGTTTGACCCCGTGGTCACGAGTTATCAGCTTTATAACGAGAGTGCGAGGGGCCGAAACCCGGGGGTCTCCGCTACTGCCACGCCTGCGACTGCGATTGGGGGAAGCGAGACCGAGAAGCCGGGACCTGGTGTGGGCGGCAGTATGCACCCCTCCGCCTCGTCCCCGGGCTTCTTCCTGTCCCGGTTCCGGTCGTTTAAGGGGAGTCGCAGTCGACGGCATCGCCGGGCTGAGTCTGCGGGCGGACGGCGTGATTATGGGGTTTCGGCTGAAGAGGAGGACGGGGAGAGCGAAGGGGCTGGGGGGAAGGCTAGGGGGGAGGAGAAGAATAGGGAGAAGAGCAGAGAGAAGAGCAAAGATAAGGGAGAGAGAAAGAGCGCGGGGAGTCCGGATCCCGCCCCCGCCCTCGCCCCTGGCGCAGGGGAGGAGATGGCGCGCTCGGGCTCTGGCTCGGGCTCGGGCGGCATACGTCTAGCTGACGGCCGCGTAGTCGAGTTCGGGTCGCCGCCGCTGGATGCGGCAGTTGCGGCCGCGGAGGTCGAGAGGCGGAAGAGTCACAGTGCGAGTCCGGGGTCTCGGTTTGGGTTTGGGGGAGGGAGGCGGGGCAGTGCTATTTCTACTAGGAACGGGAGTGGAAATGGAAATGTAGGTGGAGATGTTGGGCTGGGGATTTTGCAGCAGGGGAGGGATTCGTGATTTGGGGTTTTGTGGAATTATTGGAGTGACCATACTGGGATGAGCACACTGGGATGAGCATTGAGATTGGAATGGACTGTCTTGGTCGGGGTGCTTAGGCTGGGGTGCTTATTCCACGTCGACGAGATATCGAGGTCCGCGATTGGAAACAGGGGGGAGGTGGCTGTCACGAATACTGAGGGGGCTGGTGGTGTTTCTTTTGTTCCAACTCTTGTTTGGTCTTGTATAGTGGTACCATGGGTTTGCATCTGCATCTTGGATATGGGAAAACTATAGGTACGCTGTATTGCATATTTGGTATCTTGTTTCTTTCTCTTTCTTCCTCTTTGCGTGGCATCATATATAGGTAGAGATTGAAACAGGATGTGAGCGAGTTTGGAATTCCAAGGCAGCAAGATCTTGTCTTGGTGGCAGAGAGGGTCAGTTCTGTATCTATATCGTCATATAAGTCCTGATATGAGCAAAACTTGTCAGGCAGCAGAACCCCCGCGTGTCTCTCGATTTGATTCGGCGTACTTTGCACGAGAAAAATCCAATGGGTTCTCGGAGGTGTTATTTCTGGCCTCCATACTAGACACAGGTCTTTCTTTTAGCAAAGTGTTTGGCTTTCCTGGATTGGCTTTGGATAGAGTGGTGGTTTGAGTCGGGGTTGTTACACCTCTTTCAATTCTACTTTGAGTCACTGGTCACTTGCAGTAGTTTTCCAATTTCTTTTGTAGCTGCTGTGAGTGCATGGTGGTAAGTCAAAGCTTTGTCCTGTTTTCTCTTTTTGTCTATTTCTGGGTCGTGATAAACTACGACCCCCCTTATCTACTACCTAGCACAATAATTCCGACATATCCAGGCCTATGATCCAGTCCCATTTTGGTTCTGGGCTCATCTATATCGGGAAAGTGGCCAAGTCCGGCACGTAGACGCAATCCCCTACGCTCGTTGCCTCAGCCAAGCAAAAGACCAGAATCGATACTGGGCAGCAGCACCACCACCTCGTCTTCCCATTATCTGCAATAGCATTCAGGTGGGTTGTGCCCATGCCGGTGGAAGTAGTGAAAATTATGTTGCTCCGGGTGCTAGCTGGCTGCTGTGGAATTGTGAGAGGGGATGAAGGCTGAACAGCTTGTTGCTGGGAAAGAATGGGTAAAATTATCAGCCAGTGCAGAGGCTGCAGTGCCAAAATAGTTGCAGTGGTGCTCCCTCTGTGGCCTGCTCAAAACCCCAAGTGAATTCGCCGCGCATCTTCACCTGGGATCCTGAACTGTACACAGAAGATAGAAGGGCGGGTATATGAACTGCTGTATGCAGACAAGTTCCCGACCTTCGAGCTCTGTCTCAGAAGCTCGTATATCAGAAAAAAAACCGTAAAAAGAGGTGGGGAGGGGAATGGAGACCGTTGTCGATGGGCATACTATGATGCCCAACGTGGAGGTGAGCCACGCTGAGATTTGAAATGTCTGTGCGTGCAAGGCGGGCAAGGATTTCTGCCATCAGTAACCACAGAGAGATCTCGGAATGGTACTCTTCCTTCTGCAGAATGAGAACGCCGTCCGTGTGGCCGTTACGACGAAGCCAAACAATTGTCATTTGTGTTCCCAGACTTCCATTTGCTCAGTCCAGGCACAGGCCACCATAGAATTATCGCGAGAGCCTGAGGTCTAGGCCCTCACATCCATCTCCACCAGTCCTCGCGCACCAGGACCAGCTTCTGCACGCCCTTGGCTGCAAACGGTTCCCAGACCTTGGCGAGCTCGGTACGCATCGCAGTGAAGACGTTGCTGGATTCAGTATTCATCCGCTCCACTATTTCGTGCAGCTCGACGATTTCCGGGAATCCCATGCGGTCCTCGATGCCAGCGTCTGCATTCTCGCCGCCGCCACCGCCCGTGTCTGCGCCCTGCTCGGCGCTATGGCTAGTGGAGAACATATCAATGAGATCGAGGGCAGAGGCGATAGGGTCAGGAGAAGCATGACCGGCAGCAGCAGGAGGAGCAGAAGCAGTCGACATGCCGCGCACCTGCGCGTACCGTCGATTGAAGGTCGCACAAGCAGTGCCCTTGGTCGAGAACAGCTTCTGAGGTTTCTTGTTCAGCTCATGGTTGCGCGTCATCTCCCAGCTGACGAAAATCCAGACTTTCTCGAGATAGGGCAGCGACAGCAGCTGCGAGAGGGTCTCCCTGCCCTGCTTGTTGGCGAAGGTGCTCTCACAGACGGCGACGTGACGGACGAAGGTCAGGAAGGATGAATTGGGCGGCTGTAGCGGCAGGGGCATGGGCAGCAACCACGGCTTCAAGACTCCGACGGCGCCATGGTCGAACCGCATGCGCGGGTGCGGCACGGCCGGCGTGTTGAGCGTGAAGATGTCGTTAGCGGCGTCGATCCAGAACTGGCTCGGCTCGTCGGGGGCCGGTATGCCGCCGGTCTGGGTGAAGTGCGGCAGCGGCGTGAAGTTCCGGTGCACGTACTCGTGGGTGCTGCGGTGGATGAGCAGGGCCTTGGTGATGAGGTGGCCGCGCGCTAGCTTGTACGCGCCTCGGTTCCATTCGGGGGCGGCGTCGGGGCCGAGGGTGACGGCTAGGTTGTGGTCTCTATGGCGGAAACTGAGCTGGAAGAGGAACGCGGGATGGTGCTTGTTGGGTTGGAAGTCTGGAAGATGGGTTAGTAGGTTGTCCATTCATCGTGAGTACCTAGATAGGTTGAGGGATGAGATGGAAGTGATGATGGGCTTGGATGAGTGAACCGATGCAAGTGGTGAAGCGTTTGCGTGAGTGGATGGATGAGAGGAGATGGAAGAGAGGGAGGACATCGGTGAAATTGGAAAGACACTCCAGCCACGTGGCTGAAAGAAAGGAAGGCGCGGCTTGAGGTGGTATGCAGGTAACAGGAAGGAAGGCGCGACTTGGTATGCTTGGTATGCATAATGCAGGTACTTACAACTGTCCCAAACCATCCGGCGCATCTCGTCAGGCAGGTCTTGGTATGTCGCTGGGGTGGCAACGAAGTCGAGGAACCATCGCCTAGGTCCGAACAGGCTGACCTGTCGAGTGGTCTTCTCAGTCTCCGGTTGCGCTCCCATAATCGCGAGGCATTCACGGCGTGGGACCATTAGCGAGTCAGGATGCTTATATGGTCGAGCTATCGACATAGCAAGGTTGAAAGCTGGTGCTGCCTGTTCCTGTTCTCGGTCGGAATTGTCGTCGCTCGCGATCCAGTCCATGTTGCGGTTGTTGAAGGTGTGCATATGCAGGCGACAGCCCAGAGCGTGATGTGTGTGAATAGCCAATTGTTTGGTCGTTGCGACAGACGGCTGTACCGTTTCGGGGAATCCGAGGCCCGATAACGACAGAAAATCTCAAACCAGAACAAGGCGACTCGGAACCTGCACCTCTCGTTCCTAGAGAGTTCCAGAGGGGTATTGGGGCAGTCGATTACGTTTCGAACTCCTGGTCTGGAGTGGAAGAACCGTCAATGATCCCAACGGCAGCGAGCTCCGAACAGCCAGACGGGATCAGCGATATTCAGTGTCCGGTTATGGCTCGACGTTGCGTAGGTGCGCGAGCGGGCGGTGGTTGTCTCGGAGCGGTAATTGTGTCAAGCTGGCTGGGCTGGTGAAGTCCGTGGACTGAGTGAAGACGTGAAGAGCAGCAAAGATACTGGTGAAAGCAAGGACTGTGGAAGTGTGAAGTTGAATTGACAATGCTGGCTTGCTGCGCGATGCAAGAAGAGGCAGCAACAAAATGGAATCCAATTGAAACCAAGGCCTGTTGCTGAGGTGGTTGTTGCGGCGAGGTGGTGATGGGGGTGATGGGGTGATGAGGCGTGATGGATGAGCGAGCATACTCGTGCCAGAAGCAGTAGATATTTATGTTAATATTTGCGATAAGGACCGTGCGCTCGCACCAGCTGGGAGAAGCGCACGACTGTTGGACCAGAAAAGGGCAAGCGTGACTTGAGCCTGGAGTGTGTGCAAGAAGTTTTCTTCATCGGTTCCTGAGGCGACAGTCTCATAGCGCCCTGCTCTGCTGTGCCAACTCAGGGGCAACAAGCAGACCACGGACCATGCACCAAGAGCAGCGACGCGCTCTTCTGCAGCCAATTTTCAGCTACATTACCCACTGGCATAGCAAGTTCAGTTGAAGATGTCTTTAGCTGATTGAAAAGGATTATTCCTAAGTATTAGTATTAATGTAAAAGATGAGACTCCGTGTTCCCAGCCCAGCAGATTGAGATAGTATCTATAATGTAAATTGAACTTAGGCTCTGCCGTAATCTTGAGCAAATATACGATAATATTTCTTCAGTGGCTTACGGCTGAAATCTATTCCTCTTCTCCCTCAACCTTAACCCCAATATAGCACCAGCGTAACCTTCGTACCGATAATAAGAAATACGAGACTATTACATAACATCGAAGCAATAAGGGTAATTCAGCCGCTATAAGTTTGTGTGCCCGCAAGTTAATAAAACTTTTAATCACTTATAAAGTCTCTTAAGATATTAAAATTAGCACTAAGTAGCTTCGGCATTGTGCACCTTATTTAATGCTTATTGTAATATGTTTAAACTAACTACGAGAAATATATCATTATTTAATAAATGGGTGGCATATAAAGACTTATTCTACCTTAGTATAGAACTGTTAAATATAATACTTTGTACTGCCTCATTTACAGAGTCATTTGACCTATCCACCTCTATTCAAGCAGTCGCTTCTCTTATATCAACCATTGCTCAGCGGTAGGGCCCTCTGATGCCAAGCCTTGGAGCCTACCCTTGACGAGGCCATTGTGCAGCCTCTTTCCGCTATGCTGGTTCAACTAGTAGCTACGGGAACTACGGAATCTTAGCTCGAGCTGCCTATTTGCGTCAGTCGACATTTTTAGGCGGTCAGCCGCCCCTGGTCTCTGTTGGAGCCAAGGTCCAAACCAACTCAATCCACGTCAATATGGGGGTCTCGTTGAGTGGGTTGCCAAGCTTTTAGAAAATCTTCTAATTGAGTTGATTAACTTTGATCTATAAAGGGGTTCCGTTAATATTAAATGATATCCCTTGATATAAAAATACCTAAAAATAATAAGGTTGTATAAAGCGAAAAAAAAACACCTCGGTATAACTTATTATAAAAAATATTTTTTATATAGTTAAAAATTAAATTTTCGATTGTGATAAATATTAATATATATTAACCTACGAAAGCCTCGTTGTTAAGTTAGTTGCTAAGGCTATAAGGGTCCTCGTAAATCGAGTTGGTATAGATATCTATGTTAATATCAATCTACTATCAATATCCGTTAACTTGTTCGGGACCTTGGTTAGAGCGTGTTAGCTATAATAGCAAATTGTCGTTAGATTAGTAAAGCTATCTACGCGTATAGTATGAAGGCGGCGGTCTACTATAAGAGTTGATAGTTATGCACCTTCTTAATATTCTTATTCTGCTTTAAGCTGCCGCTTTCCATCAACAACAACACGCACGATCTAGCCATATCACCGTGGATCGACGATAACCTCTATTGCCGCCGGCATGAAACTCACCCCGTATACACTATTGTCTGGTCTGTTTTGTTCACGCAGGTGTAGATGTCTGGAGCTGCGACGGGGTGACCGACCCAGGGTGCACAGTCCGCGCGGTCTGTGATAAAGGTCAGTTCCGCCTTACCTGCAGAGTCCACTCCACCGAGCCATCCATGACAATCTTGAAGATAGACCAGTGAGATCTCGAAGACACTGAATACGAGCCGTCCTGGAACTTGTCGAAGGAGTTCGTGTGAAAGCACCCGTAAGGAGACGTCTGGTTCTTCCCCAGATCGCCCAAGGGGTCAAACCGAACGCTGTCCCCAATTGGGATTTCGTCAAGATGATCAGCGGCGCGCCATTGGAGAACAGGACCTCATTCGTCTTCACATCGATCCCGTAGAATGCCGGATGTGCGAGCCACCTGCCTGCTGGGCCGCCTATGAAGCTTAGGGCAAACTCGGTGACATTCATCAATCACCAGGATAGTTCCCTCGGGAGTGATCTTGGATTCATGCATGTCGACGACTGAACCCAAGGCGCCGGGTCGACTCCCCTAAGAGTAGTGATTCCTGCTTGTTCAGCCATCAACGAGATGGCGTATAAGTTCTCATAGTGCTCGTCCAGGACTTTGATGATTCCGTACCCGATGCCCCACGGCTTGGGGACAGAGGCGCCGATGAAGCACCTCAGGACATTTAGGTCGTCGAGGACTTGTGTTTGGTAGGCGCAGGCGCCTCTAAGCTCACTATACTAGAGTAGCTCGTTATCGTCGTCCACGATGAGCAGGCCGGGGATGTAGGTTTCAGGTCCATGTTAGTCATAGAATAGGTATCCTGGATATGTTGGACCGGGTTTCGTGATGTTCAAGGGCGGGTTCTGCGCTGCTGGGCTTGTAGGTCTGCCAGGGCCACGATGGGGTGGTCTCTGCTACGATGGTTGACGCCAGAGCCCCGACGGGGGAGGAACCGCAATGGTAGGACAACCGCATCTCCGTTGGTAGGTGGTAGAGAAGAAGTGGCTCGGGACGGTTCCCAATAACTCAGCTTGCTAGGTGAAGACGCGGAGTGAAACCGCCGATCCTCGTTCCCAAATGTGCGATGGGATATGTGACTTCTGTCATTGTCGTCTCTACCCCTTGACAGATTTTCTGTGACTGCATGTTTATTTGTCTGTACCCGGCCAAGCACTTGACGATCGCGTCTCAGAGGCGGCACCACTCGAGTGCTACACAGCGGCCGACATAGAAAACCATCACATGTCCAGTCCACAGTGATGCTCAAACACAGCATCCGGTGGATGACGGAAGTCGAGCAACTAGTAACAGGATCTCGCGCTTAACGGCCTGGGGTACGTAAACATCGTGGTAGAACCCAGTGTTTGATGCACTGACTACACTGGAAGCCCGGTGAACCTCGCAGGCAGAGGATCAAAGCCAAACCGTAAAGCCTCGAAATACTTAGCGCGTCGGATGTATGCACCTGTTTCATGGCGACAACAGAAACACACGGTCGAGCAAGTGACCAGCGGTACGTGTACGCTTCGTGGTGTCATCAGCGACATGAAATGATAATGGCATGCCCAAGCGGGAAGGAAGGTCTCCACAGGGAAAGGGAAGAGTTTTGCACGGAGCCATGCATAACAAGTGGTTGGATAAATAATGCAGTTGATCAAGCAGCGGTTTAGTGCTTGTTTCACCTAATTGTGCCTGGCATAAACTTCCTATGCCAGCTGCTAATGCAAAATATTATTTCAACCGCTTGCACGATGCACCATCTCCTTGGCCTGTGCACCTGTCTGCAGGGATGTCAACCACGAAAAGCCCGTGCTGTCCCCACAGAATATTATCAGATCCGCGTCCGAATTTTATCAGATCCGCAATGTTGGGCCCGATGTCGGGTCTGGGCGGCCACGTAGCGCGCCCAGTGAGTGCTATGCTACGGGCTACGGGCGCCAGAGATTTGCTCATCATTGGCAGTGGGCCGACGACTTGCCTGAAGTGGGCTGGACGATGTCACACTCTCGCTGCTCCCCACCGGTTGGCCGGTCTCTTAACGAACGTTTGTTCTTTATTCACATCCTTCGCCTCGAGTACCGTGTGGTAGACCGTCGCCGATGGCTTCAGAAAAGGTAGAAGAAGCCCAGGGTGGCAAGAAGGAGGCGGCCAAGACTGCAACTGTAAGATACTCTCATCCTCCGCGGCTCGCGTGAAAACTCAAGCACATGGAGCTACCGAGGAGACAGTGACTGATCACTATGAGCATTCCTAAACAGTCTCGGCAGCGAATCTTCGTCTTCTTCGAGCTCCTCTTCTGCACCCAGCCAACATGGATCGATGTCGTGCTGCTTATAGTTGGGAGCATCACCGCCATCGCCGCCGGTGTTCCCTTCCCGCTCATCGGCATCCTCTTCGGCCAGCTTGTCGACGACCTCAATGCGGCGACGTGCAACGCCGAGTCGAACACGGACCCGTTCCAGTACGAGGGCGCCATCGACCACGTCGTGGTCCAGATCGTCTACGTCGCCGCCGCCCAGTTCGTACTGATCTACTGCTACGCCGCCTGCTGGAACGTCCAGTCCCAGCGCCTGAGTCACAGACTGCGGGAGCGGTACTTCCGCAGCCTGCTGCGCCAGGAGCCCAGTTTCTTCGACGACAAGCACGCGGGAGAGATTAGCACCCGGTTGACCGAGGACTTCGCCGCCATCGAGTCTGGCGCCAGCGAGAAGGTCGGTCGGCTGCTCGGCCAGCTGAGCTTCTTCGTCACCGCCTACGTCGTCGCCTTCATCAAGCAGCCTGTTCTGGCCGGCATCCTCGTCTCCCTGGTCCCTGCTTTTCTGTTGATGTCGTTCCTCGGCAGTCATTTCTTCAAGAAGTACGCAGTGAAAGCTACCGTGTCCTTTGGCGCGGCAAGCTCCATCGCTTCGGAAGCGCTTGCGAACATTCCCGTTGTCCAGGCATTCGGGGCCGGCCCGAGACTGGAGGTTATTTTCGCCAAGCACATAGCTCTGGCTCGCAGCGATGGCATCAAGAAGGCACTGGTCGCTGCCACACAGGCGGGGTTGCTGTATTTCATCGCTTACAGCTCTAATGCTCTGGCCTACTGGCAGGGCAGTCGCATGATTGTCAATTCAATTAACGGTGACGGGGACGCGACGGTTGGCCAGATATACACGGTGGTTTTCCTGCTAGTAGACGGTGAGTCTCCTCCTCCAATGCCATCTCCAGGACGAATGAGTTGCGAACAGTGGTCGATCTTGGGTGCTCACATTATATGATAGCTTGCATCATCCTGGGTTCTCTCGCGCCGCTTTTCCCAATCTTCGGTGCTGCCTCCACAGCCTACGAGCGCGTCCGCTCAGACATGGAGCACACCTCGTCCATTGATGGCCTATCTGATGAGGGTATCAAGCTACCCTGGGACACGCCGGGATCTATCAAGTTCCGCGATGTCTCCTTTGCGTACCCTTCCCGACCAGACCAGCCTGCATTGAAAAACGTGGATATGGATTTCCCGGCCGGAAAGCATACCGCCATCGTCGGCCAGTCCGGCAGTGGGAAATCGACGGTCGCTGCCCTGCTGAACTGTCTCTATAGCCCAAGCAGCGGCGCGATACTATTCGACGATCACGACACGAAGGATCTCAACGTGCGCAATATCCGAGGGTTCGTCAGCTTAGTTCAGCAGGAAGCTCCGCTACTGGACCGGTCCATTTTCGAGAACATCGCACTCGGTCTTGTCAACTCTCCTCGACCCAACCACGAAAGCCTGAAACCCGTTCTGATGAGCGCAGACCTCGAACGCATTGTAGCTCATAGCGGCAAAGATGTCATGGACGAGGCGGCCCGGAGGCAAGGCCCCATCGCTGAGATCGCACGCCTAGTGCAACGAGCCGCCGAATTGGCTGATCTCTACTTCATCGACCACCTGGAACTTGGCTACAGCACACAGGTCGGTACCGGCGGATCGCTTGTGAGCGGCGGGCAGCGACAGCGCATTGCGCTTGCCAGGACCCTGATCAGAGATCCCAAGATCCTAGTTCTCGACGAAGCTACCGCGGCCTTGGACTCGGCTACGGAGAAACGTATCCAGGCTGCCATTGACCGTGTAGCCGTCGGCAGGACGGTCGTTTCCATCGCTCATCGCCTATCTACTATCAAAAAAGCTGACAATATCATCGTCATGCGGGATGGTGAGGTCGTCGAGCAGGGCACATATGCTGCGCTTGTGGAGAGGGCGGGTGCTTTCGCCCATCTTGTTGCTCTCCAAGGACTTGACTCCTCCAAGACAGAGAGGGCCGACTCCTCGTCACTGGAGAATACAGACGTCGAGTCACTCAACGACGATGCGGAGAAGAGTGGTCCAGTCCCTAGTAACGTTAAGGGAGAGAAAGTCTCATCCGAAAGGACCGGACCAACAGACACAGCAGTGCAAGCTAGCACGGATGATGTGTCAAACAAGATCAATGACTCTCTATCATCCTGGGCTGTTGTTCGCGGCTTGAGCTGGCTCATCAGACCCGACTTGTCATGGTTAGCCCTCGCGGTTCCTTCAGCAGTTGTAGTCGGCTCTGCATTCACTGCCATGGCTTTGATCTTCGCGTATACTATCGGCGCCCTCAACCCGTGCAGCTCGACGGCTTCTCACATCATGTACCTGGGCGAGTTCTTCGGCGGACTCCTCTTCATGCTTGCAGTCGTCGAGTTCCTCGCCCACCTGTTCAGTTGGTCCTCCTTTGGCCGAGTCTCAGAAAACCTGCTCTATCGGACCCGAGTGTTGAGCTTCAGGACCTTGGTGGAGCGAAGCGTCCAGTGGCACCACTCGGAAGGTCGCAACCCAAGCAATTTGCTTAGTCTAATCACGAAGGATGGTGCGTCGCTCGGTGCTTTCAGTGGAAGTATTGTCGGGACAGCTTTCTCCATTATCGTGAACTTCCTCGTAGCGATCATCGTGTCACACGTCTTCGCCTGGAAGATCGCGCTCGTATGTTTGGCGATGGTTCCAATTCTCCTGGCTTCAGGCATCTTACAGATTCGCGCTACTTCCAAGTACCAGGAACGCAGTCACAAGGCCTTCGTCGACGTGATTGGGATTACAGTCGAGGCAGTCAACCAGATCAAGACCATTGCCAGTTTCTCGTTGGAAGACGAAATTGTCCACACTTACAGAAGGGCCCTGGCAGGTCCGAGGAAGGACATCATCAAAGAGAGTCTGCACACGAGCATCTACCTCTCCATCTCAAACAGCACCGGCTTCTTCATCTACGCGCTCTCGTATTGGTGGGGATCGCAGCTCATCATGCGCGGCGAGTATTCGCAGACGCAATTCTTCGTTGTCCAGGTTTCGATGCTGGTCAGCGCGCAGCTCTGGGGCCAGATGTTCTCCCTCGCTCCCGAATTCTCTCGCGCCAGAAGCGCCGCCTCTAGGATCGTGAGCTTGATCAATTCGGGTGAACATAAGGAACTCATCAAACCTTCTGCGATCCTCAATGACTCGAACATGGGTACAACTGCCATTGAAAAAGAGGGAGATGCTGAAGCAGGCGTGGGCAAGTCATCACTTGCGCCTCAGGGGTCGACAGCAGCCATGAGCGTCGCCTTCCGCGACGTCCACTTCGCCTACCCTTCACGTCTCCAATTCCCCATTCTCAAGGGCACTTCCTTCAGCGTCGCCCCCGGCCAATTCGTGGGCCTAGTCGGGCCCTCCGGTGCCGGGAAGTCCACCATCATGGGTCTGATCCAGCGCATGTACTCCCCAACCTCCGGCTCCATCGCAATCAACGGTTCCGACATCAGCAAGCGCGCCGGCACCGACTTCCGCTCCAACATCGCCGTCGTCCCACAAAATAGCGCCCTCTTCAACGGCACCATCAAGTTCAACGTCGGGCTCGGCGCGCGCCCGGGCCACGACGCCACAGATGCCGAGATCGAAGACGCGTGCCGCACGGCGAACCTGCACGAGACCATCACCTCCCTCCCCCAAGGCTACGACACGGAGTGCGGGCCCAACGGCTCGCGGCTGTCGGGTGGACAGCGGCAGCGCCTCGCCATCGCGCGCGCGCTCGTCCGAAAGCCGGGTTTGTTGTTGCTGGACGAGAGCACCAGCGCGCTGGACGCCGAGAGCGAACGCGCGCTGCAGGTCGGGCTGGAGCGCATCGCACGGGATATTACCATCGTGGCGATCACGCACCGCCTGCATACGGTGCAGAAGGCTGATGTTATTCTAATGGTTGAGGGGGGGTGTATTGTGGATCGCGGGACGCATGGGGAGCTGATGGAGAGGAGTGAGGGGTATCGGGTTAATGCTCTTCAGCAGATGTTGTGATTTTCGGTGTAGGTATTGTATGTGATGGGTGGTAGGTAGGTATATAGGAGTCGTTTGGTGAATGTGTACTTGATCTCGTTAGAGCACTGATGTATAACATGACGGGTTAGGAGGCTTTGGCTCCCCCATATGCTGTCGCATCCTTAGCATCGAGTGAATGAAAGCCCATACTGCAGCTCCCTTGGTATTAAGGTGGTCTCTCAACAACAGTCATCACATGATTGCGAGTTGGTCCAGTAATATAACCACAATGTATTCATGACATCTTGATACCGATACCGAAACACTAACCCGAAGTCCCAAGCAAGCAGTCGCTATAAGGAGAGTAATAGTACATAGTAGTACACCAAAGGAAACCCCTATCGACACACCAGAGGACGAGACCACCAACCACCCTCATGGCGAGCCCGTCGTGGTCATGTCAAGCCGAGTAACGCTCTATTTGGCGCTGTTGTTGCAGTCGTCAATGCACCTATTTCAGAAAAGTCAGCAAACACCCCTAAAGCTCGCAAAAACACGTAAGGACAATACGTACTGATCATGAGCATCCACATCCTCATCCCAAACCAAATGTGCACAATCCGCCCAGCAGCTCCACCCCCTCTTCTGCAGAACCCCAATATCGAAGTCAATCTTGCCGTCCGGCACGCACAAATCCCCCGTAATCCCCGAGCCGTCCGGGAACGCGGCGACGCGGTTCGGGTCGTCGGCCGCGCAGGTGCCGTCGCCGGCCGTGATGGAGATCGGGTCGGCGACGACGTCGAAGAGAGGGGGTAGCGTGATGTCCTTGGAGGCGGCGAAGGACTGGTATTGCGCTTTGCTGATGCTGATGTGTCCCGAGTAGCCCGTTGGTAGGCTTAGGGTGAGCTGCGCGGTGGCGGTGGTGGTTAGGAGGGTTAGGGCCGTGGTAGTGGCGAGGGCGAGGTGGGTGGAGAAGTACATTTTGGAGTGTTGGTTCTGTTGTTTGTGGGAGATGTTGTTTAAGGGAAAGTGCTGGGAGTGTTGGGGTTGGATTTTTGTAGCTTTGTGATGTTGTGGATGTTGGATGTTGGATGTTGTGATGATGGAGTCGAAACCTAAGCTGAGAGATGGAAGAGCTTCTTATATCTGAAACCGTGCCATATCGGTCATAATAGAGTTGGCTTAGGAATTAAGCTTATGTTCCTCTCCATCGAACCCTACCATACTACCTGGAGTTATGACGACGGCGGCTGTTCGTCATCCTACAGCAAGACCTGCCCCTGAATTGAAAACAGTATCAACCCATTGACCCGACAGACGATCTGCGGGTGATGATCGACCCTTGGTCACGGGTGATTTACAGACAGACAATGACAGCTGGAGCTCTATGGAGGATGGCTGACGACCATGACATGCGTTAGCCATTTCAGTGAGGCCGCGGTGCTGACAGCCGCATCGCCGCATCGCCCCCATCATCAAAATCTCCGATAGGCTCAGAGACTCAAGCCCGCCTGAGTGTCGCAGCAGTTGGTGACATGGATCGCCAACGTCGAAGCCAAGACATGCAGGGCTGACCAGCTGGATCACCTAGGGCTGAATCGACTTCCAACAGCATCTCGAGCCTGGACAATACGATTTCAGCTACGCGAGATAGTTGACGAGAAGGAGGATGACTTGGCTGAGTGACGTAGTGCCCGACCGAAGATTATCGTAAGACGGGTCTAGTTGTTGAGCTGTGTTTCCGTCAGTTCTACAGAGCAAGATGGAACGTAAGCCTTGCACACGAACGGTGTGGTGGACTTCAGCCATAGCATGTTCGTTGTCATACCTGTATATGCCTCGCCTCGCAGTTAAAACGGTCACCATGCTCGTACTGCATGCGCCTCATCATGTCATTGTGCTGCATGTCGTCTTACAACTCTCCATATATGCATACTGATTGCTTGTGCGTGACGAACATGCCCCCCAACAGTCAAGACGCAGATAGAGATGATTGCACTCATGTCATGCAAGCTGGTGCTGAAAGACAAGCAACTGAGCCATGCAGTGTCATCGACGTTGTACGCGCCGCTCTCATCAGAGGTTAGTACTGCTGACTATTCGGTCAGGCATGTGCCGTCATTGCAATTGCCTTGTGGTATATCTCCCAGTCGAAGCTGAAAGGCAGGTTCAGATGGCCCGAGATTGCATCATGCTAGCTCTTCGGCTGGCGAAGATGACATTGACACTCTGTCTCATAAGCATGAGCCGTACTCAGAGCGTGTCCGAAGCAATGAAGCCGCCACAGCTAGCTGGCTGTCTTATTATGTTCATCAATGGGACTCTAACCTCTCTACCCCCCTGGATGACCAGGCGCTTGATAAGCAGCATAAGCCTCTGGCACAAGCAGTAACGCCAGGGACAATCGACTGGAACAAGCATCAAGTCGCGGCTTGTTCCATTGTAAATCATCATTTCAACCGCTTGGGTGATGTGCCTTGCTTCTTGGGACACTACTCGTGCAATTGCAAGTCGCATACTTAGACTCAAAAGGGTTGGACCAGAGTCCCAGCAACTTTTCGTTCGCTCCAGTACATATACCCGAAAAGGAGGTGTGCACGCAGCTGTTGGATGGATGACGGAACGACCTGCAGTGGGACAAGAAGCGCTTCCATGGTCGTCCCAGGGAGACTCACCAGGAGAACTAAGCCAGTGGTCTTACAACTTTCAAGTCGAGCACGTGGAGTGTCCTCTTTTGCTTCTCTGCGCTGGAAGGAGTAAAGATACCGCTGGGTACGCCTTTGGCAGCAGTTGCGGCTACAACAGACTCGATTCGATGTGCCGAGGTCCACCATTGCCTAGACACAGCAAATGTGAGATGCGTATCGGTAGGATAGTCGCATGAAGCATTGAGCCGCGTACCACGCAGTCGCATGGCGGCGCCCGTCTCCGTTTCCAGACCCTCAAGTGCTCTCCGTCGAGCATATCGCTGTGTCTGCGCCCAAGAACGAGGATCGGCTGGCCTCTGTTGCCGACTCAACAACAACGCGGCCGCCGTTGAGCGGGCAAGCTGGGTGAGGAAAGTCGCATACTAAATCCAATGAGATGGGAGCGTAGGCAAAAACGTACATATGTACGGAGCATGATGCGAGGCTGCGTGCCGTCGGCGCTCTTGACGCATCTCTGACGTGCATGCTGCAGTGCAAGGGCGCTTTGGGTATCGGCTGCAGCCTCGATTCCGAGTCTGATACAAGCTGGCATGATGGTACCTATCAACAACTTCTCCAAGCGACTCGGATGCGGCGTCCCTATCGATTGTATGCTTCTTCGCGAACAACACTGGGGACGCTGACCATAGAGGTATCGCCAGATCATCAGACTGCCGCGGTTGAAAAAAGGACTGAACGCTATCGCGAGGAGTCCTTGTTCAGTGAGTCCGGGGCATTCAAGAGATTTACGTGAGTTGTTTCCGAGAGGAAGTTGCGACTCTTCGGCACAAGATAAGACTGAACAGGGAACTTCCAGTACTGGGTATCCTGCAGGTGGTGAGCCGTAACTTCCCCATACCCCTATATCGGGGAGTCCCACAAAATGATGACAAGCGGGGATTCTTTCTCTTTTCGTCGTTTGATAGGGTGTGGATCCAGTGCATGGACCCATATGGAGTATTCTGGTAACCCCACCAGATATGTTGGAGGTTACCTGATGAAGGCTGCCTGGCAACCCTTTGTTGCCCCAGGTACCTCACCACTGTAATTTAGGTATTTAGATACATCTCGAATGGAATCCTTTCCATCCGACCTTTTAATCAAGCACCACCCAGACCACTGATAGATTACAACAAGACTTGTGATTTGTCAGCATCTGGGAAAGCTACCAAAAGGCACAAGGGCTCTGATTTCTAAAATGCGCATGGTGTATGATTGTCACCGCGAGCGTACTGAGGAGCTGGGACATGGCCGGCAGCAAGCAGCTATTACTCTATTGACGAGAATATCAAGACTAGAGAGGAAAAGAAGAGAGAGAGAGAGATAGGTACAGCGGGAGGTTGCCCCTTTAAGGGGATCCTCTGGTCAGATCCTTCCCTTATTGGGAAGTATCGGCTTGTCATGTGGGAAGGTCTGTGCAGGCCGTCACAGGAAATGTCTGTCCTTATATATCCAATCTCTCCCTCACTGATTAGGTGGCTCACCCTGGATCACCGGTGATCCAAGTTGATCCTGCTCACTGGATCACCACGGTGATCCAGTGATCCAAATTCTTAGTCACGTAACCCAGGTTCTGCTGGTCACGTGATCTGTGTACCGTTGCTCCGTTGCTCCGATCTCTCCACTGATCAGCACCCCACTCTCTGGTCAACCTGTTTCCAATCGTCCCCTCTGGGCCTGCTATCAGGCCGCACTGTTCGTTGGTTCGTAATATAAACTAGAGTATAGATTTAAAGGTTATAGTATTTATGTAAGCTCGGGAAGTTCAATTGGTAGAGCAGAACACTGAAGATGTTTAGGTTATAAGTTCAAGTCTTATGCTGAGCAAAGGTAATGATGGAACTGGATAGTTTAGGCCTATTTGATTAAAAAAATCTTATCCGTTCAAGTCGGATTTACCTTATATGTTGTGGACTAATGGGTAAGCCATAAATTTTTGGTATTTAATATTAAGTGTTCAAGTCACTCCAACATAAGTCTATCAGATAACCAATTCATACATAATAAGCTAAAAGTTTTATCCTTATTATGGAAAAGATCGGTTCAGTGGTTCAGGTCATCATGTTGCTTACATTCTGGGTGCGAATCTACCCTTGGGTCTTGGGACCTGTTCAGGTACTAAATACACATACCAACTTCAAAGCAATGCCCAGCCTTTGATCCGGAGGGTAAAGATCCCTTGTCCCAGATACACTAAGGCTCAAAGCCCGCTTCCAGGCTGTTCCTTCCTTTCAGTGCTGCTGTCAGCCTTGTCAGCCTTGTCACCCCTAGAAGCGTGCTACAGCACACCTGTGAGCCACCCGACTGCTTACACTTGTATAATAGAGAATTTTGTATTATAAGGTGGATATAGTTCAATAGATAGAGCGACTGTATGTGGCACAGTAAGTTCTCTGTTCAAGTCAGGGTATCCTCCTATCAGGGTAGTTTAATGGGTTAAAACTTTAATTTCATGCATTAACGATAAGAAATCAAGTTTCTTCTCTGGTTACTCTAAAAGGTCATTTTTTGAGCTTTTTTATGTATAATTATATTAAGATAACTTTATCTATATTATGTTTATTAGTTTCTAATGCCGTCACTTTAAGACTAGATATGTGACGGCCTGTACAGACCTTCCCACATGACAAGCGGATACTTCTCAATAAGGGAAGGATCTGACCAGAGGATCCCCTTAAAGGGGCAACCTCCCGCTGTACCTATCTCTCTCTCTCTCTTCTTTTCCTCTCTAGTCTTGATATTCTCGTCAATAGAGTAATAGCTGCTTGCTGTCGGCCATGTCCCAGCTCCTCAGTACGCTCGCCGTGACAAGATATGTCAATACTTTTTAATAGAATAGCCATTATTACTTTAATTTATTGTTTTTTACATAATATAGTTAATTTATCTCTTATAAATAAAGGGATAGGTTTAAATGGAGGTTTACTTCACGTTACTAATATAACTTAAATATTTCATATATTTGTTTTTATAGTTAGTATATTAATATTACAACTAACTAGTTTTTTTCTTAGAAAAGTTTGAGTTCAAGAACATTCGTCTTTAAAAGATGTATTGTTTAATAGTTTTATATTTGATAGAACTAAAATAATAATAAAATAAGAGATCATTTAAAAATCATAGAATACCCATTAATTTTATGATTTGTAGTTAGTGGAACAAATTTTTTAATGTCTATTAATGGTTTAGTATCTATTTTTCTATCAATAGAATTGCAAAGTTATGGTTTGTATTTGTTAAGTACAATATATAGAAATTCTGAATTAGCTACTACAGGTGGTTTAACATATTTCTTATTATGAGGTTTAAGTTCATGTTGTATTTTATTAGGTACAGGCTTATTATACGCAAATTCCGGAACTATTAATATGGACGGTTTGTATATAATGACTAGCATAAGTGATAATATTAATTCTTAATATAAACCATATTATATTAATTTTGCTTTACTTATTTTTAGTATAGGATTCTTATTTAAAGTTAGTGCTGCACCTTTTCATTTTCGATCACCTGACGTTTATGACGCTATTCTTACAATCGTTACAACATTTGTAGCTATTATAGCGAAAAAACAAAATTTATATTATTATTAAAAATAGTTTATTTTACAAGCAATTATTTTCTGATTTCAATTGAACATTTGCTTTATTAATGAGTTCTTTATTATCTTTAATAATAGGAACAGTTATATGTTTAACACAATTTAGAATAAAAGATTATTTGCTTATAGTACTATAAGTCATATAGGTTTCATATTATTAGCTTTAACTATAACTAGTATAAAATCTATTCAAGCTTTTGTTTTTTGTTTAATGCAATACTCAATAAGTTAATTTATATGCATTTATTATATTAGTAACCATAGGGTTTTCTTTCTATTTTTATATAACTGATAATAAATAATATAAAGAATTACTGGATAAAAATAATTCTCCTGTCCAATTAATTAGCCAATTAAGAGGGTATCTTTATGTTAACCCTATCTTAGCTTTAAGTTTAGCCATTACATTCTTTTCTTTTGTAGGAGTACCACCTCTTGTTGGATTTTTTGCTAAACAGATGGTTTTAGGTGCTGCTTTAGATAGCGGTTACGTATTTTTATCTTTAGTAGCTATATTAACTAGTGTAGTAGGTGCAGTATATTATCTTAATATTATAGAAGAAATTTTCTTTTATAACCCAGAATATAAAATAAGTTCTTTAATTAAGAATAGAAAATTATTTAGTTATATTTATAAAATGATACTTTGGTAAGAAAGTTAGAATTCAAATATAATAATATAGTTATGTCTAGCCCTATATCTATAACAATATTTAGTATAACTTTAGTAATTTTATTATTTATATTTATGAATAAAGAATGATTAAGCATGGGTACCGTATTAGTGCAGATTTTATTAATAATAAATGAGTAGTATGACTTTTTTTTTTTCGTATCTATATTAGCTTTAGTATTTTTAATAGTTACTTTAATTCTTGCTCCTTACAATCCTTACCAGGAAAAATATAGTTTATTTGAATGTGGTTTTATAGTTTTTTTAGGTCAAAATAGAACACAGTTTAATGTTAAATGTTTTATATTTGCATTAATTTATTTATTACGGATCTAGAAATTCTTTTCACTTTCCCATTTACATTAACTATAGCATTTTTTTCATAATTATAATAACTATTGAATTTGTCTTTGAATTAGGTAAAAGTGCCTTAAAAATTAATAGTAAACAAATTATAGCTCTTTTTAATATACAGTCTTCTAATGTAATAGAACTTATAGGTAAAACTTCTTAAACTTTTAGTAAATTCACCAAAAATTAAAGTTAAAGATTTTTAACATAAATTTAGATAAAACAAATATAAAATGAATTAACGTAGCTGACAAGCGAGTTGACATTACAAGCGAGTTGGCACTCGTCATGAACTTTCCAATCAATACGATTCAAACCATCATATCTCCACCAACAACAATGGCACCGCGTTATAATGAATCAGACTTGCAGCTAGCTGTTCAAGCTAAACGACATGACCCTTATATTCCTATATTTCAGCTTGCGAAACTCTTCAACGTCCCTCGTTCTACTTTGAGCAATAGAGTCAAAGGAATGCCATCACGACGCGACAGCATGCCCAATACTTTGAAACTTATGGTTTCCAAAAAGAATGCCATTTGTTCCTTCATTCTCGACCTGGATGCGCGAGCATTTCCGCCCCGGTACAGTTATATTGAAGATATGGCGAATCAATTATTGGCGGCGCGTGGGGCTGGACGCGTTGGAAAGAACTGGACGCGGAACTTCATCAAACGTACACCAGGCCTCCGGACGCGTTTTCATCGGAAGATAGACTACCAGAGGGTCTTGAACGAGGATCCAGACGCGTATCGCGCGTGGTTTTGCCAAGTTGCAGCAGCAGTCGCGAAACATGGTATCCAAGACGCGGATATTTACAACTTCGACGAGACTGGGTTTATGATGGGCATTATTGGGTCCGGCATGGTCGTTACAAGCACCGAAAGACGTGGCAGGCCTAGACAAGCTCAGCAAGGCAACAGAGAATGGTCTACAGCAATCTCTGCTGTTAATGCTGATGGTTGGGTGGTCCCGCCGTTCATCATTCTACAGGGCAAAACCCACCTCGCGTCATGGTATCGCGACACAATATTACCACGCGATTGGAAGGTGGCCGTGTCTGACAACGGGTGGACCACAAATGAGATTGGTTTGGAATGGATTCAGCATTTTGACAAGTATACCAGACCGCGTATGACTGCCGGTAAACGCCTCCTCATCCTAGATGGTCACGAAAGCCACCATTCCCAGGTCTTTGAGGATTATTGTCAGAACAACGGTATTATCACCCTTTGTATGCCTGCCCACTTGTCACACAGGCTCCAGCCTCTAGATGTCGGCTGTTTTAGCCCGCTCAAACGAGCTTATGGTCGCATGATTGAGGATCTCATCCGGCGTCATATAACCCACGTTTCGAAGGAGGATTTCCTTGCAGCGTTTTGTGAAGCACACAATGCTGCTATGACGCCAGGAAACATTCGAGCAGGTTTCAGTGCCACTGGGTTTGTTCCTTTTGACCCAGAAAGTGTCATTTCAAAGCTGGATGCTGTCGCTGTCATACGAACACCGTCGCCAGACCCCAATCTGCCACCCACTACTTGGACTTCGAAGACGCCTACCACCATTAACGAAGCGGTAAACCAATCGGTTTATATCCAAAACCGAGTCAGAAACCACCAGGGAAGCTCACCTACATCAATAGTTGATGCATTGAGCTCGTTTTCGAAGGCTACATACGGTCTTATGCATAAGGTCACTTTGGTTGATTCCCGGGTCCGCGAACTAGAAGAGGCCAATCACTTACTAAGTAAACACCAGAGAACAAAAAACAAACGTCTAGTGAAAAGAGGAGTACTTTCCGTTGAAAATGCAGTAGATCTTCAGGCTGTAAAGGATGGTGCTGAGCTGGCAAAACAAGAAATAGGTGAAAGTAGTCGTCGTCCGAGGCGGGCGGCAGCGCATGGGCGACGGTGTGGCGTTTGCAGCAATACTGGCCATAATGCGCGAACTTGTACAATAGAGATAGAAACCTCTGAGGAAGAGGAATCCGATTGATTGAATTGAACTGAATGCGTTGTGGTGAAGTTATTTGACATGGCAGTTGGAGAGTTCATGACGAGTGCCAACTCGCTTGTAATGTCAACTCGCTTGTCAGCTACGTTATACGTTAATTATGATGAATTAATAAAATAAGATAAAATATGACACAAGCAGCAAAAATAATAGCGATAGGTTGAGCTACTACTGGTTTGATAGGAGCAGGAGTCGGAATTGGTGTAGTTTTTATAGCTTTAATTCTAGGTATAGCTAGAAATCCATCTATAAGAGGTGAATTATTCTCATATGCTACTGGTTTATTTACATTAACGATGGCTTTTTTGCTTTTGTATAAACAAGTATTATAGATTTTATAATTCAAGATTAATAAATATATTTAATAAATATAAATATATCATACTTCAGAAGATTATTCTTATTTAAAATCCATATAAATTATTATAATTTAACGCATAAATAAATTCGGCAATATCTTTACGTAATAATAAAATTATTCGTTGAATTAAATAATTTAAAGTTTAAAAAGATTTTATAAATCTTTTTGAATTTTAACTTTAAAAAATATTATACCTTAATTATATTGGGTGAGATTCTAGAAGGGTCACAAGCCTTGGGGGTGTGAGCGGTCGCTGCAAATGTTGTTGTCATTCTCAAGTATGCTCGCCAGGGCTAATCTACAGCTAAATACCATATTGCACCATGCTAGGGTAGATCCACTGTTCCCTTGACAGCCCTCTAGTGGGTACTGCACCTAAGGGCACCATATCTGGGATCCAACATCTGACATATACTTTTTGTTTATTAAATAAAAAGTATTTTAATTTTTTAAAAATCCAATTTTTTTAAAAGGTAATTTTATAAAGATAAGCTACTTATTTAAAGGTTTAAAGGTAAACGCGGTCTGTTAAACGGAGAATTACGAGGGGTTATTATATATAATGAGGGCAACCTAAGCTTGGCTAAGCTAGAGTTTTTTTGTTTTCTTTTGTTTTTTTCTGTTTTTCAGAAAAAGAAGAGGCAGTTACGGCCTCTGTTATGTATTACGATGGCGGACGTAGTTTGATGCATTATTTGTCCATCCGTTTCTGCACTCACTGCAACTATGCTGTTCCATCGGTTTTCACGCCCTCGCATGCCCCCATCGAGCTGTATGAGCACCTCCGTCCCAACGCAATAACTCCTTCGGTGATGAAGAGTTTATGCAGCCATACGCGTATCCCAGGCGCTTCGTAAACAGATAGTGTGCTGTAGAAACAGGAGAACCCTGGTCTGCCATGTGAATCGTCAGTGGCTATAGGCGGGCAATCCCTCCTCTGCCCACTATATCCTCTATGCTTCAGGTCCATTCGTAACACAGCATCCCTAACGGACATCTATCTCTAAGCCAGGTCGGCCCACCGTGGGTAGTGGACTCAGCAAACCATAACACTACGGCCTGCCACCTGGCACGTTGTGGATAGGGGTCATGATTGCTGGATTAAACGCGCTCGAATAAGCATCTGGATGGCTGACTTAGATATAATGGCTAACCCAGGGTGCTTGTTCTACCATGCTAGAATAATCCCATGTTAAAACAAAAGATTCGAGGTAAGCGGCGCGAAGGCTCATGTGACTGTGCCTTCGAAGTTCTCGCGTGCAAGTCGAAATGACGGAGAACGAACCAACCTAGACCCAGCTGGCAGAGACACTACCAGGAGCTGCCAGGTGGGGGACAGAGCACGGACCAGCCCAGACCCAGACCCAGAGACAGGGCGAGGGGAGCTTGCACCGACGTCATCCGACTTCATCCGACATGCATCCATCCATCCAACCACTTGCAAGGACAACACCAGGTGACCAGAACGTCGGACGACGTCTTTCTGTGTCGCGGCATGCATCGTAGCAGGTTGCAATTATGCAGTGCTACACCGGGCAAGCCGCGATGCGTTGGTGAAGAGTGATTGGCCCCATGCAGCGCGGCTATGTTTCATCAACATGCAGACCGGCAGGGCCATTCACACCTACCCTACTCGAACAGGCGCAGGCTGCGGCAGGCCTCCACGAGCAAGTGTCGTGTCGCCTTCTTCCTGCTTGACTCCCTTCATCTGAACAATACGAAGGTTTCTATCTAGCTTCGATTCTCCTGGGAGCGCCTCCATTGAACACTGCAGACACTCCATAAGCTGTCCAATGGACCCCATCAGCGCCGTCGGGTTTGCCTCTAGTATCCTGACCTTCGTCGAGTTCTCCTCCAAGCTCGTGCGGGGTACGTACGAACTCTACCAATCGAGCAATGGAACGACAGTCGAAAACGCGCACATCGGCAACGTCCTCTCCGACTTGCGAGGAGTAACCGATGAGTTACGGAACGATGCCGAACCACAAGACCGGCACGAGAATGAGCTTTCCAAGCTTGCGCGCAACTGTCGCGATCTATCCGACGAACTTGTCGAACTCCTAGGACGATTACAGCTGAAAGAGAAGGACAGACGATGGCAGACCCTTCGGGTAGCATGGTTGAATATGACAAAGCAAAAATCAATCGAATCGATCGAGAAGAGACTCGGGGAATACCGCGCTGAAATCGTGCTGCGATTGAATCTTATGATATGGTACGTTGATGCCCACGTGAAGCCAATTCGGCTTGTTGACTGTGTTCCAGCACACAAAACTCGTCCATCCAAAAGCAGATTTCGAACTCCAAAAAGAGTGTATCATGCTAGGCAGCGAGAATGCTGGTGAGACGAAACTCTTGAGTGACCAACTGAAGAGTCTTGCGCATCAGCTGGAGGGCGGTGGGCAGGCCCCTTCTTTGGCAGACATGAAAGAGCCGTTATACCACTTCGCCTCAGCTGCAGATGAGATTGCAAGGGAGAACAGGTCACTGCAACGTTTGGCCTTCCCCTCAATGCACCGTCGTGAGAATTCAGTACAGGATGCCGAGGCTGGAACCTTGAGCTGGATTGTGGACGGCTGCGACTTTGTCGGGTCCTCGGAAGCCAGCTATGGACCTGGACCCGGACATGCACCCGGCTCGCCTCGCGATCTCAACCAGGATGAGAAGAAATATCAAGGGGAACGGCGAGACGGCAACACAGGCTACACAATCTTGACCAGGCCGAGTGAGATTGGCAATGCTGATCACGAGGTTGTTGCAGATTCAAGTTACTCAAGCAGTGCGTCAGGTGCTGATGAGATCTCAGGCCACACGGATTGGCAGGTCGAAAGCCGTGACTCGTTCTGGAGAAAAATTGATCCAGAGATCACCGAGGAGGAACGTCATTCAAGACATCGAACTTCTGCAGCGTTGGCCAGATTCATTACGAGCGAGAATGGTTTATTCTTCGTCTGTGGAAAAGCGGGATCTGGCAAATCGACGTTGATGAAGTTCCTTGCCCAAGATCGCCGCCTCCTGCAGGACTCAGCCGATGGTCAGGTGAGAAGAAGTTGATCGTCGTGCGGTTCTTCTTCTGGAACTCGAAGGGTTCTACCGAACAGTTCTCTTCGACATTCTCAAGCAGTGTCCGAGTCTGATACACCACGTCGATACGCAAGCTTGCCGTCTAAGTCCCAACATGGTCGATGAACCTCGATTCCAAGAGATCAAGACGATGATGCAGGCACTGATAACGACTCGTCTACCGGAAAGCCGCTTATGTATTATCACTGACGGCCTCGACGAATATGAAGGGGACTCCCTGGAGCAATTTGAAGTGGCTCGTTCCTTGAAGGCTTGGTCGCGGTCTGAAGATGTTAAGATTATCTGCTCTGCCAGGCCGCATACGGAGTTTCTGGACACATTCGATGACCCAGCACGTACCATATATCTACACGAGCTTACTCGGGCCGACATCTTCCATTACGCAAGTGTGCATTTCAGAAACAAATTTCGGGGTCGACACAATCCCGATGATCGACCTGTCGTGGACGCGATCGCGGAACAACTTGTCGACATGGCTGATGGTGTTTTCTTGTGGGCTCGCCTCGTTGTTCGATCCTTGCTTATCGGTATGGCTTACCAAGACTCTCCCAAAGCACTCCAGGAACGATTGCGAGATACACCAAGGGATATGAATGGTCTCTTTCAAAAGATACTGGATTCGGCTGACCCTGCAACTCGCAGACTTTCTGATAAGGTGCTCCTTACGGCAGTGCAGAACCCTATGTCTCGTCCATTGAACGCGCGTGCGTATTCCTGGCTAGAGGATTTAAAAAACGAGAATTTCCCATATGGACCATGTTCAGCTGCCTATACCACACTCGAAGTGCAGAAGCGACATCGAAGTGTTCGACGCCAGCTTGATATCCTTACTCGCGGTCTACTGGAGTTGAGAAGTCGCAGGCATGTTATAAAAAAGGCCGAACCGGCGTTCTGGGCATACTCGGTCGAGTTTCTACACCGAAGTGTCAAAGACTTCCTTCACGATGTGTGGCTGGGTCAAGTCGCCCAGCAGTTTACCGATGAAAATTACCTCCGTCTGATGCTGGCTGAAGTCAAATTCTCAAGGAATCCAGACTTTCATCAGATGCCTCGGGATGATCTTAACTCGTTCATTCCATATTTGCGGCCTCGTGTCGAAGGTATTGGCATGTTGCTTTTCATGCGGCATCCACATATGACGCATTCGACAATAAGAAAAGCAATGACTTTCCTATGGACAGAAATCGACTCGTACAGGCACCTTATCTCTTCATTCCTGCCAGGGTCCTCGCCAACCCCATTCGGGGTCATAGCAATATTTACACCATTGGTACCCTAGAAAGCGACAACTGCGTTGCTTTACAACAAAGCGAACAGCGCACGGAATTTTCATATTATTCGTACCTGCGCTGGCTTCAGGCGGTAGCACAGCAGCACTGGCTCGTGCTTGATCTTCTCAGGGAGCGACCTGGCAATATGACCAGTCTGAACATAGATATACTGGTCACTGCTATCGCTACAATGGGAGCAAAGGTCATCGAACTGCTTTTCATAAGCGGGCTACCGCCTTCGGACTGCGTCCCGGTCATGGTTTTGTACGGACGATCAGAGCCTAAAAACGAGATCAAGTATTACGCCAATTGGCTTCTGGCGCTTCGCCTGTACTTACACTCCTTTCTCATGCACAAACAGGGTAAAGAGGCGGCCATGTGGGCGGTCGACTTACACGGGCACGAAATATTGACCAAATACCTCAAAGCTGGAGCCGACAGAGACGTGATTGTCGTTGCATTTCTGGCATCCCGGTCTCGAGATGGTCCTTCTAGCCCAAGCCCGGAGCAACTGTTATATCTAGAGCTAGTCGACGCGCTCAAGCTTGCTGGGTTCATGGATGATCCAGAGAATGCATCATTATTTCAGCCTCGAGGGCCGTGGTACTCCCCTCATCAAGCGGTTGACTTCGTGGGCAGGTGGATATCGCCGTGGCGCCGATGCTCGACATTCAGGGATACCTACAGGTTGGCAACCAGCGATGAGCTCAAAGACCCTCTCCTTCGCGTGTGGGGAGTTGTCTCCAGATATCAGTCGTTTCTTGGCAGTTTCAAGGTCGAGGTGTACTGAGTGCTCACGCAGGAATGGAGATAACATAAGATACAGGGGATACTCCCTCGGCAGTATTCGTCAACGGGTGTCTGTGGGGAACGGGGAATGGTGTGTCAGCCACTGTTGATTTACGACATTTAATACGAGCAACAAAAGATTGAATAGTAGCAGGATGGTCATGATTCAGGGTATGTCTTTGGTTTTACGGAATATTGAGAGCAATTGAGTTTAGTAAATTGGTTGAAGATCCAGCTGAATATGTCTGCGTTTCTGATTGCCCCGTCCTCCGTTCTCTGTTCGTGGCGATGTTCGTCCTCGACTCCAGCCTCCAGGCCACGGTTGCGGTACTCAACTACGCATCTTCAAAACCTCTGGTCCCATGCGATGATTTTGATGAGCTCGGGTGGCCTCTACCTGTCTCATGCACCCGACCATTGGAAGCCGTAACGGGTGCGGTGAGTAGTCAGCCGTGCCTCTCGCAGTCAGGAGTCGATGTCCACCAGCTCCTTGCTGTCTGCGTGGCTGCTCTGCCAGCATACACTCCAAAGCCCCTATCTCGAGTATGTGCCATTGTTCGCGTGGAATAAGCGCTGTCCTAAGCAGCCTTCCCGAGATCTTATGGTATTCTGTCGGTTACTCCATGACACCAGTGATGCTTATACCAGCACGATTCACCCTCAGACGGCGTAAACGTCGACGATACCGATGTAGACCGCAAAGTACTACCTAGTGCAGACACCATGCACACGCGAGAATTGCGTTCTACTTTTTCAGACGTGGATTAATGCCGTGTTGCGCTGGAGTGGGTGTAAGTGGTAAGAAAGAGCGACCCAAACAGAGTGTTTGAGAGGCTTTCGCGTTCATTCGATAGGCATCAACCCATCCAACAATGAGGAATCAGAAAACAATGCCCTTTCTGTCTGCGTGCTCGAAGAGCAGCTACGAGGCAGACCAGAAGCCAACAACGAATTAGCACGCCGACGTCGTATCGCCTCAATTGACAAAGGATCTGTCGCCCGACTTGGTGTTTTGGTGGAAGACAGTAGTCGAGGGCCACAATAGTTTGTTTGTTTGTTTGTTTTGTATTTAACGTGGGGGATTTCTCCTCAGTAGTGCAAACCACGCCTCCCAGAGCCTCTGCATCGCAGGGTTGTGGAGGTATCAAGATAATAAGTACAGTCAGTCCCGCTCACGAGCCCATCCCCGTTGTTGCGGCGGTATGACCTTATCGTCATTTCCTTGTTCACTGCCACCACTGAGAGCTGAAGCATCCTATTGTCGTGGCTGTCACTGGGACATGCGAAGAGAAGGCAAGCATCCATCAACAAGGACGTCGTTTGGCTGCGGCATCATCGGCATCCAACTGTTCTGCCTGTCTCCTGGTAGAGTCTCAGAACTAGTGTATGTCGTCCTCATCCGCCCCTCGAATTACCAGCGCCTCCGCAATGCCCGTTGCTTCCGACTGATCGAACGAAATCCCACCGCTCGGGAAGCCACTGAACTCACGAGCTCGTTCCTCCGGCACGTATCACCAACCCCCTGGTCCTCGCCTTTATCCTCTCCCTCGCTCTCTGGTGGTCCGACCCGGCGCCCTTCACTAACGCTGGTGAAGGGGATCTTGTCGGCCGATTTGCCATACTCCTTTTTCTTGGATTGATGGGCTGATCGAGGGGGCCCAGCAGCACAACAACCCGTTCCCGAGGAATCTGAGTGCGGTCTCCACTCCCTCAAGCACCTTTATCGGCTTGCTGGGTTCCGCGCTCGCCAGCTGGGGCAGACTGAATGGTGGGAGGCGCAGCTCGTTACCATCCGCTGCGAACACCGACGGGCAGGTGGCGCCTCTATCCTCGAGATGGCCCCTGAGTCCCATAACGGAGACGAGACGTCGTGTGCAATTGTGACATGGTACACCAGAGATCGGGAGCCCAGAAGGAACCTCACTTCCCGTCACAGCTTCTGCCATTCAAGGCGTTGCGAACTGAAGCCGTGCAACGACAACCTAACAGTACAGGTACAGAACGAATGAAGCATGACGCACTGTGAAGCACACTTGAATGTGGCTGAAATCCGAGTTCTAATGACACATGTACGACTACGAGAGGGGCGGAAGTCAATCTCTCCCCCTTTCAACTGGTACATGTCAAAACTGGTATATGCGTGTTCCGTAAGATGAACACAGACTTGATTGATCCTGAATATCGTCAGGTTGATGAGACGAATAAGAAAATCACCATAAAACTCGCCACTCGATACCGGCTGAGCCGGCGGACAAGAATTTCTGCCAGCTCAGGAGACCTGCCCTTGAAGAAAATTTAATTCTAGACCAAATAGGAATACGACACATCCACCGTGTAAGGCTATGATATAGGAACGTATCTCACCATCTTGTGTCATCTCCATACATCGATATATTGTAATCAACGCACGCCGGCTACTTAGCAGTACCGAAAAGCTTCCAGGATAGGAAGAAGCCCACCTCTATCGCCACAGCAATCGCACACGAGGTAGTAGATCGCCCCGAGCAGCTCAGGAGACCTATCCTCCCCATAACGCTGGTAAAGGTAAGCCGACCGAGTGCCCCTGTGCAGACCAGGCGTCAACTGGTAGTTCACGAACTCTCCCCTGGAGAAGATTTACCTTGACTGTCGAGCCAACTCCTCACATATCGACAACAATGAATCATCCCAGGGGTACAATACGACTTTGCAATACACCCGACAAGATGGGACCTACAATACCACATGTGCGCCTCGTAGATAGATAGACAAAATCCTCTACCACCGCCAGCCAGCAGCGAAACGAGGACCATGTGTGCCGCTGCTGGCTCAGGGGCAGCCCCAAGTCCCAAGTCAGAAGTCACCAAACTCCCACAGACGGACATCCACGCCTCCTAGAGAGGATTGATAGACTGGACACACACAGCGATCTCCTCCCTCCCTGACCTTTTCTTCTTTCTCTTCTTTTTCTACTACGTAGGTCCTAAGCCCACGGCACCAAGCCTAATCCGAAGGCAGGAAGGGTGGGAACCCAAGGACAACAACGAGCACCACCAAAGCCCAGAAGCCCAGGCTCCCAGCCAGCCGTGCTCCAATCTGAACACCGTAGGTACATGACAAGGATTGCCAGCCGAATGGCCCCCTCATCTAGATATGCAATAGCTCCAGGCACAAGTCGAAGTTGGAGCCACTCACTTCACCTGTTGACCATTAATAAGGGACCGCCCCGGCGCCCGCGAGATCACCGCTGTTGTTGGCGTTGGTGCCGGTACCGGTGTCCCTTCTTGCCTTATTACCCAAGGTAGCCAGCGGGTCTTAGAACCGGGCCTAGATTCTCTTCCGAATTACTATAGTAGTACATAAAGTAGCGCAAGGCTTAACCTACTGTATAACCCGATCCGTTTCGGGACTCATTCGGGTGAACGTTTCATTTTTCGAAGAGGGTTTCCGGTAGTTCAATCTGCCGAAAGCTCAAGCCCAAGCCTAGGCAATGCCTACAAGGACATACCCTCAACCTTTATTAGTTGAGACGAACGGATGAACAAGGCGTCGTGGCTAGGCTGCTAGGGTAGGTACCAGAGTCGATTACCTCTGCCTGGTAAATTGCCTCTGCCCTACTGTAGGACGAGTAGGTCTGGCCTCTAGTATAGCTTCCCCGCAGAATCCAGACACAGAAAGGAGCGACGTCGGGAGGATTGGACGTCACGGAAACATCGCGTCGCGGAAATGACGTCACATCCTGAACTCAACACCTCATTTTGAGTAGGAAATAGGCACGAAAGACGAGCAACTTTGCTGCGGCTTTGCCCGGAGCAATGCAACGACAGGAATAGCAACACTGATAACCCGACACCACAATGTGACTTTCCCGTGCATGAAAAGAAGGAGACCGTCAGCGTATGATTTCGCGCAGGGCCGTCACCGAGCGGATCATCAGAAAGCCACACACACACACACATGCCACAGGAAGATCACTCACCAGCCCCGATCTAATCGGCCCAATGCGTGACGACCCCCCCCCCCCCCCCCCCCGCAGTGCCCCCGGCCCCAAGACCCCGAATCCCTCTTCCACCACCGCGTCCGCAAAGGGGCATCAGGACCGCCGATCGCTGTGGTTGAGCAACCACCGAGCAGCCACCCGGGGTTCCGCACCAGCCGCACGCTGTCGTCAGAGCGCCGCCGATCAGTTGTGGCTCGGCCCAATGAGAGCGGCGCGTCTCAACTCCGTGGGATCGGTTTGTTGAGGCTTGAGTCATCCACCCAGCAGCCACCACACCCATCACACCCATCATGTTGTGGCGAAGATCTTCAGTCCTCAACCCACATAGGGCAAATGCTCGACGCCAAGCGGCGAGCCAGAGCGAGGCAGTGCAAAAAGATCTACTTACCGCTTCCTGTGGCGGACACGGTAAAACTGCCGGATAGGGAAAGTACGCAGCCGTACGGAGCGCGGCCATTGGTTGCCGTCGCTGGACTATCCTCGACGGGAAGTCTCTCGGATATGTGGCTTCACGGGTGGCGATATTCGCTCGCTTCCAGCAGCAAGGGCTCGTCAAGCCCCATCCCCTGTCTCCTCTCGCCGCCGTTTGCCAGTCTGCTTCGTGTCGAAACGCTGTGGCTAGTACGGCAGCGATCGACGTCGTCGTCGCACCTAACCGTTCTCAAAGGGGTAGCCGCCCCAGGGCGTGTCGGGAGTCTGTGGCTGGTCTCTCCACCAGCACACACATGTGTGGCGATACCATCCCCATCGTGGTTCCTTGTACCATGTCTTCCCTTGGTGAGCCTCGATCTTCAGAGCCTTCATTGGTTCCAGCCACTGTCCAAGGTGAAGCTTGCGATGCAATCTGTGGCTCACAGTGACACAGGGATGATGATGTCTGAGCCACAGGCGGCGATTTTCAAGTTTTTAACGCAGAGCCGGTGCCGAATGAATATCCAGACCGTCGCGAAGTCCGTCGCGACCCTTCCCACCGGCGCGCCGAGCCGAGGGTGTCCCCCGCCCTGGCAAGCTGAGATCAGCTGCTTCCACAATCCTATTGGGTCCAGTCACCAGATGAGACATGCACGTTGTCGTAGATGGAATTCAACGTGGTTAAAGGGAGGCCTCCTTTGCCTGTCTAGACCGGACTGTCCTTGCAATGGCCACTTCACGATGGCGCGGCATGCTGTCCTCCGGTAGGCCGCGTATGTGTGTGACTTGGTGTTTGGTGATTCGATCTCCTCCTCGGAGGACCGAAGAGTTATGCTTATCCGATGCCAGCCTCTGGAGGCCTCCAAAAGCATCACGTGATTCGAGACCAAGCACTAAAAGAACGATCTATTCGTCGCCTCGAGATGCCGGCAGGCCGGCACCAGGAATTCTGGATAGGGGTCCACCGTCCCGGTCGAAGTCGTGGGGTTCTCAAAGCCGGGGTTCCACTCGGTGCTTGTGGTCAAGCCTCCCGAAAGCACCCCGTAGGGCAGCAAGTCTGGTCTAGACAATTCGTGGCGGGTGACCTACCTTACTAACCAGCAGTCCAACGCCCGAAGCCCGATGTACCGGTACTTCGGTCGCATTTGGGCCATCTGACAGATTGATGACCTGCGCCCGCAGTGCGTCACAGATGCATTCATGCATGCCGCAGAAACCCCAACGATGCGCTGAAAGCGACGCGCCCATGCGCTACAGCTCACCCTAGCCTCAGGGCCTAGGGGTCCTACTGCAGCACATGATGGTCGACAGTGGCCTATGGCTGGGTCCGCCGAGGTGTGAGCTGATGCACTCGTTTGGAGATAAGAAACCCCCTTTTTACCACCACGCCCTATCAAATTGGGTCGCACAAACACTGAACACCCACCATTTCGGCCTTGGGATACCTAAGATGACCCTGATAGACAGCATTCCGAGACGAGTCTCACGTCGGAAGAAAAGGTTAATGTCAGACATTGACAGTCGGCTGGCAGCGGTGGCTGTGCGTCTTCCCTAGACGAAAACCCCTTAAGTGGAACAGATAGACTCACCGTCAGGCTGTCCGTAGCCGCCTACAGATTGGACTTTTCGCCGTTTCAACGGTAACACAGTGACAGGTGCGTTTCCCGAGCTGGGCGTCATTGGTGTAGGCCGGCTCAAGCTGCCTGCTGCAGTGTATAAAGACACTCCGAGCGGAAGAAGCGCCGTTGGGACCGACCGGTTCTGGGGCTAAAGCTACAGACAGGACGAGTCGAGCTGGCGTCGAGGGCTAGATGTGACGGCCTGTCAAACTATGTGTGAGACGACAACCGACAAGTCGTACGATCTTTGCATTCCCTTGATGGTCAGGCGAAGATGCAATGCAGAAGGTAGGGGAATATACAGTTCTTGATTGGCTTTCCGAGTAACTGTCAGTTACGTCGTACTTGACGATAGAACAGTGTGTTCTGCAGCATCCTGACTCCTTCTCGCATACTCTTGTGGATTTGGGGTATCTGGCATGGATCAAGGAGATCCCCTCACTAGGAGAATTGGAGTCTGAGAGTCTCGGCCGAGGGACGTTGACTTCTGTCCCCAACCGCGTCAGGTACGCAGGTACCGCACACTTGAGAGCGAGGTACCTACCACTTGGGAGCCATGTACCGCGGCGATGCTGCCAGGAGGAGCAGCTAGGGGTATCGAATTCGACATTTGCCATAGATAAAGGCATGCCTCGAGCGAGAGCCACACTCTCAGACCATGAGCCCAGCAGCGTACCAGCTCCAGTACCTAGTGCATGCAGCAGCGCGCACCAGGACGGACTGAGCTTGAGGTGCAGTAACGCCCAGGGAACACGCAAGCCACTCGCCACATAGGGCAGGGGTAATGTGGCGGGAATTTTGCACTGCCTCAGTTCTAGACACAGTTTCGGGTGGCTTGACCCATCGAAACGACGACTCCAACGTCAGGTCAGGTCTGACAATGCCGCTGTGCCGGCCGCAGGGACCCAGATATCGCAGGCTAGGTTAGATCAGACGGTGCAGACGAAGCGCCCAACGGGTAGGCGGCACTTGAGGTATCATGGGATCCAGTCGACCAGAGTTCGCAATGGGGCCTCCAGTGTCGACCGCCGTGTCCGCTCCGTCAAGCTTCGGCAGCGGGAAGCATAAATCCGTGATGTTAGTTGTTTGAATGCGTGCTGCTAACCGCACGTAGTAGTGAAAGCCGGCGAGCCAGTCATCCCGAGAGTGGCAGGGGAGCGTAGACGTGGATATTGTTAGATAATCATCTCCCGTGGTCTTGATGAGAAGGGAGGGACAGGCCTCGGCTTTGAGCTGCCGGAACGAGCCAGGTGATGTCGGTCGGCCCAGTCGGCCATTCGGTCAAGCACCCGTCGCTGCCATGGCAATCGCGTGGGTGTTACTAGTCCGTCTGACGCCAAATGAAGAGAGATAAACGGCGAGGTCTTTATCAATCCCTTTGGCCGACATTATCATCACGTCGTGCATGGAACTGGGCTGGCTCCTAAGATGAGGTGAATCCCGCAAAGGCGCTATGCTGGAAAGCGGTTCGTGGAAATGAGCGCAGAAGGATTCGAAACCTCGGATCGCGCAAGCGATATTGGGGAATGCAGGAGGGGGAATGGTGATAACGGGGGAGTGGAAGCGGCTGAAGAAGCGTTCACGAATGATTCATCTCGAGTAAGCCGGCATCATCTCCGTCCGTGACCCGGCCCTGTTGCGAGAACCGTCGTCGTCATCCTGTGCTGTTCGATTGCTTCTGTTGTTTCTGGCTGGCTGACGGAATGGTTTGTACTTTTGGCCGGCCCTGGTCGCTGTTTGATGCGAGGGGCCGATGGGAATGAGAAGTCGATGAAAACCCCCATGTGTAGATTAGAACCCAATGTTTGGTGTTTCATGTTTCGCGCTGGGATAGCAGCGCGGCTCATGTGGGGGAGATGAGGGTCGATGGGATCTGAACCAAAACCTCCGACTGGTCAGAGGGTAGGCGTGCAGGGAATTGGGTTTGATGAGGGGTAGCTCACAGCCTTACACCCACTGTATTCGAAAGGTCAAGCCACTGAAGCCACAGTGGGTGGCGGGTCTGGCACCGCCGTTCAGGCCTTTGGAGGGGTAAGTCAAAGGCCAACGCGACGAGCATCACAGAGCCTGGAGCCGCTGAAGAAATCCGCCTAGATACACCAACACGAAAAGTGCATATTACCCTTCATCACCTCAAGGGAAGAATAGGACGGATACCTTATTTACGAAGAATGGCGTGATGGATAAAGTAATTTTGTCATTTCTCCCCGACCCATGGGCTATGATACTTGCAACTGTACTTGGCACTGTATGGTGTCGTGATCCGAGTCCTGAAGAGAATCGTGGAGTCTCCAGGTCACAGGTCTCGGGTCTTGGGGGTTTCTGTTACTATCAGCATCGTCTCCTATGAATGCCGCATTGCCCTGCTTCAGATTTCTTCACGCAAAACAGATACTAGATATGCAAGCAGTCACGTAATGTAACAATAATGGTTGCCTCGCTTCAATATTACACCCCTTACATTTTGCTCGGTACCACGTACGATCAATATAGGGCCGCTGGGCAATAGCAATAATGGCCCGAACCGTCATCAGTCATCAGTCTAGGCCCCTTCGTCCCATGTCCCTCTCCAGAGCCCGGAGAGGGACCGTCAGCACGGCCTAATCTGGTCGGGTCAATTGCGAGGCTCTCTCTGCTAGTCTAGCAGAGCACGATTCAGTCGTTTGATGAGGGATACGTTTTAAGGGGTAAAACCAGCTAAGTTTCATGATCGTAGCCCACCCTAACATTACGATAGCAAGAGAAGACCAAAACAATGTGATGATTTTAGTAATAATGTCAAGATGAGATCGCGATCGATCTCGACACCCATCGCTGCGACTCGCACAGATGCGATTTAAGCGCCCGCGGGGAGGGGGGGGGGGGGGTGAGATACAGAAGATTGCGTTCCGTCTCGTCTCGTCTGGTCTCATCTCATCTCCGACTTGAAGCTATAATTTGCGTAGTTAAGTTTCAGAAACGAACCGGCGCCCGATATGAGATCTGAGATGTCGACCAGAGTCGCACACATCGAAATTAATGCGTCGTAAGCACCACCGGGTTCAATACGTGCGCGTTCCGTTTGCTGTGGCTGTCAGGTAATCACGGCACGTGTCCGGAATTGAAGCTTATACCGGAATCTAAGGAAGTGACTAACAATGGGATGACGCAACAGCCGAATGTTCACCGGCAAGGTAAGGTGAGCAATGTCACGATAGTTATGTGTACTTCTTTATGTTGTTTCTACCGGAGGAGGGGGCCAGCACATCGCTACACGATGCATTAAGTGGGCACACGGATTGCTTGTCCACATCAGACCAACGTCAAAAGAACAAAAAGCCCTGATGGGTATGGGTAGTAAAAGTAGTATGGTAAAAGTTGGTGTTGAAGAAGAAGTGACATGTATGTGATGACGGCCCTCGATGTCTCCCACCCCGTGCAACATCTCGATAGAGTGCCCCCTCTCTTGTCATGTACTCCCGCATACGCGCCCGCGTCGTGTATGTTGCGTCGTGTATGCATGTGTATAGCTGCGTCGTTTTCTCGAATGACGCTATATCTCGTTGATCCAGAAGACCGACGGATGGTGATGAAGAAGGGCGTATGTCCCATGCCAACAAGGTATTTCCAAGGACCGTGGTGGCAGCGATCATTCCGGAGTCGTTCGGCACAGCTTGTGTGATCTCCGAATAACCCAATCTAAAATATCCCAAAATCTCCGTTCGTCAACCGACGAAACGAAACAGAAGTAAGCTGCCCATAAAGGGAGTGGTATCTTTGAAGTTGCTCTCCCAAAACGCCGAAATCAATAAATGCAAGGACCCGCCGTATGTTCGTGTGTTCATTAGTCGACCTTGTGGTAGACCGACGGTCGAGGGACCGTATAGCCACCTCTTTCTATGATGCTCCCTCGAACCCATATGTTGGTCGGTCAATCATTATATATCGAATCAAAAAGTAAGTCGTAGTTCGTAGCCATTCGTCGTGCGGAACGCGCTGTGTGCTGAGTTCCGGTCGCCCTCGGGCGCATCGAGCGCCATCATTTCCCACCCTCTCTTAGGTTGGGGAACGCTCCGCTCCACATCTGCGATCTCAAGAATCATGTCCTGGCCTTCCGATAATTCGTGGATCACATCGTCGTCTACTTCAACCTCCAGGCCACTGTCGAGAACGTGCACGACACGGACGACTGCTAATGAGTCGATGGCCCACTTGGCAGAGACCCGTGAGATGAACTCGGATAGCGAACGCTCGGCGAGGTAGATGGCGCGATGGAGGACTGGTTTGTCTGATTTCGAAACTGGCCGTCGAGCAACATAAAAGCACGCGATGGGCTTTGCTGGCTTCTCAACCGGGGGCTTGTATGACGGGTCTACGCCGAGTGCTTCGATCCAGCCACTCAATGTCCCATCGTCGTCCGTCTTCGCCACCTTCACTGGCTGATCTGAAGCTCGTCGGGAGGTCGCGGGCTCGCCACTACCTGGTGCGTCGTTCCATGGAGCTGCAACTGCCGGTTGAGACTGCAAAGATATGGAGCTTGGCGAGGGTGAGACGAGTGACGATGCGGTTACAGAGCCTCGTCCGCTTCTGGCCTGCCACGCTGCGCTATCCTTCGATTCTACCTTGGTAAGATCGGTGGGTTCACCCGCAAGGGCCACAGGATGCAGGTCGGGGTCATCCGTGTCCTCTCCTCGCAGGTACAAGATGCTCACAGGTCGAGTGCTGGTGAACATATCCTGCAGCGTTTGCAATTTGAAGTGTAGGTCGTCTTCGAGGGACGGTCTTGTAGCACCGCCGCCACCACCGCCGCCACCGGCCGAGCTCGTCGACGACATGGACCATGTTCTCTTATGCTTCATTGCCTTTCCTGGCCGCTGGTTGTCCTGTCCCTTGGCATGTGCTCCACCTCGTTTGCGTTTTCCGAAGTCTTTCCCTCCGCTTTCCGCTTGCGCGATTTGCTGCTTGAGCTTGTCGATCGTCTTCTTCACATGCGCCACGTCGTTGGAAAGCTTCCTCTCAGCACCATGATCTCGGAACAGTTTGACTTTACAGTAGCATATCTCGGCGGCCGCATCTGCTGGTGGAGAGGCATCCGCCGTCGTCGATAAAGCGGTCGTTTTGGAACACAATCTTACGGGGATGCCTTTCACGCCCTTGGAGTGGCTAAAGTCAGTCGACAGAAAGTTGAACCGGACGGCGATGTTGCATTCGGTTGCGCCATTGACACCCGGTGTCCAGACGACAGAGAACCCATCGAAGGAGGCAGTCTCTAGCTCGATGCGGGTGCGCTTATCGTCACCTTCTGCCGGCTGGCCAGCTTCCACGTATTCGACGGCCTGCAGCTTACCACCGCGCTGATGTGCTTCGTTAGTGCCCCGGCCTTCCTTCCACAAGGTCCAGCAGACCCCTGGCTTCAGCCGTTGTTGATCGTCCTCGAAAGAGACACGCACGAATGTCCGATACTTGGTCCCCGGCACAATGGGCACAGTTGAACCGGTGTCCACGACAGACAGCGAGTACGCCTGGCCTTTGTTGAGATAGGTCACCGGTATCTCATCGGCGTGTTTGATCATAGCTGTCGGTGCGTTCAGAGTGGAATGGAAGCGAAATTTGTCCGCTGAGGGTGGTAGCGCATGCGTCATGGTCACTCCGAAGTTTCTAGGTTGAAAGCCCATCATAGGAGGTGATTGCGAGTTGAAAGTAGCGTCCATGGAACCCATGCGATCTTCGGGTCCGTCCGAGCCTAGGGGTGACCCGTCATGATCCATCGTCTCGTAGCCAGTATCCTGGTGGACAAATGACGAAGGAGCGAACGATTGCTGTACCGGGCTAGGCTCGATGAAAGGGTTGTACTGCTGCTGGAAGTGTTGTGGCGCCAGGCCATGCTGGAACTGGGAGAGGTCCATCATGGCTGGGCCGGCGTGTATAGCCCCTTCGCTGGTGGGCAGAGACAGAGGCGTTCCGAGCCCCATGCCGAGTCCCAGGGAAGGCGTGTGCAAGTCGCCGGCCTGCGGGTGGTAGAGCGTGTTCGTTCCGCCAGGCGTGGGAGTGTAATAGCCCGGCGGTTGGTTGGCGAAAGCACTGAAGGAGAATGAATTAGGGTCAAGCAACGAAGGGGTGAATCTCCATTCCGCCGCCGAAGCTCGTGGTGTGGGGTCTTGATCTCCTCGGAACACATCGTGCCCTGGATTCTGATGTCTGAAGAGAAAGGGATCAGAATTAGCTTGATCCAGTTTCGAAAGCTGAGACTATAGACGGCGAGGGTCGGCGGCAACGGGCCATCGACGTCGTGCTTCTGGTGATGGTGCTGGTGCTGGTATACTGAGTGTGGCATACGGTCGGGGGCCGGAATACCCCGCGCTTTGCACTCGCAAGTAGCTCTCAGCTAAGGCTTCGAAGGTTGACCCGACAGCGCCTGCACCGCCTCATTCACACTAACATGGACCAAAAAGGTCATCACGGGATGGGAAAATAGGTGAATTCCGGTTGCACATACCGTTCTTGTGCCGCGGCAACGAGGCCTAGGTTGTCACCTGCCACGGTGATTTGCGACGGCGCTCCTGTCGTTGGAGACGTCGATGGCGCTGTGTTGAGCTCTGGGAACTGCATTCGGAAGTCGGCGAGCAGCCCATCGCCGGGCTTTCGCGTGCTCGTCCTGGAAGGGGCACAAGGAAGTCAGTCAGCATGTTTATGTTTGCGCGTGACATGAGAGGCGGAGGGCGGAGGGCGGCGACGACAAGGACGGTGATGTCGCGTGTAGATCCGGCAACACCCCACGTGGAGCCCGCACGCTATGCGCCGATCGCTTGCGCGTCTTGCGGGTAGTCCCTGGAAGTTTGTGGGCGAATATGAAGAGACATAGATACAACTCACCTTTGGCTGAACATTTGGGGAAACCACTCAGACGGATGCTGTCACGAGACAGCAATACCAATGAGCTGGCAAAATAAAGTCTGGATTTGATGCTTCCTGGAGAGGAGAATCAAGCGATGCGCCGTCGAGGAAGTTGAGGTGATGAGGTCTGGTGGTCCTGGGGGTGGCGGCGCAATGTGGCTGACTCAATAACTTATGTGCCTTCCAACGAGGGAGGAACGACGTGCGAGCAGCAGCTTCCTTCGTAGTCCGTTCGCTTGGCGAGAGGGAAGAGACGACAAACGAACGAACGAACGGACGTAGTCTCGAGGGATGTTTTGCGACACGTCGCAGAGCTGTCTTCTCCAACGATGGTGAGGGGATGGGCTTCCTTGTGTCAGAGGGAGAAAGAGATCTGAAGAAGTGGTAAATCGAAAAAGCGAGTGGACAGTCAGGGTCAGGTAGGCTAGCTGAGGTATATGGGAGAGGCTGATCTGATGGAGGTGAGAGGTAGGCAGCGTGAGGTAGGCAGGCACGCAGGCAGGCCGGCCGGTAAAGTAGCGAGCGAACTGAGCTAAACTAGTAACTCGAAGATATTATAGCAACAGGTCCAGTCCCTAAGAGATTGGGTGGTGGATACAGCGATGGTCTAATATGTTCCAGAGTGCCAGAGTCCCAGACGGGGTGAACAAGGGCAGTGGGCAGAGGGCAGACACGGACACGAGCGTGATAGTCGGGGTACTTGTGAGGAAGACGTCAGTCAAGGCAGTCAAAGCAATGCGATGAGTTCATTGCCAGAAGATTGCTAGGGCTGGCGGGCGTCTGGCTGAATGAGTCTGGCTCAAACTGGATGTCGGTCCATGGGCATGGGCATGGGCATGGGCAGGGGGCATCATGGCATGGATAAGATACATGTACAGATTTGCTGTGCTGCCGCGGGCGCTGGGACGGTGAAGTGGCACGCTTGGGGATAATCCCATGAACATGGGAGGGGTAGCTGTCCCAGTACCGTTACTTCTCGGGAGGGGTGTGTGAGTCAAGGGAGAGGGGGCGTGTGGTTGCGAAATGAGGCCCGGACCCTAGTTGTGGCCGTGCCCTTGTGGCTGTTGAACAGCTCCACCTTTCCACCGAGAGACACATCAGATGGAGACTGAGGAAGCGACGGAGGGACTTGTGAAAGATGTACAGTACATACATCTAGGGCTGATGCTAGGTAGGTGGAGGCAGTCGTCCATGTTGCTTTTCTGTCGCTGATGATCGCCCTTCATGCTGCACCCATGTGCCTACCTCCTACCTCGCCAGCTCACATCACGCCCAGCACGTGAATGGGTATCATCATGAGAGGATTCGTGCATTGAGCTGTGAGTCTATACTGATACTCGAGTCGCTCGTAACTTCATAGATCTCGGAGCTCTTTGGCTCCGAGGACAACACTGAAGCTTCTTCAGTCAGGCTTTGATCGAGCATATGCGACTAAACCCTAAAGCACTTCAGAGACAAGGAGAGTGTACATGATATGCACATTCTCATAGAGGGCACTGCATTAATGTATGACGGATGTATGTAGAACTTCCCGCGTGTGTCCAGAATACATGCACTTTTCTCGCCCGCACTCCAAGTCGGAAATGTGGCAGAGATCAATGCAAGTACCTGTACCTCTACGCATGTCTCTCTCTCTCTCTTTCTCTCGGGTCACTCCAGCGTTGCCGCTGTCCCTTGACAATCCCAGCCCAACCCGCACCCACCCACCAGCACCCACTCGGCTGCGCGCATCTGTGGCGTCCCCTGCAATTTGGCAATTCTAAGAAGTTGCCCCGGGGCTGGATCGGGCTGAGGCGGTACCTACGTATCCTGACTCGGGCGCTGAATCTCACGGTACCGTCGCTCAGGTCCCTCCTGCTAGTAACGCCCAACTCGCGCTAGAGCTGTGGCTGCTATTAGCATTCAATTGTCAGGACCTGCTGGAGTCGTAACCGACTCCACCCCGTGCCGTCCACCAACACCCAGATGCGGACGACTAGCTAGGTAATGTCATCCGTAACATGACATAGGACGAACTGAATAGGTGGTAGATGGTAGAGTTTGGTAGAGGAAATAGCTGGCCCCGAGAGAGCCCAATTGACTTTCTCTGGAAACACCATGATGTTGCATTCTCTGAGATCAAAGAGCTCGCCTCTTAGATGAGAAGTCATACTGACAGGCACTTGGGACCAGAGTCCGTCCACTCAAAATCGCAGTATGCAGGCCTGCTGTGTGCGGGATACTGAAAGCAGATGCGTGGGTTTTGACTCCAAATTGCATCAGCGGCAGACATACTCGACGACCACAACGGGCCACTGGGCACCATCCACATCGCTGCAAGTAGACAGCTGGCAATATAAATCCCATGCGGCTGACCCAAATCGGGACGGAAGCCCAAGCAGTCGGCGCGGGAACCAGGAGCGCAAGTAAATACTGACGACTATAACCTTCTCTCGTGTTGCCGAGCATAAAAGAGGGTGATGTCTCCCTCAGGCCTCGATGCCATAGCTACTCGAGGCGATGAGATGTGTGTAAAGTAGGAGGCTTCGAGACATGTCTCGTGATACCGACTCACTCATTGGGAGGACAGTTTCTACTTCCCGCCATCGACAAGATAACCTTTTGAACGGTCACGCGGTGGGGGAACGAGCTTCACACGCGTAACTCTGCTGGGTCACTTGCCATCCAATGTGTTACGGAAGCCCCCGTGCCTACGAAAGCTCGGATCTTATTAGATGACACTTGTCGGGTGAGCTAAAGGACCGAAGCGGCTGTGAAGCGGTCGCTCAGACCAGATGCCAATTCCGATGGGTGTTGTGTCTTGTCGTCAGACGGGCCTCTTCGACGCCTTTGCAAAAACACGGTATAACACCACGATAAGGGCAAGGCTTGGCGACCTCGGATTTACGTCCGTGCCAATCATCGAGAGCTTGGGTGATGTGGACCGCCGTCTTATACTCGATGAAAGATTGCGTCAGGGCCGAGGATGGGTTTTCGGGTTTGAAATTGCAGGAGTTCCCGTGTGCGATGGAGCTGATGGTATCAATGGTTAGTTTGACACCGTTGGATCCTCACACGAGCCTTTTTTACCGTATCAATTTTCTTCAACGAAGTGACCGGCACGTGGGGAGGCTCGCAACTAGCAGAGCGCTAGCATCCACAAGATACGCCACCCCGAGGTCAGGCAACTGGAATCGAGGATGACCTGGAAAGAGAGGCCTCACAGGCGCTCCCGTGGTGGCCTGGACGTGGTGGCGTGGCGCGTCCCAGCAGCTTGGGCCTATCTCATACAGCCGATACCCCTGATAGGAGATATCCCTTATACCGCATAATATCAGAGATAGCGCATATTTTTGTGGCTACGGGAATTTATTGTATGGGATATCACCAGATAACGTATAAATCAGATGTCGCATACGTTTTCACTGACCGCACGGACTGCTTTGGCCCCTCATAGCGCATATTCCTCCCATATATTACCCGTTTTGGCAGCTAGGCTGCTGCCAGGGCCCTGGTAGGCCCTAGGCCACCACCCATGACAGGCCTGACAGGACCTGGCACGGACCACCTACCTACCCAGATACCGCATATATCAGAGATAGCGCATATTTTTCTGGTGACAGATCTCATCTCCTATTGTGCCTTGTGGTAGCGGTATCCAGAATAAGGACCAGGGTCACGATAGGTGGCTATTGGTCTGTATTCTGGAAGTTGCTTGATTGAAAGAAGGGATGGGTGGTGTCCCCATCCCAGAAGTAGCTATCATCCCAGTTGGTTACAAATCAGGTACAAACGGGTACCTGTTGGGCTCCAAGGTACCTTGTATCCTGGTCCGTGACCCATCCGTCATTGTGGCTGGAAAATGGGTTGAGTAGCCACACTATCAGGGGTAGCCACTGTGAGAGATAGGTATCTAGCGTGGCCCGCTCGAGTGCGCATAGGAAGAACAAGGGATGAAGAGACTGGCTCCAGACACATCGTGGTGTTGTTGGCTATGTGAGTACCTCCGGCCACGCCGTGGGAGGCAAAGAGCATACGTCAACTGCAAAGAGAAAAGTTACTGATGCATGATAAGAGATGTCTTGATTCAAATGGTGACGTGCCATCGGCGTGAGTGATCAGCACAGCGGACCAGTGAGAGGTGGGAGATTGACAGCTGGGTTTGTCTGCATCTGAGATTTCTGAGATCGCCCCGCCGTGATTTATTTTAATCCAAAGATGCATCTGTGGCTTTGCGTATCTGTGGCTTGCGTAAGCCTAATTGACCAGCCTCACTGGAACCGCCACAACGATCGTGCCACAGATCGGCTACCAACGTTTGGAATGAGATCTCGGACGAGAGGCAGAATTGTGCCTTGTGGTAGCGGTATCCAGAACAAGGACCAGGGTCACGATAGGTGGCTATTGGTGTGTATTCTGGAAGTTGCTTGATTGAAAGAAGAGATGGGTGGTGTCCCCATCCCAGAAGTAGCTATCATCCCAGTTGGGTACGAATCTGGTGCAAACGGGTACCAGTTGGGCTCCAAGGTACCTTGTACCCTAGTCCGTGACCCATCCGTCATTGTGGCTGGAAAATTGGTTGAGGAGCCACAGATTCATGTGTTTCGCCGTCTCTCGAGTGTTTTCGTCCTCATTTTCCTATCCCCTCGTCCTCGGGCCCGCCCGCTTTGTCTTCCGTTCCGCCCAATCTCCGTGGTCGACACGTACAGTAGTAGGGATTCGGAATGATCCATAGCGTTCATTGCCCCTGCTACCGCCAATCCCATTTCGGATTCTTCCTCCGCAGGCTACTCCGGGATCACCATCGCCCGGTCTCAGCTCATTCTTCTAGTCGCGAAGAGGGAATAATCGCGAAGAGGGAAACAAAGCAATGAGAGCGCATTTCCACCCAAACCGCAGGCATCCCATCGCCAACGCCATGGGATTTGGTAATACAAGCAGAGAATTCGATATGTTCTGTTTCCTCGTATGCTTCTTCTTCCCCTCGCGTACTGTCGTTTGCAGGGTCTTTCCAGGTGCGTTATCCCTGGTTCCCTCAGTGGAAACTCCCGAAATTTACTAGGATTCATCATCACGGTCTCCTCGTTTTATCAGCTCCGACCCGACTCGGCCGTCTCCATATGGGTTTCGCTGCCGTTGCTGCCGAGGAAGCGTCTGACAGACAAGCAGACAGACTTCTTGACGGACGCGCACGTGCGAGAAGGTGCCATGGATCAAGCCTACCGTCAAAGCAGACTGTCCGGCTCGGGGCATTGGAATTTCGCATCGCGGTCCAGCCTCATTCCGGTTGTTTGGGCCTGAGGCTTTCAATCAATCTTATGAGCAGGCTGCCACTGCCACCCCGGATCGCCATCATCTCAGCTCTTGAGTGTTTGCTATGGATTCAATACACGCCTCGAGTGACGCCACTCCAAGCTGGGAATAAGGTCGTGGGGGTTCCTCCTACATCGTTGCCATGGAGGCCAGGGAGAGACAGTAACCTGCCCACCGGCGTCCATTCGGTGATGCTTGTCTGTAAGCCGCGGGATCATTATCACCTGCTGGGCATGTCTTTTTGACAAATTGCATCTCGACCACAATCAATAATCACACAAGGTTGGCCTCGTACAGACGGCCCGCAACAGCTGCGGTACGCCGGCGAAATGGGGCATCTCCCGAACACGGCGTAACGTATTGCGTGAGTAGTTCCCAGCCGGTAGCCGTTTCGCAGTGACACGACCGGACCTTCTTCTTGAAGTTTATAAGATGGAGATATGTTAATTCGCAGGTTCGCAGTCTCCCGCTTCGGGCGTTGAGCCGAAACAACGCTTTTTGCTCGATTGTTCTTGATGAACTCTTGTAGTTGAACGGTACATCCCAGCGCTACTCATTGCATGTCGTCGCAAAGGCTGACCCCACGCGACGCGACAACCTGTCTGTCTCACAACTAGACCTGCACGACCACAGTCAACGTGGGATCTTCACCGCCACCTACGACTCCGTCCCTTACGCGGCGCTTGAAATTTTGTTAGTTACTAATCACTCGTATCGATACAAATTGAGTCACCATCTAGCTTAGATCAGTCAGTTGTTCGTCATTCCCACCTGCTCCTCTTACTGAGCGGAAATGAGCAATTGGGAAGCTCACGGCATCCTCCCGAAGTTCTCTGGATAAATACTTCTTCGGTTCTCGCATTGACTGCCACATACTAGGACCGGCTCCCCGACAGTCAATCCTGCCGGCTTGGTTTCTGCAGCGAGTTCAGGCAGGCCCGCCCTTGTCAAGAGTCGGGTGCTGATATCCATTGCGGATCTACTTGCCGTAGACAGATCCTCTTTCGGACAGACTGAAGTCTTACCAACACGGGGACTTTCCTTTTAGGCGTCCGCTATCATGACTCCGTCTATATGGAGCTTTGCTTTGAAAGGTACGAACGCAAGTGCCACTTGGCTCGCCGGATTGATCAGCATGGCTATGATCCGCTGAGCTTGTGCCCTATCATCTTGTCTGATGAAAAGGCCGGTAGAGCTCGCTCAACACCATCACGGCTCCAAGCTGTGCAAACATCCCGTCAGATTCGTCTTTCAATATAGCTTAGCCCTGCTCAGGCAAAGCTGCTTAGATCAGCGACAATCCTAGGCATCCACGTAGCTCAGCGTTGTGTCCTATGTTAGGTTGCTGAATCGTGGCAACGACAGGGCACATTGTCCACCCACCTCTCACCGCTGAATGACACTGATGTTCGCGGCTACAATGACGGAACACGGCACCTCGGCTCATACTCTGCTGCAACATTCGCATGGTTAGACTCAAGAAACAAATGGGTTGGGTTGTTCGCCTACGTGGCGGCAACCACACCGCGCTTTGCATTGGGTCAGTGTTTACTTGAAACACAGGCACGACCAATAGCATCTCGCGCACGCAATATCTCATGAGTGAAACTGTTGCAGCCTGCATGTGGTCATATGCGGCGTGACGGTTGCGTGTCGGGAATGATCCGACTGTATGGCGAGAAGCAAACCAGACAAATGGAAGCAACAGTTTTCTCTTGAGAACAGCTTGCCGTGGGTGGTGTTGGTGAGGATGGGATAGCGGTCCGTGGACCCCAACTACGACCCCTCGGCCGATTAGAGGGGACGGCGACGCGGGTGAATGGATTCTTCGTGAACAAGACCCTGCATGAGGTCGATGCCTGACAGGGCCCGAGGGCCTGGTTCGGGGGCTGTGTCCCAGTCCCAGTCAACATGCTGCACTGCAAGCAATTCGCAACAGAGTCAGACTGCCCTGGCGCATCCTAGACGCCTTGGAAGAGCTGCATCTTCCAGACATCCAGCGGACCCCAAACCAAGAGGGTAACGGTCCCGTGTGGCTGTGTCTGCAGCTGTCCCCTCTCAAAACCCCGCCGGCCGTTCAGGCTATCGGCTTCCCTGCCTAGAAGGGTGCCCAACTCGAAGATCATTAAATTATCGTCGTTTCGCCACCTCGTCTTCTCGAAGGAAATCTTTTGTCCACCCTATTTGATCGATTTCGCTGTCGATCAGCTCTGCTCGACCACATCGGACTTCCCGAGAGGATACGGCCCTGCGGTCCTGTCCGTCCATTCGTGCCCAGGAGGCTGTCGTGTTCATCACTGTGCAGTGTGCTCCATCAATGTCCCTGCGCGAATCTGCAAATCCCTTATTTTAAGGACTTGGATGATGCGACGACGCAGGCGGCATTCGGTGGTGCGACTTGACCGTCTGGGGCTCCCTCCTCCATCTCTCATGTGGAAGCTTCCACTCGGGACTCGACAAAGAAGCCCCGAATGGTGATCATTGGCGATGGCCGGGAGCAGCGAATTTCCACCGTGTCTAATGTCCGGCTCGGACCACTGGGAGATGGCCACCGCCCGGGCTGCTGGATTCACGACGCGAGTGCCGCGAACCACGTTGCGGCGGCCGGCTATGACGACCTGCGCGCGCCGTCTCTTCTCGCAAGCGAAATCGTGATCTACCCGGACCTGCCGAAGGACGGGCGAGGCGAATAATCGGCCGTCTATATGCAGCAGTCCTCGTGTTCGCGGGCCCGCCGGACCCTACTCCGTCGCGGCAACGGGGCGTGCCCTGTTTGCCCTCCCATCGATTTGCCCGATTGCATCATCCCGTAGGGCGGTGCACTGCCACGATCACACCCCAAGATGCCCAAGGCCAGGAATTGCCCGACGAACACTACGCTGACCGACGATCACTACCTCTTGGGCATCTAGAGCACATTGAATCCCGATAGTCTTCTGCTTTGGGCGAGATCCAACCCACAACACCCCTTGCAGGACCCCTTGGACCCCTAACACGGCATCGGTCTATTGGATCGTGGTTTTTTGGAAGCACCGGAATGCGTCTCCTCTACGGGCCTTGGCGTCCCGGGAGCAAGGGCGTCGCAGCACTCGCTTACGGTGGTTGATTGCTATGCATGCACCTGGGAACGGTGCCTGAATGCGACGTTCCGGCCGCCTTTGCACTGATCGGCGCCGCTGCTATTCCTGGCAGTAAGGGTACGACGCTACCGGTGATCTTTCTTTGTTTCTCTCCCCGTCGCTCGCTCGGTCACTGTTGAACTTCACGGCCTTTGCTGACGTGGACACCGGCGTGGGTATGATTTTATCTATCGTGGCAGTGCTTGCAGTGCATATCGTAACGACTATGACCACCCTCCGCACACCCCCGACGGGAGTCGCGATACTTTCTTGGAAATCGAGGTACCTGCGGCTCCTGTACCGGTCCCATGCGTTGGCGGTCTGGAAACTCAGAGTAAGGGTCCGCGGCGCAGCCGTATAGTGCGGCTTATATGCCGGCTTGGGTGATGATGAGGCTGGTCGTGAGAGGTAAGACCGTCGCGAGTTCTCGTACTCGAAGGTTGGCCCAGGTACTAGCTTGGGGTGACTGCATGTTTTGGATCGGCCGACACGAGGCCGAGTCTCCCTTCGATGTGATATCGTGCGTGAAGCTGGACCCGAGAGTCGGTTGCTCGTCTGGTCGAACCCTGTTGTCGGCGGGAGCGAGACGTGTGATACTCACTGTCGTTGCTTGGGTGATTATGGGATGAGTTTAGTGATATGGTCGAGGGGAGCCTGGCGTACTACCGGTGCTCATCTGGTGTCCCGTCCAACTGTCCCCGTGGAAATAGGTTGGTCATGTAGTCGTGGAACGCATCCTCTGCATGCAGAAACAGGCCGTGATCTGGCATATTGATAGCCTTGGTTCATACTCGATTCTCAACGTTTATACGTCACGCACTATATACTTTTAAGGACTCTGGATAGCTAGCTTTATATATGAAGAACGTCGTTAGACCCATATGTGAGCCGGAGAGCAGCCCACTTTTGGACATTGACCTCGCAAGACAGAAATCAGCTGGCTTGACAGCCTCAGATGTGACAGCCGTTGCCATATTATTCCACTCGCCAGTTCGCGAACGAACCTAGTCCCTCTAAGGACTTGCTCTGGCTGCGCAGTGACGACTATATGCTCTGTAAGCACAGCTTTGAGGGTGTACCAGGCTTCCAGCACCGCTGCGCAGCATGCGACCTAATGAAAAGTTGTTGTCAAGTAGGCCAGGGCGGTCGAGCTCCTGGCAAGGGACGGGGCTCCTGATGTTGACGGTTATAGGTGCCATGCGATCTGAGAAGTTGCACTATTCTGAACTGTGGATGCTCAACTTAGTATTCTACCTCAAGTCCTTTGGTGAATGCTGTCCATTTGCCGTCGACGAGCCCGCCAACAGACTTCGAGGGTGTCGCGAAAGTCGTAGCATGGAGTTGGCTTCACAGTACGCCTGTTCGGTGTTAGAAGGTACAGTGGAGGTGTTATCTGGATTCTGTGGTCTTTGCGTGCGTGTGCGTGAGACGAAGAGAGCGGTGGCGGTGACGACTAAGCTCGGCTGTAGATGGCAGTACAGAGTAGCATCCTGCTTGGGTTCTATCAAGTGCATTCACTCCCATCTACGCCTAGCGGTCCTCCTGTTTAGATAGCCAGGGGCGTGTTTGTGTTAGTAGCATACTGAGGATATCCCAGCAAGCATTTCTAGTTAGCAGATGATGCAGGAAACGACAACAAGCGTTCCCGATCTGCCAGTTCGAGGGGAGCGGGAGCGAGTAGCTGTCCCAGTAGATCTGGCTGGCGAGTGTTTTCCTTGTACATATATTTGATACAACTGTAAGGAACTTGTCCACGTAACACTGTTACTATTACTGATACTGAAGTCTTCGGCGTGGCTCTCTCAGTCTCTGATGCGCAGGCAAGTGATCGCATCGTGTCCTAGGATGTCAACCATCACACTTGCATACAGCGCGGGGGCTCAGCTTTTGCTTGGATTTCAGGGGTATTCGGGTTTGGGTCTTTCCTTGCGGTTGACGAGATTTAGAATGAAGTTAATCGCTTGTTTAAACGAGCGGAATTATGAACGCCTAGTCATCCACCTGGACTCAGACCAAGACTAGTCGGGACCCGAGCTCTCACAATCCGACCCATCATCATCCTCATCACGTCTTCCCCTACACTTCCTCGGCTTGGGACAATTCTTGACCTTCCACGTCTCCCAGGGATCCCGATAACGAAAGCATCCGCCCTCAGGCAGCTGCCACGTAAGTGCCTTGTTCTCGAAAAGGACTTCGCACCCGTCGAGTTCGATCACTAACACTGCTTCCGGGGGGTACATCGACCAGGTCGGCAGTACGGTTCTGACATGGTTCCCGGTCCCTTGGCCCTTCTTGTACTCAATCCATCCCTTGGAACTGTATTGATCGTCGAAGAAGAAATCGATTCGCCAGGCCTGGGTGGAGCTGGCTGCCAGCGCCATGATCAAGAGGGCGGTTAGGGGTAGCATGGTTGCTGTGATACTGGTTGACGGTATCGGTATTGCTGTTGCTGGGGACCCAGAGAACTCGAAAGTCTTGGTGAAGGAGTGGTGGTTTCTCTTTGAGAGCGCAAAGTGATAGTATATTGTTCGCGGGTCGAGTAGGAATGGAAAAATGCTTGACGTCCTTGCCTTGTGAGGTATATCAAATTTATGGCGGAAAACGCCAAACCACAATCCCCAACCCGACCTTTATCACTTGCACCGACCTACCTATGTAACATCGCCAGCCCACGGCTGGCTGGGAGCTGCGCCGTCTCTGGAAGCGGCACAAACCTTTCATGACGCAACCGCGTTGGATCGACCGGCGCAGACGTCTGTGCCCCTTCGAGGGAGACGGCGTAGCAAAACCGACCTACCCTTCCTGGTATACAATACCAAGTGATACGTTGTACTAGCCACGAACATGGCTATTTATGGTCCAAGGCGGCCGGTGGGATTTGATCGTGGGATTCAAGGATTCCGAGAAAATGACCGTATCAGCCTTGCCAGTCCCACCGGGGCTGCCGAACAGGATCTTGCAAGATGTAGGAACTGCGGTCACTAAAGCTCTGACGTCGATACAATTCTTGACGTGGAGTTGAACTCGACGGCGATAAAGTGAGTATAACAATATACTACTTGGGTTGGTTGATAGATCGTATTCTGCATGCTCTTTCTTATGAACCTCGTTCCAGTGTACCTGCTGATGATTGCACTACGAAGGAAGAGGTCGCGGGCTGCGGCGCGGAATGCCTTTCACTAACGAGCCAGGTTCGATACCTCCGTAATAGATAGAGCCATGCCATTGACAGATACAGTGAAACAGGCATAAGTAAGTGTCGTCTTCGCCAAAGCCTGGAACGTTCATCGAGCTTCACACAATTATTTCACGCTTCTTGTCCGCCTAAAACCGAGACCATCGCAAGCCCATCGTATCTCAAGCGAAACACCGGATCAGAATAACACATTTCCTCATCCTCTATCCCTTGGGCCCTAGCGACCGCAACCACCGCTATGCTGCCCATCCCAGCCCTCCTGGTCATCGCGCTGGCAGCCATCACCCACGCCTGGAAGATCGAGGCATACAGCAACACCGGATGCGACGACGGCGGCCACCTGGGCGAAAAGAGCGGAGGACACGGATCCACAGAAGACGTCAGACATAGCCACTAGAAATGTACAGTCCATCAAGGTCAGCGAGCTCACCAATTGCGAGGTCATCTGCGAGGGCGGCGAGAACAGCGGGATCGAGGCCGGGCTGGCCGTGGGAGAGTGCTACGATCACACGCGATATGAGAGCTTGTTGGGATACTGGCATGTGACGTGTCAGGCCGCAGGCGGCGTACTTGGTGGTATTCTGGATGATTGATGCTGCGTAGGCGTTTTCTGGCTTCGATGTGCCTTTGCTGCCTTGGCTTCGATGCCTTGGATGAAGGAAGAGTTGGGCGGGGGCTATACTTGGTTATTTACGTTGGACGGTGTCTTTGATTCGAACATATGGACCGGCAGGTTGGGACTGGGTATGGACGTATAGCTGCTGTATAACATAGCAGCATAATTACTCTCCCTACAGGTCGACCCTTGCTCGTTGGATGATGACGCCGTTAGGTGCTTCAGTCTGTGTCAATACCCAAGGCTCCGACGCATTGATTAAATCCATTAGGGACCCGTTGCTGATTCATGGCAGATGGGTTTGCCCTACGCCTGTCACTCTGTGAACCAACATGTACGTCGTCGGGCAGTGTCAACAGTGCGTGAGCGAGAGAAAAACATCCCTGTTGCTAGGCTTGGGGGTTGCCATTCATATGAGGCACTGTCCCTGCAGCGTCTTGACCACTTTTACATTGTATGATAACCTACATGTCCTATACCGTGACGTCGACGTATGTAGGGTTCCTCGATCCAGTTGTTGGTATCCCCGACTCCCTGGCCATATAGAGTGATATCGTACAGCGCCCCGCGTCCCTCCCTCATCATACTGGGTTATGCCGACCTACCAGCTGAATTAACCGGCAAAGTTCAGCCAGGCTCGTCCTGACTTCATTTTCTCCTGACCTCGGTTTCTCGTGCGGGAATAATACAGAGTTGAGATGTCTATTGGACGACAGAACACCATTTCGTGGTATCGTAAGCAGCTTCCAACCCCTCGCGCACGTCTAAGCGGAAATCGCGCCCGCTGCTGCGGTTAGTATTGTAGTGAAATCGGTCCGCGACCAGCTCGTGATGGCCCCTGAATTTTCAGTGAGGAAGAGTGCTGGCATCAGATCCGTTCTAATGGCATCCCCAACTGGCACCCTCATCCCATATTGCCCATCTGGCCCATGTCACCAAAGTCCATACCCTCAAACTCCATTGCCGATTCCTGATTTTCATTATCCATCCCCATGTCGCTCCACATCGGTCCCAACATGTCCCAGCTCATTGTAGGCATGTCCATGCTCTGACTGATGAGCAGGTCTATGTCTGTAACCTCTTGCGGCATCTGCGAGGCTTCCGGCGGTGATATCGATGCCTTCGCAGATGAGCCCGAGTCGCTAGCATATTGAATGGCTTCGCTGAGGCGGCGGACACACTCGGGCAGGTCGATATATTGGCCTGACTGGGCCAGAGCCTGTTCGCGCGCTTTCCATGCCTTGAGGGTGATCCGAGCCTGCGCCGCATAGGGCTTCTGTGACATATCGAATAGGACCGGTTGATACTTGTAGACCTTCTCGATCACATTCCATCCACGGTCAGCGAGGCGGCCGGTTGGACGCTGTGCCAGCTGAGCCGCCATGACGCCGAAGCCTTCGACTTGGAAGTACTGCATGTAATACCATCCGAAGCCATGCGCGGACCCGGCTTCGTACGCTCCGGCTTTGTCTTCACAGGCCGTGAGAAAAGCCTTGAACAGGCTGTCCTTGGGCCTGAGTATCTCGGTCCCCCACTCTGGCTGCTCTCGCATCGGCGTCATGATGGCTTTCAGCTTGCGAATGACCATTGGGCGGACAGTCATAGCAGCGACATAGACACCGCCCGCCTTCAGGTCGACCTTCTTCTGCTCGAAATCTACCATGTCCCTTTCGAGCTTGTCAATAAGAGCCTTGAATTCGCTTATAGCCTGTTGTTGGGCTGCTGTGGGCTCCGTCCGATTCTGGATGCGCATTCCGATAAGGGCGTTTTCCATGGCTGTGTTTGACAGCTGCGCGAATTTCACGAACATGTACATCAAGACGCAGAAAGCCATCTCGGTGGGTCCCTCGCGTGCCTGGACAGGCTCCATTGAGCTCGGGAATAGATCCGCGTCGTTGACGTTCTGGGGCATCCTGGTATCCCAGTTTTGAGAGAGCATGTGGTTGGACCCGGATGCTATGGCGTGCTGCGCGTCTTGGGTGACGATATACCACCACAAGCGCCGACGCAATTCGGTCTCGAATGGGCTCAGGCCGAGGTGAGTTCCGTCACGATGATAGCCCATCTTCTGGGCAATACGGACGATGGTTCCGCTCAGAATCCACCCTGCGTGGGGATCATTCCGTCCTTGAAGTGATGACTAGACGTAGATTAGTGACTTCATGTTCGTAAGGTGAGCCTCTTCATAGAGGGGTCATACCAGGAACAGAACCAGCGCTTGCAAAGACGTCATATCATGGTTCTTCAAGAAGTTGAGCCGCACCAAGGAGAGCTTGGTACCCTTGTTGAATCTCTGTAACGCATTCTCGCGAGACGTGTCAAGCATCCGATGACACTCGTCATCGGAAAGCGAGAAGACGGCCATGCCGTACACTGCGAACAGAAGCGCCTGGTAGGCTACTGGCACGTTGCCCACGTTGGCAGCCGCTTCCATAACGTACGGCTGTAGCGTAGGGACATGGACGACCTTAGTCAACGGATTGACGCGGTCAAGAAATAATTGCCACAGCCTGAAGACATGTGCTGGATCTGGCTGCAAGTCCTGGACACTAGTCATATTGTCAGAAACGAGAAAGAGGTCGGAGTTGTTCTCTGGCGAGAGATCTTCAGTTCCGATGCTACTCGGCTCCAATTCGTCGCCTGTGGTGACGATGTCCTTGATTGCTTGGAGCTAGGAGATCTAGGTTAGACATGAACTGTTGCCACAATACGGGCTGGCGGGGGAAAAGGGGCCAGTTATTACCTCATCGTGAAAGCTTGTCCAGAGAAAGTTATCAAGGAAGCGGACAGTACCGCCTTCTTCGATTATCTTTCCGGGCGCTCTCAGATTCGAGTTTCCCTCACCTGTTGTTTCGGAAAATGGCGGCCCTGGCTCCGGCTCCGCCTCTGGCTCCCTATCCTTGCCAGCAGGAACACTTGGCGGTTGGGCGCCTTTGCCCTGGGCCGAAGCGGCAGCGCCATCGACATAATTCTTCAGGAGCTGCTCACATCGCGCGAGCCGCTCACGAAGGTCCTGGTTGGGACGGCGCCGCTTGTGGGCTGGTGCGGGAGTGCTGGCTATGCAAGTGGCTCTGGACTGAGTATAGCGTCGTGTCAGTAACGCACAGAAGAGCGGCCGCGACGCAGCGACATTCTCAAATAAGAGAAAGGGGGGAGATGGGGACATTGAATGACGGGACAGGTCTAGTCCAACCGTACGACGCACCTTGATACAATTCGAACATGGTGTATTGCGGTCACACCGTATCTTTCTGGCTTGACAGTGGGTGCAAGCCAGCATTCTGCCGCTTTTGGGCGGACTGGGACCGCTGTTCGATGACATACTCAATCGAATTTGGTACAGCTGTAACACATAACCATGCGCCTGTGAAGCACGACGTGCAAGGCGGGCCAAAGAAGACGACGGCGATATCAATGAGTTTCGTACAAGGCCCACGCCTTCGATCTCGACGTTCTCGGCTTTGATCACGGCGGTCCACGGGTGCGGAGACCGGAAGATGGAAGTAGAACGCGATCGGTGGCCGTCCGACTGGCTTGAGATTGACGATGGCGAGAAGTGAGAAGGATGACATACCTACGCGGCGCTGATGCCTGAAATGGGGTAGTACTCTGGGGCTGATCATGTAGCGATGAGGCGCAGTGACACTCCCCCTGTTGCATATACCCCACAGAACAGAACTTAAGGTGGTCGTATTCGGCACGGGTGAATGCTACCGTTAAGCTCACCGACAGGTTCATTCCTTATCGAGCACCCAATGAGTGAAGGTATTCGCTGTAGCCTGCTTCGTCGAGGCCAAGGGGTCTGGTTCCTTCCCGAGCAGGCTGACAGATAGGCAACGTCGGCTGCAGTTTGCGTTATTACTTACCGCCATGGCCCATGGGGACCAGATAGTATAGATAGCCGGGGTTCTCACATAGAATCGACGTCTTCATGTCGCCTTCCGAGACTCATTCCCATCGACAAGGCACCTAAAGTTCAGATTACGGCCGGGAAGCCAGAGCAACTCGCGACATGAAGCGAAGTATTCAAAATGTGTCTGCTGCGCTGGCTAGTGTAGTGGCCTTCTTCGTGTCGACAACCGTCGGCACCGAGATCCCGCCGCCGACCGGACGCTACCACATCGGAAGACGCAAGTACGACATCCCGTTCCTGAACACCGAGGACCTGTTCGCGCCCGGAAACGTCAGCACCTCCTTCATCGCAACCGTATGGTACCCAACGCTGCAAGAGCCGTGCGAGCCCGCCACGCCATACCTCGACCCGGCAGTCGCAGCGCTCTGGGAGCCCGCCGCGGACCAGACCGCGGGCACCCTGTCGAACCTCACGTCCCACGTCCAGCCCGGCGCACCCCCAGCCCCAGCACCCCGGGACGGCCAGGCCGGGCTCTTCCCCACCCTCCTGTTCGGCCCCGGCGGCACCGGTCCCCCGACCGAGGCCTACACGATCCTGATCTCGGAGCTGGTGTCGCGCGGGTACGTGGTGGCCGGGCTGGACCACCCCTACGAGCAGCCCTTCGTGCGGTATCCCAACGGCACCGGCGTCTACGGTCCCCCCGTCAACTACACCCTCTCCTCCGAGGAGGCCAACCTCCTGTACGAGATGCGGATCAAGGACAACGTGCACTTCGTCGGCGTCTGGCCCGACCTGGTCGCCGAGCTGGACGCGCCGTGGGCCACGGCCAAGCTCGGCGCGTTCGGCCACTCGATCGGTGGTGCGGCTGCTGCCGGTACCGCGCGCCTGATCGCGCGTGAGACGCTCGCGTCGACGCTGAATATGGACGGCACCTTTCTGGACGCGACCAACGACAGCGCGACCGCCGATATCCACAGACCGACTATGCTGCTGGGCCAGGATGGTCATGATGCGGATGATGGTGATCTCAGCTGGGAGATTTTTCCCGCGGCGCAGACGGGTTGGTGGCGCACCATGTTCGTCAATGGCACTGCGCATTTGGACTTTAGCGATTGGACCTTTTGGAAGACGCTTGGGGGCAAGCCGTTGGGTACGATTGATGGCGCAAGGATGGTTGATGTCACGAGGGAGTTCGTGACTGCGTTTTTCAACTACACGATATTGGGACAGGAAGAGGGGGTGTTGACTTCGCCAGGGCCCGTATGGCCGGAGGTCTCTGTTTATGACGGGAGCGATGAGTGAGCATAATGTCAGCTCGGCATCACGGCAGATAAGTCAACACTGGTACGCAGGATAAGGCAGTGTGCTAGGAGCGCTTGATTTATTTACTCGCTGAGACTTTGTTGTCGTAGGTCAAAATCTCCGGTGAAAGACAGGTCGTGAGACACTCAGCTGTATGGTGAAGGCAGATGTTGAGATAGCAGCAATACAGTGATTTACTGCATCAGTCTGATTTGGTGGACAGTCAATGCCGCGGAGGGAAAGCTTGTGTGGGAAGTCAACGCCAGATTGACATGATCCTGGACGCCGAGAACCTCTTACCCCTTAAGTGACCATCTTGAGGCAATCGGCACGGCAGCTTGACACCGGGAACACCAAGTTCACAGCACACTATCAGCTACACAGCCCACCCTTCTTCAGACATCCCGCGCTCTTGCCCAAGTCATCTTTCACCCCCGACAGGGTATCAAATATCTCATTCACATTCTGAACCCAAGGCCCGTCTCCACACCCATCTTCAATCCACTTCTGGTAGTCCACAGCCTCGAGCCCGTTCTCAGCAAACGTCTTCGCGCCCTTGATAGCAGCACTCCACGCGCTCGTCACCGCCTTGACTTCGGGGATGACATCCAGCACAACCTCGGCCAGCACATTGAAGAAGGCCGCGCACAGCACGTCTACGAAGGCCTCGAGCGCCTGGCCCAGGACGGGCAGCGCCTGCACGACGAGGTCGAAGATCTCTTCCGCGAGTGGGATCTCGCACAAGCACTTCCCCGTGATCCACTCGTCGCCGGCCGGGTCGAGGTCCGTCGGGATGCCTGAACCCTGCGCGCTGCCCAGGCAACCCCATGGCCTCGGCTGCGTGTTGCAGGTCTCGGTGCAGGTTGAGTCGATTTGGGCGTCGGTTTTGGTGTGCGCCGAGATGTAGGAGCGGCATAGACCTTGTTTTACGAAGGCGGCGGTGTTGTCGGCGAATTGCTCGGGCGTCTCATGGGCGCGCTTGCTGAGAGCAGCACCGCTTGTGAGGACAGCGAGGCTGGTGAGCCAGAGGAGGGATGAGGTCTTCATAGTGGCCTCGAGGAAGGCGTATTTCTTGTGTGTGTGTGTTGGGGGGTGGGGGATGGGATGGTGGATCTTGCGGGAATGTGATGAGAGATTGAGCTGGTGATTTTCGACGAAGCTACCTGACGAGTAGTCAGTCTGCAGGCTCGGGTGTGATGCAGATATCATGATGACGAGATCACCATCGGTATGGCGTGGTAGCTCTTATACCTTAGGCCTCCCTTACCTTGATGATATCTTTGGATGTTTGCGTTGCCAACAGGCACACACCACGCCAGCTGTTGGCCTTCCGGTCGGTACCCACGAGTCCCGAGAGCGACACGAACTCAGCTTGGCGAGGGACCGCAGTACCAGAGCACCGGGGCGGTAAGTCCAAGTGCCTGACCATGTTGGCCAGCATACCAGGGCTCAATCAGAAGAAGGATGATGTTGTCGCTGTTGCTGCCATGGATCAGCTGTAGACTTGGCTCTCGGCAAACGTGAAAGGGTTCCTATTCTGGGACGTTTGCACCCATTTGTTTGCAGTCGGGGAACAAGGTCACCGTGGGGATCCGTAGGGCTGAGTCGTTGAGGTAGTCATTCCGTGTTGTAGCCTCGCCCATCCGAGCTGAAAGGTCAGCCGGAGGGAGACTTACCCGTTATATGGAATGGCGGCTGTGCTGTGCTACATATCCTGCAATGAGCAGCAGACCAATATCAGAGCGCTTATTGAACCAATAACTTGGGTCGCTTTCTTTGGAGGATCATGCGGCTGGTTGGGCGCTGCCTTATCGCAACCGCTGCATTCTAGTATGGACTAACACTGAGCCGAACCAGCCTACGGCTGCAAGAATGGCCCTGAGGTATGACTTGGATGTACGATGAAGAATCAGCAGAGACAGTATCTGACCCGTTTGGTCATTTGATCAGCTGGAGCGTGCTCTCTTTAGGGATCAAAAGCAGCAAAGACCCAGGCCGGCATTCTGCCATCGCAGATATGAGAACTTCGGACTCAGAGACTGCATCTCAGGCGGGACTTCCATGAGTCAGTACTCATCTATGCTTGGCATCAATTATCCTTCTCTTGGGTGTAAGCGCGACAGCAAAAGTTGAACCGGGGTCTCTGGGCCCAGCCGTTGTCAACCCTCCATGGTTCTGGCTCTAACGAGGCACCTTTCCCTTACCTGAATCTCAACATCTCGCAGCTTCGTCGTACCTGGGCTCTGGTCGCAGTTGGATGATTGCTTGACTCCATATGCAGTCTGGTGGCCATCTCTGCTAATATATCGCATCACAGGTTTCTTCCTATGCGGCAGACAGACTCCCGATCTTGGGTCAATTTGGGGTTGAATCGTTGACCCCTCACAACAACGAACAGCAGCACGGTGTGCCAGGTGACCTCTCACTTTACCCTGGGAACATCCATCTTCACATCAGCTGGAAGCATCACTGCAGGTGACGACCGCGCGTGGCCGGCCGACTTGCTCCAGACGGGAGTCACGATGATTAGGGCTACCGTATCCAGGAGGAGTCAGCAGGGTGAAGCACATACGAGGGGGCAGGAGCCGAGGCTGGGCTGCTACATGTACCTACCTTTATCAATTGTTTGCGGACAAGCAATTGAGTTCCAGTAGTCGAGGCGCGTGGTCGGTTGATTGGTTCGAGCAACACGAGGCTCTTAACAGTTGAAGGTACCTTGAATCAAAAGCAACATTCACCATCGACTTGACCGGCCAACTGCGTACCCACCTTATCTTGTGTGATACTCGATGTCGATTCACCCACGAGTCTGAGGTGTTTCATGAGAACCGTTGTGGTAAGCACCGAGCCCGTTGACCGTGGCTTACAATGTAACGAAGGGAAGATATCAGAGGTTGAAGTTGAGGACGAGACCACAACTCGAAGAGAGACTGGTCTCATTGATGTACATACATGTACCTAGGCTGTAGGTATGTAACCAGACGTTGTGAAACGTACGGTTACTGTCCTAGGTACAGTGTTTACACTTTACAGACGGTTGCAGGGCGCTGAGAGCCTGAGACATGCAGATGACGCGATGCAGCTGGATGGTCACTTGTTATCAGTCACCTGCGACAACGAAACAACCCCCTCAGCCCCTAAACAGTCCCTAATCGCTTGTCCTTATCGCACCGCGCATAATACTGATTGCCAACTGCCAAGGCGCCGTATCGCCGTATCGCCAATCGCCATCCCACCTCGTCCAATGTTGCTTGAGATGATTGACTGAACCCTCTGAACCCTCCGCTTCGCCAATCCATCCAAAGTTCCAAACCACCATATCCATCACCGACCCTCCTATCGTTTTCATTCCCCTCTAGCACTCCGCTTGTCCAGCTCAAAGAGCAAAACCCTACTCCCAGGGACACTCGAGTCTGGCCTTTGGCCACCTGAGGCTTCTAGACCCCTTTCTTTCTTTATTCATCTTCACTTTCGTCATAGATAGGAGGTAACCCCCCCGGAACATATCCTCTTGCCTATCTTTTCGCCCTCTCTCAAAGCCCCTCAATAGCAATCGCCATGGCTTCGGCGCCCCCTACTACAGCCCATGAGGGCGAGGATGTCCCCCAGAACGATGGATCAAAGTTGAAAACCTTCATATCCATCCTGCGCAAGTAAGTCACCGCTGCTTCCAACTTCAAGGGCCCCCATGAAGCATTCGCGGGGGCGCTCATCTCACCGCTATGGTGCCATCAGAGCTAGCTATCCGTGTCTCAGTCCGCTATCGGACTTGATACACGACCCCTGGATCGAGCGCAACGACACCATTCTCGAGCAGTGCTCTGCCTAGGTCGGCGACAAAGGAAGCTTGACTGACAGTTGTTTCGTGTTTCAGGTTCATCGGGGTCGCAGACCTTGCTGCCGTGCGATTCTCCCTGCCGTCCCAACTCCTCGAGCCCACCCCGAACTTGGAGTACTGGAACTACCTCGACAATCCCAGCGCCTTTGCCGCCATCGGTACATCTGACGAACCTTTGGATCGCATGCTCGAAGTCCTGCGATTCTGGTTCACCAAGGACTTGAAGTACGTTAAGGGAAAGCCCTGCAAACCATACAACTCCTGCTTGGGAGAGTTCTTCCGCTGCAACTGGGAGGCCGAAGACAACGCCCCGCGCATAGATACAAAGAGTCTGGGTGTCAACGGTGCTGGTGCTGGTGCTGGTAGTGGAGTTGGCAGTAGCGCCTCTTCCATGAAGTCGGTCAAGGGCGATCCGCGAGCCTCGTCCACCGTGTCCGTCGTCCAAACCCCCGAGAAGCCAACCGGCCCTACCGTTAGGATATCCTACTTGACCGAACAGACGTCGCACCATCCACCCGTAAGCGCTTTCTATGTTAGCTGCCCGGAGAAGGGTCTGCACGCCCGAGGATATGATCAGATCAGCGCCAAGTTCACTGGCACGGCCATCAAGGTCTCACCTGGCGAGCACAACCTGGGTATCTTTGTCACACTCGAGCGAAGGGACAACGAAACATACCAACTCACCCACCCTGCCGCACACCTCGGAGGACTCCTACGCGGCGCTTTGAATGTCAGCGTGGGTGACATGGCCTACGTCACATGCCCCAAGACCAAGATAAAAGCCATCTTGCACTACGTCGAGGAGGGATGGCTTGGCAGGGCCCAAAATAAGGTTGAGGGCGTCATCTTCAAGTACGACCCAGCCAAGGATGACAAGACGCGCATCAAGGATGTGCCAGACGCCGACGTGCTGGCAAGGCTGAGTGGCGCCTGGAAAGACAGGATTGTGTTTACTCTTGGGCCGAAGCCGGTGGTAAGTCTTGGTCGTCACATGTTGAGCCTTGTAGTGACTGACATATTTCGTCCCAGGATTCTCACCCCAAAGACAAGCAAACCACCATCATCGATCTCAACCCCCTAGCGGTGGCACCGAAGTCACTGCCACCCAAGGAGAAGCAGGCCGAAAACGAATCTCTGACCATGTGGGACGGCGTGACCCAGGCCATCCTATCCAAGCAGTTCTCCAAGGCTACGAATGTCAAGGTCGAGCTCGAAGAGAAGCAGCGAGAGAAGGCAAGGGAACGTGAAAAGAATAACGAGACCTTCAAACCTCTATTCTTCGACCAGGTCACCGACAAGGGCGGCAAGCCCGATCTCACCGAGAAAGGCCGACTGGTTCTTGAGAGGGCGCAAAAAGAAGAGTGGGACCTTGAAGGCATCGTCTAATTACCGAGCCTCTCTCCGTACTTGACTCGTTTCGGTTTCCGATTTACTCAGGTTGAGCACCACACCCACTGCAGCTGGACTCCAACAACAGAGGGGCTCGGCTATACGATCATTGGTTGCGAGATACATATACCACATTGGCTTAGATGGTTCGGGGCAACATAAAGGCATATACACAAGCGTACATAACACAAGAGATGTGGGAACTCGGGCACAAAGGCTTTGGTCAAAGCACAACGTGAGGAAATGGGTTTCCCACTCTGCGCTTCATGGCAGCATGCTGTGTGCGCTGTTGCCTGTCGGCTCAATGTGCATAGGGGGTAGACGCAGATCTCCGGTTGGCGTTTCGGATTTGGCATCTAGAGGCTCATAGTCTGCTTTTGACAACCTGTCTGTCTATCAACGGTCAGCACTCGCTCCAATTGAATCCCCGTCGTCGGCTTCAATTTTCTAGATGGCACATGTCATTCTGTAGGAAAACCAAACACCTCTTCCAGAGTGGACTGGTTGTTTTCTTCCGCGGGTGCGCTTGGTCAGGTAACCCACCCCCTATTTCTTTGCTACATCAAAGGTGTAGGGTACGGTCTATGCGCACTGGACAACGAACGGCACGCCGCACGTAAAGGTTGCAGCTTCTTGTTGGTAGGCTCTTCAAGACGGTACATGTGTGTGATATATGGTTGATGGATCTCTCCGGAACTACAAGACTAGGTAGCAGTCTTGGAGATGTCTGCCTACCTTACCTACCTAGTATATGCTGCTTGTTATAGACGAGCGGAAGTTCCAGTCCCATTAGTCCCTCTTTGATCAGATCTACCAGCTCAGCCAGCGTGGATATGGCGTCATGCATGTCGACGTGCGTGGTGTTGTCACGCTGATGGTAACGCGTAAGCGAGGCGCGGAGATTGGTTGTTGTGACCTTTCTGGCTGTGGTTCCAGCAGAGCCTAGGTAGCTATACCATCTCTCTTCTTCCTTTTCGTCGTTTGATTTTGTGATAACTATGTTCCTAGACTACTATCGCGTAGATACTACCCTCTCTTTCACAGATATTTGTCTCCTTTTCTGCAAATTTCTAAATGTCCTGGGCCTTTTTCTGTCTAAACCGTCCAGGCGATGGAAGCAATCGATCTTGTGCCTTCTTTCTTATAGAACACTCACGCATGGTGCTCGATCTGGGTTACCGAAGATGAATGTTTGTTTGTGGTTTGGATGCGTCATCATGTATCCAAGAATGCAGGCACGCAAATAAAGCCCATTGAAGTGCCAGGTTTGCACCCCACCCGTCCTTGGCCATGGCAGAGTTTCAAAGCGCCCGGGTCAGCTTGCCCCGGCGACAACCATGACAGAGTTTCAAGGAATTGGGAGGTAGAATATGAGAGTGGCGGGTGTTTCGCTGTAGATGAGGAGTTCAAATGGCGGGGCGACTGTTCTTGGTCTTGGTCTCGGTAATGAGGAAAAGGGGGGGGAGGGAGAGACTGGATCCCAGCTTACTGGTAAAGAGGGTGTATTGAAATAGGCAGTAGTTTTATTTAACGCGGACTTGGAAGTATATGGCAAACAAGAACCGGAAATTATGTAGCCAGTATGGTGTATAGGCGAGTATTGAAGAGGGCGGACGCGAAGGGCATTGAGGTGGAATGTCAAGCGCGTTGTCGCCGCGGTACGGCCGCACAACCAATAGACATTAGATAAGCAAGGATAAGAGAACTCCTTCGCACGACAAAACAATAAAAGCGAAGCAAGTCTGTAGAAACTGAGTAGGCTTTATATAAAATCCGCTTTGTAGGTGAGTGACTCATCTGCACACAGCTTGATTCATGTCACGTTGCAAGCGACTGCCCATATTTATATTGCTTGTTTCAGTAGGAATGGATTCTGCGGCCAAACAATATTGACACACTTGCCAACCAGATCCTGCTCACGGTAGCATGTTGGTGTCATAGGGCTCTACTTGACTGTTAGGGGGTCGTTCAGGGGTTGTATTGGTTTGGAGCGAAACGAGTCATCTGCAACAGCGCAGAACTTCGATATTTTAGGTGTTGTTGCTGCTCTTTACCCAATTGCTGATAAGCAGATGGTGTTTACCATCACATCTGGTAACTTATTGGTATGGATTTCATAAGCCTAATAAGATCAATTTGGTGCATGCCGAGGTCTGGCGTTTTATTTTAATAGACTTAGCGTATAGCACGGGGGCTCTGCTTTTTGTTATCTTTTAGGGTATTTAGGTTTGGCTCCTCCCTTCGGTCGAAGAGCTTTGAACCAACCCCCCCCCCCCCCCCCAAAAAAAAACCTAAAAAAACCTAAAAAAACACCCCCAAAAAAACACCCCATATAAATAAATAAATCGCTCTGTCAGCTACTGTTGCGCAAGTACGGGTTGTTTTGAATTGTTGAAATAAGCTACTTCCTACATGCTAACTCAAGCTCCTTGTTTAGGCCGAATCCGCCCTAGTTATTGTTGCATAGGAGCGTAGCCGTAGCGCTACCCAATCCACTTTTGCCGCGTTCAACAGTTATGCTACACCATCAGATACCTTACTGAAGACTTGCTTGTATCCTCACTCCTTTAGGCCTTCCTTCTGAGGGTTGTGGAGGCAGAAACCTGAAGGGTAAGTAGACTCCAAATGAGATCCTCGTCCGACTTTAAGACTTCTCGTCCTGGGGATGCTGATAGAACGAGTATTTAGGGTATCTCGCCCGGCGCTGAACAACTTGTCCGTAACGAAAAAGAAGCCAAAACCCCGGGCCTCGAGATGGCTCGAAGCGAGGCGGAGCACCCAGGAGACCCTATGCCAGTCCAGATCATTCATGTCGCTGAGGCTCTGGGTGTACTTTTGCACTCCATCGCCAACAGCCTGTTCCAGGAACCACATCTTCTCTCTCGTCGTTTCGCGTCCCAGGATGTCAGAGTGTTGGATTATGGATTTAGACCAGAAGGTGATCGCTCGCTGCAGCTCTAAACGAGGCTGCTCAAGAGCATGAAACCAGCATATGGGTTCAAAGGCGAGGAAGACCCTCTTGAGTGCGGGGAGGCATACGAGGGCTTGGATTATGTCCTGACAGCCGGTGTTGAATAAGGGCAGCGTCGTGATGACATTCCCCAAGATCGGCTTGCACGAGCTGGGCTGCTTCCTCCAACTCCCCGGGCCCGCGTGTAGTACGAGCAATGATTGCAGATTGTACCGAAGCTACCTTCGACCAATCGGCTGTAGCGAACCTGAACACGTCGATCTCGGGATATACCCAGTGCTCCACGATCTTTGCCTCGCGTTCGCGGGGTAGCTGGTCCATGATGTTCACGGGAGTGTATCTCTTATGGATGAAGTCGTGGGCTCTGGGATCGAACCGTAGCAAGGCCATAATCTGCTTCCGCCGGGCGATGGCGCCGAAGCCAAACTCGATTGTGCGGTCCACGTCTACGCGGGCTTCGTGAGCGTGCAAGTGAAGATCCCACACGATCGAGGCAACCCAGTCTGTGGGGACGGGACACCATTCCCAGATCATCTCCAGCAGCACCAGTGGCAAATCGTTGTAGGTCGCAGGCTTGTAGTTCAACTCGTAGGTGTATCTTCGGTAGGTATAGCGTGATATGTCTCTTAGATTGCTAGAAAAGGACACACTGTCCTTTTCATATACATTCTTTCTGTATTCCTTATATATAAGGGCCTTCTGCCCTTCAGGAACTACTCCTGGTTTCTCTCCTTCAATACAACACTTTGAGATCTCACATTATCTCGCTCTACAAGATGAAACAAGTACCTATTTGTTGTGCAGTAAAATAGGATATCTGAAATCTGGCAATCTATTAATATTTTGTTCAGAATACCTGATGCCCAAGGTAGTCCCCGAAGGCTAAGCCACTACGTATCAATAAAGCCTTAGTTTCAAGTTCCAACTCGAATCTTCCGACGTACGGGTCGTCATGCATCCCCTTTCCCTCATAGTATTTATTCCTCCCCTCCCTCCATCAAGTCCTCACAGCACTTCACTCACTATTGAAACCAGAACAGTTCCATCACCAAGTTACTGCAAGCGACATATTTTCACTATGGCTGGACTTCAAACAGCGGAGTGCAACTCATGTTTCGAGAACAAGCCGCTGACGGACTTCTTGCGAACAACATTGACAAGAAACTGTGCTCATCCGTCATCATCCTGCTTTGAATGCGTCACATCCTGGATCAAAACACAAAGCGAGAACGGATTTGTGGAATGCATGTCGTGTCCGGACTGTCCCGAGCTCCTAGGATACGAAGAAATTCAGGAGCATGCCACCCCCGAGATCTTCGCCAGGTAAGAGCCTCTATTATGGCTGTCCTTCGCAAACTTGAACACATACTGAAGTCATCTTTGTGCAGATATCAAAGATCCACGATCGACCAGCTCCTTATGAAGCTTCCAAACTACATATGGTGCCCTTTGGGCTGCGGGACTGGACAAGTGCACTACGAAGGGACCAAGCATCCTCTGGTATCCTGTCTCACATGTCAGTGCCATTTCTGCTTCAGACACCAAATAGAATGGCACCACGACTATACCTGCGACGAGTATGATATCTACCGAGCAGATCCAGACAATTTCCGAAGCAAGGCGCAAATCGAGGCCGCTGTTGCCGATGCTCGAGCACTGGAGAATGAGAGGCTGATTGAGGCGATCGAAAGGGCTGATCAGAACTTCGCACTCAGTTTGATGAACGAGGAAAAGAAAGCTAAACAACGACAGGAAATTGCGCAGAGACGCAGAGCTGAAGAGCAATAGCAGCGAGCTCGTGAGCAGGCGGAACTCGAGCGCCGGAAACGGGAACAACTGGAGAACGAGCAGAAAGCCGCCCGACTACGAGCCGAAGAACAGGCGACGGCTGATGCATTTCACTTTTACGCGCAACGTTGCCCATCATGCAAGCTTCCGATCCAAAAGAATGGTGGCTGGTAAGTGCTCAACCGACACCCTATATTTGAGGAGTAACGGCGGGGGTATAGATGTGGGACAGCCGTAGATGTGGGACACCTCCCACACCCAAACCCACAATGTTCACTTATACACATCTCCATAGCCAATGAAGTCCTAGATACCGTAAGTACGGCATGCGCGAAACCACAACTTCGACATTTTATGACTCCCCAAGCCGAAACAGCTACGCCTTGCCAACGGGGAACGGAAAAACAACGTCACCGAATTTGTCGCTGTGACGATGGAGGTGGATGGCCACATAGAAACGCTCCTCTGCTTACTCACAGACCTAAGCAACGAGCATCCCTTGATACTTGGCTTTCCATGGCTTCGTACACATAATCCCGCGATCGACTGGCGGACATGCGAAATCACGTTCCGCTCCGAGTTCTGCAACAGTAGCTGCTTTCACATACGGCCTGCATAAGTCAGAGGCAGCCGTAAGGCGCCGAATCCAAGCCAGAAGAGGCAAAAGGTGAGGTTTGCAGACACGGTCGAGCTGCAAGACTGCTCACTCGATGACCTGAAAATCTCCTCTGCTACAAACTTCGCTTGGTTCTGTCGACAGAAAGGCGTCACGATCTCGAGGATCACTGCTGAACAACTGGAACACGCGAATCTACCAGACCTTGAGCCCCCAGACCTTGCCGAGTGCGACCTCCGACGGATCCTTGCCACTGAGGGCAGCCCTGAGGAGCACAAGGCGAGACTGGATATGCGATACCACGCGTTTGTTGACGACCTGTTTGACAAGCATTTCATAAACAGGGTTAAAGACAAGGATATCAAGAAATACCTCAAGAAAAAAAAGCCCGCGACCGTGCAAGAGATCAAGAAGAAGCTGCCACCAGATTACCACAACCCTATCGATGTATTCCTGCCCTCCGAAGCGACAAAGCTGCCGCAGCATAGATCATACGACCACCGTATCGACATCGAACCCAACAAATCCATCCCCAGCTCGAAGACTGTGACGGCCTGCACAGACCTTCCCACATGACAAGCGGATACTTCCCAATAGGGGAAGGATCTGACCAGAGGATCCTCTTAAAGGGGCAACCTCCCACTGTACCTATCTCTCTCTCTCTCTTCCTTTCCTCTCTAGTCTTGATATTCTCGTCAATAGAGTAATAGCTGCTTGCTGCCGGCCATGTCCCAACTCCTCAGTACGCTCGCCGTGACATCCCAGGACGACCAGAAGGGCCTCATCATCGTCCCAGATGACAGGGGACGCCTCCAGAGGAAGTGGGTGTTCAACAGAGTAACTGATAGCTTTTTGGATGAGAAGGAAGGTCTCCAGTACCAGATCGAGTGGCGGGATGGGACCACATCGTGGCAACCTGCTCGCAACCTCCAAGGATGTCACTGGATTATTCACGAGTTCCACTGCATGAACAAGGGTAAACCAGGACCCCCATGGTGGTATCGCAAGAAGGAAGCCCTCGAGCAGAGGGACTGGCATGAAAGTAGGGCTGGGAGTGAATCAGAGTCAAGTGACAACAATTCGAATCGATCAGATAAAAACTCCGCTAAAAGTGACAATGACACTGATTTTGACGTCTAAATCGCCTCATTTGCGGTCAAATGAGGTTTGGAAAAGGGGAGTACTGTCAGGAAGCACATCCTGGGAACAAAGGAACCATTCATGTACATATACATGGCCCCCAGGCCTGATTAGTATTGTAGCCCTCTGCAGAACAACATACATCTTTACCCCCCCATATGGTTCGCCTTCTGACATTAGGAATAACAGGAAGTCTACGTTTGGGCCGAAGCAGCTAACTAGAGGCAATTATAGGTGTACCGGAATGTCGGCAACATTTTCAGTGGAATCCCAGTCGCTTCAAACCCTGAAGCTATTCAATCGTACAGAAGGAGCTTAGCGAGGTGGATGTGGGATTGCAAGATCGGTTATCGCGACTTTTGAACAGATTCTTCCGATGCTTGTAGTCTAGAGGTGGCAAGCCGGCTATTGCATCTTAGACTGGGTCTTACGTTGAGGTACACTCAGCCCTCATAAGTCTCCGTACGCGCATGTTGTGGCAAGATTCCAGACAACCAGCAGGAACAGTTAGAAATATTGGGAAAAGTGTGTTGAAATAAGCGTTAAGAAAGGTCAAAAAAGACCAAACTGTTTATTCCGGTGTGCTTATCCCGATTTGATAAATATACCGTTGCTTGCTGAAAGGGTTGTGTACAGAGACTTATGAGGGTTTAGTGTAGTATATGAACCCTGAAGATATATAGGCCTCGTTCTTGAAGTCGTAAAGAGATCAATGATTGCCTGACCTGGTGGTAGTTAATCGCGGTTGTCGAGCTAAGAATCATTGAGGACCTGGTTTCATAGGCACTCAAAGTTTGATAACGAGCTCTGAACACCACGACCTAGCCTTAGGCTCCGTGTCAAAGCACCAGAATGAGTTGGCAAAAGGATGAGTTGATATCAAGCTACGACTGGGTCTGCCCGAATTTGACAGGCGCACCGCCTGCCTCTCTCTCGTCATCTCATGGACAGCCGCGCAACGCGGCCATTCTCGCCAGATGCCCAACAAGCATGATTATTCCGACACTCCACGCTATCAAAAGTAGCACTGTCGGTGCCATGCCCCGTAATACCGCCATCCATAGTGAAGTCGGATCCTGTAGGACCAACCGCAAGTGCCATACCACATAGCCCTGGCACCCAAGACGACCCGGATCGATAACCGCCGGGGAAAGAGGCAGACGCTTTCCAGGTTGCGCCTCCATCGTCCGACCACGCTGCGTTATTGGAAGCACCGGTGGGTGTCTCGTAGTCGCCCCCAACAGCAATCCCGTGCTTCGCGTCTCGGAACTGCACTGAGAAGACACCTCCTGCCGCGCTACCAGCGATAGAAGTGTTCGACTCTTCCCACCGGTGCCCATCCCCGCTCCTAAAGACTCGTCCTGGGTCAACACCTTTGGATGCAACATACCATCGGCCTGCCACCGTGGCGATGCAAGTCCCACTCGCAGCGAAGCCAAATCCGCCGTTTAGAGCCGGTGCCATGCCACTGGGTCGACCGTAGTCCACGTGTTGCCGCCGTCAAGAGTCTCAACGAGTCGAAATTTCCCATCAACCGGGTCGCTCATCGCCATGCCGCGATCGGGACTTTCAAACGCTTTCCAGTCGTAGAAGGCCGCCGCCTCCTGGTTCGTGAAAGACTAGGTCCAACTAGAGCCCCCGTCTGTCGTGGTATAGATGCGGGAATCCGTCCCCTCGCCAATGGAGAGAACTACGGCCTTCTCCTGCGACCAAGCCTCAATGTCGCGGAACTCGAGACCTGCATCCTCGTCCGACAGCGCCGGCCCGACAGATTGCCAGCTGAGACCGCCATTGATCGACCGAAGCACGGTGCCATTCGTTCCGGAGAGCCAGGCGATCTCGTCCGAAACAGATGCCAGGCCGCGGAATCGCGCCTCGCTCCCGGTCGACACAAGCTTCTAAGAGAGCTTTGGCAAGTCGGTAGCTCTGGCGCCAACTGCGCGGCTTGCACCACCGTCCACGGGCGAGGCGGCGACGTTGACGCGCGTCAGGCTTGCGGATAGCATGATGGACTGTAGGCGCACCATTGTAGCAGGGTGATGTTTTTCTTTGCTTTCTGCTGGCTATCTATCTATGTAGGCATACCGCTATCCCAACTCCGCACCGACGGGAGGAGAAGCGGGCGGTTTGTTGTGATTGGCGATTGGCGACTGGCGGCCAGCGATCGGCGCATGTCAGCTCAGTTAGGAAGGACGGCCTGGCATGCCTGGTCATGCCTGGTAGACGTGCACTAAGGGCCACATTCAGCCCTCCTGCAATACCTTTGGCTATACCTATGCAAGGCATTTGAGTGGGCTGGCTACAGGAAACCGGTAATGACCTAAACCAGAGAGCCGGGCACGAAGGCTGCCAGTGGGGACGCGGACAGGAATGAGAGCGGGAAAATGAAGACTAGCTTGATGCAGATCATCACACCTACGTATCTGCATCGAAGTCTTACATCCAGCTTATTCATCTTAACCTCAAATGTTTTCGAATGTGTTGTACCCTTTGTAAGGATGGTTTCCAAGATTAAACAAAGCCTTCCCACCTCTTTGTGTGACAAAGAGTAGGTCGAAAACAGTATAACTTCTGGCTCAAATTCCGGTTCCGGCGATCAAAGCGTCTGGGCCTAGAGATAAAATAGTAAAGAAGTGTCGCGTGGTCACGTGACCCACTTGGGCTGGCATATTGCCCACATCCACTGCAGCTGCGCACCACCTCCAGACCTTCAACAACAACAACACCAATACAGCAGATATGCAACCTTTTGGCCTTCTTGCTGTGCAACAAGAAGCAATCTCACTGCAAAGACCAAACTTGTCCAAAGCATACCTGCAGCCTTCCCGTCTCTGCTGACTCAACGAGCAGCTCCATTACTGAAGTCAGAAAACATCGAAGAGCAGAACAATCTAGGCAGACATATGAGGACAGAATGGCATCCTCAACCCCAGCCCCGCCCGGAACACCACCAGTACCACCAACGTACAAGGAACTCGAAGAACAAGTGGCGGGTCTTCAAACAAGCGTGGCGAGTCTTTCGAAACAGCGCGACGATTTAGAGCAAAAATGCGACAGATACCTTAATAGAATGGGTGAAATCCAGAATTCCTTCAAGGAGGTTACGCCAGATGACGCGAAGGAAGTAAGCATGGGATATCTTCGGTCACCGCGGGACAGACACTAATTATAAATTAGGATTACGACGGACTACTCTACAGCATCAAGTCGTGGGTTGAAGATTGGACAGATCGTTTCATCGACGACGGTCAAGCCTGCGACGAGTCAATCAAACGGGTCCGTCAAAACCCGGCAGTCGTTTCCGACTTCAAGAAGCTTCTCGCCGAATTTGGGGACATTACCAACGCAATCAGCTTAGGCTACTCCGAGGTCGATCAATCCCTTATTATCGCGCTCGTCATTCGCTATCTCGCTCTAAAGATTTTCCGCACGACTTTATGCGGCATAATGCCAGATGCGCTCTTCGTGATCGCAGAGATAGAGAAGTCTATACCACTCACCGCGGATAAAAACAGTAAGTAGACCGACATTGAATAGGCACCCTCCAGTTCCGCACCCAACTTAGTTCAGATATCGTTACTATACGTATTTGGAGAGCGCAGACTATGAATTTCTTGATGGCCCACGCAGACGACAAGACCGCTCGAACGAATGTCATCGAGGGGCTGCTGGATCAACTATACGGATTCTTCAAGTTCATACCAACGCCGGGGCGGGAAAAAGCGTGCCGCGAATCGATCCGGACTGACCTAATAGAGCCCGCTTTTAAACTTCACGAGAAGTTCATGACCTCGTCCGTGCTGTACTCCCTGTCAGCTGAGGACCAGTTGTTTTCCGGGGCGAGAATCAATCCAGGCTTGGCAATGGACAAGATAGATCCGCTTCTGAAAACATTGGAATACCTTGACGCACACAACCAAACCCCTCTCACCGCGGCCACTTTGACGCCCAAAATTTCTATTGGTCAAGTCCGAAAGGATCTCCTCAAGTTGCTTACCGTGCGACCAGGTATCATTTGGAGTTACGCCCTTACGGGAACTAATTTCGAGGCTCCTAAGCTTACCTATCAGGCGAGCGCGACGGTCAATTGGACACCCGATGAGAAGAAGAAAAAAAGGCAAGTACCCACGGAGGAGCAGACCTGGCTTCGGACTGCAGCTTTTATATAGAATCGCCGCTGGCGGGGCTGTCTGGTGGGCGAGGAGAACTATGCGACAGCAATTGTTTGGTGCAGTGGCACATACTGTCTTTCTTATGTAAGGTCGGGGTCACGGATACGCAGATTATTAGGGTCACAACCATTGAATGCACTTTCGCTATGTTCAGCCTCAGAGACCATTCAATTATGAATCGGGAGCGCGATGTAGACGCTCTGGTCCAGATCTTTTGACAAAATCTTCCACTACCTGTGTCACGTTTTTCTCCCATCATTCTCTTTGACTTCTGGGGAATACGATCCTCCTGGCAAAACGGTTGGCACAAAATGTGCAGCAATAAGATCGCAACTTGCCGTGGACCTCGTATTGACTTTGGCAACCCTCTCTACCTGACTAGGCATATGAAGACTTGGGTAACCATTTTTGGCCCTCCTTGAGCGGCCCTACCCTGAGCAACCTCGCAGTCACATGTACTCCCGTTCAGGCGCGCACTTCTCCTTTACGCCGTTTTCGACATCGCGCTTCATGTCTTATTCATTCGTCCAGACCTTTCCTTCTGCTTCGTTGTTGCAGCTGGACCTGAAGACGGATTGGCGGATATAGCTGCCTCCTTCCATTTGTATCTTTCCGGCCTTATCTTCCAGCCAAAATTCTCGCGGTTGAATGGACGTTTCTTCCAGAGACTGGGGTCTTTCCGCGACCTTAGCATTGTGATGTACTTCGTGTTTGGAAGTGCTCGATCCCAAATTCTCTCGCTTTCGGCGTGCTGGTCATTCCACATGTCAATGACCATGTCTAACTCCGCCGCGTCTGAGTAACCCTGGTCGTCCCATTCGAGTATGTATTCATGTGTGCTGTTCATCTTCACAAGCCGTTCAGGATGTTACCCATATTGATATCACGCATGAGTATTCCACTGCGATGAATCTTTTTCAAATTTCGGATGAGCTTTGGCGCCATCTCGCAGCTCATTACCGCGTCGGCCAACCGTCGGTTTGTGTCGGGCAGTCCCAAGTACAGTGTGGATTCTGGAACGATATCGGCGTCGACGTACTCCTTAACAAGCACTTTCAATGGTCACCATGACCCTGAGTATTGTGTCCCCAATTGTGTTCCCAGCCACGGTCGTCCACCTCCTTCAGACGCCGCTGCTGATTCTGATCGAGCATGATGTACCCGTGGCACTTGGCAGCAATTCCTTCCAAATTAAGCTCTTTCAATCGTCCATAAGCACGCGCCTCGCATCCGAATGGATACAGATAGGCCAGCTCTTGGTCTTCTGTTAATTTGAGACCCCAGCAGTTTGGGGGTGCGTACTTTCGATAGAGAGTAAACTTGTGAAATGTCAGCCGTGTTGACCGGTACTTTAAGAGTTTCTTAAACTTGCAATTTTGAGAGCATATGTGACCCCGTTAATCCGCGCTAACCAGACGTGTGCATGCAGTCCCTTCCCAATGCGACGGATAAATTCGATGTCAAGTGCCGTCTCCGCTGGAGAGAATGGCTGCACTTTTGGCCCTGGTACACGTGGGAGCCATTCCATCACGGAAGCAGGTGTCTTGGAAGAGGAACATTGGCGTATGCTTAGTGGAAACTCAGCAGGCGCTTACATTCCGGCGGGATAAAGCGATCTGGATGCGAGTTCGTATGTGGCTGATCTAATTGCACGGGCGGCCCTTGAAGACAAAGGCGACGAAAGCAACAAATCGTCCCATTTGACAATCACAATGAAAGGTCCGAAAGAGTCTGGTTTCGGGAAGACTGTAACTGGTAAAGAACCAAACCCCTTTTCGGGTCAACAATGTCTGCTTAATGTTGCCGAGCCAGCTCCAATGGAGGGTATATACCTACTCAGGAAGGTAGATGATTCCACTGGTCGACTGTAGATATGACGTTAGCGACTACGCAGCCTGGATGGGGCCTATATTGTGTATACACAATATCACGCAGCAGAGAGACAAATTCGGAATGGGCATATCATCCATGCTCCAGTTTAGATAAAAGGTTTGGTAAATGTCGATGGGAGCATCACCACCTAAAAACTGCTTCTTCGGCCTACTAGGTACCAAAGGTTGCGCAATTTGGTAAGCGAGCGGACAATCCAGTTGAAGGACAAGCGTAAGTGGCACGGCATGACAGGTGAGCTTTGCGTATGAGATTAAAATCTTCGGGCTGAGAAAGATAGCCGTTGACAGCTCGGCATATTTGCAGGCAGACGGACACGACCAGAGCCGAGCAATACGTGAGCATTTGCGGGCCGAACGCTAGGTGGCTCGTATCTAGAAGACGAGGTACCTGTTGGAATAGGCTTGAACAATCAATCATAATACTCGAGTATGGGGTCAAGGTCATGATGTTGCTGATGGTTGGATTGAGAGGAATCTAGCTGGACTCGAAGGTCTGGCCAAGTGCCCTCTCAATCCACTATCTTATCTTATCTAATCATACATGTGGGTCCTGGTATAGATGGTTTGCAGTCTGGAATCGCATGGATCCAACAGTACCCAATCTTGCGGAAAAGTGACACCTCACAATGCTCAGCTTATAACCCCTTGTACGGACCAACGTGGAAGAGAATTGTTTAGACATAGGTTGACATAGGCAACCTTACAGAATATCATCTACACGAATATTTGGACGTACAGATTCTACATCCTCACCGTTCTACTCTTATAAGGAAAATACTTCTGACCCCTGTGATACATCGCCGGCAGAGCCGCGCTATTCCGCCCATTGCACCCGTCCTGCAGGCAAGGCAGACCACTATTCGCGAACGCGCTCCTCGAAAGTGGCGGTTTGGAACCGCTCCGTATCCGCGGAGTGGGTTGCCGCTCGGGGATGTCGGACTGTACGCGCTCGACGACGCTCAGGGTAGTGGAGCGCGGTCGTGTCTTCATTCTGTTGATGTTCTCGACTGAGGCTTCGTTGATGGTGACTTCACCTTCGTAGCTTTCGAGCTGCTCGTCAGTGTCGAGGGGCGACGTCACTGATACGAGCGAGCACAGCGACTCGGTTGAGGCGTTTTTTTGGCTCGGGCAGAGGGTGTCGAGGTTAGACTTCTGTGCGAGGGGTGTCACTTCGGGGCTCTCGTCGTCTTCGTCTTCGTATTCCTCTTCGCCGGATGATAGTCCGTCTTCGGATTGGCTTGTTGCCTGCTCTCGCATGCAAGGCTTAAAGCGGGATTTTCTAGCATTCTCCAGCTGGCGAGGGTCGAATGACTCTGGCATTGCTTCGGCACAGGCCCATTTCTGGCGAAGGTAGTCTTCGTATCGCCATATGTCAAGGTCGCTTGTCGATGCGGTGGTCAAGCCACTGGGCTGGCTAAGACAATACTGATGCTTCGGGATTTCGTCGTGGTCATCGGGGAGCTCATCAAAGGGTTTCCAGAGATTCAAAAGATCCACGAGGTCTGGAAGAGGCGAAGGAAATCTGCCGTTAGTGTTGCGCATAGTGCTTTAGTCTGTAATAATTGGGTGAATGGGAGCGGGTTGTAGTGTAAGTTCTCCGTATCAGTAATTTGGTAAATGTCAAGATGACCAACTCCACAGGCGGGAGGCCCGGTGACGATGCAAGTGATATATTTAATTCCAACCATTCCGTTGCTGGAGACAATGCCGCTTTGTTCGGAGTGAACAATGTTGCTTGAACAAAATCTAGACAAAGGCTGAGCGCGAAAACAGTACAATGGAACGCCAAGTGGAGATTTCTTTGTCCTTACGTTCTGCAACGCCTGCCGAATCCAGACTCCGATCTGATAGCCCGTATGGGTTACAATGCGATGGTATTCGCAACTTGTGTATCGAGAGAATTGCCTTTCCACCAATCTATTCGTACACACTGCCCGTGACCTTTGTATCAAACCCCGGACCGCCGTAGGTGCAACAGAAGAGCTGAGTTAGCTACACGTATTTTCTTCCCGAGTTTCAGTCTAGCCAATCGTGAGCACTGTCCACCGCAATTAAGGCGTCGATGAGCGCAATGTAAGTACTCCGGTCCTGGTGGATCCCATACACTTTGTGGAGTGGACCGCCCAAGTCGAAATATCCCTATCAATCGTTGTGCTCCTCGCTGATTAAGTTATGGTGTAAAACTTCGCCGCTGTCCGCCTCTTATCGAGGAACCTCTATTCGGCCCAATGCAAGTCGTCTTTGCGAGCTTTCGCAGCGTCGATGCCTGAAAATAGGACCAGCTGGTGACTCGTGGGAATCAGCAGCTCCAGGAGCCATTTCTCGCCCACTGGTCCTCTAATCTGCGCATCGACAAGTCGGTCGCCTCCCTTGACATATCCAGCGAAGCCACGAGCGATTCCGAAGATATCGCTGCTTCGGTACCGAATGTATAGTTGCGACGTGAACTCAACTGGCTCGTACGCGTCAGGGGCTGCTGAGGGCCAAAGGCCGAATCCAGCAGAGGACAAAGCTGCGCAGGAAGATGTAAATGGGATTGGTAGACGTCACGTAGATGATTGTCTTATTTGGCTTTTCAACTGGTGCTGGCCGACGGGGCGCCGCTCGGTGCTGTAGCAGGCGAGTAGACGTGCGCCGCAATGCCTGTGACGAAGCACCTGCCGTGTCTGTAGTCGCTGACACTGCGGCGGTGTAGATGGAACCGAGAGAGCCAATTCGTCCGCCTGCTCATGCTCGGGGATGGGTCAAGCAGGCATGCAGCAGAAACCAACGAACAATAGAATCGCAATGCACTGGCGCGTCGACCCGAGCTCTTCGTTCAGGAACCGACATCATTATCAGTCCTCACTTGCGGGTAGCCCGTGCCCAGTGAGTAGGCATCATGACAATCTTCAGACCAACAAGGACGATATAGACTATGGGTATATACAGGTAAAGTCACATCGCCGACAAGCCGGTCGGCGTGCACGTATACAGGCGTGGTCTCTTGGCCTGGTCAAACAGACGTACATCGTACCCATCACTGAGTCGGAAAAGTGACGTAGTCCCAAGACTTGCCTCCCGCAATGAGTTGAGTATCGATGGAGTTGGTCCCGGCCCCAATGAACAACACCTTCGTGAAAGCGATGTCGCTCCAGTACTTGAAGGGCACGGCAGGGGGAATGAAGGCAACATCACCACTGCTCAGCGTAGCCTCCTCGTAGTCGCCAATTTGAACAGTCAACAGCCCCTCGAGGACCTCAAAAGCGGCGGCGCCCTCCAGCGTGTACGTCGGCACCGTGACGTTGGGCTTGGCGGCGTTGATGGAAATGGTCGACATGGAGTACTCTAGGCTCTGCGCTTGCTTGGGGGTCACCAGCGGCTGCACGATCTGGTAGCCGTGCAGCGAGTTCAGGTACTTGGGGCCGTAGCCGTTGGCGACGAAGTACGGCTCTCCGACCTCGCCGAGGGCGTTGGTGCTGCTGTGCCACGTGGCGCTCGACGGGGCGGAGCCGTTGACCAGGTCGCGTCTCTCGGTGAAGTTCAATTGCGCGTAAACGTCAAACTCCTGGAGGGATGCGATCATGCCCGGGTCGGGGCCTGCTGAGCTGCTGCCGTTGGACTTGGAGGGCACGTAGGGGGTGTCTGTGCCAGAGGTGAAGTTCGTGCCGAGGGCGTAGAACAAGTCTCTGATGGTGATCGTCAGCATCCGTCACGTCGCCTCAAGCTACCACCGTTGACTTACTCGAAACCTCCGGGAACAATGACACCCAGCAGCTCAGTGTCCGGATCCGTGATCTGGAACGTGTGCGTTGTGTTCGGGACTACCGCTCCATAGTCACCCGGGCTCAGCACGCGGGCCTGCTGCTCGCCGTTGTCTTTCTGCACCCACAGCTGGAAGCGGCCCTTGTAGTTGAAGAAGTTCTCATAATGGCGACGGTGAATGTGAGGCAGCACGCCCAGAGAGCCGCTGCCGGGCGCATTAGTAGCCAGCAGAGTAAAGGCGTTCTCTGAAGACGGCCCCGTCACCATGAAGCGGTAAAGCTGAGTGTCGATTGTCACGGCATGGCTGTTCTTGTAGTGCTGGATCACGTATGGCCGTAGGTGGTCGGGTGCCTCCTCCACGTACAAGGGGTTCGCGTTGACAGCGAAGGCAGACGCCGCCGTAGCCAAGGCGAGTGCTGTGATCAAAGCAGGCGAGGAGAACATTTTGGCTAGAGCGACTGGTCGACGGCACGGTAGCGAACGAAAATCACCGAGGGGAAAGCCGATACTTGACGACTATGTCCGGCGTCGAAAATCTTGATCACCTGTTTGATAAACAACACTTGCCTGTCGCCCACAAACCGATGCATGGATGATCGATCTCCATTCCCGAGCCGGACTACCGGAGGCCCTCCGCCAGCCTGCATCGTCATTCCAATGCTACATAGTACACCCACATGGCGAGCACTGTATGTACGACTACTGCCTTTCCCAGGCAACACTTTACCAATCCATACGGACCATCTGTCCGCCAAGCCAGACAATTTACACCCAAAGGCCTTATTGTCTTGACGATAGATCTACGTACGACAAGGTTCCCCGGATTCTTGAAGCCAATGAGCTCAAGAATATGAGCATTATATGCCTGCCTCTGGTCCGTGTGGATTGGTAAAGTGTTGCCTGGAAAAGGCAGTAACTTGTCTTGTGTTCCAACCGGAGAGGAAGGTACCAGTCCAGGTATTTCGAGTCGAATATGCGAATCAAGAACACCGTTGGCAAACAAGCCGCCTGCATACGTGGCAGAGGTCCTGAACTATTATGTACTGAGGCAGGTAATCTCCGAACTGGCCGACTGGGTGGGCTCGGGGTGGATTTAAAGCGGGCAATAATTAAGGCATAAAGAGCGATCCCTGGCCCGACCGGCCACTCCCGGCATCGAATTAAGCTCTCGGCGTCCGCGATCTTACAGGAACCGGCCCCACGGTACATTATTTCAGGGGTTGACCTGTATCATCACCCACATTCCGACCATACTGCCGGGCCCCACCCACACAACCAAACAAAAACAACTATTTTTCTTGGCGCCCCGCTGTTAGGGCGCAACCTCGATATCTGCACTAAAACAGGCACTTCTCTCAGTAACTGACTATCTTTGTCAAGACACAAGAGAATTTTTCTCACGCATCCTTCCACGACGGCCCCCAAACACGCCCGTGGCCGTCCCAAAGACGACCACCGGCGGCGTGCTCAAATCCCCGGCCCCCAGAAAGACATACGGCCCGGCAACTCCGAGCAGGCTCTGCCAGGCGCTGCTTGACGACATCAGCAGCAGCCCGTCACAGGTCTCTGAGGCTGACTTCACCGTTATTTCCCCTCTGAAAGGAAAATCCCGAAATGTCAATGACAGCAGTACCACTGGAATGAAACGACCTCAATTGAACGAAATCTCTACAAACCAAGCCATTGCACACGATACAGGGAATAAAGCCTCCTCCTCAAAGTGCTAGGACCAAGTTACCAAAATACTGGCTAAAGACAAGCATTTCTATGAAGCCAGGATAACAATATTTCAGGAGTGTGCTGCAATAGTTGATAAGACACTTGAGAAAGCTGGAACTGAATTATACTCTCATGCCAAGGAGTTCAGCGCTTTCTTCTCTAAATGCCTGAACAAGTGGTTGGAAACCCGAGATCCGCCCAAAAGGAAGACCATTCCTGGGGGGATAGGGATAGTGAAGCCCACTATGACCTTCGCCCAAACTGTCTCCTCTAGCCAACGATAGCATCCATGGACAGTCAACACTACCATGAAGAAAACACAGCCTGGTGCCCTTATCACTGCCAACCAACTAAAGAAGAAACAGGATAATCTCTGGGTCTTTGTCTGTATAAATAATAGCCACTTAAAGCCTTACGGAATAAAGTCTACACTGAACAGAAGACTTAAGCTCCACCCTCAAGAGCTTAGAAAAGTGACCCGGTGCCCCTCTGGATTTACCTTACACCCAAGGGACAAGCCAACTCAGGCCAAGCTCCTGGCCTTTCAAGAAAAAATCACTGATATTCTTAAAGCACAAAAGATCGAGACCCACACGATCTGGCATCACTATAAGGTCGATAGATGCCCAAGAAAGGTCATCAATGCGGAAGGGTTGACAATCGATATTACTGACATTGCTGTTACTAATGAAGTTGAAGCTCAAACAGGTGACAGACCTTTAAGGTGCATATTCTCAAGGAACACAGTTAATTCTGATCCAGAGACCACATAGGTGATCTCTCTGCCCTGTGCAGCAAAGAAACCATTTATACTTTTTGCTCACTTAATGACCTCGAGGCACATTCAATACTCCCCCAAGGTTCACCAGTGTGCGAGCTGCTTCAGATACCATGGTAGGAACTACCGATGCGAAAAGCAAGTATGTGCATATTGCGCCAGCGCAGTACACCAGGGGGATTGTGAAAAATCGATCCCAAATGCGTCAACAGCAAGGGGCCTCATGCTGCTGACTTCGACAAATGCCTTGCACGCCCCAAGGTCGTGAAAGGTATCATCCATAAGCACACATGGGAGCAAATCCAGGAAATAAGGCTGGCCGGAGAAAGAGCCAGATCTAAGGCCTTCAATAAAACAGGCAGAAACCAAGCTGGGTCAACACCTAGCAACAATAACAAAGACACCACAATGCAAATCGATACAACAGATACAGCTCATCCCAGAGATGCCGACACCATTATTGTCAGTCAATGTTAGGTACATCAAATGAAACATATCGACACAGGCATCTAGTCATCCACTCTATAAATGCAGCAGGAGGACAAAAGAGTGCAGGCCCTACAGAGTTAGCCATTAACCTGGCTGACTATAAAGGAGAACAAGCAGACATCATTCTGATGCAAGAGCCCTGGGTTGGCATTCCACCAGGCAGAAGAATGGGAGTAAAGACACACCCTAATTACGATATATACTCCCCAATGGATTCCTGGGACAGCGACAGTACACAGCCCAGATCTCTTATCTATGTGAGAAAATATCTTTAAGCGGATCAACTTCGGCCTTATACTACACGAGACATCACTTGGGTCAAGGTACGAGGTATTATATTTGCCAGCGTCTACTGACCATGCCATAACCCACAGAAAGTAGATAACATTCTGGAAGTATGGACTCCACCCTTTGGCTGTGTCATAGCCAGAGATTTTAATGCTGGCGATACATCCTGGGATTCAAGCAATCCAGGATATCATGGTGGTGCTATACTTGCACAGACTATGGCAGACCACGGACTGGATCTGATTTCTGAACCAGATGTCCCGGCACATGATGACAGAAATGTACTAGATCTGGTTTTCTTAAATGTCCCCATGGCCGAAGCCTCAGTGAATGATGCACTCCAGTGCACTTCAGATCATGAGACATTACAAATAGTTGTCCTAATTCAGGGAGACCTGGACCGGGTCCCCAAGGCTGATCGGTAGATAATCCCGGACAATAAACTACAAAAGCTGGTAGCCAATGTCCAAAACAGGATTCATGAGCTCCCCTGGTTAGGTGCATCTCCTGGCCAGGTAGATGCCTTTATACAGAGCTTGATCAACATAATCCAAGGCTGTGTCAGAACAGTGGGCAAGAAGCCCCGACAATCTAGGCCCACTGCTTGGTGGAATGATGAATGCAAAGCAGCTGTTCAGACATACAGGGCCCTTTCTAAACAGACTACAAGCCAAGAAGGGCGGAATTCAGCCCGACGGGAATTTCGCCGCGTGGTTCAGAAAGCTAGGAGAGAGTACTAGCAGACTTTAATTGATTCAGCAACTGAGCCAAAGGACCTATACAGAATCGTTTCTTGGCACAAGTTGTCAGCAGGATTGCGTTCCCCTCCAATCATCATAAGAGACCAAATATTTGAATCATAAGAGAACAAAGCAAATGCACTACGCTCAGCCACATTTGAACAAAGTACCTTAGATAACGATATCATCGACCCCTGGTCCGCTCAGATCATACAACCCAAGCCACACATCCCCCTTGAATACTATGTCAGACTGGAAGAGGCTGAAGGGTGCACTATAGGGACCAAGAGCAACTCCCCGGGAGTAGACACCCTCACAGTACGGATTCTGAAAGCTTGCTGGCCAGTCATTAGGGAACATATCAGAGCCCTCTTCCAGACCTGTCTACAGATCGGACACCACCCTAAACCATTCAAAATAGCTGAGGCAGTGATGATCCCAAAACCAGGCAAGACAGACTATTCTAATTCCCGAGCCTACAGACCAATATCGTTACTGTCATGTCTTGGCAAAGGCCTAGAACGACTCATCACAAAAAGAATTACCTGGTTTGTTGTCAAACTTGGAATTCTAGCTCCACAATATTTTGGAGCTCTACCAAAGCGCTCTGCCACCGACTTGGTAGCTGCACTCATACACGATATTGAGCAGGCCCTTGACCAAGGCCTCGTTGCAACGGTAGTCACGTCAGATATGAAAAGGGGCCTTTGATGCTGCCCTAATGGGACGGCTGGTGGTTCGTATGAGAGAACAGGGCTGGCCGGGCTTTCTTATAAGATGGGTCCAGTCATTCATGTCCGAGCGGTCTGCAAGGGTTCGGTTTGAAGGTATCATGACCGATATTAAAGCTCTCACTTGTGGGCTACTACAAGGCTCACCAGCCTCTCCAATCCTTTATATGTTGTATACAGAGAAAATCTGTGCCTGACTTGGTATAAAAAAGAGACGCTTTGGATATGTAGACAACCTAGCGACTCTCTGTATTAAAAAGAACCTTAAGGAAATAGCTACAGAGGCTTCTAAAAATTTTTATTTACTTAATCAATGAGGACATAACAACGCTATTAAATTTGACCCTGACAAAACTGAGATCATACACTTCTTAAGGAAAAAGAACTCAGATAACCCTCCAGTCCGCCACAGGACAATGAACAAAATAGCCAAGATTTTCATGCGATGGCTAGGTGTCCTTCTTGATAGAAAACTAAACTTCAAAGATCATGTTTCTCACTAGGCCAAGAAAGCTAGTAAAGTAGCAAATCACCTTCGAGGACTATGCAACACAGTTAAAGGACTTCCAGTAAAGTCGACCAGGAGGGCTGTGAAAGCTTGTGTTATTCCTATTCTTACACACGGCCTGGAGGCCTGGTACCCGGGAATCAAAAAATTTGGGAGCTTAGGTGGGACATCAGCATGTCGCATTAAGGGGCTTCTTGGAACAATAGATGCTGTACTACGAACAGCGATCAGGGCTATCTTGCCGGTCTGGAAAACTGTTGGATTCTGGGCTATGTTAGCCCATCCATAGTCATCCTTCACCATCCCCATTTGTGACTCTGTCACATACGTGGCCAATATAAGGCCACGTATTCTTTCCTTTAGTATCTTGGATATATATAGGGCCACTCTGGCCGCTCCAGAGTAGCTGGAATTCCTCTCCTTAATAGAACACTTTGAAATCTCACAGCCAGCCGCGGAGGAGGTAGAGTAGGATGATCGCCCCAACCAATACTTCCATATCAAAGGTACCATCCGACCCCCCGAACCGGCACACCCCCACTACCGGCACAGCCAAACCCCGCCACCACCACCAAAAGACCCCCCTACTCACTTACACGCATTTGAGGCTGTATAGGGTCGAAAAAATCAGCAAAATTATCATTCTGTGGTGTTTTGGCTGCTCAATCGACGTATCTAGCCGGCGCCCGGATTGACCGCCCAGATCTAGTCATCTGGGCTTCTGCAACAGGGGCTTCTACAGCCTCCTCAGCGTTCGCAACCTCCTCGTCCTCCTCCACCCCGTCTTCAACAACCTCCGACTCTGAAGAAGAAGAAGAAGACTCTACAGCAACCGGAACTAACGGATTACCACCCTGGGCTAGTATTTCTACCATTATCATGAACTTTTTGTTGGGATTTAGTATCTTCTTCCTCTTCTTGGGCCGTAGCCGCTCCAGTTCAGCCTCCAGGGCCCTGATCTTCTGGTCTTTTATGGCCAGCTCCGTCTCCTGGTTCTCAAAGGCATGGGAGATCTTCCGGAACTTCAGCCGAGTGGCTGGGGATCGGTTCTTCCCGAAATCCCGGATTTGCCGGCTCGTGGTAGGGGTCTGTTGGTCCTCTGGCTCCGAGTCTTCCTGTTCTTCCGGCTCGGGGGTCTTCCGCTTGTCTTCTTGGATTTCTGGATGGTCTAGACACTTTTTGCCGCTAATTGGGTAGCATCCTGTTACTCGGAAGTCCGAGCGGATATTTTTTGGCGTAAACGCCATGTCCCTTGCCTTGCTATAACAGCGGATAAAGTTGATCTTGTTAACAGGAGAGGAATCAGTCAGAGAATGTAACTGGGTGAGGAATCTCTGGTAATAGGACTTGAGGGCGTTATAGGGGCCGTTATCCAGTGGTTGCATTCCATGGCTGGTATGTGCTGGGAAAAAGCATAGCAAGATGTTGGCAAAATAACACCGCATCATAAATTCGTCCTTTCTACAGTCAATTGCTGTTTAAATCGGAATAAATTAAATAACCAGTAAATAAAATAGAAAAAATTGGTGTACGTACGGAGGTATGGCTACCATGGCCATCTAGGATCAAAAGGACTGGTTCCCACTGCTCCTGGCCACGAATTTCATCTACTTGTGGTATGAAAACGTGCTCAAGCCACTGGCAGGCGATATCGTTACTGGTCCAGCCGTTTTCCGACGTTATATAATACCAGTCGGCTATCTTCTGGAATTCCTCGAGGAACCACTGCGCTTAAAGATCTTTTCCCTTGAAAATCAAGCCTGGTTTGAGTACTCTACCGGTAGCTGAAATGGTCTCGATGAAAGATGTCCACGAGCGGCCCTGGGGGCTCTTTAGGAAAGCTTTCCTCGTCTCAGAACTTCCCAGAACTAGGGAATCGATGCCTATAAGGGTAGTTAGTTGATTGTGAGGGTAGGGGGCTCAAAAGAGTTACCAAAACCCGACATGATGCCGCCCTTATCGACATTGTACGTATTTTCTGGCTTCACCCAGCCGTAGTCCTCCAAGATGTTGAAGAACCAGTTCACAGACTTAGGGGTAAACCCCTTAAACCGAGCGGATTCCATTCGCTTGCCGATTTTAGTCTGAATGGTAGGGTTGCGTCGTTTAAAGCTGTCCATATAGTGGTTCCCAAGTGGTGCGAAATCCCCCTTTCTTTTTAGGAGTTCTACCACAATTTCCCTGACGGCTGAGTGAGAAGGGGCAAGCCCCAAAGTCTCCTGGCGCAATATCCAGGCTGTTACCTTGCTTTCTTGCTCGGGAGAAATTCTCTGCTCGGTGGTGTGAGCCTCCGTTTTAGTCCCTCTCCCCCTTATGCGTGCTGACAGCGTGCTGGCCGGGACGCCGTATTTTTGGCTGGATTTTCTCACAGACATGCCATTATCTGTGACGTCTAGATAGGCATCCACCACATCATCCTCTGTATACGTGGGCGGAGGCATCGTGGCTGGCTTCAGGATGCTGTGGTGCATGAGGGACAGGGGCTCACAGAGAGAATTCTACAGCAAATTTGTATTTAAGGGCGGGGCACAGAGGCTGCTAAATGCCGATGCCGATGGCCCAGCAATTAAATAATCTATATTCCGCTAAACACCAAGAAAAGGGCTATCTAACCATCTAAAGAAAGTCTAGATACCCTCAAAAAGGGCTGTAATCCGTGTAAGTGAGTAAGGGGACTTTTGGTGGTGATTGTGGGGTTTGGCTGTGCCGGTCGGGGGGGTGTGCCGGTTCGGGGGGTCGGATGGTATAGTGGGGGAGGAGGCGTCAAACCCACCGAGAGGTACCTCGAGGTGCCTACAGTTTAGGTTTTGTTTCTATGCGCGGCCATCATGAGGCTTGCGAGCGGTGAGTCGCATGGCAGAGAGGTATGTGCTGGTACCTGAGAAGCGTTGACGAGCTACTTGAACGCTTTTGCGTAGTTAGTAGTTAGAAACTGGGATTCGTAAACTCGTGCAGTAGCTAGGTCAGTGTTGCGGCCTGGACACGCCTCGTCGATCATAACCACTTCAGGTTGCAATTCGGGCTGCTTGATGTGAAGCCTGTTGCAGCAACGGGAGTTTCACCTAAGATGTGGGCCTTGTCAACAGCCATGGTCATGGCGCGCAAGAGCATCTCATTTTCATGTGCCGAAGTCTCCGCGAACGCATCAGGGTCCTCGTTGCGCATCTCGTGAAGTTTAAAGGGATCGGGGAAACCTTCCGGCTTGGTGAGGATGAGGTACCACGCTTAGGATGACAAGGAAAGTGCACCGCCTCGGATAACAACGTTCTTGACCTTATCCTTCTCCACCTGCTCACGGATCAATGCGAGGGAGTGTCGGTGCCTGCTTCCCTTTTTGTTCATGGCTTCGGCCAAACCATCTATGGCGGCAGGAATTTATGCAAGAACTTCCAGTCGATCTGATTTTCGTTTGAGGACAGATGCGGCCAGCAGCTTAGAGACCGCTACAACCACACGAGGGTCTCGTATAATTGGCTTTGACACTACTTAAGCTCCATCTGCAACTTCGACATAACACGACCCAAATCGTCGTCGCAACTTCAACTGCGTTGAAAGCACAGGAGTTGGCATCGGAGGGCAGATCGATGGCATCCCAGCTGAGCACGTCCAAACTCTTCTCGTCAAGGAAGGACTTGAACCTCTTCCACATCTTGCTGGTCGTCAACTCCCAGTCGATCTGATTCTCGTTTGGCCTCCGAACCCCGGTGTTTGCGGTTCTTAGCCTGTTGCATCCCATAAGCCGCGACAGAGGCACCAGCGGCCGCTGTTAAAGTAGCTGCGGCGCCCAAGACTGACCTAGAGCTTGGCTTTGCTGCATTTGGAGCGTCGCGACTCGGTAAAGCCTCGATAATCTGACCGATGAAAGCCATAGTATTGGAACTTGATGATGACTGGGTAAATGAATGAATATGTCCGTATATCTGCTGATGCTAGCCAAGGAGTTTTATGGAATCTGGATGTTGGGTGGGTTGACTTCGTGTCGCTTAGGTGAGGAAGAAGTTATATAGAAGATTCAGTTAACTATGTAAAGGCCAGGGCACGCCGGCAACGTAAGTAAGGATCTTGAGAGTCGAGCGGGTTGTAGCTGGTTGTAGCTGGTTGTAGCTGGTCGATTTAGGCGCTTGCGTGCGCTCGTGCATGCTGTAAGACCGTAATAATAGTTATTGCGCTCATCGTAACTCGTTTTGTCGTCATTGGTCCCGACGTGATGCGAGGGCCAGAAGCCGGAGGCAGCATTGCTGGGCTCGGGGCTAACGAAGGCCGGGTGGCGGGAAAGAAGTGAACAGTTGGAAGAGTGATCCTTTTCAGCAACACCTCGTGTGGGTTGCAGTCGATCTCTTGTAAAGCCAGCAGATGTATGAACAGGCGCAGTAGATTCGAGGCTTCACTCTAGCAGAGCCAGGGTAGTAGTCGATGTATGAGTTGCGGCGAGCAAATGTCTGCTGGGCCTGCATCGTTGGCCAAGATGATGGATGCGCGTGCGACGTATGCGTACGCATCACCTTGGTGGACCACATGGGCCTTGTTCGACTTATTCTTACGTGCGGGAGCAGACGTACCATATTTGTCGATAATCCGAACCTGTAGCCTCCATGGATGTTATAGGGGGCGGGACATATTCAGGTTTTGGCTATGGAGGAGGGACTCTGGAAGAGAGTCGCACGCCATCGGAACTTCAGTTGTCTAAAAACAAGGCGGTCGTATATGGGTAATCCCGACTTTGGTGAAGGCAAGGTGACTTGGGGGCATGCGACGGTTGAACCACTGTCCATTAGGCGTCACGAATGCGGTCTTATTCTGGTCTTCTGCCCTGGTTTTCACCGCCCAATGTCCATGTGCAGCGTCAGCCTGAAAGAAGACACTGTGATTTCCTTGCATAATCGTGTAGAAAACTCCGTCCCTGTTGTGGACGGGCCACTGAGGCTTACCTTTGAGATTTTTATAAATCTATCGCAAAGAAGATGCGAGTGAACAGGGTGCGTTAGTATGGGTGCTTGAGAATGACTCAACACGCCTGCTTATACACGGTGCCCAGCCGCATCTCCTCGCCCGGGTCAGACCTCCTTCTAAGTACTGTTCGAACTCCTGTCTATTGTTAAACAGGAATAAGGCCACCATGTTGATATTTAGGCAGTGATCGGTGTATACGATGGACAATTCCAGTGCGATAGGGTCGCTCCTTAGTTGTGAAGAGTTGGGAGAGGTTGGCGCAGAATCGAGCTGATTTTCTGATTCAAAAATATGGGTGATATTGTAGATGGGAACGGAGTTGGTAAGGTCACCGTCTAAGTGCATAATGTGTGTAAATAACTAAAAGTGAAGATGATTAAAACTGTAAATAATGCAAAGCTTTAAAGTTATTAGAAGGCGAGTGCTCGTGCGCAAGTTTAAGTGGTCGGTAGTAAGGTCGATTCGTGTTACGATAGGTTTGGAAGGGTTATAAATGGGTCTTTAGTTAAAGTTCGTTATGCTTGTCGATCGATTGCTTGAGTTTTTAATAGATGCCCATTCTTTCTTCGAGTTCAGCAAGGTACCTAACGACAGGGTTTTGAGTAGGCCTGGAAATAATGAAGGACCGGAATATATCGATGTTTTTAGGCCATGTTGTTAGATTGGCTATCAGTGTATCGACTTGTACCCTTAACTTTTCTTTTTTCTTGTTCGTAATAGACCCCGGTATTGTGTACACTAGGTTGGGGAAATGTGCAGGATTAAGGAAACTTGTAGAGGGATGGAAGAGACTGGGGAGGTGTATGCGCTTGTGGCTCGTTTTGTAAAAGGTGATGTATTTAAAAGGAGATCGCGTGAGATTCAGAAGGTTGCTTAACATGTAGAAATGAGCCCCGATCTTGTTTGAGTATATACTTAGTATATGCTATTGGTATTTTCGACGTTTTATTGCGACCAGCAGTCGAGGGTAATAAGCGCACTGAAGCATATATTGTGTTGCAGGCTTTGTGTAGTGATCTCATGTCGAGGCAATACTCAGGAATCTTGGACAGCTGCCGTGTTAAGTGCCTGCAAACCGGCGAATACTCTTGGACCACCCGGCGAAATCTTCTTCCGTATCTGCATCGCGAAGGAGCGCGACACCAGCAGCGACAACTACGGTGCGCTATGGATTGCCTCTCTGATTCTTTTCACCGTTAGAAACAGTGAAAGGTCTATCGAACATGGCAACGATCTCGTTGGCAACGGAGGGTGATAACTGTGGAATGTTGGGGAGGTCTTGCTCAGCTAGGCCGTCGGCTTTGGAGCCGAAGTCTGCCTTGGAGCCGACATTGGATCCAAGGTCTTGGTCCTGGTTGGCCATATCCTTCATTTCGATAGCAAGGTACCGAGCAGTGACATTAATGATAGCTTTATGTGGAAGTGCTTCTAGCGCTTCCAGATCTCGGGTCTTCTCCTCGTCGATGATCGCGAACCCGGCAACACAGCTTCGGCGGGCCAGGTGGTGACTGGGGAGCAGTCGAATCGGGCATATTAACCTCATCATGGGCCAGCGCCTGATAATAACTATTTCGAAGTTATCACTTCCGAGGAAATAATTGTCATAGCCATAGACAGGCAGGGTGTATTGCGTGATTCTCAGAGGCAAAGCATCGTAACTGGTTGTCTGTCATATATTGACAGGTTGTAAGCTTAAATCCGGTTGAGAAAAACTGAAAGCTCAATTCAATGTGGGAAAGAACCAGTGCTATAGGAAAAAGAGTAGTAGTCTATTTGTTGGGTCCGACGACCTCGGGGCCAACAACTTTCCGTAGTCTTTCTTTACCTCTAGGGCCTCCGGATCGTGCATATCGTCTCGCCATTGGTTCTTGCGCGCCATATTTACATCCAGACCTCGGACATTCGTAAGGTAGTCTTCGAACTCCCGGGCCGTCTGCGCGATGTAGCGGAAATTGGCCGTGATGCCTGTCACGTTGACAGTGCCCTCAGGTAAGTACGGTAAGCTTAACAAGTGCTGGTTGTCCAGGAGCGATTTTTCGACTGTGACTCGGAAGATTGTACTATAGCTAGCTTGCTAGTAAAGCTTCGTGAGGAAAGAGTGTATCACTGAGTGTAGGAAAAGAAGCAATGATAGCCACAGAGAACTCGTGGTATAGATAGCGACGATAGTTAAATGGGCAGGTAACTTTTTCGCTATGTTAAGTGTAGATGCTTGCGAAGTGATGTGGTGGGGCCCAGGAGCGAAGTTTAAGTGTAAAAATCAGGCGCGAGGGGCTGGTTTCATGTCGACAATAAGATCTTCTTAGATTGTAAGAATAGTTTTAATAGCCCGATCAGTGTAAGGAAAATTGAGACTCGAGTGCGGGGGGAAGAGATGTACGAGGTTGCTACTGCCTGATTGGTAACTGGGGACTGGTAGTGGTGATGGTACGCGTGAGGGTGGAGGAGTGGTAGATTCATTGGTCTCCAGTGGTAGAAAATGTGACATATGTCGCGGTCCGAAAGCTTCGTTAAGACGCAGGATTTGTTATTACACTTTGCGCATTTGTTGGCTTGTAAGGTAATGCGAGATATCTTACTGTCCATACTAACTTTCCACGATCTTCCTTCCTTGCTGGCTTTGCTCTCCTTACTGGCGGTCCGGGTGCCAACTTTTTGCACCTTGGGCGACTCTTCTTTCTCTGGGGTAGGCGGGGTTTTCTTGAGGGTACCATCTCCGTATGGACATAGGTCTTGTTCCGACTCCCTCTTGGATGGCTTTCGTGACCCATCGGAGACAGGTGTGTAGTGGAGAAGGTATCGCTGTAGTAAAATGACTCTCAGGTCGAGAAAAATGGATATAAGCGTGTAACGGCGAAGGCTTCGTAGCAGTGAAATCAGCGAAATGGTTTCCAGGTTAAGCGAGGACGACAGACTCCAGAGGCTTAACCCCTCCCCTTCGTATTCCGTGTATGTTCCTGTCTCTGTCCCCGCCAGGTGGTCGTTGGGGTTGTGCGCATGCTTAGGAGCGGAACGTGGAGTTCAGCACGACAACGGAAAGAGAAGTGTTATTTGCTCAAGGTGGCCCCAGAACCCGATGAAATACGAAGCTTGTTACCATGTCTTGAATGAGTCTTGACAGGATGGTGATATTGATTCCTTGTAAAGAGTGTTACTGGGTCGAAGACTGGAGTTGTCTCTTGGCTGAGTCTTAACCGGATGGTGTTATTGGTTCTCCAGTAGAGTTAAGTCAAGGTCGGCGACAAGTTTGTTTTGGATTGTGTCTGAATTCTGAATACGCACAAGACTGCAGCTGTGTTGCAGCGCGAGCCTTGCCTTGTTGAACTGTGTGTATGGGGGTTGTGCCCCTTCGAGAGACGTCGTCCCTTCAGTAGAGCGGTGTCTGTGGCAGGTGGTCAGCGACATCGCCGAGGGTGATACAACGTGCACTTGAGTCAATAGACCGTCACCCATTGTATCCATGAGAAGAGAAGTGCTGTATGTGCAAGAATGGAAGCTGTATGTGCCCAAGGATGTAGCCTAGATCATGCCCTGTCAATAGGTAGTAGTGCCCGTGGGCTAGCAGGGCTGCAATAGGGTGCCTGTTGCGTTGGATGCGGACTAGTTACATTTTGTTGTAGGCAGAGAGGGGAATGACGGTTCGTCAGGTAGGTAGTTGAGAAGTCCCAGTTGTTGATACGAGGTGCCGTTAAGACTTAGCGTACATCACTGGGGCTCTCCATTTAGTTGTATCTCAAGGAATCTGGGTTCGGCTCCTCCCCTGCGGTTGAAGAGTTTGGAATATCGAAATGGATCGCGTCGGCACAATTGAAGCGAGGTGCAGGTTGGGTCCGGGTATCTTGAGTAGTACACAACACGAATATACGAGAGTTGAGTGCTGCCTTCGCGATTAGACGTTGGTTGTGGAGTGGAGCTCATTCCGAGGGAGGGAGATGGAAATGTACAGAACAACACGGTGGGTGTGTACAGGAGAGCATTGTTGCAGCTTGAAGCACGTATGAAGGAATCGAAGGCTCCGCTGAGGAGGTCAACCGAGCTCAGGTGTGGTTGTGCAGTTCAAGTGCGGGTCCCTGGATGTGCACGTAGTGAGCATCGTGCGGTTTGGCTAGAGGGAGAGAGAATGGGTCGAGTGCAGCGATATGGTAGAGGCTGTTGATGCATACTAACATCAGATCGTTAAGTGCGGGCGCCTGTAACTACGAGGTGAGGGCACATGGGTCCACAGCCATGAGAAGAATGTTTCGAAAGAAAGCCGAGATTGTCTATCTAAGCTGTTGGCAGATCCGCATGCCCAGTCACCATCAAGCGTAACGTGTAAAAGATGTACCGGAAGATAACGAAGGAAAATATGACTTCGATAACGAGAAGAAAATTCAGGGTATCAACCCACAATGTGGGAACATGCAGAACCTCATCACAAAGCCTTCGTAGGTTTGGTCTCATCTAAGTAGCGATGCAGCCGCCTGTGCCAGAACTTGACGTCGGTACATGCGCGCCGTCTCGCAACATAATCCATAACCTTCGAGATCCCTCCATTAGTTCGTTGGTCTTGCGATTACCCTCCATCTTAAAATGAAAGGGTATCTGAGTCGTTCGTCGTAAGTCATATCAGCAAGAAAATCAATCGTCACTCCAGCCGGGTTTGCGTAGCATCGTTGACCACGCTGGGCCGTAAGACTCTCCAGTCCAAGAGTAAGCCGAAACCAGATGAAACCCAGTGAGCACAAGCCATGCTTAGCCATGCAGCGAGTGTAAATGGTGGATCGAAATCCAATCCGCAACCAGCAACGCCAACATTTGCTACCATCGTATAATTCATGCTCTTGTTAAACGCAGGTGTAAGCCCAGAGAAATAAGAAATGGGGTATGTCGGAAAACCAATCGTATAGCGATCGTATATTATGCGTGACTCGTACAAAGGGCGCGAGGAGCGGCGTGAGACCATGCGGCGATGCAAGGGTATCTGCTGGTGTGTATCCTTGAATAGTTATATCCCGCGACCTCATCATTGAGGGGTATCGCTATGTCAAGTTGACGAGGGTTGAAGTAATTGAAGTGGTTCATCGCAGTGTGGGACCAGGCGGTAACTGATGGGCTAATACGCAGTGGTCGCATTTCCCTCGCTGGTAGCAACGGCTACAAGAGCTTGCAATCGGAGCATGTTATTCTGCTCGCCGCTGTTGTCCTCCCTAGGAGGTTGAGGGGAAACATCGGGGTTCTGCCTAGCCGGGAATCCAGAGAAGTCGTTAATATTGGGGTGAACCATACGTTCCACACGGGCCACCTTCTCCGGAGGCGCATCGGTGTGCACAGTATTGGGATTTTGATACCACCCCCGTCTTTTGTTCTCGCGAGAGCTGGCGGCGAAAGAGGGCGCTGACATAGTATGTTGGTGAAAAGTCCTGGGAGTGTTGCTGGCGCGCGACGCCTCACTCTCCATAATCACAGGTTCGTTGAACCTCACTGTAGGTAGGTTGAGTCTTACGCGATCAGCCTCTGCCTCAACAGCTTGGTGTGCATCACGCGCCCAGGAGCTCGCAGTATCCGCCTGTGGGCTGGCATTGGACGTTATATCCAGCCGAGTCAGACCTCGATGCAGACCCATATCCCACCCAGCCGAGTTCTGTTTCTCTTCAGCTTCGCCGGAATTGGCGGTGGGAAGCAACGCGGGTGGATGGGACGCATCCGAGTCAACCACCATTGGAGATGGAATTCGTCTCGGTGGCGAAGCCTGGCGACGTGGAATGGGCCCAAAAGACTCAATGCCCGGAAGGCGGAAAGAAACACTTTGTTGAGGCGCGGGTGCGGCCATTGATATCCTTTCTTCGGCTGGACTTTGGAATTGGGCTGGTGTGGTGACGGTGCTCAAACGGCTGCTGATGCTAGCGGTGTTGAAATTGCTCGAGTCGGGGTGCCACGTACGGCGGCGCCAATCTTCTGCATGAGAGGTCGACTCGCGACGGGAGAAGGCCGAAGACGTAGGCGAACCCATCACACTTCCAACTGGTGAGTACGTCGCGGGGTTCGACGAATTCATGGGTCCAACACTGAACATGAACCGACCCATACTCGCTCCGTGGGGAGACTGGAAGGGGATTCCGCCAGACGGTACACTAAGCCGTCGGCCAGGCGTCCTACTGCCAGCATACAGACTATGCGACCTTGAGTGGGATGAGATTGGTGAGGCAATACCAGAGCCCCACCGTGGACTACTCTGCCCAGTCGAAAACGTTGCTGAAGTCGGCGTGCTGAAGTCGCTGGGGGAAGCCGGTCGATACATGTAGCCTTCGGGGCCATGCTGATAAGTCTCGAGTGACAGTCGCGCCCGAGGGTCTGCCATCACCAATGGGGGTGGCCGACGCCGTTCATCGCGAGCGCTCAAGTTGGATCCCACGGAGCTGATACTCGATGTGGAGAGAGACTTCGCATGTCCTCTGGTTGGCGTGCCCATGCTACCCGACGTCGAGGCCCGCGCTCTAACGGCCGGGCGCACCCTATCCGTTCGAATCTGCCTCTGGAATCGCGTTCCCGTCGCAGCCAGAGAGTCCATCGGTATGTCCTCGTTGACATGAACAGTTTGTGCGTGTTGTCGTAGGTTGTCTAAACGCGAAAAGCGCCTTGAGCAGTGACACTGAAAAGGTCGCTCGCCGGTATGTTTTCTGGAGTCAGTGGTCAATATAGCGATCGCAGACGGTGCCGTTTGTCTTCAATGCGTACCTAATGTGTCTTGCCAGGTGTTCGCTCCTCGTAAAACTCAAGTTACAAGGAGGGTAGTCTGTGCAGTAGAACCGTTGCGATTTCTTCTTCTTGTTTGACCTTGTTCCATCGGCGTTTACACTCTCGTCGTCGGAAGCAACTCCATCATCTCCATGGCCCTCTCCATCTGACTCATCCATGTCCACATCCTCGGAACCTCCGCATGACTTCCTCGAACGATGAGAGTCGTCCCTCTGAAGCGGCTTCCTCTCATCGATGCTCTCGGGTATCTGCACAGCCTGGGGAAACGGCGAGGTCGGTAGAGGGCGCTGGCCAAACGTGGCGCGGGTCGGTGTCGGTGTAGTCGATGACGGTGCCATTGCGTCGTCGTTCTTCGTTTCCATGATCATTGGGGTATTCACGGGCCGGAAAGTCGCTGCCATGGCAAGGCGGTTCGGGGCGATTACGAAATAGCGCACAAGAGGAGAGCTGAGGTGAGCCTAGCGACGTGAGTGACAGTAGCAGCTGTTCCTGGTCAACAGCCTGTCTCCCGTGCTGGACGCGAAAAGGAGGTTGCGGGGTTTGACTTGGGACAGAGCGGAGGAGAGATGGTAATGCGGAGGCGGAAGGGATCGCGCAAGAGGGGGAGGGATGCTAATTAGGAGGTGTTGCAGTCATTCGAAGACTTGGTCCAGGAGAAGCGCCCTGGCTGTACGTATTCAAATGATGGAGCGAGTTGTTTAGGTGGTAGTGATAACGAGGATGGGGGGATGCTCTGCTCCCGGGAATGCTCGGCGGGGAGTCTGAAGAGGACAGCGGCTGAAGCCAAGACAGTACCAGTGGTGACAAATGTTGGATGTCTGCGCCTTTCTGGGATCTGGATCTGGGATCTGGGACCTGGGACCTTGAGGCTTTGCGGCTTTGCGACCGATGCGACAATGCGAGCATGCGCAGGAGGCGACAGTCACGACGGATTATGCAGACTTGGGACTCATAGGCCAGTGATGGTGCCGCGTCCAAGATCTTAGATGGCATTCATCCCAAGGACGAGTGAGAGGGGAGAGCCTGTCAAGCCTGGGCCGGGCCACCCAGGTACTGGTACTGCTTAACCAACCACCAACCACCGAGCCACCGGAAAGGCTGGAACTGGAACTGGATGCAGGAGCCGGAGACGCTCAAATCGGAACGCGGTCAATGACGAATGAGTCCGTAGACGGCGGCACCACTTGTGCATGCAATTGGGCTCGAATCGCGCGGGAAGGCGTTTAGTATTGATTGATTGTTAATTGATTGATTGATGATGGGTCGAGCTCTCGTTCCGTCAGACAGCGAGAACGGGAATAGAGAGAACTGAAACTGGTATTCTGCCGCGCACGTACAGTATGTAGCGTGTGGCGACAAGAGGTAGACAATTAGACAGGTCGAAGATGGTGAGCAATGAGAACAACTCAAAGCGGGATGTGGTGGAGGGGCAGGTGAAGGTGAAGCTGGCTGATGAGATGGTTGGGACTGCCGGCCTGTCAGACCACGATGACTAGCCTATGATGGCGCGCTGGACGGGGTAAGAAGCGGACCCCTAGGTAGGTAGGCGGCAAGTGTCAAGGAAGCAAGGAAGCAAGGAAGCAAGGAAGCAAGGGGCCGCTAAAGTCCGAAAATGCTTCGTGCCCACCTGGGCACTGCCAGCCTCTCATCACGCGAAGACAAGCGACAGGGTCCAGGCGCATGAGTGCGCTACCTATACGAAGTGTGTGCCTGGTAAAGTGGACAGACGATGTACGTGATGGCTACTGTGGCAGTTGTTTCGTCGACGAGGGCAGAGCTGTCGAGCGATAGTGAGGTGGACGAAGGACGGTGGTGGTGATAATGATGATGATGATACCACTCTTGGGTCTTGGCCGAGACTGCCCTAGGTTGTACTACCTAGAGGTTGTACTGACAGGGCGAGGCGAGAACTGCGAGGCAAGGCTCGGGCGCTGATGGCGGCGAACATCAGGGACCGATAGATGGTGGCAGGTGGATGGCCGGGACACATTGGATGGATGTTATGGGTCTTGGATGTCGTACAGCAGCAGACCAGAAATAGATCAGTCAAGTCAGCCCGGCGTGTCAGGAGGTAGCCTCCATTCACACCGAGAGGTCCATGTTGAAGGGTTGATGAACGGACTTCCACAAATTCCATGTTCATGTTCGGGGCTTGTCGAAAGGATGACATGACGGCGGTGAAACGCCCCTTCCTCTTCTGCCTCTTCCATCACACACAGGCAGGCACCGGCGTGGAGGGGCAGAGGGGCAGCAACAGGGGGAGGCCGGGGAGGGACAGCCTCGAGCTAGGCTGCTAGCGTAGGGATGTGGTTGGTAAGGAGGGGCAGCACGATGTCGGTCTCGTCGGTCTGCTTGTGATGCGAGGGGTTGGAGGGGCAAGGGGCAGCTAGAACATTGAAGCCCGGGAGGCTGGACAGCCAGACAGCCCTGTGCGCTACCTAACAAGCGCCCCATCAGGCTAGCACTAACAAGTATGCGGACAATTTTTTACACCGTCTGGAAATAACCACCTGCACATCTACAGTCCTCAGGTGCCCAGACAACCCCTTCCACCACTTATCATTTTTTTTCGGTATCAGAGACTCTACCTCGAAGATGCTAATCGGGGAACTCAAACACATGTGCGACTGTCACAGCTCAAGACAACCACGCAAGCTCCTGCCTGTTGACGCCCTACCCAGGCTGTCCCGATCATCAACCTATCCAAGCACGTACCGGGTCTGCTGCAGTGCCATCCATTTGACGATGGGAACTACCGACGGCCAGGGATTGGTCCTAATACCTACATGCCAGCCCATATTCCAAGGTATACTATGAAAATGTCCAGCTGACTACCTCCCAGAGCCACACCACCATCAAGCAGCCTTGGTCTGGTCCGGCCTGTTCCCTCGGAGCCTTGCCATCCCTACGGTAGCGCCAATTGCTGTAGGCTGGTCTACAGTAGTCGCACCGATCTGGCTCAGGTCGGTGTTCTAGCAAGATACGGTTTCACCGCTGTCACGAGGCCACAGGTCTCGCTGTCAGTACTGCATGGATCTCACTTTCAACGTGGACTCCCCAAGGCCGCGAGGGATGGATGCACCAAAACTTCCCGTCCCATCTTCGGGGCTCGTGTACCTGGTGACTCAATTTTTAGTCCGAGCGGTTGACGCAAGGCTGGACCTCGCCAAGTGGTCAAGCATTGCAGTGTGATTCTACACGTCGAATCGTCATGTAAGCTGCAAACTGGAACTACCGTCGTCCACGTCTCATATGATGACTTTTGTCCAACTGCCGACAGCCGCACAGCTTCAAAAACACCATACCTAAGACATCAACATCGAAGCACCTTGAGGTACAGTTTCATATATATAGCGGGGCCGAGACTCTCCAACCCCAATCCCGGGGCTCCCGAGGTGCGAGCCTACAGCAAGGAAGCAAGCAAGTCAAGCAACACTTGGGCGCGATCCAGGTTTAAGGGGTGTCTAGTAATAACACCACGCTGTCGGAATGGCACTTTGGCGTTGCAGTAGGAGACATTCACCACTTATCGACAAGTCCTAGCCCGATGAATGGGTTACAGTGCCGTCATGCGTTGCATGCCTGCTCGGCTCGGCATCGTATTGCAAATACATCATGCTCGGCCCTTTGGACTCGACGAGGTATATTACGACTCCAATTGCCCAGTTGACTGTCTTATCAGGTGACCGTTGCTTTAGCCAATTGATTCGGCTGGCATTTTACACATACCGGGGCAAACTGTGTTCCTGCGCCTGTTCCTGAAGGGGGCTTGACCATCCCACCCATCTGGCCATCCAATGTCGAGAGAGTTTCCGACATGCCACCCCTGACTCGAAACACTCGGGATTACGCCAGACCGCTGATAGGCGCTGCTGGACATCACGCGCTCGCTGACAAGTGTCGGCACCGAGGCGTGGATGATTACCGACCGTGATGTCGATCGTGAGAGCGGTAGGCCTCTGTCTGTTGGTCCATCACGAGGTTTGCCAGCATGCGTTGTGATGGATCTTCGAGGCGGAGGAACAGAAGGATGCCTTGCTATTCCTAGATCGTGGCGATCGCCCGAACCGCCCCATCGAATCGTTGACCCGCTCGACGGATCCCGTTTCTGGCCCGAACAACACCTACTTCAAGCCGATAAGCCGATGAACCTGCAGCCCAGCGGCAGCCCCAGCTTGGCCAACCACCCAGCAGCACTTGATTCCTGACCACTCCCCGGGCTGTCCGGGGCTGCGGAGGAGACTCCAGCTTGCATGTTTTGCGGATGGTGTTTCGCCGCACTCGCCAATCAAGCTCACTATGCAAGGCACAGTACTATGCCATCACGCTATTCCCTCGCTCATTACCGGTATCGTTTGGCCGGCAGTGTCGGCCAGCCTCCTCTCACGTCCATCACGCCCCGGCCCCGCCCTCCCCCAGCATCGCGCAGCAGCAAGGCTCGCGGGCTCGATAACCGAGAATTCCAGCCCTTCACAGCAGTCCATAGGAGGTGTCAATCGATAGCCCGAGGAATACTAAAGGAAAGGCTGAACGAGCACTATTCCTGACTCGACCGCACACGTTTAACATCCTAGCCCCAAAGTCTGTTTCCGTGTTCTGTACACGCACAAACTCTTGATGAACTTTCTACTTTTCATTTCATCAGGGACGTCGAGTTATGCATTTCAGCCCACCCGCAGCCTCTAGTGTTGCCTGAACGCTACCCATCAGATGACTCAATGTAGCATCATCGAATGATCCAACCCAAGGTTTATCACACCTCGTCCATGTCTCGTCTTGTCAAGGACTGACCCTGCGCTGCTATGGTGCGTTTGCGATATAGCGCAAGATGAACCATGCTATACCCTGTGCCATTAACTTGGTTACAGGCGCATGACAACATCCGATGGAAAGCGCGGAATCACATGCGCCTGGCTCGCGGAATCTCTAGAACTTCAGTCACCTCCCATCCGAGGCATATCATAACCCGTACGGACCCTACAACGACACGATACCGCAAGCGACGGCGACAGAATGGGGTCAGCCACAAACTCGGGGGCGAGGTAAAGAAAGAAGGACAATTCGCAACTGAAATTGCCAGTGTCCTGATTTGATGGCTGGACGTCGAAGGACCAGATTGATCACTTTGGAAACGTGTCTAGGACCTTTGGTGGCCTCCCATCTGAGGTCCTCAGCAGCCCATCTCAGGTCGTCAGCACCCCGTCTCAGTTCTCAAAGTCGCAAGCTACCGCAACAGAGCTTGATGATCCGCAGCCGAATTGGAAGGGAAAGGGAAAGGGGAGGAGCGGGAAACCTCACAGGAGCCGGTGGCGGGATTGATGAGTTGCAAGGCGAAAAGGACGACTGAAGAGAACGGGACATCGATTGAGAAGACCTCCCGGTCGACTAAAGTGTTTGATATTTTTGATCACTTGTTGGGCCCCCCAACCGATCTTTACGACAGTCCGTCAGAGATCTACAATCGCCCGTCTGATGTCTCCAATGACCCTCCTCTCTCACAAATCCACGGTAACCCATCGAAAGACATTGATTGCCCATTTTATCTCCTCGAATGCCACCATGCTTCTCAGATCTAGTGCTGTTCGTCGATAGGCATTGCCTCCCCGTCCGAGATGTTTGGCAGCCCGTTCGAGGTTCTTGGTAGCCCAGAGGCCACTGTTACCCGGGCACCACGTTCTCCTCAAGACCGTACTTCCTCTGGAGGATTTTGACAACACCGGACATTTATGTCGATACCGGTGGGTAGAACGAGGGGGTGTATCTCTTGCGGTTGGTTGCGGAGTTCCATCTCGCAAGCTGGAGTCTGATATTGTACCGGTGGGTATGGTCTGTCACCAGGTCCGGGTTTGTTTGTTTGGGGTGTTTGGTTTACCAACAAGCGATAACGATACCTTCTTGCGGTTTACTACACATGCAGGTATCTCGTTCTTTAGGATGACAACAGCAGTTTTCATGGACATCACCCGTCTTGGCGAATAGCACCATCACACTTGAAGAGACCCCCGTTGTCGCTAATGCCATCCAGGTCTCGACTCTCTATAAGGTTGTAGACATTTTTATGTATAGGATGGTAATGGTTGCGGTTCCATATGCTGGGGGTGTAGATCTGTATCTAATCGTAAAGTTCTACCTATTACCATTGCAGATACACGTGGAACCGCTAGCCATTACCATCCTAGACATACGACGAGCAGCTGCATGCAGCATTGGCAGCTCCACCAGGCTTCTCACGGCATCCAGGGATTATCTTATACAGATACTTATAAGTATATCTGAAACGTCCCCATCCGACATTCCCTCCTACCTCTACACAGAAAACCATATGTGACTGGACATGTCTTCTATCCGAGTCGCAGTCACCCAGGCAGAGCCAGCATGGCTGGATCTAGCCGAGTCGGTCAGCAAGGCATGTACGCTCATCGCAGAGGCGGCCGAAGGCGGGGCCAAACTCGTCGCATTCTCCGAAGTATGGATTCCCGGCTACCCAGCATGGATCTGGTGAGTACCACACACACCTCGCGTCAAGCAACTGAGCTGTTCACCTAATCAACGATACCAGGGATCGCCCGGTTGATGTCGAGCTTCAGACGAAGTACACCTACAACTCCCTGTCGCTCGACTCGGAAGAAATGGGCAACCTCAAAGCGGAGGCCAAGCGCCACTCCATCGCCGTGGTCATCGGCTTCTCGGAGCGGACCCCTTCCCAGAGCGTCTACATCTCACAGGCCATCATCTCACCCCAGGGCGAGGTAGTGCTGCACCGACGCAAAGTCAAGCCGACACACGTGGAGCGCACCATCTTCGGGGACGGCTCCGGAGCGGACCTGACCAGCGTGGTGGAGATCGCCTTCGGCGCGCCGCACGGAAAGATCAAGGTGGGCTGCTTCGCGTGCTGGGAGCACACGCAGCCGCTCCTCAAGTACCACGGCATCTCGCAGGGCGAGGTGATCCACGTGTCGATGTGGCCGCCCGTCGACCCCACGACGGGCGTGGACCACCCCGGCCTGTGGAGCATGACGGCCGACGGGTGCCAGAACCTATCGCAGACCTATGCCGTCGAGAGTGCGGCCTATGTGCTTCATTGCACGGCAGTCTGCGCCGAGAAGGGCGTGGAGGCTATGAGGACGCAGAACGGCCTGCTGTGCCGCGCACCGGGAGGAGGACATAGTTGTGTCATAGGGCCCGATGGCAGACGCCTGACGGAACCCGTTGGGGATGGGAAGCCTGAGACGGAGGGCATCCTCTATGCGGACCTTGACTTGACCAAGGTTGTGGCGACCAAGGCCTGGTTGGACACTGTGGGGCACTACAGTAGGCCGGATCTTCTCTGGCTGGGTGTTGACAAGCAGCAGAAGGAGGTCGTTGTTGCCAAGTCCCGTGAACAGGATTGAGCGCGTTCCAAATCAGCAACCAGATAGTGTAGATCTATATGGAGTGCAGGAATGTCGGTCGTACAGAGAACGGCTGGGCCCCTATCATTCTACACCCTTTAGATGCGCAGACTGCTTAATGAGGAGCTGCTTGAAAAGGCTGTCATTCATGGCCGAAGAGTGACGTGTTTGCCAGTGAAATATAGACACGCAGATTCATGGTATTATGAGTGTTTGCGGAACTGAATACACATCATCTCACCTGGCAATCATGCAGGGCAGGGGTTGGTATAATGAGTCCAAAACTTGGCTTCATTGCAAGTATATCAGGACTGATGGTAATAACATATAAGTGGGCGCAAATATTTCAACCTGTCTGTATTCAACAACATTGGCAAGCTAAGGAGGTAGTTACTCAAGAACCTATTTAACAGCAAGCAATGATGCATTGCTATGACCTAACAAACTACAATCGTATGAGGCTGATTTTAATTTAAGTAGCTTTCAGCTTTCAATGGGCTCGTAATGATATAAGTTCCAGGAAGATTGGTAAAGGGGAGGTGCGGGTTGCGTTTAGCCATAGCCAGTGGTATAGGGGGCGGCTTAACTTTGAAGGTCTTTAGTGAGCATCGCTCGAGATCATGCAGCATGAAACTCAATCCAGTAGAGGGTGTTAAACATACATGCTCCTCGCCTACCAGTTATTTATTTGTCCCATTTCTACTATAAAGCGATGATGTTTAAGATCGCTGACGACGGGCAGGTCGTTACCATCTTTTCTTTGCTCAACGTTGAAGACGTTTCTGAAAGCTTCGAGGACCCGGCTCATGAAGCCATGGAGAACTCAACTCACATTTAGTGGTTTCAGCTCCAACTTGCCCTTGCCTGCATCACTGCTAATCCAAACAAATACAGGTGATGATGCGATTGACGATACACACGACGCCGACATTCTAGTTGACTCTGAAGAAACCATATTCCAATTTCGCCTTCTGTCGAAAGACCTCGCCATTCTTGGCGATTTCATCAAATCGACATGGAAGTAATATCTCTACATTGGATAGGATCTCGCCGTTGTGTGTATTGCCGTCAACACATGCATAGATGTATCGCGACAGCTTGAGGGCCAAGCCTGCTCTAGCATCACCGCATTGACAAGCATCTTGGTTGTGAAGATAGATAAGAGCAAGATAGCCCATCACTTACAGCTCAACCAGTGAAACTCATAGAGACTCTTACTAGAGTCCAATTCCTATACTTTACCATTCCGACAACTCTACGGCGAGATTCTCGGGAGAGACGTCACTATCGCCGAAGTCCTCCTTCTCGATGAAGGAGTATCGATAAGCAAACACTATGAGAAACTCAATGCGTCATTTCTTACCAGCTTCATGCTCCTCCCCTAACTCCAGCTTCGGTACCTGCTACAGCAGAAACTAGTGGTCCACGTCGAGGCTGGGCATCATGGAACATACAACTCATCACCTGGTACCTCTTTGGATAACAAAGAGAGATGGACGAACGACAGGATACTGGTCACCGAGCTTCCCTACGAGCTTACACTTGTGAGAAAAGTAACGCATATGCTCCCGTCACTCGACAAGTGTATTCGAAGGATCATGGCACTTCTAGACGGCGGCACACTTACCCTGTGGTCGGTATTTGGCCTTCATGTCGTCATAGATATGTATACCGAGCTCGGCGCAGACATCACGAAGCCCACGAATGACTTGCGGGCATTCCTCAAGCCGGCCATCAAGTCTATATGTGACGTTCAGATCTGGATCAAGTCCACCAACCTGAAAGGAATGCGAAGGGGCAATGATGAAGACCAAGCGTTGCTTGCACTGCAGAGTTTGCTCACGGCGTGGGAGTCGGAACTATCCAGTCCCTGGAGCTCCAAGCGCTCCGAGCTGGAAAACCCGGGGGTGTCATTACCAAAGAGCCATTTTTCTTCCTTCGCCGGCAACCACTTCTCTGTGGGATCCTTCTGTACATCGGCCGATCCGAATTCCAAGAAACAGGCATCGTCGGCTCTATGCTGGCCGTGGTCTACAAGTTATTTTATTTTTTTAAGCTGTTCGACCGGAAGGGGGGAGCCCAACCCAAATACCCCAAAAGACAACAAAAAGCAGAGCCCCCGTGCTGTAGCCATGGTGCACATCACGCATCGACCGCTCCTATGGCGCAGCGCGGCGTCAGAGAGCTTGGAACTGCTCACCAGATGTTCAAGGGGAGATTCTGCGAGGGATCTGGGCGACATGAACTGACAGAGGCCGACGTGGGCAGCATCATCGAAGCAGCAGGCCGGGATACAGGAACACCCTTGAGCACAGCTGAGCACATAGCTTCTTTGGCAGCTACAATCGACAGCGAGACTATCTCATTGAAGCTCAATTACCTCGCCACGCATCTAGCTTGCACCAAGATGCTGGAGCTCGTCATGCGAGCTGCTAGCGGAGACGTTGTCGGGGCAGACACTGACACCTAGAGCGCTGTTCGCGTGGCCGGATTCTGTTTTTCCATGGGATTTGATAGACTGAAAGAGGTGGACTTTGCTGTGACAAGCGAGTTTCAGAGGAAAACGAGCACCAATGATCGAAGGAAAGCTCTGTGCTGGTCCGCTCGGAACGGGGGAGAGTACAGATCTGATAGGCACAAACCACCAGGCTTCAAAGAGCTCAAGAAGGAGGCAACATTCATCATCCCTAAGACCACCCAGTGGCACGCACGACCAGGCCTCAAAGCCCTCTAGAAGGAGGCGCCCCCTTCTGTACTAAACACCCATTGATAGACGCATCAGATCAGGCTCCAAAGACCTCGAGAAGGAAGCAAACAAACTTTCACCTATATCTCCATTCTAAAAACCGGCCGAAAACGGTCATTCCTTGCCTCAGGCCTGATTGACGAGCGTTCACGGAGAAGGATCCTCGGATAGGACTGGTCATACAGCTCATGGCCTGGTTGCAAGATCCATTTCCATATCTCTTTGCTCCGCGCGTTGGTCTCCTGACCCCCTTGCACTTTTGCTTCTACTGAGGCTACGGATAGGGGTTCGAGACTCTAAGTATGCTTCATTTGGGAGCGCATATATTCATAGCACGTGTAATTGTTTGGAATAGAGATTCCACATTAAAACTCTGCGCGATGAGTATATTGCTGCAAGAAATCGTGAACTTTGCACACTAGTTGTGAAGCGCGTGGCGCGGAGGAGGCCGCCGAGAAAGATGAGACGGAGGAAGATGAGATGAAGGAACTGGCGATGAATATTTGCAGACATTTGATGGGCTGCAAGCGGGATACTACTGCATGTGAGGCATCTTGGCCTGAGTTGATCGAGGCGCGACGAAACGCCTGCATGCGCTCTCTAGCGAGGAGAGAGTCAGGTTGAGAGGAAAGAGTGCAGTACCAGCGTCTTCTGACTATTGGACCGGTACGATGGCCAGGAAGAGAATTCGGGTCTGGCGCGGCGCGACTTTCGGGGGCTTCGAGAACTTTTACGAAGAGCCTTATTTGCACCTTACCGAGATTGCTTATTTGCACCTTAGTGGGAATGTTCCCGCTGATGGCCGTCTGCGTGCTGGTCATGGGGTTCGGCCCCGAGAGTCTGGCGCTGCTGGGAATTGTGGCCCTTGACATCTTTCTGTTCATGACCGTGTACAGTCCCGGCGACGGCCCCTTGATCTTCACCTACTTGGCCGGTGTGTTCTCGACGTACATCCACGACGCGGCATGTGCTTCAAAATGGCGACGTGATGGACCGTCAACTTCATCATCTCGTTCACGGGGTCCTCGCTCAAACAGGCGTTTAGGCCGCAGGGCGCGTTCGGGTGGTATGCGACGTGCAATGTGTTTGCTTGAGAGCATAAGAATTGCTGCCGGAGACCGCGGGGTCTGGCGGTCCTTCCTTGTCCATCGCGTTTTGGACGTGTTGTTCGAGGTGAGCGGCTCACTTGCAAATTTGGTACCTCACACTAGAAGAGCTGGATGCCATCTTCGATACCTGCAACAGTGACCGACCAATTCTGATTGTACCAAAGACAAGCTCCCTCAGTACAGGAAGACATCCATCCTTCCCCGGGTCGCCGCCGTTTCCACCGCTATTCGTACCATGGTGTTGAGACGGAGATGTACTCTGGTGTTTCGCAGAAAGGCCCCGACAGTGAGAAGGAAGGACAGGTGAGCTTCCTGATGTTTGGCTGTGTAGCAAAGACTTCAATCTCTCCTCGTGAGATGTGTTCCCTGAGCGGGGAAGCCAAGGCGACATCTGGATTCGCATTCGGAGCTTGACTCGCGACTGCCCAATCGGGCACTACTTGCACTCACAGTCTCACAGTCTCACAGCCGGCGTCGTGACGGCCTCGCGCGTTTGGCAAATTGGCACCGAGTAGCATCATATGACAGCTGGAGGTCGATAGCGTCTTGGCCACGCTTGCTGTAATTGATTGATCCTTGTCGAATTGTCTTGGCCCGTGGATGCGCCGCCTAACCAGCATTCTTCCTGCTGTGGCTATTCCTGCAGGAAGGCAGCGAACACGCTTGCTATCGCATTCCTTCTTGTATTTCACTCGCCTACCCAGCGCTCAATCGTACCGTCATCGTCATGTCTTGATTGATGCGCTGCGAAGAAGGGTCGGTTAAGCCATGTTGTCCTCGAGCCTGTTCGCCGCCATCGTGGTGTCACTGGGGACTGGCCAGGTCGTCAGTCAGAGCTGCCCCAGTTACTCGAGCTATTCGCAGTCGCGACACGAGCCCTACTCGACAGGCGCCTACGCCCTTGCATACCAACGCCCGGCGCCGGGCTGTCGCACCTTCAACTCGACGGGTGTCGAAGACGCCATCCTGCGCATCAAGAACCAGACCCACGACCCCGACCTGTCCCGCCTGTTCGAGAACACCTTTCCGAATACCCTCGATACGGCCATCAAATGGCGCGGCGTCGCGGCCAACAACTCGGAGGAGGAGCTGGCCTTTATCATCACGGGCGACATCGACGCCATGTGGATTCGCGACTCGGCGAACCAGGTCGCGCCATACAGGAGCATTTTGAAGAGCAAGACGGACGACATCGCGTCGGTGTTCCGCGGTACCATCAACCTACAGGCGCGCTACCTGATCCTCTCGCCATACTGCAATAGCTTCCTGCCGCCGCCCGAGTCAGGTCTGAAGCCAGGTCCCAACGGGGCGACCTACTCCGTCAAGCCGTCCTACGACCACAACGTGGTGTTCACGTGCAACTTCGAGCTCGACGACTTTGGCGGGTTCCTGCAGCTGTCGCACGACTACTACACGCAGACGGGCGACGTCGACTTCTTCGGCCGCTTCCAGTGGCTGCAGGCCGTGCAGTCCATCGTGGCGGCCGCGGACGCGATGCGCGCGCCGACGTACGGGCCCGACGGCGCCTGGATCCCGCCCGTCTACTCGTTCCAGTCGCAGACCATGACGTCGATGGGGACGCTGGGAAACAACGGAATGAACTACCCTGTCAACTTCACGGGCATGGTGCGCTCGCCCTTCCGGCCCAGCGACGACGCCGCCATCTACGACTTTCAGATCCCGGCCAACATGCTGCTGGCGCGGTACCTGGACGCGACCTCGGCCATCGTCGAGCGCCTGCCCAACGCCCCCAAGGGGCTCGCGGCGCAGATGCGCGACATGGCCGGCGAGATCCGCGCGGGCATCGAGCACTGGGGCGTCGTGACGACGCCTGGCGGTCAGAAGATCTACGCGTACGAGGTCGACGGGTTCGGCGGGCAGAACCTGATGGATGACGCGAACATCCCGTCGCTGCTGTCGGCGCCGCGGCTCGGGTACCTGGACGCGAACGACACGGTGTACCAGAACACGCGCGGGTGGGTTCTGAGTAGGAATAATCCGTGGTGGTGCGCCGGCCCCGTGATCAATGCCGTGGGAAGCCCGCATATCAAGCCCGGGGCCGCGTGGCCGATGGCGGCCATCATGCGCGCCATGACGAGCGACGACGATTTGGAGATCATCAACGCGATCAAGGAGGTGGTGCAGTCGACGGACGGGTTTGGGCTGATACACGAGAGTGTGAATAGCTTCGATGCCGGGCAGTGGACTCGGTCTTGGTACGTTACCTCCCTCCTGCGTCCTCGTGCCGTGAAATTTCATAAGAGTTTAAAGCCTTGTGCTGTAAACTGACGTTGGATTGCCATCACAGGTTTGGCTGGGGAAACGCTGTCTTTGGCCAGATGATCATGGAGTTCGCGGAGAGGAAACCGCATATTTTGCAGGAGAGCTTTCAGCCTTTCTTCATTGCTAAATATTGAGGTGCCCCTTTGGTCGCATTTTCATAGAACGGGTTTGATATCATGAGGTACCATGTTTGTGACAGTCGTGAGACTGACTGTCAGTATATATACCACCATAGGATGTCAAGTTGCCATGCTTGACATTCGGCATCATTTTGGGAGTTGGGGCTTTGGCTTGGTGGCGTAAGTGCCATTGTCACAATGTTTACTCGGTGCAAGAAGATATAAGCTTACCTACCCGTTGGTCCATACCTACGTATCCTTTGAAGGGACCACTAACCAGAGGTTAACCGGAAGTGCCCGTCGCTGGTGATACATTCATGTAAACCTTGGGGCCCTCGCCAAGAGCTTCTATAATAGAATTGAGTCTTGCATCTCCTGGCCTGCTCACTTTGGTATCTGTATTGGATACAAAATGTATGAATGACCACCTCTTCAGTTCCTACATACATGTAGACACTCGTGACCTCAACCTCCCTTTTCTCGATGCAAAAGGTTCACTGAATGAGGCTTTAAGTTTTTGTCCAAAGGCTTCTCAGCTGTCCGGACGACGGGTTTCATTGGCTCGGGCGAGTCAATCTGGTTGTTTACCGAGCCATGATTGGCTCTTGCGCTCCTAGCGCGCTATTTTGTCAATTCCAGTGGGCTACAGGGGGGTGTGCTGCGGGTCATAGTGGGTTCTGTGGGCTGATGGCTGCCGCTGTGCTGGCATATGCTGACGTCGAGCAGCGCTATCGGTGGGCTTGCCAGCGTTATCGTGCCTATCAGACAGCAGTATTGGCAGTGTTGTGGTTGACTGAGCGAATTTCAGACAGATGCGCCATCCGAAGCTCCGGTCCGAGTCAACAGACTTAACAGTGAACTCTCCAGCTCTCCAACCTCTTGGCCTCCACATGGCAGTCGGAGTCTAAATAACAAAACCTTGTTGTTCAGACTTCGCATCGTGAGCTGTGAGCTGCTGCATTGCGTCGGTGTCTGTCGTCTGTCGTCTGTTTGCCAGCCATACTTCCATTCCATTCCGATGTCGTGAACCTGGTCGCCATCTGAACCTCCATCGCATCGAATCGTTCTTCCGTCCTGCGAGCGAACCGCATTCCGCATTCCCCACTTGCGACAGCATCCAACACCGACAAACCACCACGATGTCTCTGTTCGACTTTCGCGAGGTCGCCTCTGGTCTCGCGCCTGGGGCCACCTCTGGTCTCCCGTCTGGTACCAACGCGACGGATTCAGAGATTTTTGGCGTGCACTTCAACCTGACCACGCTGCAGCACTGGAACTACACCCTGTACTCGGGCAACAATACGATCAGGTTAGTGGTCTTGACCTCGTTACCTCCTCTGGAGGCTGTATATTAGGGCGCAATACTTCCAAAGCATGGCTCATCGGCTCTAGGCGTTCCGCCGCCATCGTGCTCCATCTGGCATCGTGCGAATCTCAACTAATGCGCGTATATACTGTAGTAACGGCTCATGGTGCTTCCTCATGGACCCGCCCTACACGCCCGTTGGCGTTCTCAACAACGGAACCTTTGTCAACAGCACCTGGTGTTATCTGGCCACCCAACCAAGCGGGCCGCGCGGAAATGCGGGTATAGGAGTCGCCGTCTGTTTCGCTCTAGCACTCGTCCTCGTGCTGGTCAACCTCGCAAGACACGGAAAGCTTTACTTGCCGGCTACAAAGAGGTTCGTTCCAATTGGAAGAAGGTGGCAATGGTATTGGGCAAGTTTTGTTTGCACTACAGCCATCATCGGTCTTTTCACCAACATCGATGTCGACCGATACCGTGTCCTCGAGCTCCCCATCGTACTGAACGTCTTCTTCTGGTTCTTGATGCAGATGGGCACAACCGCCATTGTCTGGGAGGCCGTGCGTCACTGGGGAAGTTGGATGGAAAGACAATTTGTTGATCCTAACCCATTCGTACTGCACCAAACCGACAGCCGAGGCATGTTCGAGTTCTGGCTTCCGCTTTTCTTCTATTTCTGGCTATGGCTGGTGAGTTGTCCCTTCTTCACCCCCTTACCAAGGCACTCTGCTCATGCCCAGCAGAACTTCTTCCTAATCGTTCCACGGAATTGGACCAACATTGAGCTCCAGCGATCGCCCCAGCAGATCGTACTTAAAGCAATACCGACTGCCACGGATGGCCGGTTCAAGGCAGCTGGCTTTTGCCTCTTAATCTGTTGGTTGACCATCATGGTTTCCCTGTGGCACTCGATCCGCCACTACGAGCCCCGGAATCGCGGCTGGTTCAATAGGACTATTGGGTTCCTCGGATACATGCCGTTCCGCTTCGTGCTGTTGATACCTCTCTTGCTCGCTCTCGTTGCATACCAAGAATTGGTCGCCTGGAGGTTCGACCTGTCCCCTCTCAACGCCAAGACAAACCTGTTGGCAATGTACCTAGGAGGCTATGCTCCTAGTCTGCTTATTGTGATTGTGCAAGCAATAGATGGATTTTGCCGGCCCAACGAAGACAAGGAGCTTATTCGACAGAGGCGCACAAGAGGCGCAGCCATCGACCGGGAGCTTGGCCTTGTGAAGAAGCCCAACTGGTGGCGTCGTGTCAACGGCGATGTGGATGACGGTGGCATGCGAGGGCAGATCATGCGGAATGTGCGAGAGGTCGGCGGTGGTCGACCGACGGCGAGGCATGTGGAGGCGATGGCGGAACGGAGAGCCGCCGACTTGGAGGCCGCTGGCGCGAACAACAACAGCGGCATTGAGATGAACACGCTTCGGAGGAGCAATAGCGCTGCAACTAGCGTGCGCACAGGGGCTACTGCACCACCGCCTTACACGACGGCCTATGGGGGCCGGTCCGAGCAGCGGAGGACTGAGCACACAATGCAGGCAGTAGCTAGCCTCTTGTTCCCCAACGCAAGCCCATCCCCCTCTATTCATGAGAGAGGCCGCGACTTGGAGATGTCCAACCAGCAGACCCAGAGACCGTACACGACCGAGAGAAGCTCTAGCACTGCGAGCGCTGCTAGTGGCATCTCTACAAGTGGGCCTCCCCAGCAGATCAGGAGCATGCTGGATATCTGATCGAGCATCGCAGAGATGGGAAGGATAGCATGGGACGACGGCATTTTTCGGTCCTTACTCATACCTCCTGATGATTCTATGCGGCGTTAAGATATGGGGACCTCGAATCGTTATTGGGTTCTGGGATTGGATGCATACCGGCTAGGATCACATCATATCGTTCGAATATGGAATTCAGGATTCCAGACACAGGATTTAGTAGTTTACCCATCCCTCCCTACATACGTACCTACCGTTAATAGTAAAAGTCGTAATCACTGTCTGTCTTACTCTGCGAGTCTCTCGTCGATACCCTGGCAGGCCTGAACGAAAGCCACAACCGTACTCGATGGTGTCATGTTCTGCAAGATTAACTGAATTACCGGTCTAGCCCCCCAATAGAGAATGCGTGGCAGGTGTGCAACCTCGTGTGGTGCATGCAGAGTGCCAATCTCAGGGGATTTTCAACCACTGGAAGAGTTCATCGAATACCTCCAGCACGCAGTGGGCGAACACCGGGGGCAACCTCGATTAACCTGGGATTGGCGACCGATTGATAGCCCTTGTGCTGTAGCTCAAGGTACAATATACACCCCTGAGATGGGACGCATCAACCACGCTCTCACTCCCCGGTGATATTGAGCCAGATGACGAGGCTCGAATGAAGCACGATGCCACGCAAGCCCTGGCGGTACCACACCGCCTAGCCTTCGCCACCTGCCTCGTCGCCTTCGTCGTCTCGACACTCATCTCGCTCTGCTTCAAAACAAGCACCTACCGCTGGACCAGCGTCGCCGCGACTTGCGCCGCAGTGGTCAGTGGTCACCACCGCTACCGCGGCCATTGAGCACCGCTGGATGTCGGCCACGGCGCATTCCATGCAGGCTTCGCCCACGGGGTCCGTGCTATAGATATGGCCCGTCTGTGGTCTGTGGCCTCTGTGCGCTGATCGTTCAATGGCTGGTCGGCGTGTGCGCGCTGGGCGTCGTGTAAAATGGCGAGCGGGAGAGGGGGGCACAAGAACAGCTTGCATCAGAAGCGCAGTTCTGAGAAGACGATGGAGCGTATTGCGGAGGATAGGGTTTATGCCGACGAAGAGAAGTCTGATGAGGAGCGCCAGGCGCAGGGGGCTGGGTCCGTCGCATAGGGGATAGGGGATAGGGAATAGGGGAGTTCTGGGGTGTGATCAGGTTTATGACTTCAACGAAGAAGACGTATTGAGTGACATTCCTGGAGGATTGGTGCCAGTTGTTGGGTCGTGGGCGTTGTTTGATTCGGGAGTGATGTGTCGGGATGTGCTTTTTCTCTCATGGAAGGAACCGATCCCAGCGTCGTCAATGGTCATCCACAGTCGAATGGCAACGTCTTCCGTTGACGGTGATCTGGGGGCGTGTTGCTCGGAGTTCCGAAGTTACATCCATCGCAAAATCCGTACAGTGTTGGAAGTGCTGCTCCAATGTCTTGTCGGGGCAGAAAGGCTTTCACGACTTGGAGTTGGAGGGCTTCTGAGTCATGGTCTTGAATCTCCGTCGGTGGAATGGATTAGCCCGTCACCACGCTTGAATCGTTCACTGACGTATTGGCTGGAAAATCATTATTAGTAAGGTATCGCTTGGGATGGGGTCGACGGTACTACCGGTACCGTACCAGTTATCCATTCTCTAGTTATATCGTTACTGGCCATCCGTCCATCCAATTTGCTGATACAACGGTGTAGATCTTCTCGATACCTCTCTCTCAGTACCTCTCTCCCCAATATCCGCCGTAGTCGGTGTATGCGAACAAGGCAGTGATTCCGCAGGTCAGGGTGCATACGAATCCGACCATAACGAGATATGAGAGGGCGTGGTTCAAGAGGAAGAGGAGCAAGGCGGGGAGATCTCGATACCTCTCTCTCGATACCTCCCTCATTCTCAAGCAATATCACCCAACATTGCCCCGACCAGCACCGTGGCTCCCGACAGTCCTGTCAGGAACACCTCCGTCAAAATGTGTCCCCTTTTCATGCAGCAATCTCTGCCGAGTCTGCCCATCTTCTCTTGGGGTTGAATATGTCATTCTCGTCGTCGCTCCATCCGCCATGATATCTGGGAAGTCGTCCCAGGTGAGCTCATCAACGCCACGCGTACTGGTGGTCACGTCATAATTGCTAATATGGGTGTCCCAGACCGGGATTGGCTCGTCGTCCCAATGATCGGTGGAGAATGCTGTCGAAGAAGTCGTCCAAGATGTGGTCGACAACATAGTCGAGGCGTTCGTCCACCCTGAGGTTGGCGTCAGAGCCCCTGTCATTGCTGATACAACACATAACTGCTCTGTCGGTTCCCTCTCATGTCGCTGGTCTCGGATCCTGGTGTGAATCCGCTCAACGTCATCCTCCATTCCAATGTCGTAGAGAAAGTCAAACACATTGTACCTTTCCTCGCTGAAATCCGAAAGAACACAGTCATACAGAAGTTGGAAAAATTCCTCGTCTGTGGCTTGCACCGCCGAGCCGCAGAGGGCCAGGCAGATCCTCGCCCACAGCACGACCCAGTCCTCGTCGAGCGAGCCAGCGGCCTGGCGGAACTCCACGGTCCGCTTCCCGTGCGCTGGCTCCGTGCTCTCGTACGAGCAGTTCTTGAAATTGTATGCCCCGCGCGACAATGGGAGGGCCATGAGTTCGGCTACGGCTTCGGGCTCTGTAGTGCGCAGGATCTGGCGGCAGCCGTCCATGATGCCGCGGCTCCCGGGTAGTATCTCTTTATTGGGGTTGGTCAGGCGGACTTCGCAGTCTGCTGCTAGGCTTCGCGACGGGGTCGAGTCCACGTCGGCGGTGATCCCGGTGGGTTTGTTATACTGTAGTATTGTGGGTTTCGCCTTGTAGGAATTTATCCGCTCGACGCAGGGCTCGTCGTGTGCAGGCCCTCGCATCTGTCCTCGTGTATGTCCGAGTGTGGCCTGCTCAGCATCCATACGGCGAGCGAGGTTGCTGTAGTGCCGTGATCCCAAGCACTGCCTGTTTCCGAGTCGGCAGCCTGGATGCAGTGCATCTATTAGTCCTTCAGCAGCCCATGTCATACAGGCGATGCGCTGTAAGTCGCGCAGGGAAACCGTGGTGCGGTTGACTCCGACATGGACATGGAGTCCGCAAACCGGTGGTGTGGCCGCTCGGAACGAGGTTCTGATTGCTTCGACGACGCGCTTCACCTGTTTGAAGGACTCTTCGTTGGCAGTGAGTGCTGGTGACTGTATCTCGATACCGGCGTATTCGTACGGCAGGTATTCTTGTTCGATGTGTAGGGGAAGCCTCAGGCTGCAGTCTTTGGTGACGCCCCAGCCGTTGTATTGGTCGGTGTGGGTGCACTCTGCTTGGACCTTGGCGCCGGTTGACTTGATCACGTCAGCGACTTTCTGCCTGAGCCAGCAACCATGCAGCTCCTTTTCTTTTCCCTCCCAGCCCTCTGCGATGGGAAGATTCCGCGAAACGAGAACAGGCGGCCCGTGAATGGTTTCGTGCAAGTCGTGGGGTAGTATGTGATGGTCTTCAATGAAGTAGAACACGATGAATTCGAGTTCAACTCCGAAAGTGAGGGTCGACATCTTGAAGTGTCGTTTGGGTAATCGCGTCAAGATTGGTTTGCTATGTTGGTGGTTGTGATATGATAGGCTTAAAGTGAGGTCGATGTGTGATATGTGTGTGAGTGTGGGTGTGTGAAAAAAATTGAAATCTGGGAGTTTCGTAGGTGCCTGATATAAGTTCTCTGAACCGAAATGCTGATTAGGTGTCTATTGTGCTAGAATTTTGAATGTAGAGCGGTGATGAGTGGGAGTTGATTGGGATACGGGTGCAGCTCTAGACTGCCATTGAGAGATCTATATTTGTTTCCACATCTTTCTTCATTGCATCTTGGTTCTCCGGCAATGGTGCTATTTTGAATATCAGTGCCATGGCTGTGGGCATCAAAGTCCGCGCCTGAATAAACACCACAACTCTATTCAGCATCGAGAATCCGGTGTGTACTGTGGGAAATACCTCATTGTTGCATGACTTGTCCGACTGGCCGATCTGTGTGAACAAGTGAGCTGCGCTGACATTCAACATTGTACTGCGTAGACTTCATCAACCCATTGTTCTTATCTCAATACCGATGCTTAACATTGCCATTCAAGCATCATCTGGGACCCGACACTCCGGCGACGCCAGCCATGGCCATGGTTGAGATGTTTGAGCATGGCCGCGACGTGTGCGCTGTTTCGGTGCAGGATGTTGAAGACTAATGAATAAACCTTAGCATGCCATGGTTACGTGTGATACTAATTGAATGGTCACGACCAAGACCGGCTGAACACTTTCCGCCTTTAGCATATTCCGTCCTTTGCTTGCCTCCATTGTTTATTATACACGCGCTCGCAGGACTGCGACTCAATGATGATGTTGAAGTGCTTTTGCTTTGCATGCCTGCGAAGAGCTGCCAGGAGAGAGTCAACATCGCTCACTTGCAAAGGCCGCAATAAGCACGTGACTAACGACCCACGGGTTCTCGATATAAAGGCATGCTATCCCAGTATCGGCTTGATTAGTTTGATAAGGTTTCAGCCTACGGCACACCCTTGGTGCACCTGCTTGTCAGTTTTCTGCTTGAGTTTCCATAGCAAGCTATGGCTAGATGCCTTACTCCAGTCCCCAGCGAGATAGTCACCATCGATAAGGGAACGGAGACACAAACGAATGCACGAGGCAGAACCAGGCTGCAGATAAGACCTCAACTCTCACAAAGCGTTCTCATATGATAATTTCAATGAACCGTCGTTTGCCGTAAAACGGCCGCCGACAGGATTTTCACTTGAAGGTCGTCATGGTCCAGCACCATAAGGGTGTTGATATATTCGACCGCAACACGTAAGATATCATCTCAGCTTTGATGATGTTGGCGCCGCGTAGGAGTCGAAGCAAAACGCCATCATCTGCCTTTGTTCACTTTTAACCGTACGGAGTGTTGTCTTATGTGATAGGACCGCCGCATAGTGACGGCCTTTTTGGAAATGGAGCAGTTACCAACTCTTGCCCGGAAGGGGAGCCAGCCCTGGAAACGGTGGTAAAGGCAGCAACAACCGTTACACTTTGGAAGATGTTGCTATTATTTCGGCGCGGACTTGCCCGGGCAATGCTTGGGACACCATCGATGATTATGCTGTGGCATTCGTTCCTGAGGGGGGTGCAATACTTGTTGCCCTTTACTATTAAGCACCCTGCTTGGAAGAAGGACCTGACTAGATGGAGTCCAATTTCTTGCGATACACCCCTAGGCGTCGATACCTTCTGTGAGTATATACCGCATGCCCGCGAAACATTCTGGCTTACTGATCTTTAGGTAGGCCCACCCATGTGTTCAATTCGCTTTCGTGGTTGCCACTTGGATGAAATGGTATGATAGGCAGGACAGGAAGCCGTAGTTTTTTTCAGTGCTGGAAGTAGTGGCTAGGTTATTTTCCGCGTTGCCTACTTGGACGAGATTCGTTAAACCAAACCAGTAACTAGGCAGACTGATGTTAATCACTCGGCCATAGGGGAAGTAAAGCAATGTGCTCGCAGGCCGTGTCACTATTATTGTCCAGTAGACTGAGCTGAAGGCGTCGAGTTACGGTGAACATGAGGTGCGCTACAGACGCGTTGATAGAAGCTGGATTTTGGTGCAGACGGCTTGGAGCCTGTGGTAATTGATAATCCCCCCTTTTCGAGGAGCGCGATGAAGAAATTTCGGTTAGAGGTAATGGTGATGTTGACGAAAATGAAGTCAAGGCTTCTGTCCAATGCCCTGTCAAAGATGCTATCAACGGCACAAGGGTTGATCTTTTGAACTGGCACAAATGACGACCGATATGAGGGAGACCCGACCCTCACTATGCGGAGACAATGCACGAACACCATAACATGCGCCGGCGGGCAACAATACAGCTATATCATGGCTAGTGCTACACTCCCCGGCCATAAGTCTCCGAGCATCCCTGTTTTACACCAAAACACCCCAACTGTGACGGCCTGCACAGACCTTCCCACATGACAAGTGGATACTTCCTAATAGGGGAAGGATCTGACCAGAGGATCCCCTTAAAGGGGCAACCTCCCACTGTACCTATCTCTCTCTCTCTTCCTTTCCTCTCTAGTCTTGATATTCTCGTCAATAGAGTAATAGCTGCTTGCTGCCGGCCATGTCCCAGCTCCTCAGTACGCTCGCCGTGACACCAACTTTACGCGATCGTGATAAATCGAGTAAAATAGATACAGCTTAAGTACTTATAGTATATATAGTTAAATTTACTGGAAGATTAAAATGGTTTATTTAAAAACTTTGACATCTTAAAGATAAAGGTCGTAAATGTTACTTTATTAAAGGTTAAATTTTCGACAAAAATAACTTTCTTGTTGGATCCATGTGATTCCACAGTCAAACCATCCATACAGAACCCACATGTATGATTATATAAGAGATTAGATGTCACGGGCTCCGGTACGGGCAGTATAGGCGATCGTATGACAGTCTATTCTCTATGGTTCTGGCAGGGTTACAGGTAACTCTATTGACAGGACGTAGCTCGAAGAGCTACAATTCAGGTTCGGGCGGGAACAGTGAAGATATCGTCAGTTCTCAGGTCCACATTGGTCCACCCGGGCCGCCGACAGCTGGCGCCCGGGGTCCCTCCACTTCCTGCCCATAGGCAGGGTCCAGCGCCGTGACATTAGATACCGGATTGTGAGGTCACTTAGCCAGACCTGCAGGTCCAGCTAGACTTCCCAATCCAACCATCAGCAACATCATGACCTTGACCCAATCCTCGAGTATTATTATTGATCGTTCAAGCCTGTTCCAACATTTCTAACATATCTATTTTCTTTTTTAAATCTATCATATAAGGTTTTTCGTCTTATATGTGTATTACATGTCATTTAATATTATATAGCTTTATTACGACTTATACGATTTTATAAACATTTTTTATAGCTTTATTAAGATTTAAGATTTAAGATTTTAAACTTTAGTTTTATATATCTATTCTTAGTATTTTAGTCGCTAAGAAAATAAATATTTAGAAATTAGTTACGAAAACTTCAGCATTTTCAAATATTAGTTTCTTATAATATCTCATTTTAAAAAGCTTTAAGCCTTTAGTTATAAAAGCGTAAAGGTAGGGCATTTTGGTGTAAATGCGGGGATGCTCGGAGACTTATGGCGGGTCAGTGTACCGTGCCGGTTTCGTCGATCTGCGTTAGGGCCTCCCTATGGAACGTTACAGACGATAAGCACGACCGTGACGACTATGCAAGATGATAAACGCTGACACAGTACACCAAAAATTGGTAGGTGCACCCTCATCGAGATATGCATATCGCGCATGGATCTTCACGGTGCCAGATATGCAGAGGGCTTCTGCGGCTCCATAGATCGTTGACAGCTTAAGACGGCAATCGAACCAGGACCCTCAGCTCTCAAGGTCGTGATCACCACGGCCCGCTTGGTAGACAGGCTTCCCGCGAACACCATCGACGCTACCGCTCGCCGCGATACAAATGTACGTTGCCGGCTTAAAGAACCGGAAGAGCGCCGGTAAATGCCATTGGCAATCCCAGACGCCAGGGTCGCCAGAGGAGAACCAGCCACGTGCGGACCCTGAGGACTCAGTGAAGAGGCCTCCGCAAAGGTAAGGCTGGATCGAATTCGGGCGGGAGGATGTCTCGGAGATTGTCAGCCGGTCGGGATCATCGCTGCGGTAGATCGAGACCCAAGCAGGGTCACCATGTGGGTGACGTGACGATCTCCATCAACGGGGAGGCTTGATGGTGTCTTCAGTCAGCGCACGCCGGTTTCCCCTGCCTTCCCAATATGGTATACAGTGGCAGACATGCTATACATAGGATGGCGTTGCGGACGTCTCACTTCCTGAAATGCGGAACACAGCGGTTCCATTCCTTCGCAGTGGTCTTTGTAATTGCGTTGAGCCGGATCAAGGAGAACAGTGCATACCTCAAGCGTGCTTCTATATGAGGCAGACCTGTGGTGTGTTCTCCATCTGTATATTCTGGCATCTGGCAGCATCAGGTAAACTTGATTACGTAGGCCACTTGTGCATTGCCGGCGCGCTATGGGGAGAGAAGGATGGGGGTTATTCCATATTCCCATCCAGCCAGACCTTGGATGATCTTCAGGGTCTTGGAATCGCACCCCCGTTCGACCATGTGGCAATCACCGATGATCACTCATCTTCTGTTTGGGTTTTCCCGTTTGGTTCAGGTTTGAATGCGAGGGATTCGGATCACCCATCACCATACAGACCCGAGGTCTCTGCTGACTGGGACGGCACCACCACATTGGTGAAGTAGTCCTACATCTTGATCGCATCATACACCTGAAAAAGCTTCGATGTCCAACAATATCTTCTCAGATATGGTCGGGTATAAGCTTATATCATCATTATGTCACGCCCATTCCTGAGAGGTAACCTCTGTCATCAGCCACAAATCCACCTAATAATGAAAGGATCACTAGCCAGCGCAACAGGTAACTTAGTGCAAGCGCAGGCTGGATTTTACCACACACGCAAGATTGTATGAGGTAACACGCTCTGGCAGAGGAGTAACGAGTCATACCCTGTTAAGTGTAACGTTGGGTATGCTGAAAGCGGTTTAGAATCTGCACGGCTGCGCGGGCTGCTCTCATCCCGGAGGATCTAGGAAGGATCAGATGGGGGCGTAAATGCGGGAGGAACCGAAGAAGTGTGAGAAGGATAGGGTAGGTACACCTAGGTATTCCATATATGATATCATATGGTGAACTATTTGTGATGAGTACCTTGTGAAAGATGCCGGGGTGGTTCGGTCCTTGGACCCTGCTAGTCTCCCCTTTCTTAACGCTTAATTCCACATCCAGACGGCTGGGGCTGAAACACGGCGAGGAACTTTTCCACAGATCATAATTCGATAGCTTACAGGGTCGTAACAGAGTATGTGCAAAAGTTCCTATCGAATGCAGAGTGCAGCAGTCCAGGGTGGGCATAGGTCGGTAATATACCCAAATGCATGTTGCGGGACCGCGGCCCCGGTGCCGTTATGATGTCGCGGCGATAGGGCTTTCCGAGCCATAATCCCACTGTGATCACACCTTCGAGATGTCGCGTCCAAGTGACTGAGTACTCTCAAGGCTGACGGGTATTTAATGCCCCCACGGGGTTCGCAAAGGCACTTTTGAGCCCCATTGGGGCATTCCGCGGGTGGTCTACTTGGAACCATGCCACACTCCTCGCTCGGCATTCTTTCGACCCCGAATCTACGACGCCGCGTGGCCGGAGCCTCCGGGCTTCGCTTGTGTGCACTCGAGCATGAGGGGGTCGCTTCTTGCCAGTGTGTCACCCCAGCAAGCCTCCCATCTGAATTGCCGCTCTTAGCTAGTAATGTGGCTTGAAGGATTCAAAAGACCCCTGGTTGTATTTAGAAGCCTGGCTAAGGTACAAGGTTGCCGTGAGTAGTCACGACTCGAAGGGTTGAATCCACCTGCATTGGCTTACTGTCTGTCCCATTGAGATGATGAGATCCTGCTGTGGCTCGGGTCTGGGCTTTTTCTTTGAAGCGAACCAAATCACGCGCCGAGCTGACCACGGTTACTAATTTTCAGCATGATGATGTACTACAACATAAGTTATACACATTTAAGGTACGTAGCTGGGGAAGCGAACGGGTAGCGAAATTGGCAGCACGGGAGACGTGGAGACGGAGCTCAGCCCTGGGGCACATCAGGATCTCATGGGGATAACCTTGAGAACCTTCCTAATCCAGCCACGCGGCCTGGCTCAGTCGATCCTACTGCAACCTTGCGCCGTGCATGAGTCCTAGATAATGCAACCATGCAACGTGCAAAACCCCGTGGATCCATTCCCTAATCCAGCGTCGTAATATGTACATATATGCACTTCTCATGTAAGCTGCATCCAACAACGCCTCCCGACAAGGACGAGGCCAATCAATTGCGTCAACATTATGTACTTAGATTCGAGACCAACATACTGTAGTGTTTCTCTGCAGCTATTGCGGAGCTTGAACCCTGGTAGCCTGCGGCCAGGGACTTCTGTCGTCGCGGCGGCCCCGTGTGGCCAGTTACTGTTAAACCCGACGGAGATGACTAAACCGTGCGATGGCGCTCTCACTGTTCACCAGAGCCTTTATGCCAATGATGTCTCGTATTAGGAGGATCACGCTACAGGTGACGAGCCGGTCTTATCGGTATAGCGTCAGCTTATGCTTACAACGAATCCCACGCTCCGGAGGGAGCTGAGCAAGGGTATGACTAAGTACCGAGACTGACAAATGCTTGATCACGGAATCCTTGACGATAGTGCCGCTCTGACCTGCAGTTTTTTGGCCGAGGGTGCTCCGGCGTGTGCCTGAATCGAGACTCTATTTTCGGGCCAACAGACGGCAAGACTGGATATCCTATGCCCAAATTCGGTTCCTTCGGACTATCAGGGTCTCGGGTCCCTGACGAAATCAGCTCCAGTCAAGCTCATAGGTTGCTTTCTGCGATCGAACCTGGTGGCCCTGTTAGGCGCCTCGGCTTGTGGAATGTCTGTTGATCCTATATAGATATCTATGTTATCAGGTTTCTGCCGTGTCACTTGCTTTGACTCGTGTACTGATCCGAGTCCAAGCTATAGTGCATAGCGTAGCAGCACCACTCGTCACCTATCCTCGAGGCATACTGAGCTTCTCGAACTCGAACTCCACGACAAAGACCATTCACGCCACCTATATGTCTGCACACTGACAAAACTGCATGACCCGTTTTCAACACCCAGCGAAATGGCAGGCACACTTCTCGCGAACTACGTTATCCTGTAGATAGCGATCCGTATCGGGACGAATGGGACAGGACAACAATGGAGCCTGACCGCACCAGAGAGTCTCTATCTCCTGCCTCTGCCACCATTTCCGGAGTCCGGAGACGTGCTCCGACAGCTTGCCGGGTATGCCGGCAACGGAAAGTAAAGTGCAATGTCACGGAAATCGGTATGAGCACTGCCCCTCCAAGGAACATGCGACTCTTCGGGGACCCTCTAAACGAATATTTAAGGTATCCCGTGCTTGAACTGCGTGCGTGACAACCACACCTGTGAGGTAAGCAGCAGGAAAAGACGCTCGTAAGTCTTCTTGTGCCAAGAGATCGTCTCTGCTGCGCCTCCAATTCACTTGTCTCTTTGCAAGCTGCCGTTATGAAAGCTGACACCTACGCCGCATAGCCAGCCGCAGCCAGTGTCCGATGGTATGCCGCCTAGTCGAGGTGCCACCGGCACTACCACATCAACGTCCTCATCCGGCGACTATCCTCCGCCCGTTGCCCGTACCGAACCGCCGAACTTGACACCGAGGACAACTCCCCCGGATGCCTCCGCAATGGTACCCTTTCTTGCTCCGAGTGGCATCCAAGATGAATCAGATCGAGATGTTGGGACTAGGCCCGGTGCCGGTATGGGTATGGATCTGGATACCGACATGCGCGGGCGTGGGCCAGACGATTACGCGATTGAGTCATTGGCGTCGTCTATCATGGAGGATACAACAGAGGCCACGACCGAAACATTCTACATTGGTAAGCATAATGAGCTCATTGGAACGAATCGCGCAGTGCACCGCGCCATCAGTTGCCGGAGTTGGACAACCCCTAGTATTAAGTGGGACACAACAGCCTCTACTCTTCAGGGGTAATAAAAGACGCCCCTCATGAAGCTATTTGAGGAAGACGTAAGGCTCGAGGTCAGCCACGCGATGCTGGGTCAAGCCAACTCCTCCTACGAATGACCACGACACCCCGTACTCATCTTTGTCGACCTCTCTGGCTAATAACTCCCACGTGCAGGAGACCAACAAGGAATCGGCTACATACTCGACATCGTGGGCGAGCCCGGCGGCATCTCGCAGCATTACGGTCTGCCATACATGGTCGCTACACACGATCTGGCACCCCAAGACGTTGCATACCTCCGAGCCAAGGGCGTCTTCTCGGTCCCCAGTGAGCCGGTCTGCCAAGCTCTCCTGACTGCGTACTTCTACCACGTCCATCCGATATTGCCAGTAGTTGACGCCGCAGGCGTGCTCACATCGTTCCGCAATGGTGGAGCTTCTGCGGTCAATCTTCTTTTGCTGTGGAGTATGTTTTCTGTGGCGGCTAACGTATGTATCAACTTCCTGCGACAAATATGCGTCATTATTTTCGTACCACGTATGCTAATCACGATATAGTATGTTGATAAGACGGTGGTCCGGCAAGCTGGTTACGAATCGCATAAGGAGATGAAGAAGTCCATGTTCACCCGTGCCAAGGCAAGCAAGCGACCCTCCCCCCTATCCCCCCTTCCGCCCCACTTTCCTCTCCCAAGCCTCCCTTCACTTGACTGACAGTGTCTATCGGTGCTCAGTGCTTATATGATAATGGGTGCGAAGAAGACCGGATATCCATAATCCAATCCGTCAGTCTACTGGCTTTCTGGTACTCTGACTTGGGTGAGCGTACAGAATCGTGGCACTGGATGGGCATTGCCATCAGTCTATCTCAGACTATCGGTCTGAACCGGGATCCGGATCGTGGCCAGTACAATACGCGCCTCTCAGACCGGCAGCGCCAGCTTTGGAGGCGTATCTGGTGGAGTAAGTCCTGGATTTCACCTGCTCTACCCTTCTTTTCGTGTCGTATATGCCTATGAGATGATGTTTCACATCAGCGAAAAGACGCTCATCAACGCTCTAGGCTGCTTCTTCCGTGACCGCTGGCTGAGCCTCGGCATGGGCCGCCCCATGCGCATCAACATCCGGGACTGCGATACTCCGATGCCATCAGCGGAGGACTTGACAGACGACGTGGACGAGTTGTCGCCCGCGATTCGGGACAAGTATATACCGTCTGACTTCAGCCAGCTCGCCGATCACTGGGTTGCGCTCCTCCACCTCAGCAAAGCCCTGGGTTCGATCTTGTCCGAAAACTACTGTCCGACCGGCCCGCTGCCCTCGCGCACCTGGATTGAGACAACCGAGCTGGAACTTATGCGTTGCATGGCGACGGTTGGCGACCGGCCTCCAGGTGCCAGCCCGGCTCTCTCGTTCTATTCTTATCACCTGCGGCTTCACTTCAAGTAAGACTTTCCACCTCCTCGTCCTCTTTGCTTTCGTGGGACTGCGAGCTGAGAGATTTCGAATAGCGCTGCAACGATTGCCTTGTGGCGCCCCTATTCCAACAGGGTCGCATCGGGGTTCCCCTTCGAGAAGGAGGGCACCTGGTTCGCAGCCGTGAACCAGAAGATCCGCACAGCCGCCGCGAATTCGAATACTATGTTGGACAAGATCATCAGTGATCAACTTATCGGCCACATAGGTCCCATGACGTACGTACAGGGCCCGCACTCGAGGTTTCCGCTAGCTCCGGTGAAGACTAACATCTTGCCCCCGCGCAGCGTACCGGTGCTCGTGCCGGCCATGAACAGCCACCTCCTCGAGTCCAAGTCGACCGACCCGCTCATAAGGCAGTCGAGCCTCAACAAGCTCGACCTCTTCATGATGGTGCTGAAGAAGATCCAGGACGTGTACTCCTCGGCGACCTTCATCCACGGCCTGTTTCTGCAGGCCATCGAGAAGCTGAACTCGCCGCAATACTCGGCTGCGAGTACGCCCCAGCGCTTTTCGCTGGCGGAGAACTCGGCGGCTGCGGCGGCGGCTGGTGATTCGGGCATGCCTATGGACACCTTCTGGCAGATTGACGACCGCATTTCGGAGTTTTGGGATTCAATGCCTGTTTTTGGTGGGACTGGGACTGTAGGTATCTCATATGTTCTTTGTGGGCAATAGGGTGCGTGCTGACCTCGTGAAGGACGTGAATGGGAGCCCGGCTCAACGATGACGGAAGCTTCAGCGGATTCAAGCGCTCTTATATCAAGTGCAACCCTGATTTAGCATCGGGAACATGGTTCATCTTGGCGTCCTCAAGCATTGACACGATAGACGGGATAGACGAGGGTCGTCATAGCTACGAAAGTTTGGATGACCAATACAGGGATATGATAGCTGATTCCTTAGACTCAACTTCGTCTGGTCAGAACTGTTATCATTTGGGTATATCCTGCAAGAATTGGTTGAACAAGGTAGTAATGGAATAATGATGCAAATCAGAAGCTGCCGCTTTCGCCCCAAGTGCGTCACTGTGTTCGGCATCACGGCCGGCACGGTCAGCTAGCTGGCTCGCGCGTCGCTGCCTTTTAACTTTTCTCTGATCGTGGATTCATCCTACAGTCGTATCCCCCTAGACCTTTCACTTAGGTGTTGTTGGAAGAAATGTTGTTGATGGGGACGTAGTTCAAGGGTCGACGCCACGGTGCCAGCCTCAGCAGCCAGTCTCAGGGGTAGTCACTAGTGCATCCCCGGTGCAATGGGTACTTGGGGAGTCACGCGTACGCCTTCGGATATGATCGAGGATAGTCCATATGTATGTAAATAAATGACAGTAGAATGTAGGGATGTATCGCTGCCATAGCCGACCTTTTGGTGAACTGCGCACTATCATAGACTCCGAGGTACCTGCCGCCGAAGTCACGTGCCTCGTAGAAGCAGGAGTTGGTTTTCCGGATTTTGAGACCACGATATGTCCTGTTAAACCATGATGTGCCTCTCTCATCGCAGACTGAAGTGATCTCACATGATGTAGTTTGCTCGACCCATGGCTGTGACAATAACCGTCGAGATAGCTAGCCTGCGCATTGGAAGGACCGCCTAAACTCCTTGATATACAGCTCGTTTTCATCGTCTCCCCGCCTTGCTGCAAGACTTTTCAGATCTTTATCGGATATTTCAATCGTAACTGTCCGCCATATCTGTTTCCGTGTAGTCTTAGCATCGACCTTTGGGTGGCAGACCTATGACTGCTCTCGACACAGAGAAAGTGGGACCTACTTCGCAATGAGGTAAGGGGCAGGAATGAGTATCAAGGCGATGAAACCCAGTAGGGTGTTTCCCCATCCAAGTCCGATAGCTTTATCTACAAATCATAATGTTTAGTACGCAAAATTCCGCGATGAAGCCTGGGTAACCTACACAGGTAAGGACCTGCAAGAGGAAGAAAGGTGCCCGCTACATTCCTCGACGATGCCAACGCGGCGGTGGAGGACGCTGCGTATTCCGGGAAGGCGTCGATCATGTAGGTTTGGACGGGGAGAAATATGCCGATCATGCCCAGTCCGAAACACACAAGACCAGTGATCGGTGCTAGCCAAAACGCATGCTCGTTGGCCGACCACCCATACCAAAAGAAGGATATGGGAATCAGAAACGAGAAGTATACGCATATCTTCAACCTGACCTCCGGCACGGCGACGTTGTTGTTCAATTTTGTGTGCTTTGCCATGACCCTGTCACTGGTACCACCAATGAGGACTACACCGAGCATGAAGCCTATGCCGATACCAATGTACTTCGTATGTGTTAGTGTTTCCTTTTCAAACAACTAAAGACTGTATTCCAGGGAACACCAAACCGAACAACATAACATTTCGGGGGGAATAAGGATTCCGGTCTTGGAAGGGCAAGTTACTATACGTACGGAAAGACCGGAGATTCCGATACTCCAGTGGTAGTTCTGTCGGAAGACATTCGTTATAGTCGTCAGAAGCAAGTAGAGGAGTCCATAAACGAATCCTGAATAAAGACAGACGATTCCAGTAATTGGCGAAGTGAAGATGAACTGTAAATCATAAGCCAAGTCAGCACACAGTATCTCATTTCTCAGGGGTTCATACCTTCCACGGCCGGAGCATTGACTGTGTCAAGTTGACGCCTTTGTGGCCTCCTGCGTCATCGATATCAATCGAACGGTACCAATCAAAACGGTGCCACCACCTTCGAGGTCGACCTTCGAAAGCATGTTTCCTTGCCAATATGATGCGCAGATTAGTCTCCCTGCTCACGAAGATCTGAAGTAGAAGTGTAAGACCTCCCAAGATCAGCAGAAGCCAGTATATCTATACGCAACCGTCAGTGAGTTGTGACATGGACGAGGGCGTAGATCAGTACCCATCGCCAACCAGCTGCCTGGGATAGGAAGCCCCCAATTATAGGTCCGATGACGGGGCCCAGCAGAGGACCGAGTGCGAAGACTGCTGTAGCAGTCCCACGTTCGCTCGAGTCGAACAAGTCGGATACAATACCGCCTCCAATGGAAAGACATGCAGAGCCGCCGAGACCAGCAAAGATGCGGAATATGAGGAGGGACGTAATGTCCGGAGCGAGCGCACAGGCAAGTTGCCAGATGGCGAAGATCGCTGTCGCGATATCTAGGATCTGTTGCGCATGTCGTCAGCTTGATGTCACCAATGAAAGGCTCTTGGCGACTTACCACTTTGCGACCATACTGCTCGCTCAGGGGTGCTGCGATGAGCGAACCAACCTACTCAACGCTGTAGCGAAATTTCATCCCCTCATGTCGGGATGTCTACTGACCACATAACCCAATATGAAGAACGACACCGTGAACGTTGTCAGTGTCTCGTCGTCATTGCGGAATTCTGCATTCATCAACGACGTTGCCGGTGCGAACATCGATGAGGCGAGTGGGCTACTGAGCTTCAGCGTGCTTCCCGAAAGACGCCGCACTCTGAAGACTCTCACCTGACCAGACAAAGCCAGCTCGTGATGCCCATGACCAGCCACTTGCGTCCGAGCGGCCAAGACCTGTACCCGTCAGTCACATGCTTGACCTTCAGACAAGGCCATTGATAGTCTACTTTGGATCATAGTTGGTCGGCACCAACTCTTCTTGCGAAGCAAGGGAGTGATCGAGCACTGCCCCTCGAGAGCTGCCGGACAGGGATTTCAGGTCCATCGCTGAAGTGATTGCGGATGCGACACGATGGATAGTCGTAATCTTGTTCAAAGTGTATCAACTTCTCGTGCAAATTTGTTCATGCAAGTTGGTTCCACATGCAAGTGAGACAGACGTCTTGGCACAACGGTCTACTGGGAATCTGGAGTACACATGGGATGCAGGGATGCTCGGTTAATGCCACGTGAGGTGATCCCTTGGATTGGGTAAGGGCCGTAAGGCTGCTGTTCAGCTATTGCCGATCCCGAAAGATATTGCCGATGCATCCAGGGGGCGCCGAACCAATGGGGATGCCACACTCGGAGCAGCCGGAATAGCTCTCTTATTATTGGTGTGCCTTTTTGCTTTCAGCTGCATATATCGTGTCTGTTGAGGTCTGTATAGTCTAGATCGTCGGCGCTCTACCAGAACCTATTCACCCCTAGAGACCGCACAGAAGAGGTGCTGCCACTCACAGTATGGGGGTTCAGTCACAAATCAAGAGTGTGTTAATCACGGGATGCAGTCCCGGTTCTATTGGTGAAGCTTTGGCAAAGGAGTTCCTCCTCCAACCTGGTATGTACTCCTCATTAGCACCGCGTTGGTACTCTCCTCGATAGGGTGACTGACATGAGGTCAGATTTCGCGGTCTGTGCAACATCGCTGCCAGGCGAAGAACTGCCAGAACTCGAAGTACTGGGTGCGACATGCTACCCAGTCGATGTGACTTCTAGCGAAAGCGTGAAAGCCTTGAAAGATGCGGTGGTCGACAATCTGGGTGACGATCTTGACATCCTCATCAATTGCGCGTAAGTGCAGGCATCTTCATTATATTCGGGGCGAATCTCACCAGATTGCTGACACGTTTACAGAGGAATGAGTAAGAGTCCAGAAAAGGAGTACATGTTCGCGAGGGAGCATTCACTAAGTGCTGGTAGACTACGTTATGCCAGCTCTCGACGTGGACGTCGATGAGCTCAAGCGCATTTTCGACGTTAACCTCTTCGGACTCGTCCGGACCGTTCAGGCTTTTTCTACGCCTCTGATCAACCGCAAGGGGCTGATTGTGAACGTCGGATCTCTGGCTGCCTATGCACCATATGTCTTTGGGTCATCCTACAATGCCAGCAAGGCAGCTCTTCTGGCTTATGGCAACACTTTGCGGATAGAATTGAGCCCCTGGAGGTGATAAGCCCAGTTACCGTCGAGCTCCACGGAGATCCCGTACTGACAGTGCCTATAGCGTGCGGGTGATGACTATCGTGGCCGGACCAGTGGTGAGCGGCTTGATGACGCGGAAGGAAAGGAGACTTCCCCAAGACTCGAGATACCAGCCCATCGCGGAGGCCTTCGACCAGCGAACCACGCACGACAAGCACGGGGTTCAAGCAATGGCCACCAAGGAGTTCGCCCAGTCTGTTGTCAAACAGGCGTTGAAGTCTAACCCGCCCCGTTCATATTGGATTGGGCCGTTCGCGAACATGGTTTGGTGGCTGGAGACACTGGGACTGGCTTCGGTCTGGTCTTGGTTCTTCAGGAAAAGGTTCCAATTGTGGAAGTTGGACCAAAAGTAGAAACTCGCTCATGTTTGATTCAACCTCCTTTTATATGTCATTGTGTGCTCATACACGGGCCTAGTGGTATTCGGAGTTTGGCCCTGGGAAAGAAGAGCTGTGTAAATCCAATCATGAGCGCGATAAAGAGCCACGTGCTTTATGACGGGTACAACCAACCGTGCCTACACGTGCTTGGCCCGTTGAGGCATCGTGTCTTTAAATTTCAGTGGCTTTGCCCTATCGGCACCGTGCGTCGCCTCTAGTGTTGTACGTTGTATATTGAGTGGTCGTCATTCACTAGACTCTATCTCCACCTCCTAGGCACGATGGCTACGAGGAAATCTGCCCCTATTGCAGCTTCAGAGTACACCGTCACATGTGTGGATGCTCGCAACTGTGTCTTAGACCCGAGATCTGGCATAGATATGCAGCTTTTCGTCGTAAACACTTCATAGCTGGCGTTGTTCAACGAATGGAATACGTCTATGGCGGTAGTTTGATGTACAACGTCACTTCTATCCCGAGACATTTGGTCTCACATGCTAGTGACTATAAAATATAATCCCAGCGTATTTCGAGCGTCTGCTATGCGTTGGGGTCTCGTAAGGTACAACGCGACATGCACAGGCCTAGCATCCTCCCCGGCTCTGGACCTTTGTGGTGCGATCGCTAGCCTTCCACAGGTTCATGGAACGAGGATTCCATGCAATGGGCCACGTGCTCTCAAGAAGCACGCCGCTCTCATGACCCACTTGAGTAGAGCAGCAACTAATTTTGACATAAAGAACAGGGTTAGGGTTAGGGTTAGGTCCAGTGGTGGGGGTAGGGTTTAGGCTACAATAAACCAATTTCACAGCATGGTTCAAACTGTAGTTTAGAAGATGAAATTTTGCCTCTGTTCAATCACCCACTTTCTGTCTGGCTCTGGATCTCGGCTGGCAGACTGCACTAGGGAGGCAACTGTGGGTAACAATGGTTAGAGCATAGCACGAGTTCAGGACGACCATAAGATCAAGGACATATGTCCCACATAACAATTCTGCTGTCATACAATGTCTCTCTCGGGTCTCAACCCCTGTCCCTAAATCAGACCGCCGCCCGTGCCTGAGCACTCATAACAGTCTCAGTCCCCTGCCCCTTCTCCCAGTCGCCCTCCTTGAAGCTGTCCGACCTGCCAGCCATAGCCCTCCTCAGCGCCCACTCCTTAAACGTGGGGTACAGCGTGGCCGCATCCGCAGGCACAACCTTCCTGCCGAGCGGCTTGAGCGGAACGTTGTGATTCGGGCGGGTGAAGTACGCCAGGCTGTAGCGGGTGTGCTTCGCCTGATCGCCGGGAGGGTTTGAAACCCGGTGGATGGTGCTCTTCAGCTCGCCGTCGGACCACTTGACGAATGCATCGCCTAGGTTGAAGAGAGCCATCCCGGGTTCCGGCTTGACGTACTTCCAGCCGGCTTCTTCTCCGGGGGCGACAAGGTTCTCTGGGACAAAAATCTGGAGCCCGCCCAGCATGTTGAACAACACGGTCAGGGTGCCCCAGTCAGTGCTACGAGTATGTCAGCAAGATGCAAAAGCAAGTGTTCGGGGGCCAGTTAGCAAACTCACTGCGGCTGGAGGTTCACATGGGCATTCTCAGGCTTGGGCGGGCACTTCAGCAGGCGAACATGGCTGCCGGAGTTGTTGCTGTGACTGTGCAGCTTCGGCAGGAAGTCCTTGCTTTCCGGCCCAAGCCCAAGGACGGCAGAGAAGATAAGTAGGAACCTATCTGTGACAATCTTGCCCAGGTCGATGAACTCTTGAAGCTGGGCCATCTTGTTGTTGATCACGTCGTTGTAGACGGCGCGCGAGCGGCCGTTGCCCTCGATGTCACCGCAGCCGATCCAGTACTGCTCGTTGTTGTCGCGGGTACCTTCTTTATCCACGACGGAGGCCCCCAAGCCCTTGTATCTGCGGGATGGGTTAGTTCTGCTTCATAACAGTAACCATGACGGCGCGGGCGGTGGTGACCCAACTTACCCAAGTAAAGTGTCACCATGCTTGAGGAAGCTATCAGCAAGCTTCGTCTCAGCCGGCAAGTCGAACGTCTCTTCGGCCAAGGCAAACATATTGTCAGCGGCGGCGAGAAACCGCTGGCCGATCTCGGACTCTCGGAGATCAACGCGGAAGAACCCAATGTCTCTGGCAGACTTGATGACCTTGGAGATCTCATCGATGTCACCCTCTAAAATCTTCTTATGGGAGATGTTAGAGATGTGTGCGACTGGTAGGTCTGCGGGAAACGCCGGTCTTTCTCTCGAGCTGGGGCTATTGAAGCCATTGGGAGCTGAGTCAGGACTGATGGATCCCATTTTGAATCGCAGCGGGTGGATTATTGGACCAATGTGAGGAAGGACTAAGATGGGATAGAGAATGTCCTCTCTTAGATGAGTATAGATCTTAAAAGTGCCTTTGCTGATAGACCTATAATTGCAAGTTAGGTCATCATCTCATCAACCTGTATCATGGGCATCAAACGATGATCGAACCATCTTCGGCTTCGTCGGTTGCTCGGCCATGGCGGATGAAAATCATGTCGTACAAGCGGAAGGGTTATTTGTCTTCAATCCGAACTGTCAAGTTACCGAACGTGAAGCTGAACCTGCCATCGGGCCGGGCGTCGGGTAGAGATGTGGGACCCGATCCTCCCGGGAGATCCGAAAATGGCAATCCCGAATCGGTAACAATCCAGCCGAGCATGCTCATTACTGTCATCACGAACTCGTCTGAGTGGCGTATTATGGCGTATCATCACGGGTATTCGCTTTTTATGGTACTGTTCAATTCCGTGTGCACAAACCCCCAGGCACTCGTTTAAGGGTTAGATAGATAGCTCATGCGGGCAGATTCACAAGCGATTTCATTATCATTACCCTACTATCAACCATGTCGTCTCTCGATGCAGCGAAGCTTTTCTCCGTTGATGGGCTTGTCGCGGTTGTGACTGGCGGTGGAACAGGCATTGGGTTGATGATCGCTCGAGCTCTTGAACACAACGGTGCCAAAGTCTACATTCTGGGCCGCCGAGAGGAAGTTCTGAAGACTGCAGCCAAGCAGAATGCGGTAAGTCTCGGCATCACGATTGTCGAGGAAACAGGGCATCTCTGACATGTTTAGATCCATGGAAACATCATACCGCTCGTGGCGGACGTGACTGACAAATCATCTCTGGATGCTGTCGTCTCACAGATCAGCAAGGAGACGGGGTACATAAACCTCCTGGTCAACAATGCTGGGACTCTCGGTCGCAGACACAACGCGATTTCCCGCCCGCCGCCTTTCGACAACCTCCCGGGCCAGTTTGTCCACAAGAACAACGAAGACGACCTCAGCACTGTCGACGGGATTCGCGATTTCCTCTGGAAAGACGAAGTCTCCGACTGGGACAACACGCTCCGGACGAACGTCAGCGGCGTCTGGTTTCCCAGTATCGCCATGCTCGGGCTTCTAAACAAGGGCAACGAGAAGCAAAACGTCGTGCAGAAAAGCCAGATTGTAACGATTGGCAGCGTCGGGGCGTTCATCAGGATCTTGGGCACTTCGTTCACCTACAACCCCAGCAAGGCAGCGGCCAACCACCTTGCGAAGATGATGGCTACCAACTTCGTGCAGTGGGGGATCAGATCGGTATGATGACTTCCGCCCTTTCCCCATCTAGCAGGCGATACTAACGAGAATCCTAGAACGTCATTGCGCCAGGTGTTTTCCCATCCGAGATGTCCGTCGGGACGGGAAAACTGGACGAAAACAACAGGAACCATATTCCCATGGCTATTCCCGTCGAAGAGATTCCTTTGGGCAAGGTTGGGGACGAGGAGGACATAGCAGCAGCAATCCTGTTCCTGGCTGGCAAGGGAGGGAAGTACATGAATGGGAATGTTGTAGTCACCGATGGTGGGCGTCTTGGCATTGGTCCCGCTGTGTACTAAACTTCCTCGAGATAGAGGTGGGAGAGTCGAACGTCGTTAGGGTGCGCATAATAGAATTTGGAATTGAACTCGAATCATGAAAGATAAATCTGACGTACTGGTGTTGTGCAACAAAGGCTGATATGGTGGGTTCTTGGGTCGTTGGAACAGGAGAAGAGTGGCCCGCTACCCAGGTAGGATCAACATTGGCTGGTGGTGGTGGGCGATCGTGCTTGGATGACAAGGCCCCCACGTGGGAGTGTGGTGATGCATGGGCACACGGGCATGAGGCGAAAATTAGGGTTGTAAATCTTTACTTTAAGGAGATGGTGTTGCGTTCAGCTGCATGAGACAAAAATAGGTGCCGTGTTGTACTTGGAACGGGCATGCATCACGCTTCTCTACTGAGCCCTCTTGAGTTAGGTAAGTATTTATGAGCGGTACACGTTGAGAAGTTGAAGCATGTCAAAGTTTGGTAAGTACCAATGGCGGTAACATTGCCGAGAGATCTATATAGATAAGATACATGTAAATGAGCCAAACAACACCGATTCTGTCCCGCCATTCAAGCTCAAAAGTCGCTATCGACGTCCAACACCTCTCTCAAGAACCGCGACAGCGCTTGTGCCGTCATCTTAGTCGCAGGAACTCGGTGGAAACCCGAGCCCCGATACACGATGACTCTATCATCGGGATCCTCGCATCTCCTCACCAAGCGGAAGCAGCGTTCTTCGGCCATGACCGGGTCGGTGGAACTGATGAAGTGGAAGATCGGCGTCTTGATCTTCTGCGCATAGTACTTCTGCAGACGCGCGTCGTCCTCGTGGTATCCGCTGTACGAGACGACGAGCTGGAGCGGCCGGTGTGAGGTGGTGAAGTTCGAAGGACGCGCGAACCTTGGTCTCTCCAGGAAGGCGGCGACCAGCGGGCCAACGCTGCCGCCTTGGGAGAAACCGACAATGCCGACAAATGGACCTTCCTTGTCGAGGATGTTTGAGAGGTAGCTGAATGTCTCAATCTCGGTTGTGGTAGGGTCGGTGGGCCACCATGCGTATGTTGGCTCGTTTGAAGCTGTTGGAACTGACGGGAATGGGGCCGAGGGATAGAAGAAGTCGACTTCTTCGCCGAGTGCCTGTTCGAAAATGGCTTTCAAAAACAGCGTCTCGGACTGCATGATCTCAGCCGACTGCTGGTAGCCATGGAGGCAGAGAAACTTCATTTTGGGCTATGGATACAGTATGTAGTAGATGTCAGGGGGCTTGGTCGTCTTGATCGCACGCAATCTGTTTGTGACGAGTTCCTTGGTAGATAGTAGGTATCGCTTCATAGCATCAGTCAGTGCCTCATATGAACATGTCTATCGGCGCTTCAAATGCCATTTGGAATCCTCGGCTACTTGCAAGCCACACCGGCGATTGGGCGTCCGGTTGTCGGTGCTGCATGGATGACCGATGCATGCTTACCGCGTTACCGTCGGGTTTAGTTGCTTACTGTTGCTTCTGGAACACGCCTCCTACACGCCCACGTTCCGAGCACGTGGCAGGGGATCCAATCCCACTCGGCTACATGTTTCGGGTGAGCCGACTACCAACCACTTCCGCGAGCCGCCAGTGTGCTTGTCACGTCGCGTGCTTACATGATACATCCACCGAGAATGGCACTTCACATTCCACGGATACGCACTGGAGCCGCAAGAAGTTCTGTACGTCGGTAATAGTTCAACGGCGCAGAGGCAAGACGAGCACAACGGGCTCGGCTCTAGTCTTATCACGAACCCGGAGACGGCCCGGACCCGCCAGGGTCGTTGTTTGTAAGGCTCGCATTTGAAATCCGGTTCATCGCGTCGCACAAGGCTATACATTCGGGTAGCATATCAGTATATAGAAGCAATCCAATGTCAAAGAACTTCTCTCTGCGTTCCTCTCCAAGCAGTTCCTTGAACCCTTGAGACCCATCACTTCATTCTTCACGTAGCTCTGTTGCGAGACTCTCCTTGGCAGGTTCCACTGCTCGTGCAACAGCCATCCCGCAGCTACACCATCATCTGACATCAGACAAGATGGCTCCCTTCCTTGGCAACCCGACTGGTTCGAGTGACAACTCAGGGCCAAGCTCAAGGAACCGTACACCTCCCAATGAGGTCACGACCGGGTACAATGGCTCCGAACCCATAGCCATTGTAGGAATGGGTACGCATACCTCATCAGTCTACTCTCGTGACTGAAACTAACACCTGTTGACAGCGTGTCGTTTCCCTGGCCAGTCCGATACCCCAGCAGACTTCTGGGAGATGCTTGTACAGCAGAGATCAGGATACTCAGAGCCCCCATCCTCAAGGTTCAACATCAACGGTTTCCATTCGGAGAAGTCCAACACCGGCTCGCTGGGTCCCCGAGGCGGGTACTTCATCTCCGAAGATGTGTACAACTTTGACCCGCCATTCTTTGGCATCACACAGACGGAGGCCACAGTCATGGATCCCCAGCAGAGGAAGCTCCTCGAGTGCGTTTACGAAGCATTCGAGGCCGGAGGCATCCCGCTAGACAGTGTCTCTGGCAAGAACATCGGTGCCTACGTTGGTAACTTCACCATCGACTATGGCATGATGGCTCTCAGAGACATGGAGTACCCAAAGCCGTACAGCATGACTGGGCACGGCAACACCATTCTGAGTAACAGAGTCAGTTACGTATTTAACCTTTGTGGTCCTAGGTTAGTAGTCGCCCATTCCAAGTATTGCGAGGAGTACTAAAGCCCAACAGTTTTACCATTGATACCGCTTGCTCATCTTCGATGTACGCCACTCACATGGCTTGCCGGGCACTTGCAAGCGGCGAGGTCAATGGAGCAATCGTTGGTGGCACCAACCTCATCCTCGACGCCGCCGTCCAAATGGCAGTTGACAAGATGGGTGTTCTTTCGCACAGTAAGTTCACTCGCGTTGCAATCACCTGGAAAGCACGCTAACTTCGCAACCCAGCCTCAACATGTCATACCTTTGACGCCTCCGCCGATGGTTACGGCCGAGCCGAGGGCATCGGAGCGTTGTACCTGAAGAGGCTCTCCGATGCCATCCGCGACGGCGACCCGATCCGGGGAGTCATCAGAGGTACTGCCGCCAATGCAAACGGAAAGACTAGCGGTATCACGCAACCCAGCGCTGTTGGGCAAGAAGCGGTCATCCGTACAGCTTATGCCTTCGCGGGCGATCTCAACCCCGATGAGACGTCTTACTTCGAGTGCCACGGTACAGGCACACCCGTCGGCGATCCAATTGAATTACGTGGCATCACCAACATGTTTTTGAAGGATAGTAAGAGGGACTCGCTGTTGATCGGGGCCGTGAAGACGAATGTTGGTCACGCGGAAGCTGCCAGTGCCATGGCGAGTATCATGAAGGTCGTGCTCGCTATGGAGCTTGGAACGATCCCCGCCAGCATTGGCGTGAAGAACTACAATCCCAAGAGTAAGTACCCCATTCTGATGAATGTTCTCACTCCAAGGATGGCATCACTGACGGTGTCGCAGTCGATTTCTCAAATGGCCGTCTGCAGGTGGTGAAAGACACTCTGGAATGGCCAACCGGATACGGTGTTCGACGTGCGTCGGTCAACTCATTCGGCTATGGCGGCGCCAACGCCCATGCTATCATCGAATCATCAGAGTCGTATCTTCCCGGCTACAGATCGTTCAAGAAGCGTGGCACCGCAAGCAATTCAATCACCCAAGCTGCCCCTCAAGCCCCGACTGGCGGCCGCAACAGCCGCGCCCTCAACGTCCACGAACGCACTCAATTCCTCCTCCCCTTCTCAGCCCAAGACTTCCCAAGTCTCAAGGCCAACGTGGAAAGACACCGGGAGGTCGCGTCACAATACGAGCTGCTCGACTTGGCCTTCACGCTGGGGACACGACGCTCGTTCTTCTTCAACCGCGGTTACGCCATCGCTTCGGCCGACACTGTAGCGGAGAACCTGGACCCGGACGAGATGACCTTCGGAAAGCGCGGAAGCGGCGCAAGGATTGCCTTCATCTTCACGGGCCAGGGCGCGCAGACAGCACAGATGGGCAAGGAGCTCATGGAGTCCATCCCGAGCTACCTCAAGAGCATTCGAGACATGGACAACACCCTCCAGAGCCTCGGAGAGGACGCGCCGACTTGGACCATCGAGGAGGCTCTCCTCGAACCTAAGGCGACCAGCTCTATCGACCAGGTCCACCTGTCCCAGCCGATCTGCACCGCTGTCCAGGTCGCACTGGTCAAGCTCCTCCGGGAATGGGGCGTCACGCCGTTGGCTTGTGTCGGTCACTCCTCCGGCGAGATCGCCGCCGCTTACGCCGCTGGCACCATCACGGACACGCAGGCTATCCTCGCTGCTTACTTTCGCGGTGTCGCGGTGGACCAGCTGACTCAGCGGGGCACCATGCTGGCTGTCGGTCTTGGGCCAGAAGAGGCCCAGCCGTACCTGGAAGAGGGCATCCGCATCGCTTGCTACAACTCCCCGCAGAGTGTGACTCTCAGTGGCGATGAAGACGCTGCCGCAAACGTCAAGGCCAAGCTCGAAGCCGACGGCGTCTTCGTCCGTGCCCTGAAGACCAGCGGCCGAGCCTACCACTCTCACCACATGAAAGACGTCGGAGCCATCTACGAGGAGCGCGCCAACCACGGATTCGCCTTCCACGACGCCTTGGAGTTCCCCAAGCAGGACAAGTATGCCGAGCTTCCTCTCTTCGTATCCTCGGTCACCGGCGAGCTCAAGCTCAACTTCCAGCCCGGGCCGGGGTACTGGAGGGAGAACCTCGAGTCGCCCGTCCGGTTTACGCAGGCTCTGACTCGCGTGACCGAGATCGAGGGCCTGGGTATCAATCACATCGTGGAGATCGGTCCCCATTCCGCCTTGGCCGGTCCTGTACGACAGCTTCGCGACAAGCTTGGGATGAGCTCCCGGGACCTCGAGTACACAGCCACGCTGTCTCGCGGCGAGAACTCGGTCACCCGTCTGCTCGATCTTGCCGGAGCGCTGTTCATCAAGGGCTACCCCATTGACCTAGCCCGTGTCAACTCGATTGAGGATCAAGATAGGCAGGGAACCATCACCCTGCGAAAGGGTGTGCCGTTGGTCGACCTCCCGCGGTACTCATGGAACTACAGCGCTGGTCCGCTGCGCGCCAAGCACCGTATCAACATGGACTTCCAGAACCGCAAGTTCTCCCGACACGACCTTCTGGGCAGCCTGCTCCCGGGTGTCATTCGGGACCAAGCGCAATGGCGTAACATGCTCGACATCCACGACCTGCCCTGGCTAGAGCAGCACAGGCTTGGTCCGCAACCCGTGCTGCCCGCAACTGGCTACATCGGGATTGCAGTGGAAGCTGCACGGCAGTTCTTCCACGACAAAGTCCAGTTCGAGGGTCCTTTCAAGTACTTCATCCCACGACTTTCCATCAAGTCGGCCCTGACTCTCCCCCCATCTGGCACCGCAATCGAGGTCATGACCAGCGTGCGTTTCCAGACCGTCTCAAACGCCGTGTCCTCTACCAACTGGCTCGAGTTCACCATCCAATCCGTTCTGGAGGGGATTTGGACCGACCACTGTGTCGGTGTCATTGGACGCCAAGCTATTGATGAAATCGTCCCCCTCTTCGACGAAACCAGGCCAAGTGAGCCGCGAACTTCTCACACTTGGTATAGAGGATTCGCCAACATAGGGCTCAACTATGGTCCTCCCTTCAATGGATTGAGCAACATCCGAACCGATCCATGGACGAACGAGTGTGTCACCGACACCAAGTTGCTTCCTACCGACGTGCCCACCGACGACTCTCGCTACATCGTTCACCCCGGAGCCATGGACACATGCCTACAGGCTATTCTGATCGGCGCGCACAATGGATCCCTGAAAGGGGCAAACCGATCTTTCATCCCCGTCGACTGGGAGGAAGTCTCGATCTACTCGTATGAAGGCACAGACATGCCGGCTCCGGCCGATGTCAACGGGCAGATTCTTGCCACTGGCGAGTTCACCAGCTTGCGAGCTCTCTGGGGTTCCTTCCAGCTCAGCGGGCCCGACGGGCGACCGCTGTTTACTGCCAAGAAGGTCAACTCGATCACCTACGCTGAGGACCTCAACAAGAATGTCACTGATGATCGCCACCCCTACCTCCGTGTCGTCTGGAAGCCCGATGTCGAGACTCTCGAGACGGGCGTCTTGCCCACCGCAGCAACCGACATTGGACGCCCGCTTTCCCTGACGGAGAAGTCTGTCCTAGCTACCTGGGCTCGCAACCTCGCAACTGCAGCTCAGGTCTCAAATGACAACGATCCCTCCGTCGCTCGTTTGATCGAAGTCATCTCGGCCTTGAACTTCCCAACCGACGCGTACGATGTTGACCACGCCGCATCCGACCTAGGCACCTCAAAGCTGGGTGATAGCTTCTACCGTCTCGAGGCCATCTACGCTGCCATGATGGTCACCCTGTCGGGTGAGCAGGCTACTGCATCCAGCGTCGCAACACCGCCGGAGGACTCGTTGACTCAGACACTCGACCTGATCGGACACAAGTACCCCGGCATGAATATCCTGCAGATCGTCAACTCCGAGGCCGATCTTGCTCGCAAGCTTCCCGCGGTCTTGCAGGGAGACTCCTCGCTCAAGAGGTACAGCTCATTCACTTACCTGGCGGCCTCTGATGCTCTCGTAGAGGCTGCCGCTGAAGTCTACCCGGACGGGCGTGACGTGACCGCAGAGAAGGTGACTCTCTTCGAAGATGGGGAATACCGGGCATTGGAGGGCGTCACTTACAACCTTATTATCTTGCCCGATATTGAGTCCTTTGGTCTTCCAGCTGCCGACGTCTTGAAGGCGGTCCAGCCTCTACTGAATGAGACTGGACGTATTCTAGTCCATGGTGGTAACCAGACGGGCGCTGCTTTCAATGAGCACTTCTGGGCCGTTCTTGATCTATTTTCCAGGGAGCTTGGTACTGGCGCTGGTTCAGCCAATACGTCAATGCCATCATGGAAGAGTGCTTTGGATGCTTGGGAGCTCCAAGCCCGAGTCGTTGACCAGGCCGCATCCGGATGGACGTTGCTGTCAGAGCCGACGTTAAACCCCCAGCCCACCAAAGATATCGTTGTGATATCAAGGGCCAACAGCGTGGGCGTTTCAGACTTCTCTGGCGAGCTCGCAAAGGGCGGCTACAAGGTCCATTCCGCTTCATTATCCGACGAGAGCTTCGCTCCGCACCCCGATGCCCTCTACGTCTCGATTGTAGAGCTGGGGTCCAGCCTATTCAACGGCAATCTCACCGCAACCGAGTTCGCGAACTTGCAATGCCTGGCCGACTCGACGCAGGCAATCTTCTGGCTCACCTCGGGTGACTTGCTCGGAAAGGTGGATCCCAACGCAGCCATCGTCCAGGGACTGGGTCGGACCCTCCAGACCGAGTACATCCAGCTCACATTCGTCGCCATCGATCTCGACCACTCCGACGCCCAAAAGGCCGCCCAGCAGACACGGCGGGTTCTCGATCGGTTCTCAAAGGAGTCTGAAATCGTCGACAAGGAGTACATCGTAAAGGACGACGTGTTCCACATCAGCAGACTGTCCCAAGATGCCGTTCTGGACAAGGAATACGGCGAGATCATCGGCAAGGAGGCGGCGGACGAGGAGTACGATGCTACCACGCCCATTCGCCTTGACATCGACAAGATTGGCCTCCTGGATACCCTGCACTTCAAGGCAGACGAGCGCGAGCGCATACTTGAATCGGACGAGGCCGAAGTTGAGGTGAAGGCAGTCGGACTCAACATGAAGGAATACGCAACCTTCCGCGGCAGCTTCCACTCCGAGTCCCTGTCCCACGAAGGCGCCGGTATAGTTCACCGCGTCGGTTCTGGCGTGACTGATATCAAGGTCGGCGACAAGGTCTGCTGGATGGGCAAGGGCCTATTCGGTAACATCGAGCACTTTAAGGCCATTCACCTGCACCAGATGCGAGACGACGACGGCCTGAGCTTCGAGGAGATGGCCGGAATGCCCCTGGTCTTCGCGACAGCCGTCTACGGCCTGCTCTACCTCGGCCGCCTGAAGAAGGGCGAGAAGGTGCTGATCCACTCGGCCACCGGCGGAGTCGGTCTCGCAGCCGTCCAGATCGCCAAGATGGTCGGCGCCGAGATCTTCGCTACCGTAGGCACACCAGCCAAGCGGGAGTTCCTGAAGCGCGAGTACGGTCTCGAGGACTCCCACATCTTCAACTCGCGCGACACGTCGTTCGCGGCGGGCATCATGGCTGCTACGAACGGCCGCGGTGTCGATGTCGCCCTCAACTCCCTGGTCCGTGAGCTACTTGCGGCGTCGTGGAGCGTCATGGCCAACAACGGGCGACATATCGAGATTGGTCGCACTGATATCATGGAGTTCGGTATTCTCGATCTGAATGTCTTCAAGCGGAACACGACCTTCAGTGCCTTTGACTTTGGTGTCGTTGCTGATGACCACCCAGGTAAGTTAGGCCCAAGTTTTCGCAAGCATTAGCGCTGACCTCGTTCCAGAAATCGTTGCAAGTGTCATGAAGGACGTGATGAAGTACCTTCGCGAGGGCAAGATCCGCCCTTTACAGCCGATGGCACTCTTCCCGGCGACCCAGGTTTCAGCCGCCTTCGCCGAGTTTGCCAACCCGCAGAGAATCGGCAAGGTCGTCGTGTCGTTCGCTCCCGAGTCCAGCACCTCCTCCTCGTCCATCGCCGTGCGACGGGAGCACAAGGACGCCGTCAAGTTCAAGCCCGATGGAACATACGTGCTCATCGGCTGCCTGGGCGGCCTCGGTCGATGTCTCGCCCGCTTCATGGTTGACAGAGGCGCGAGGAATCTCACTTTCCTCGGTCGCGGTGGCGCGGACAAGAAGGAGGCCGCGGCCATGGTCGACAGCCTGCGCGCGCGTGGGTGCGCAGTCCACGTAGTGCGCGGTGACGTCTCGAACAAGGAAGACGTCGCCAGAGCTGTCGCGGCTGCCGGTGTTCCGGTCTACGGAATGGTGCAAGGTGCCATGGCTCTCGAGGTAAGCCTCGTTCCCAACCCCCGTTTCCCCTTCGCCTTACTGACACAGCAAAGGACAAACTCTTCAGTAAGCTCGACCTCCCAGGGTGGCAATACCCCATCGACCCCAAGGTCCGAGGCACGTGGAACCTGCACGAGTGCCTCGCCGGCCAGCCGCTCGACTTCTTCGTCATGCTCAGCTCCATATCCGCCATGACGGGCGCGCCAACGCAGAGCAACTACTGCGCCGGCAACACCTTCCTGGATTTCTTCGCCCGCTACCGCGACGGTCTCGGCCTGCCCGCCACGACGGTGGGCCTGAGCATGGTCCTCGAGGTCGGCTTCGTGTCGCAGAACCTGGCTATCGAGCAGGGCATCTCCCGCTCCGGCATCCACGGCATCCCGGAGCGCGACTTCCTGCTGCTCATGGAGCAGGCCATGAAGCCCGGGCGCGTGGGCGACTGGCGCCTCGACCCCGGCGCGAAGAACTTCCTGGTCAGCGGTCTCGAACCGTCCAGACTCGCCGCGGACCTCGACGTCCACGGCTTCCGGTTCTGGCTCGAGCCTCGCGTTGGGCCGCTGTTGACGGCCATCAAGCGCAAGAGCGAAGGGTCGGGCCGTAGCGGTGCGGGCGGTGCCAAGGCGGTTCTGGACCTTGACGATATCGTGGAGGCGACAGTGGACAAGTTTGCCAAGACGTTCATGATCCCCAGCGACGACGTCGACCCGTCGAAGCCGCTGGTGGCGTACGGGATGGACAGCATGATTGGCACGGCGTTGCGCAATTGGGGTTTCTCGACTTTCGGCGTCGATGTTCCGGTGTCTGATTTCATGGGTCCCGTTCTCACTGCTCAATCCCTGGCGGAGAAGATCTTTGCTGGTCGCTCTTGAGCGCAGAATGTATTGTATTATAGAAGATTGTATCAGGGTTTGCCGCCATGGTTTTTGTTGTTCTCGGAGTTTGCTGGTTAGGTCACTTTATTATAGAGATACATTACATTTCATTTACCTTACCACTTTGATCTCGAAAAGGGACCCAAGATGGTGAATACGCATGGTTTGATCCTTCGACAACAAGCAGGCCGAACATGTTACAAGTTGTGCTGTATTTTCCATGTTGAGGGAGAGAGCAGCCCTAATGTGGGGGAACACGTGATCACGTGACCAGTCAACCATACTCTGCTCCCCCACGTTTGCCTCCTGCGTCTCTGTCCACTTCCCGTCGAAGACGACTGTCAGCAATCAGGCATGTGCATCGATCCACAACTCGATCGTGCTTCGTGCTGGCTGTCATGCTTCTCACTAGACCACGACTGCACCACGACTACCACTCGATGGCTGTATCAAGGAAGGGCACGAGTATTGATACACTGAACCCTCATATGTCTCGTACACCACCCGTCCAGCATACAACGGCATACTCATCGAATTGGAATAAGCACATTGGAATAGGCACACTGGAATAAGCACGCTGGAATCAGCATTGAGGGTGACGTGTCGAACCAGAGCTACTTATTCCTGTATGCTTATTCCGGTGACTCTTTGAAAATATCCCATGGGAAATGTGGGAATCCTATCAACATGAGCGTACGGAGACTTATGAGGGCTAGGTGTACATCCCAATCACTTAATCACTCGGTTTTGGAGGCCACGGATTGTGCTCAAGATGGCCTCGACACGGATCAAAAATCGATGTCCTTCTGAACAACCACGTTCTCCTTGCCAGCAAGGACAATAGTCCTCCCCCCGTCGAATGAGCTCGGCAGGGTGAGGATGGCTTTCTTGATGGCTTCATCACTGCAGAATGCAGCCGCAGCGCTCAAGGATGGGAACCAGTACTGTTCCATCCCAATGACACTGTTCCAATCGGCATTCTCGAACGGCGTGCCGGCAAAGAAGGCCTTCGGGTCGTCAGGTGTAACCGTACGATTCAGCACATACCGCAGGAGGCTTGTGCCCGCGCCCATCTTCTCAATCGCAGCAGTCCTTGCCTGCAGATCGCTGACATAACTATCCCCTCCAGCGTACGAGGAAGACTTCGCTGGAAACACCACCGGAAGAGCTCCATTTTCGCGTTTCTCGAACGAAACCGGATCGAATAAGATGTTGGAGAATGGTTGGCTTAGAATGCCAATGGTGTCTTCTTCGTCGACACAGACATGCGACCGTGCGGTAGCCTTGTACTGTGGATGTTGGAACGAGCCCCAGAGCGCTTCCAGGGAAGTCCAGCCGAGCATCGTGCAGCAGTCCCAGCTTGAACCCGCCTCCACTTGGGCCGCTTCCGTCTCCGAACGGGGACATGCCACTAGCTGGGTATAGTTGCGCAGAGTCGGAACCGCCGCCGCGACCCCTTTTGCCATCCCGGCATGCACGCCCGTGTACTCCTGGATGAACTTCTCGTCCGACCAGCCCTTCACCCTCCTGGCCAACATCGACATCTTGATTGGCTTCCTGTGCTCCAGATATGAGTTCGGGACGGGAGGGATCACTGGTAAGAGGAGGTGGCTATCATATTGGCCACCAAAGTGGATCACATGTGTGCCCTGGTTGACTGTGTTCGGGTGGCGTGGGATGGGTGCCATCTTGGGGTAAGAATTTTCCCGATAGTCGTGGCCGGAGATCACCAGCTGGAGGCGCTCACCCCGACGGAGACGGCAAGAAGTCGGCTGAATCTCGATCTCGACGGGCACAATCTCGCCGGGCTGGGCGGAGGTAGGTCACGTTGGTTTTTGTGGTACGGTTGCCAGGGTGTCGACTTCCCTTCGTCCAGCTCTCGGCGCGAAACGCGCAGCCAGCCGGATGCTATTGGACCTGTGTCGACAATGGTGATCCATGGGAAGAAGACCTCTTTGCCTTCGACGTCTGTTTTTCGCAAGGTAATGAACATATCCATATCGTCGGCTCCCTTTGCTTCTACCCAAAGCTTCAACTTAGTATGTCCCGCGAACTCGAGAGGCTTGAAGCATGGCAGGTCTAGGAACAGCTCCTCGTGCCTAGCGTCGTACGAGAGCTGAGTCGGAGTCGGAGTCGGAATAAGACTAAGACCTCTGGAGGCAGTCGGAAACAGCTTGGTGTACTGTGTTCCTGGTGGGGGAAAAGATTTGGCCGTGCGCCATTCGCCGACGTAGTAACGCTCGCGCATGGTGTACCGTACGGGTGGCCAGAATTGGACTTCCGTATTTTGCCCCAACAGGTATGTGTCCAGGAAGGCTTTTTGCCGCAGCAAGGACTCCTCGGTCATTGACCATTCCCACCTAGCGATACTGGTTAGACGATGGCGCTCTCTGCTACATTGGATCGTCTGACCACACTCAATTCTAGTGTTGGTGAATCTCGAGATATTTCACTTCAGAGCGGATCCCATAATACGCGTTTATGGTTCCTCTCGTGTGGATTCCGTGATCGCCCCAGCTGCAGATGATGTAGGTTGGGCAGGTAATCCGGTCAAGAGCCACGACCTTGCTTTGCCAGTACTCGTCGAAGTAAGGGTGGTTGGTCGGGCCATCCATGCGATCCTCGACCATGCCGCGGCCGTAGTTGAAGAAATAGGGTATCTGGCAGATGATGGTGTCAATCTATGATACGACACGTGCTTACCGGAGAAATACTAGTGTTATGCGATCGGGACTTACAACAAGATGAACTGAGTCTCGGGTATCCCACCCTTCCAGGCCATCTCCCGGTACAGATCTGTCATACCATCGACGAGGATGATTGCCTGTGTTTGAACCTATAATCAGCTGTGTACCGATAGGCTTTGTTGGCGCGGCGCTCTTACCGCAAGAGAAGGAGGCTGTTCACGTGCAACAAGCCACTGGTTCATCGCAAACCCGCTGGCTCCGCAAAGTGCAACTTTCCCATTCGACCATTCTTGGGAGGCATCAGAGCGGCTCATAGAACAACACTATGGTGCAGGTGCATACCGTCCAGCCCTACATCACGAGAATAGTACCCCTTATCGCCATCAGATTGGTAGGAACCCCTGGCGTCGACGGTGGCGACGATGTACGACCTGGGACACCACCATCCCGGATCGGCGGCCTCGAACAGATACTCCCGGGAGAGGCGTGAGGCGTCCAGACCCGAGGAAGCCGGGAATATAGACAGGTCGGTGCCACCGTCTTTCCCGTACACGGAGTAGTTGAGGATGACGGGCAACCTGGCGTCGATCTTGTTCTCGGGGCGCACGATGTTGCCGCGCACGATGACGCCATCTCGGAGTGGGATGGGCACGTCGAGGTGTTTGATCATGCCATATTCTCTCACGGTTCTGGGCGATGGGTCTTGCAAGCCCTGTTGCTTTGGATCCCATGCTGCGAAAAGGCGAGTCAGCATGAGTGCGTGCCTGATGCTGGCCCTCGGGGGTCTGAACTTGGGAACTTACCCTTGATGAATTTCCCAAGATGGCGGGCTTTGGCCTGTTCTTCCTTGAGCAGATCCACGCTCGAGGCCGGTGATGGTGTCTCCATGATCGGACCGGTACAGATTATGATTGAAGATGACTAGAAACACTGATTGATGTCGGGAAACTCGAATTGGCAATGGCATATGTCTACATCTACATCTATGTATGAAATCGGCCTGATCGGTCCTCGCGGAGTCCGAACTGGCCCCCTTCCCCACAGTGAACACACAGAGCGGCCAGCCTGTCGTGGAAACCGTCCAACGTGAGGGAACCGGAGCTCGGAGATGCCACCGGATGCCGGTAACATTTGCCCACATCCCGATGCGACAAGACTATTGTCCAAGGTAGAGGATTCTTGTGTCCACCACCGCCAGCGCAAGCTACTAGAAGCTCGTGGTGAAACACGATCTTGTCCACCGCACGCTATTTACATAGCGTCTTTTTAATTTTGCTCAGGTCAACGTCATTTATGGGCCTCGCGGTAAGTGGGTGTCTCCACTTACCGCGACGCCGACCTGGTGTCACCCACCGGAAGAGCCGAACTACCAGTATCCGGGGAGAGTTTGACAGCTTAAGGGAAAAGGCCATCAGGAAGCCTCTGCGCTCGCTTAAAGGCCGATGACCTTGATCTGGTTATGCCCCAGCTGATAGTAGCCACTCAGCTCCCCTTTACCACCGATCTGGCTTGCCTTGACTAAAACTCCCGATGCCGAGGACTCAACAGACTATGCAAGAGTATGTTGCTGTCCACAATGATCAACTATCTGTTTGCTCCAGAGTGGTTTTAACGAGAGTGGTAACCCAGTTTCGAGGTATAGTACAACGAACAGAAAGGTATGAATTCTCAATCAAATATCACTCGCCATGACGACATCTACAGCGCGAAAACCCTCTTCTACCTAAACTCCGCGAAAGCCTTCGCCTGAGCCTCGTCCTGCGCGCTATACTCGACAGACCACCGCCACAAGTCATCCTGCTTCTCCACATGATAGCTATCCTTGCTGGACGGGATCTCCCTCCGGCCCTCAAAGTACTTCCCGGATACCCCGGCCGTCTCATTTGAAATTGCCAACCGAACGAGCGACGCCGCCGATTCCTCCGGCCTGTGGATATTCGGACTGACCAGAAACCGGAGCACAGGCAGCGCCCGAGGCAGGATGCTGTTCCACAGAAACCGCTCAACGGCGGTGCCCTCGCGCGCGAGCCCCGAGCCCGGCATGAGACCCGGGTCGAATGCGTTGATGGTGATCCCGCGCTCCGGGATCTGCTGGTTCAGCCGCTTGTGCAGGGCGTATGTCCACAGGACGTTGGCGAGCTTGGCGTTGGCGTAGTGTCTGCGGCCCGGCCCGTTGGCGATCGCGGGCGGCGGGTGCGCCAGGTCTTCCGCGGACGTGTAGATCGCATCCGGCAGGCCACTTTTCTGAGACGGATCGTGGGTGCCGCTCGAGGTGACGACGACGCGTGCGTTGGCCGCGAGGTGCGGGTAGAGGAGGTGGAACAGCAGGGCGTGCCCGACGTGGGTGATGGCGAAGGTGGACTCGATGCCCTCGGACGTGAGCGTCAGTGATCCCGGGAACTGCAGCGCGGCGTTGAGCAGGAGGGCCTGGATTGGGGGGTGGTGTTTCGAGGACCATTCCTTGGCGAAGGCGCGGACTTTGCTGGAGTCGGCCAGGTCGAGCGGTGCGAAGATGGTGTTGCTCTGCTTGAGGGTCTTGTTAATGGACTCGGCGGCATGTTCGCGGTCGGATCGCGAACAGACGACAACGAGCCAGTCCGGGTGTTGACGGGCTATCCCGAGAGCGGCATGGTAGCCCATGTTGAGCGTGCCGCCGGTGACGATGGCAGAACGTGTGTACGTCATTATAGGGAGTGGGACTAGTGTTGTGATGATGAGAGTCACTCGAGCTATATTGATCCGATAGAGAGAGTGTGGTCCTCTGGTGCACGAAGGGCTCGTGGGATATCGAGTGCTTTCAGGCGTGAATGAGATGTGTCAGTATGGTGGGAATGAAGCTCGGAATCTCCAGAGGGGGGTGATTCCAGCTCTTTATGTAAACTAAGCCTGGATCTAGGGCGCCGATGGCCGTACTTAAGTCCATGTGTCATCCTGCTTATACGACACATGCACATGTCTCGATGGGCTTATAGGGCCCAGGTGCACATGTAGCCGGGCTTGCGATACTTGCAGATGTCCCGGTTCGGAGCTTGCGGTCTGTAAATCCGCCAGCCCCGGGTGGGGCAGCACCCGCGGACTCCATGCGCCGGCTCGCTTATCTTCCAGCGTTGACTGACGGCTGACGGCGTTTTCGCGAAAGACGATCAATCGAGATTGTTTAGGTAATGAGGTTAACTACCTGCGACTGACCCCACTGATGATCAACGAGGCAAACGAGCGCCGTCGCTAGGCCATTTCCACATAATCTATGAAGTCTCTAGCTGAGAATTACATCGTCCATTGTCACACAGACTGGTTGCTTACGAAGCGTACAGGGCCGACGCACCTCTTACGGCCGATGCATGGCCACGTTGAGGTAGTATACGGCCGACGCATATTTACTTCTGCAGGTAGTGGCCTCGAGTAAGTCGGCAAGGTGTATGTGTGTTGCTACAAGTTCGCATCTCGGTTTGTCCAATCGGTGAGAGAGGACTTGAAGCAATGTCGCTCGCCTGTAGTGCACGAAACGGTCTATAGCGTGCTGTCGAAGCTATCTTAGATGATATGAACTCAGACGTCGTGTTGGCAAGAGGATGGGAAGCAGAAGGTGGGCGCGGGGGTTTCGTTGTCGGGAAGCCAAGTGCGATTCTGTCAAGAGCAATCTGGGCATGATACGTGTCCCTGGTAATACTGTTGGTAACTTGCCACAAGTTAAAGCTCAAGTAGGATTCTTGCCCATCGTTTAAGGTGCAATCCGCTGGAACCGCCGCCGACGTCTCCAGCCAACACCGCCCTGTGAGAGTCAACCTCTACGACTTTCTGGGAGACGGAGTCAACCCTAACAACCAAAACGGCACGAGCATCGGAGAAGACGCAACCTCTGGCTTGGGTTATTGAAGATCAATCCTAGACTCTGTTCCGTCACCACTTCCTGTTGCAGCGGACGGGTTATCTCGATGAAGTTGTTATCATGGGTATACCATCGTTCGCCGCCGCCTGAGGATGTGAGGATGACTAGACTTGGCATAAAAGTTGCACGATGGAGCGAGAGATCCTCCTCTCTGCTACGGTGAATGCCAGGTCATCAATTCCGCAGCCGGTTTTCATGGCCCTACGCCTGCGCCGCAAGACCTCTGGGCCTCACGATGACCTGTCAAGTGTCGAATAGTAACGAGGAGAGCCGTTGGAGGATCCATTACAACCTCATATCGTCATAGCAGCTAGGCTCGGTCCCACATCGATTGAGGTGGCTTCAACTGTTCTTGCTGCGCCCTGCGGTCAGACGGCTCCAAACGGCAGAACACGAGAAGCTGACCCGCACGGATCGGCCGGGGGTATTGCGATTGTAACGATGTCGACCGGGCATCCGTGGCTTCTGCAAGGACGGCATGCCATCGTACGGACGGATGCGGCAACCCCGAGTGACGATCTGCCGACACTTGCCAACACCGGTATCCACTCAGTACGAGAACGGCTCGCGGCATGGTCTTGCTCGTGGATGATAATCCACATCGGCCTCGTATTCCTTAAGGTTCATGCTCATACTTTCCAGAAGCGGTGGAAGGCTTGGCGGCACTGTTGAATATATATGTGAGCTTTCCTCAAGTGCTTGGAGAGACATTCAACCACGTTGCCATCAACAAACCGACAGACATCCAGAACCGGAAGAACAACTTCGCGTCCTATCTCAACCACACAACCACCTCTCAAAATGCACTTCTCCACCGCCGCGACTGTCGCCTTCCTCGCCGCTGCCGCCAACGGCCTGGCCATTTCGCAGCGTGCCACCGAGCACAAGGTCTACGTCGACACCTCCGACTGCTCCGACAACGCGCACACGCTGCCCCAAGTCCTGGGCATCAGCAACAGCACGGGCGAGGACTACCTGACGCCCGAGCGGTTCGACGGCCCCACCTACACCTTCACGGTGCCGGCGTACTACCAGGGCGAGCTGTACCTGCACGACAGCGCGCAGCCCAACCGCACCGCCGACGACCTGCAGACCATCGACTTCTACTTCTACAACCCGCCGTCCGAGGGCGAGCTGAACCAGGTCACCATCAGCAGCGCCTGGGACAAGCACGTCACCGATGTCATCACGGCTGTGCGCTTTGCCAGCTCGCCCGAGACGGACTACCTGAACGGCGAGAACCAGGGCTCGCTGCAGTCGGATGACCCGAACGACGCCATCTACGTCTACTACTGCAAGACCTGGCCGTTGCGGAACTAGAGGATGGGGTGGATTTGGGAGTTGGAGGGTTGGCGAGGTCGAAGTGATTAGAGGTTGGTGAGGAGATGTTTGCAGTCTGCAGGTCCGGAGGGAGCAGGACTGTTGTAAATAAACGTACTCATCTGTACATAAACGAGTACTGCAACGATTAACGAATAAGCAACAATCTGTATATAGACCATCAATTAATCACATACCACCATACCTAACTCACCATACCCGATATGGCTAACAAGATACGGAGCGTTGTGGCCATGAGAGTCCGGGTGATTCTGGGGACCAACACGCAGTCCGCACGTTCCAGATACGGAAACCTGAGATCATATGTCGACAGATCGAGATCAGGCCACTCTCATCAGTTTATTCATCAGTTTGCCACACCGACGTTCTTTGGGAGGAGGAACGTAGCACCCCAGGAGCGATTGCCGACGAGAGAGACCCGATGGAGCTGGCCGCCGGCAATAGGGCGCCGGTCGCAAGCCGCAGGCACAACCCCGCGGAGGGGAACCTTGAAATCAATCTCACAAGACGAATCGGCGCCGTTGACGCTACATTACCGTACCTACCTCATAAGGGCCCAAGCCAACAGCGCCGAATGGACAGCACAGAAACATTACTGCGTGGTCGACAAATGAAGTCATCTTACATGATGCATGCTGCAGAGAAAGCTTGTCTGTCTGGGGTCAACTCGGCGATTCGCTGGTTGCGACGCTGACCTGCCAGTCTGCCAGTCTGCACTGCAACATACCTTAGCGACCTGCCGACACGAGCTGCACGAGAAGCGAGAGCGTCGGTCGGTGCTGCAAAGATCTGGCGTCGTACTGACCAAAGGTGGTTCGCTGTCGCTGATCGAGGCCGCAACGCAGCGGAACTGCACCTCAAGATACGGTGTAGCAGTGAGGGGTCGGTTGCCATTTCACGGACCTCGTCGAGATCTGCTCGCCAGTTACCCTATACATGTAGGTATGTTTATTCCATGTTCAACCCATTGGATAGAGCCGGCTTGGCCGGCCTGCACTTTGACGCTTTCGGGTCACAATGACGGGCATGTGTTTTTCGTGACTCCTTTCACACTTGCCTGTTGTGACTTATTGGGCAAGGTAGATAGCTTCATGGATGTGCCGGCCTCGTCGTTGTGACGTGCAACGTCATACTAGGGACACGCTGCGTGAATAAGCTTACCGTCAAGTAGTTCCCGCCTCCGGTCCCAAGACGTCGGAATGGGCGGCTGAACATGTAACCTACCGCTCAGTTGGAAAGTTGGAAGCTAAAGCTATATCTCTTCATGTTATCGGGGGAATCCCTAGTGACAGCGGGATGTTGGTTTGGCTGTTGTTTTCGTACCTACCTAAGAGATGAGTTGGTTATCTGGCAATCGTCTATTTGAGTATCTGAGTAATATAACGGATCTAGGCAGCTAGCCGCCAAGACTGATTTACTCCATTTGCCATCCTTTGGGCGGCTGTGCCAACCCACCTATCTATTATTATTGTCAGACTGTGTCAGGCTGACAACCTCCAAGTCAGCCTTTGCTAGTAAGTTCAAAGTTATTAGGCGCAGCGCTGAGAACAGCCCTCTTGGCTGGCAATCCTTCGTCATCTCACAGTCCCAGCGTCATACGGTAACATCCTTTTCTGCGTCTGGTCTGACAGGTCAACTCAACTTGACCGACACACAGACGAGAACCCCGCCTGCCTGCGTTCCGTGATGCAACGCGCATGCAGAACAACCGGACGAGCCTGAGGGATGCCGTGTCGACCAACGACAAGGGCAAGAAGCCGATTTGGGAAACGGTCTGACGGTGATGCGAATTCAGAAGGTGGTGTGATCTGGTGTGATGCCCCGCCACCCCGCAACGGTGTGACCGTGCCAAGCGGTGCCAGATGCCAGGGTACCAACGTGACGGCGCCGATCTTCGAAACATTAGAACGGACACAGCATGTGGCCAAAGTGGGCTTTACCGAGCCAACTGCACAGCCAAGGAGTTTGATGTGGTGAATCAGATAAAAAATATTCTTTTTTTATTTTCACATTTTATCTTTTCACCGCCAAGACGACTGCCCAAGAAACACAACCGTCACCCTTCCTGTGGAAGTGTCTCCAACGTTCATCAGGGCCACTTGCTGACTGGCTGACTGGCTCTCCCCTCTCCGGGCCCCCGGTCTGCTCCGGGTCCGTAGCTGCATAGGCTGCATAGGATCTCAGCCCCAAGCCTCGTACTTCCTCCTTCGGTGCAAGTGCCAGATCATCACTGCCAGATAGGGCAGATCCCTGCCCAAGACCCTGGCCGCTGTCCCGAACACCTGCCAGAAGTCCTACGAATTAGAGCCGGGGAGCCATGACGTGCCCCCAGAACCTCCGGGGACCAGACCAGGGTGATGCCTGCGGACTTTCCCACAGACGAACTGCCAAATCCGTCTGCATGCCAGCATGCGCGCGACAGAAGAGATCGTCGCTTCGCAGTGAAGATGACGATCGTCGATTTCTAGTGGACAGCGACACGCATGGGCATGAACAGGGTAGCAACAGGGTGTCAACAGGGTATCAGGCAGCACGATCCTTCTTGTACTTAAGTGTCACGATATGGCGTCCTGGTGTGCACACCCGTTGCCTCATCTCGGCAACCCTTCGCGGCTTTAATCGTAATATTACCAAGCCAGGCGCCGTCCACGACGTCGAAGACGACGACAATGCGGCCCTCAATCGCTAGACAAGCCCTCGCTGGCGCTGCCACCGTGTCCGCTCTGGTCCTCCCACTTCAGCCCCCAAGTCCCGTCGATAGGCGGGCAGAGCTCGTCGACCTAGCACCGTTTGGCAGCTTCCCAACCATCACGCCCGAGGAAGCCAGCTCCAGGGCTGAGAAGGGGCTCAGCTTACTGTTCGGCTCCGGTGCCTTTGGCGAGGAGCCGTGGTCGCCGCCCAGTAACGCGGAGATCGAGGACGTCGATGCCGCCGACAGCAGCATGAAGGCCACGGAAGATGTCCAAGATGACAGCACAACGCAGGCCGCGGCCGCCGGAACCTGCGACGCCAACAACCCCAACATCCGCTTCGAGTGGCGCAACTACCAGGACACCGACCGGGCAGCCTTCGTCGCGGCCATCCAGTGCCTGAAGGCGGCGCCCTCGGCCGGTAGCCCCTTCACAGCTTCACAAAACAGATACGAAGACCTCGTCTCGGTGCATCAGCAGATGACCGACCAGATCCACATGGTAGCCCAGTTTCTGCCGTGGCACCGCTACTTCGTCTGGGTCTTCGAGCAGCTGATGCGGGACGAGTGCGGCTTCGACCGCGCCTTTCCCTGGTGGGACGAGACGCTCGACGGGGGCAACTTCGCCGCCTCGCCGCTGTTCACGGATGCCTACTTTGGGCCGGCGACTGCGGTGACAGCGGATGGCCAGGGTACCTGCATCGAGTCGGGCGTAAGTACCAATAGCTCATTGCATCCTCACTGACTTGACTGGTGGACTGAACTCGGCTTCAGGCGTTCGCCAACACCACGCTGCACGTTGGCCCAGGCACCGGCAACTCGGATCACTGCCTGTCGCGCGCTGTGAATGAGACGCTGTCGGCGACCGTGAGCTCGAGCTTCGTCAACGACTGCAACTCGCGCACGACGTACTCCGACATGGAAAGCTGCCAAGAACTCGGGTGAGTCAGCGATCACGGGCCGTCTCTTCGCAGTATTGCCCATCTCATCCCATCTCAACTCTCCCCGTCCGATGTCAACTCAACGCTCTGCCCCAGCTGCGGAAGTGCCAGTGCTAACATGATCTGTTCCCCAGTCCCCACGCCTACGGCCACAACGCCATCGGCGCCGTCATGGCCGAGGTGTCGTCGTCGGTCGGCGACCCCATCTTCTTCATGCACCACCTGTTCGTGGACCACACGTTCCGCATCTGGCAGAACGCCGACGCCGCGCGCCTGACCACCATCAACGGTTGCGCCGACAAGGCCAGCCCCTGCACCGCCGTGACCATGGACACGGTGCTGAGCTCCATGGGCCTGCGGCCCGACACCACCGTCGGCGCCGTCATGGACACGCTGGGCGGGTTCCTGTGCTACCGCTATGACCACTGACCTAAGAGCCTTGATCAGCTGTGGTTGAGATGAAACGAATTGAAATGATTTTTTGGATTGGATTGGATTGGGGCGGGAGACATGCCTCGCATTCATGGGCAAGGCGTTTTGGGGCGTTCCTGCTATATATCCAGCCACATTTGAGCGCGCGGACCATGGTTCTCATTATTCTGTTTTGGTTGTATATACCATACCTCTCACACGTGGATCGGGACCGGACCGGATCAGGGTTGCGAGGAGCAGCATCGCTTCATTGCTAGTTGATACCCTCGAGCCTCTCATAATCCTAATTCCTCAATGATTCGATCTATCGCATCCAGACTCTGATTTCCGTTCCCGACTATTGCGATCGCTGGTACCACTTGTATTCATTGTCCCATTCTTCTCGCTGGAATCCAATCCAGACTGCCAGTACCTTCGCTGAGTATTTATCTCTTGGCGGGTCATTCCTGTCATCTTGTTGTTGGTCCGGGGCGACCAATTTACCAGGTGGTTTCGGAGGTTGGAGGTAGGGACTCTCGGACTTGCTGTGATGCAGTAGGTAAGGTAGCGATGGATGTGCACATGGCTGTTGCGCTCTTCTCCCCACTGCTTGTACATAGCCTCGGGTCTCCCATCGCAGCGCAGGCCGCCGTGGATCTTTGGTTGGCCCCGTCGGTTTGTTTGCCTGCTCGCCCATGGCTGGTTCGCATGAGCGTGTGTCGCAAGTGGCAGATCCCGTGCTAGAACATGGCGTTTGGTCTCCTGGCGGAGGCTCATCCGGTTATCGAATTCGGTTGATGGACCTGGACCTGGGCTTTGCTTCGTCTCTCTCGCATGTCTTAACACATCTTATTCTTTTGTCTCCGCAGCCGTCTTCTTTGTAGCCAATGCCGTGACAGAGCTGATCGCTGCGATCTCATCCTGGGCAAATAACAGGGTAAACACATCGCCTCCGTGGAGAGGTGAATACGCAATGACGGATAGTCACATGGTGCTAGAAATGGGGGGCTGCTGTTCCAATGAACTGGTGTCTTGCAAGAACAACTTTATTAGATGTCGAATTTCTGCCCATTGGTTGGCGGGTTACGCACTCTCGTATTCTGATGATAGCGGAGCGATGCTCAGCTACCGACGATCTAACCGGCGCCACCTGGTCACAGGACGGATTGAACCCGAACCCAGCCAAAAGAGAAAAGAGAGAGGTGGACCAGGCAGGGCATGTCGTAGCTGCGACAGGTGAAAGACTCGCTATCGTTTCCGATGATAATGATATATACCCTACTTCCACGGCGGAAGTTCGGCAGAAGCATGTGAAGCCAGGCCTACAGTACCTTACTCATCGCCTGTACGCCAAGCGGCACGTCACAACAAGCAGTGCGCCCGAGACGATGTGTGCCCAGTATCACTTTGAGACCTACGATAAGCTCAGTATCGCCACCAGCACGTATGTGCGCAGCAGGCTGGCCTCCGCACTTGCCCCAGCGAGGGCTGCTCTTGCCGCTTTCGGAGTGGAATTGTATGCCGTGCAGATAATCGCCGGCCCACACCGTAACGCTCGTCAACCTCTCGTCGCCGGGACTGAGCTCCCAGGTACGAGGCTGCGCAAGTGCTTCAGCATCAGTTCTGACGTGCGCGAGTGGCGGAACTGAGTCGACTTCCCGTCCGCCCATAGCCATCCTGTCGAACCGTTTCATCGCCTGAAACTCTTCGGCGGTTGCATTGGGGTGGTTGGGCCATACTTCAGAGGTCATGCCAAAAGTCGATGATTGCTCTAGATGACAGTCGTCACCGAAATCGATCGTCCACCCTCCAAGCTCGATGATACTGAGCCACTCCGGTGCGGGAAGCAGCCCTTGGATCCTGGTCACCGGGCGCGAGAAGTCGAGAGCAACGACCACGGCGCCTCTGGGATGCTTCATCCCGTAGACTGGTCCACTGTCGTGCCAGGAAGGTGAGGGAGGTCGTGGCTCCCAGGCAAGACCGCTCTCGTCCAGGTGGACTCTCGGATCTGCACCTGGTGCGCCAATGTCTGGCGACTGGATGAGACTGAGTGAGCTCATCTGTCTGGACGGTGTCGAGTCATACTCAAAGCTGCAGTAGATCCCTGCCACGCCAAAGCCATGATCGGGTCTGTACACAGAGCTCGTGTTGTCGCGGGATTTGCCAAAGGTACTTTGGCGACCACGGGTGGTGATAATGGTAATTCCCACCGGTAAAGCGCCAACGACGAGCCGGAAACCACCGATGCGCTCGCCGCCTGGACCATCTATACGCATCACTTTCATCGGCCCTCCAGCAGTGCCAATACGCTGCTTGGAGCCATCGTTGCGGTAAACTTCGAAGCATCGACAGTCTGTTGAAGCGCCAAACCCCGTTACTGTCGCCAACTCCATTTCGGTGGTTCCAAACATGAGCTGCTCCATGGGGGCGAGATCCCACACAGTATCAAAGGACCAGTAGCCCGTTTGGAAGTCGCTGAAGCGCAGATGCTGGGGAGGCAGATTACCTCTCCAAAGCAAATCGAGCCTTTTCTGGTCGTTGGCGGCGCGGTGTTTCGTGAGGCCGTCAACGTGTTCCAGGATTCCGAAGCGTGTGATTATTCCGTCCGCAAGCTCGGTCCTCAAGCCGACAATACCCTTGCCTTGGAGAGGCTCAAGTAGCCGTTTGTTGCCATCCGTTCGTCCAAATTGATGTTGCTCTCCGGACAATGTATAGCAGGTGATGCCACTGACGAAGTGGTCGTATTTGGTCCTCGTCACGCCATTCTGTTCATAAGTCTTCGGCGAGCTTGAGACGTCGAGGACAAGCTTCTCGAGCCAGTCATCATCAGGAAGAGCAAGGGTATCCTTTGTTCCGGCAGATGCTGAGCAGTCACCGCAGACTGAAGTTGAGCCTCCTACAGAAATACTCAGTCCGCACAGTGCTCCTGCGTTCGACCAATAGAGCTCGATACTTTTGCTCAAGTGCTGGTCCGGCACCGTGGAGAAGAACACGGTATCCGCCTTGAAAGCGGTCGACGCCTGGTCTGCAACGCGAGGAAAGTAACGACATACGGCACCCTCTTCGAATACTGACGATTCTGTGGTGGATGACTCTGCTGCGAGGGGACTGATCAGCTCGTACAGTCTGACAACTTCCTGCGACACCTGCCAGATTCGTTGTCGGTTCGCGAGGCCGGAGACAAGTCCGCCGCGCTTTGCCACTTCGACGGGTCTCAAAGCTTGCATCATGACGTCAATGTACTCCCGGTGCTTCTCATGGTCCGCAGTCGATGAGAGGACCTCCGCTTTCTCCCAGTACCAAGGCGCATCGATCCTCATGCGTTCGCTCCAGAAACTGTTCGATTCGGTCACTTCGTATATCCGACGGGACGATAATAGAAGGGAGCCCAGGTCTTCAGCAGGGACGTAGAGTAGAGTAGCTCTCACTAGCTCTTCGGGTAACCTGCTGAAGCAGTCCACAGTCCGTCCTTGTGGCCCATTCGCCCCGCCGACCGCTGAGTGCTGTGCATGCGAATTCTCACGCTTGATGTTCTGTTCGGTTTTCGGTGTGATATGGCGGGAATCTAGCGGGTCGAAGTAGTAATACTGCCTCGTGGTCAGCATGATACCGAAGTTGCAGGTGGTAGCCACGAACAACGTCATCCCACTCGATAAAGAAGTACTGTTCGGTCTGCAGCTCGTGTCCCAAGTTCAAACAACTTCCGTAGTCCTGCCGTGCGGGCGCCAGACAGGCAAACAACGTATCTAGGTCAAACGGGAGTGTCGTGCTCGGGCAAGCTGCAGTCCACCGCGTCTTGATACCACGAGCTTGCGCGAAGGCCTCACACAGCACAGTCAAGCAGCTCTCGTGGACGGGTAGATCTCCGTCTTCCTGGCTTCCATGGCGATAGCATGTGACCTCGCCGTTGGTCGAGCTCAGGTCGAGAGACAGAGCATTGGGATGATCTCCGAGCTCAATAACGGCTCTGCCGTATTCCTCCACAGAAGCTCTGCCAGAAAGGTAGCACTGTTTGACACCAGTCGCCTTGCGGTTCACGCCGATCGTTCTGAAGTCCGAGAGCCAATCCAGGCGTCTGGAAACGTCGGCACGCGGGAAAAGTTTCTTCAGATCTGGCTCTCGTTGCGTCTTGGTGCCATCCTCGTCGGAGACTGGTTCGTCTTCTTCGTCTTCTGGATTGAAGAAGCCAGCGTAGCAGAGAAAACAGTAGTAGTCCCAACCCCCCATATTGGCTGCAGGAGTGCGGGCAGAAGGGTATCAAGTATGGAGCTCCTTACGCTGCATACCTTCGAGAGAGGCGTAGGCCGCCGTTGCGGCCTTCAAGCTTGTGCCGGTAGCTCGTTGGGCGGTCACGTGCGCACGGCTCGCTCCCGCAATTTTCCACCCGCACGGGCCAGCCGTCAGGCTACCCCCTTTCAAGGTGATAGATCAGTAACCCCGGGAAGTAGAGTTCCCTTGGCCACCCGTTCTCCGCTAAGAAGACAGACCAGACATCTCCAAAGCATATATCAAACCAACTAATCTTCATGAAAGCTTCCAACCTACGTGAGAAGGTAAATCCAAACGCTCAAGCAGAACTTTGTTGGATTTGGCAAACTAGAGCACAGCAACTCGATGTGTATATATAGAATCACACTAAGATCGATGGTGGATCATCGAATTGCCGCGGGCAATGAATCGTAAGTATTGACCAATCACGTAGTGTGCGGCTGAGTCGCCGAACACTTGCGACCTGTCGACGACCTCTGGGGTTACATGGATGCAATGGAAGCTGAAGCATTTGCTCCGCTGAAACAGCTCTATCTCCTTTAAAAAAGAAGATCGGTAGCCAAGCCTTTAGTCATCTTTCTGGAGGACTATCTGAATAGTCTATCTAGGCCTCGGAACCTGCTTCAAATTGAAACACCTTCGCTAAACCAACAGGTCGACCTGTCTATCTCATCTGTGCACACACACTTGTGACGGAAGGCTCACCATAACCACCATGCCACGGCTGTTCCTCCCAAAAGGATGTCGAATATCAAGCGTGGCAGCTTGACATTCAATGGTGGTACATGTACTCATGTCCGGGCTCCAGGACTCACCACATTGGCTACCTATACCAGACCATGACAACACTTGCCAAAAACAACTATTTTTCTTGGCGCCCCGCTGTTAGGGCGCAACCTCAATATCTGCGCTAAAGTAGGCACTTCTTTCAGTAACTGACTATCTTTATTAAGACATAAGAGAATTTTTCTCACAAGCCGGATGGCACCCTTCCACGACGGGCCCCCAAACACGCACGTGGCCGTCCCAAAGACGACCACTGGCGGCGTGCTCAAATCCCTGGCCCCTAGAAAGACATACGGCCCGGCAACTCCGAACAGGCTCCGCCAGGCGCTGCTTGACGACATCAGCAGCAGCCCGTCACAGGTCTCTAAGGCTGACTTCACTGTTGTTTCCCCTTTAAAAAGAAAATCCTGAAATATCAATAACGGCAGCACCACTAGAATGAAACGACCTCAATTGAACGAAATCTCTACAGACCAAGCCATTAAACACGATACAGAGAATAAAGCCTCCTCCTCAGAGTGCCAGGACCAAGTTGCCAAGATACTAGATAAAGACAGGCACCTTTATGAAGCCAGGATGACAATATTTTAAGAATATATTGCAGCAGTTGACAAAACACTTGAGAAAGCTAGAACCGAATTATACTCATATGCCAAGGAATTCAGCGCCTTCTTCTCTAAATGCCTGAGCGAGTGGCTGAAAACCCGAGATTCAACTATAAGGAAGACCACTTCTAGGGGGATAGGGAAGCCCACCATGACTTTCACGCAAGCCATCTCTTCTAGCCACCGACAGCATCCACTGACAGTCAACACCACCATGAAGAAAACACAGCCTGGTGCCCTCACCGCTGCCAAACAACTAAAAAAGAAACAGGATGATCTCTGGGTCTTTGTCCGTATAGATAATAGCCACTTAGAGCCTTACGGAATAAAGTCTACACTGAACAGAAGACTTAAGCTCTACCCTTAAGAGCTTAGAGAAGTGACCCGGTGCCCCTCTGGATTTACTTTACACCAAAGGGACAAGCCAACTCAGGCTAAGCTCCTGGCCTTCTAAGAAGAAATTACCAATATTCTCAAGGCAGAAAAGATCGAGACCCATACAGTCTGGCATCATTATAAGGTTAATGGATGCCCAAGAAAGGTCATCAGTGCGGAAGGATTGATAATCGACATTACCGACATTGCTGTTACTGATGAAGTTAAAGCCCAAATAAGTGACAGACCTTTAAGGTGCATACTCTCAAGGAACACAGCTGATTCTGATCTGGAGACCACATGGGTGATCTCTCTGTCCCGTGCAGCAAAGAAACTATTCATGCTCTTTGCTCACTTAATGACCTCAAGGCACATTCAATACTCCACCAAGGTTCACCAGTGTGCGAGCTGCTTCAGATACCATGGTAGGAACTACCGATGTGAAAAGCAAGTATATGTACGTTGTGCCAGTACAGTACACCAAGGGGAGTGCGAAAAACCAATCCCAAAGTGTGTCAATTACAAAGGACCTCATGCTGCCAACTTCGACAAATGCCCTGCACGCCCCAAGGTTGTGAAAGGTATCATCCACAAGCACACATGGGAGCAAATCCAGGAAATAAGGCTGGCTGGAGAAAGAGCCAGATCCAAGGCCTTCAATAAAACAGGCAGAAACCAAGCTGGGTCAACACCCAACAACAATAACGAAGACATCACAATGCAAATTGACACAACAGATACAACTCATCCCAGAGATGCCGATACCATTGTTGTCAGTCAATATTAGGTACATCAAACGGAACACATCGACACGGGCATCTAGTCATCCATTCTGTGAATACAACAGGAGGACAAAAGAGTGCAGGCCCTACAGAGTTAGCCATCAACCTGGCTGACTACAAAGGAGAACAAGCAGACATCATTCTGATGCAAGAGCCCTGGGTTGGCATACCACCAGGCAGGAGAATGGGAGTAAAGACATATCCCAATTATGATATATACTCCCCAGTGGATTCCTGGGACAGCGACAGTACACGGCCCAGATCTCTCATCTATGTAAGAAAATACCTTTAAGCGGATCAATTTTGGCCCTATGCTACACGAGACATCACCTGGGTCAAGGTATAAGGCATTATATTTGCCAGTGTCTACCGGCCATGTGACAACCCACAGGAAGTGGATGATATTCTGGAAGTATGGATTCCACCTTTTGGCTGCGTTATAGCTGGAGATTTCAATGCTGGCGACACATCCTGGGACTCGAGCAATCCAGGATATCATAGTGGTGTCATACTTGCACAGACTATGACAGATCACGGACTGGATCTGATTTCTGAACCAGATGTCCCGACACATGATGACAGAAATGTTTTAAATCTGGTTTTCTCAGATATCCCCATGGCTAAAGTCTCAGTGAATGATGCACTCCAGTGCACCTCAGATCATGAGACATTACAAATAGTCATCCCAATTCAGGGAGACTTGGACCAGGTCCCAAAGGCCGATTGTTGGATAATACCGGATAATAAACTATAAGAGCTGGTTAATAATGTCCAAAACATGATTTATGAGCTCCCCCGGCTGGGTGCATCCCCTGGCTAGGTGGATGCCTTTATGCAGAGCTTGATCGACATGATTCAAGACTACGTCAGGACAGTGGGCAAAAAGTCCCAACAATCTAGACCCACTGCTTGGTGGACTGATGAATACAAAGCAGCTATTCAGACATATAGAGCCTTTTTTAAACGGACCGCAAGCCAAAAAGGGCGGAATTCAGCCCGACAAGAATTTCGCCGCGTGGTTCGGAAAGCTAGGAGAGAGTACTGACAGACTCTAATCGATTCAGCGATTGAACCAAAAGACCTGTACAGAATCGTTTCCTGGCACAAGCTGTTAGCAGGATTACGTTCCCCCCCCAATTATCATAAGAGACCAAATATTTGAGTCACAAGAGAGCAAGGCAAATGCACTACGCTCAGCCACGCTTAAACGAAGTACCCCAGACAACAATATCATCGACCCCTGGTCCGCTCAGATCACACAAGCCAAGTCACACATCCCCCTTGAATACCATGTCGGACTAGAAGAGGCTGAAGGGTGCACTATAGGGACCAAGAGCAACTCCCCGGGAGTAGACACCCTCACAATACGGATTCTAAAAGCTTGCTAGCCAGTTATTGGGGAACATATCAGAGCCCTTTTCCAGACCTGTCTACAGGTCGGACACCACCCTAAACCATTCAAAGTAGCTAAAATAATGATAATCCCAAAACCAGACAAGACAGACTACTCCAACCCCAGGGCCTACAGACCAATATCGCTATTATCATGTCTTGACAAAGGCCTAGAATGACTTATTACAAAAAGAATTGCCTGGTTTGTTATTAAACTTGGAATTCTAGCTCTACAATATTTTAGAGCTCTACCAAAGCGCTCTGCCACCGACTTGTTAACTGCCCTAATACACGATATTGAGCAGGCCCTTGACCAAGGCCTTGTTGTAATGGTAGTCACATCAGATATAAAAGGGGCCTTTAACAGTGCCCTAATGGGACGGCTGGTGATTCGCATGAGAGAACAGGGCTGGCTGGGCTTTCTCATAAGATGGGTCCAGTCATTCATGTATGAACGGTCCGCAAGAGTTCGGTTAGGTATTGTGACCAATATAAAAGCTCTCACTTGTGGGCTACCACAAGGTTCACCAGCCTCTCCAATCCTTTATATGCTGTATACAGAGCCAATCTGTGCCCGACTCGGTATGAAAAGGAGACACTTTAGATACATAGACAACCTAGCGACTCTCTGCATTAGAAAGAACCTTAAAGAAATAGCCATAAAGGCTTCTAAAAATCTTTATTTGCTTAATTAATAGGGCCATAACAACACAATTGAATTTGACCCCAATAAAACCGAGATCATGCACTTCTCGCAAAAAAAGAACTCAGACAATCTTCCAATCCGCCACAGGACAATGAACAAAACAGCAAAGGATTCCATGCTATGGCTAGGTGTCCTCTTGGATAGAAAACTAAACTTCAAAAATCATGTTTCTTACTGGGCCAAAAAAGCTAGTAAAATAACAAATCACCTTTGAGAACTATGCAGCACAGTCAAAAGACTTCCAGTAAAGTCAACCAAGAGGACTATAAAAACTTGTGTTGTTCCTATTCTTACACACGGCCTGGAGGCCTG